CAACAATAGATTCGCGCGGTTGCGCAGTGACTGCGCAATTATTTCTACAGGGATCTTGCCTACTAGTATTAGCTGCAGTGTGGATTCGAATGACGACTCACATCGTCGCTTCCTAGCGAGTCCCTTTCATTTTATTTTTTTTAGTTCACGTTATAGACGATCGTCAAATCCATTTCCAACGCGGACATCGAACCGTATTGGTCGCCCTCGCCCTGACCAGGTCTTTGTTCGGAGTAGAAGAATTTTTTTTTTTTAATTCCTATTTTTTCGCCTCATCCAGATGTCCTCGAGGTAGTATTCGTTTAGATCCATATGGATTGCGTACTACTGTACATAGTAACTTGATCTATACTAGTGGCTATCATATCATATCGTACTTTGTGATTGCGGAGAACTTCCATGATGCTCTGTGGTACCGAGTTGCACTTTTACAGACGGCGTCTATCGCTAGCGGGGGTAGTACGGAGTACACATGTGCATCGACATGGCGTCATCTTCATAGTGTCTTCGATAAATCGATTCAATCGAGATAAAAAAGACAATTTGAAATAAAATAAGAACCCTGCATTGGTCCATCGGTGCAGAGTTGATCAGCGAAGGAACATGGCATGTCAAAGAAACCTCGATAGTTTTTTAAGGCAAGGGCCATGAAAGGTAGAATAAGATGATCGACAAGAAATTCGGTTCATCGGTCTCAATTTCATTTTTTTGGCTCTAAAAATATTTTTTCTTTTTTTTCTTTTTTGAGTCAACTTGACTAGCCTGCCACGTTCCACTCTTGGTTGACGCCGTTGAAAAGATAGCCAGGATCGGAGTTCAATATGCATGACATGACTCGTAACAGACCAGGGCGCGGTTCAGTAAATCAAAAAAATTTAATTAAATAATTATTTTTCGGACTCCTTTCCCTCCGAAAGTGCTTGCACCCCTCAGTTGAACTCCATACTAGCTTCATTCCTCCAATTATCATGACTCCGGGTACCCGTCAACGCCACGGTAGAAGCTCAGAACCATGGAAATAAACGGATACCTCAACCGCCTCAGGACCATTATACTAGTAAGGATCCTTCTATTTGTCATTCCATTATCTGGTTGCGCCTTGGGCGATCGCTCAATGTGATTCATTCGGAGTGACCGGGCGGGTATAGCCTCCACGTGACCAAAAGTGACTGCGGCTACGCGACTAACGCCATTCGAGTCGATGATGATTGGAGGTAGTGGATCCTCATGGAGACAAAGAAACTGAGCGGGGGTCACAGGACGGGTTAGCACCCTCCGTGTGGGCCATGTTGATCTTGATCTGCACGGAACCGGGAGCTCTAGCCCGCTCATCAAGGCGTTACGGGGCTGCAGGAGGAAGAGGAGAAAAAAGGGGGGAACATATCGGAATTAACAAAGAGAGAAGGAGTAAAAAAAAAACAAAAAACAAAAAACAACGCAGACAGGGATCTTATGAGCGGTTCAAATGTTAGACCTTGAGATGAAAAATGGGGCATGATCTTGCCACTATTGAGGTCGGAGGCTTACGCCAGTTCAAATGATTAGTGAACTTGAAGCTAGAGATGGCGCGGTTATCTTCATGCACATGTAAGTACTTGTACAACCCCGTGTTGACCATCAGTTTGCCTTGTATCGTTACGGCCGAAACGATCCCGGAAGTAATTTTTGACTACGGAGTTTTCACTCTTGTACCTGTTTTCATACAGGAGTTAACCCTGAAGAAAATCCTGGAAGCCGTTGCAGATGATGATCTGGCGATCAGGCCGCGAGTTCTCAAGGAAATTCTTGAGTTTTTTTACTTGCTTTTCCATGGCAGGAACCCTGACAGTATGCATACTGACTTCATATGGGGAAGATAGGAATAAAGAGAAAGAAAATGTATGAGAAAGAGAGATCTTCCCCCAAAAACTTGACATCACATCACACACGGCAGTTTTTTTCCTGCTCGAGGTTCTTTTGTGCAGATGATCCGAGGGGTAAAGTGGAGCTCATGCTCAAGTCTCGAGTCTCGACTCTTGTTGTTCAGGTGGGGAGTTGTTAGCTCGGCTGGATCGCCTGCACATCCTAGAGCCGAGCGGGATACACGTCGTGTACTCCGTACGGAGTACAAATTTTGATGATTAGCTGTAATTGAAAGTGGACTTTCTCCCTTCAATGTTGGACTGTGCCTCGGGTGCTGCCGATGGCAGATGGGGGCCATCGCCAATGCGCATCATGTCCCCGCGCCGATGTTGCCAAAGTGGCTCAATGTTTCAACCATCTTCCACTTCCTCTCGGGGGATATTGAATCAATATCAGGCATATCTGGTCTCAAATGATGAGTCTACATCAACTGGTAGTCTAGTTTAACTAGTAACATAGTTGTTCCAGGGATAATGATTGTTAGTTCTTGTTTATTTCTTTGTTTCTCTTGTTCACATTATACCGAATGTAGAAGAATGCATGAAAAAAAGAATTCTTTCAAAGAAAATAAAGAAGGAAAAAAAAACTTGAAATCGAGTATAAAAAAAATCAAATATATGGAAATAAAAAAGCCGCAGGGTAAAATTACATTACAAAACGGTCGTAAGAGAGATGCAGATGCGTTGGCAGACGCAAAGTCCCCACCATCTGCATCTGAGGCCCAAATTGAGCCCGCATTAGCTTGCATTAGTTTGCATTAGTCTTCCTTCTGATTTGTTAAAGAGATCCAGTGCCATGGCGAGCGTCGCAACAGGTGACGGTTGGTGGTCCAATAGACGCGATGCATTTCTGTTGGTTTTTTTTCTTTTGACTTCTTCGGCTCTACAACGTGCGAGTCATTTCATGAGTCTATCCGCGTAGAAGAAAAAGAAATTAATTTGGAAGATTTGATTTATTTTATATAAAATAAAATAAATTATAAAAAGAGGGTCTTCAACGTTTTAGGTCAATGCGTCTATGTATCCACACTGGGCTAGACGTGCCAATGTAGCTCCAGGGCTTAAGCTAGAAAACAGAACTTGGACAAAATTGACACTATTCAAAACATTTGAAACTTCAGGTGAGCTATTCACTAAAACAGATAATGTAGACGAATATGCAGAAGATGGCCTATTCTGATTCTGCATGATTATCTCTTTTTTTAAGGCTTCCGGCCAGGATTGGCTCGCATGGTTCCCTGCCCAATCTGATCCCTGCAAGAAGTTGCTCGGTCTTTTTTTTTTTCATGGGTGGCCTATCATGCGCCATCATTGGGAGACCTTCTTAACTTTTTTTTTCTCCATTTTTTTTTTATGGGTGCATTCTTTCTCGCACTGATTCCCTTTTTAGCCCATAGCATTCCTGAGCTTTCCGATTTGTAATTAATTGCTCGGGAACTTCATTAGAAGACTGAATTTTTCTTCTATTCTTTGTGAAGATATCGGATCTATCCAGAATTCTTCGCGTATATGCATAAACTTACATAACCTTGCGGTATATTCAGGGTCATGGCTTCAATACATATAGAAAATGTAAGTGCTAGTTGCCGCTAGAATTACATCACTCGATGTATAACAAATTACACGCCCTCGAGTCCCTCCAGGGCTGGAGGCGCGTCTCCACAACTTGGAATTTGTCATGATTATCGTAGTTTGGTCAGAAGTGTAAAAGACCATAGACCTGTTTTTTTTTCTCTATGATTTATATTTTATTATTTATTTCTGATCTTTTTATCAAAAAGAAAAAAAAACTTGAAAAAAAAATCTCATTTTATTTTATTATTTTTTTTGGCGTTTTGCATTGTGGATTCCCCCGCGTACATACACATTCCCCCAGCCATCCACTTCGTATTAAATAACATGAAATACCAATACATATTAAAAAAACAAGTTATATACTCCGTACATACAGGGGAAAAAAAGGGAAAATAAGTCTAGAAAGATCGTCCGTGCTAGGTAAATTGTGTCATGTACTTGTTCCACAGAGGAAAGTGCCGCGTCTCTTGAGACAAAGAAACTGTGTACCTAAACTTTCTTCTATCAGGAGAATTAGAAATCTTCAATTCAAATCGGATTACAAGAGAAAAAAAGTGGCCGATCACCGAGAAAAAAAAAAGACTAGAATTATCCGTTCCATAGAAACATAGGAGAGGTCCGAGTAAGGCCGTAGATCGCCACCAGAGCCCCCCCAAGTTCTATGATAATAGAATTGAGATATCAATTTAGAAAGTGGCGAAGTGAATATTAAAATAAAATCAAAAAAAAACTTGAATAATAAAAATAATAATAATCCTAGTCGTCCAGAATGCGCAGAACCCAGTTAACAACGGAGTACCCTGTCCGGTTCACCGGTCCAAGTACCCTCTTTTTTACATCTCTGGGGGTGGAGTCCACGGAGTATCCCCCCCTGTTAGCCCCAAAAGGAGCCTTGTATGTATCCGCGGTACAACTATACAGGGGGGGGCCAAAGGAACGACAACCAGCCCGACCCGCGTAATCGGTACGCTGCACCCAACAGCACAGTTAGCCTGACACTATTAATGTCGGATTTTATTTTATTTTTATTTTTATTTTTATTTTATTTCATTTTTCATTTAAGCCCGTGTGCTCCAGGTGATCTGCCATAGAAATTCTTCGATCTATAAACCTTGACTTCTCTTCTTAACCTGAAGGTTTTTTCTTTTCTTCAAAATTTTAAAGATCTGATACCTTCATCATTCACTCTTCTTCAACTTCCTCCTTCCCTACCTATATCATCTTATCTTGTGATAGATCTAGGAATTGGGATTGAACAACCTGTTGATTATATCTGATATTGGCGCCGATTTGTCCTAAACATTTCTATTGTGGTGGGACACAACTTCAAGGGTTTCACAACTGTGTTCGAATCCTTACAGCAAAGACAAGAAGGATCTATAAGAAACGCGACGACGCAGAAAAGAACCTTCAACTCTTCAAATCGGATTGTCATAAAGACATACTACCACAACGGCGCAAGACTTTCTCTCACGAACACGAAAAAAAAAAGAGAGAAGTAAAATCTACTTCTACTTCGACATCATGAATACCCACGCAGAGAAATACACACACTCACCATCAAAGCGCCAAACCACCATGAAGATCGACTCACTGCTCAACCCTCCAAGTGATGAGCTGAAGTACACACCCACGGGTTCTCCATACTCACAACACGCGACAATGTCTCACTCGTTACACGGTGCCGGCTACGGACATTCACATTCATCAGGCTACCCCCCAAGCCCGAGCCAATACTGGTACAGTCCATATGGAGGCTACCACGACACAAGTCCCGGCGCCGCTTCAACAGCCACAACACACGTCAGCAGTACCAGTAGCAACAGCATGAACCCGCAACAATCCATGTTCCTGTCATACCGGCCCTCCGGTCCTGGATCAGCGCATTCCTCACCAGACCCGTACCACGAACGCGAGCGCTACGATTCCGTTTCTAGTAGTTCCAGTAACAATGGTACGGATCGTCGTCGACCCCCACGACCTAAGTATGAGCTTGAAGAGATGTACTTTATCTGGTACCACCGTGTTGACCTTTGTCAAGAGTGGAAGGAGGTTCGCGAAAGCTTTAACCGACAGTTCCCAAGTCGACAGCGATGTGGATTCCAGGGTATCCAGTGCAAGTTCTACCGGTTCATTAAGGAGAAGAATTGTCCAACGTTGAGGGAACAGCGTCGTATGCGTGATGGAGAATTCTTACGTGATGGTGCGGCTTTGAGTGGTGACTCTGGAGCTCCACGCTTTGGTGTTATCGAGTGGGAGAATGTTTGGTATCCTTGGATGCGAGAGGATCGCGAAACGGCTTTGCGACAGCAGAGGGAACACCAACAGCGGATGGCGGCGGCGGCGGCTGCTGCTGCATGATTAAGTTGATTTGTATGAATCCTTTAGGATTTTCTTTTTTTCTTTCATGTTGTTACTTTTAATGATTTGGAGAGGGCTATTTGTCTTTTGCGTTTCAACAAAGATACCGCAAGGGAGCATTTGTTTTGTTTTGTATTGGATTTGTTTTTGGCGTTGGAGGCTGATCTGTTTTATGCACATGGGATCTACTTGGACTGGGAGGTTATATTGTCTTTCGTTATACTGATTCAGGTTGGGAAGAATTATCCTTATACCTATTATATCAACCATCACACAATCAAAGAACAAATGGGAAACTCAAGAAAAAATGACCGATACGGAGTAATCAGTAGTATTTAGTGCTTTCTTTTCATCCGAGCCTTGTAAGAAGCCCCCCTATTCTACATTCTAATGACAAAAGTCCCGATTCAAATGTTCCCACATGTGCATCCTTGTACTCAGCACTGGCAATAGTTCAAGTTCAAGATTCTCCGATTCTATAGCCTTGTTCCCCAGAAACTCAAAAACTCATCTAAACTGCCCTATACCTGCACGAAGGACTTTGCTTATGAATCCTCCAGCCTTGTGTCAAAGGTGTCAAAAAGCAAAAGCAAATTACTCGTATGGCATGTAAATGGCATGTAAAAGTACGGTAATATCTCGTACCTAGTAGGTACCTAGTGGATCATTAACCCGCAAATCTAGGCGGAAATTGCATTAAAACGGAGTATCTACGGGGGATTGAGGGATTGATCAGCCATTATTCAGGGAGATGTCCACAGGTCTGTGCTGAAAGCCGAAAAGAAACTATGTTGAACTACACCGTATAACCCGTATCTTTAATAGGAAAGACCTATGATTCAGTATTAACGAAAATAATATCAATAACGCGTGTCTATTTCACCAACTCTTTTTGACGATCGTTGTTGATCATTATGATTATGATTATTATCATGATCATGATCATCCCTATCTCCGCGTAAGAGAAACGCAGATCCCGCTCACCGAACCGAGCCGAACCCACTCAATATCTGGAGAGAGATTTCGTTGGCCCCAACATTGATGTTCTAGTATTCATATCCATTTCTGTTTTCAGTTAATGGTGTGGGCTGTGCATCTTGTCCTTCAAAGACCCAATTTTAAAGTCTATTTTAGAATATTCTTCGAAGGATTGCGGCAGAAGGAGTAGATGTCAGGGGTTGGGGCCAACCGCCATTCCTCTTTCAAGACTCCCTTGGAGCTGCCGAATATTCAGCTCAATCCTTCTGAGTATTGATTTTCATTGGCTTTTCAGGATTATACTAGAAGCCCAATTATTTTCCATGGCTCTTTGTTCGCTTCTAACCCCCTTGCCCCTAATACCGTGACCCCCGGGGCCGGGCATCATCAATCTCGGAAATGAGCTGAATGATAGTAGAATATGAAATGGATCATCCCAATCAAAATAACATTAAGAGATGACTTCAGCAGATGTTGGAAATTGCTCATTTGTTCTAAGTTCGTTATCAGGATTCTTTCTCCATACCTAATCTGGTGATATGCATATCCTGCAATATCTGGAAAAAAAAAAACAAAATACTACGAGTATGTACTAGCATTCCTTGAAGACTCGAGTGCTCGGACTCAAATACTGGAGCCTAAAATTCTTCAAGATTCGAATATAGCTCATTTGAACTATTAATCGAGGCAACCTGTCTAGTACTAGTAGTACTAGTAGTATTTTAGTACTCGGCCGTGCGTTATACCGAGGCTGTACGTGAAGGACGCCAACGAGTCTCGTGGTAGATCGTTGCCACAAAACCTGGCAAAGGATTTTCGGCTAAAACATTCTAGTCTTCGATCCTTCTTCTCTGCCACGAGGAATCTGCATATAAAGTTTTATCAGCTGATGCAACGGTATGTTCAAGCATAACTCGAGGATATCCACAGAGTATACCTCCACTGGCAGAGCTGCACTGTTGCCCGATGAGTCACTCCGTTATACCTAATAAGGGTTATAGATACGAGATAAAGAGAGTGGATTAGGATAACTTGAAAGAAATACTGAGCTAACTCTTCGAGATCTTCATTGCTCCAGAAAATATGTATAGAATACTACTATCTAGAAACTTGGAGCGAGGTCGCAGATATTACCTTCTACGCTCATACCAAGTTACAACTTGAATGGACCTGATGCACGAACCTTCAAAAAATCGTGGAATAAGACCCATTCATCAATGGCAGGATTCAATCTCCCACATGATCAGATCCATACTAACCACCTGAGCAAGAACCAAAAATCTCTCAAGTGCAAGTCCCCAAAACCCACATATCGCCCCATTAACCCCTCCGAGTCTAAACCCGCTGAAGATAAAAGCGCGATGACACTCAAGTCCACCTAGTAATAAACGAATCCATGATCGCCCCGGGGGTCTCAGCCTCACCGCGACTTGCCATGTGGTAAGCTAATATATTTAGTGTGGAACTAAACTCGGAGTAGTTATAGCGCGGCCACGCGAAGGAGCTCGGTTCCTTTCTACCCTCTTTAGTTGGAGCATTAGCTTTAGTAGAAGTATGGGTTTGGGGGCGAACTGCCCTGTTTATCACTTTGAAATGTTCCTTTTACTGTGGAGACTGGATTACGAATCCTTTTATTTTATTTTATTTTTTTTAGGTGGTTCTTATGTGCTTTATCCCTCTGTGGATGTATCTACTCCGGTCCGAGTCCGTATTCTTATTCTTTGAAGGATTTTGTCTGAGATTTTAGATCGATGTATTTTTGGGATGAGAAAAAAGTTCTTCAAAGACTTGAAAACTTGGAAGTGAATGTTTTATCTATTTTTATATAATTTTTATAGATATTTCCAGATGTCGTTGGATTCTGTTGATCTCGGCACATTTCTTCGGGCACTAAGCATTGCCATGTGGTTTTGGTTCCTGGATCGTCGGCCCCCATTCACTTTGGTCTCTTCAGATATGCGAGAAATACGGACTCGGACTCGGTATATCCATCCTAGATAATACTTCGGACTTCCGAATACTGAAATAGTGAAATGCTTCAAGTTCTCGTATTTACTGTCCTACCCCACTTCAATGTTGATAACTTCAAGTTGAACTTGGTCAATGCATATTCAATTCTCTACAAGCATACCGATTAGGCATATACTGCAGGATCAAAGTAAGCGACCAGCCTGAGCTCAGTCCAGCTGATGGTGTTATTTCAAAATGTGATTGTGACAGGATAAAGGTTGATCCCTGTCTATAACACAAAGTCCATTATGCCAGTGCACATGTGTACTCTGTACTATGTACACATTCTAGTGAGATATTGAAATTCATTCTACGCGAGTACTAGTACTCATTGATCCGTACGCCTCAAAATCCCCTGGGAAAACGGCATCAGCACTAGTATCAAATTCAGCAAGAGGGTCAATTTATTGACACGCTGATTTGTGCGGAGTTTTGTCTCGTTCCCGTCGTCCATAAAATCGGGAAAAACTAGTCACGATCGCGATGAACTGGTTCGCGTATTTCGGCTTTAGGCCGTGACTAGGTAATTTTTCTGTCTATTTGACTTTGGAGTTAAGACTTTACAATATCTTATTCGGGTGTATTGTGCGACGCCTGCATGATCTAAGTAAGGAATGACTTATGTGTCCGGATATGTACTCCGTCTCCGTTGTCCCCAATCAGTAAGTGATACCGAGATGAGTATCACTCGATTATTGATAATTCAAGTTTTTATAATTCAGACAAATTACGTTCTACAATTTGGGCATCTGTTCATAACGGGTGATACTAGTATTCAAAAAAGGAACGTGACAAGAGTACAGAACAAGGAGACAACGAAGACGTGACATTGGAAGGCTAGAGCTAGTTAATATTCTATGGAGTAGAACACTTTCAAATTGCTACTGAGATCAAGACACGAGTAATTTCAGTTCTACATTTTAGTGGTACTCTCACTGAGACTGTAGAGGTTGACAGACTGGCAGTGAGCGTGCTCAGGCTGCTCAACTTGAAACTCATAGTCAACTTGAAGAACTACATGTATACCTACCTAGGTATGCATACAAACTGTCCACTATAGTTAGGACATACAAACGACCTTGGAATATCGAGATCAAACTACTAGCACTGCTTCTACATATTTCAAGTTGCCAGCACCTACACATTTCAAGAAACCATTTCATCGACTCATTCGTTTCTCCCTGGTATCTTCGACTAATTACACATCTGAGCCCGATAATCCACGGACCACATGCAAGTCCACCCAGAGGTAAGCAAGAGCAAGAACCACCCGATGCAACCTGCCAACGGCATAATCAAGCAAAGAAATAGGAATATGGAGCAAGTGGTAGCAACAGAGAATTCTCCTCTCCATCTGTCAACCACGAACCGTGAAAGAAAATAAACCGGCTCTCAACCCTGGCCTCCAGCTCGAACTCAGGAATCAGAAGGAGAACAGAACAGAAAAGAATCATAGCCAGCTAACAATACAAGGTGTTAAGAAGAAGAAAAAAACGTTGCAATTAAAGAGGGATAAAAGGTCGTTGACAGAGACAGAAAATAAAAGTTTGCACAGAAAGGTGTGGAAAGAAAAAAGAAAAGTTGGTTAAAAGCGATAGGTGAAAGGTATTAAGACCAATACAAGAAATGAAGCAAAGTCAAAGAAAATAGAAGAGAAGATGGCATCAGAATCCAAAGAAGAAACTATATGTCAAGTAGAAGAGAAGAAAAATGTCACTCACGCACCAACGGAGATTCAAGAGTCGAGATATGCATCTTCAGGGGGGAATTAAATGTATTTATTTGGCTCCAATTTCCTCCTCTGCCCATCCGGGAAGGGAGTTTTCATTTTGGATGGCCAATCCGAATCCAGAGTGGTTCAGTCCACCCAGACCGGATGAAAAGCTGGAGAAGCTGCTCTGAGGCTGGTGGGTTGTGCCAGTACGGATGTGACCAGGTTGTCCTGAGATTGGACCAAAGGGCTCCTGGGAGAAAGAAGGCAGACTAACAGCGCGGGAGTGCTGTGCCCGGGGCACGCTCAGGCTGCTAGTGCTGGCAGTGGCATGGTGACCGGGCCCAGATGAACCACCCACACTCAAGTAGCCGTTGGCAGATGACTTATGTTGATGGGGATGCTGATGCTGGTGTTGTTGATGTTGATGTTGGTGCTGGTGTTGGTGTTGATGCAGAGGTGCATCCATATTTCCATTAGACAGCTCGCCATTGGTGTGGCCATTGTATAGCGACTGCTGGGATGCCTGAGACTGGCCTTGCAGACCAGCCAAAGCCATGGGATCATGGAGGTGGTTCTCTTGGTCCTGGGCTTGCTGGGCAGACATCTGGTTAAGGTACATAGTGAGTGGGTTGTTTGAGCCCACATTCAAAACACTAGATGGAGAGGAGACAGCCTGCAGGGGGTGACGCTGCTGGCCATTTTGAGAGCCAGTAGAGCCAGGAGCAGGGGATAAGGCAGGGCGGGTTGGGCTGGATTGAGAGCCAGATTGGCTCAGGTTTGGCTGGAATCCATTCAAGGCAGGAGAGGAAGATTGAGGTCCATCCATGCCAGCCCCGTTACGGTTCTGGGAGTTCTGACCTTGGTTTCCGGCCTGGCGAGGTGGGTTACCACAGCGATCCTTGCCAAAGTTGATCTTGAACCGCCGGTATTCCTCCCGGTTGCGCATGCCTTCAATAGCTTTGATGGCGTTGGCAATGTTTGTGAAGTTCACAAAGGCACAGCTCTTCTCCCGTAATGTATTCACCAACTCAATCTCTCCGTATTCCATAAAATCCTGGCGCAATCGCTCCTCCGCCCAAGTCTCGTCCAAGTTTCCAATGTAGACATTACGCGACGCACCACCGCTTACAGCCAGGGCAATCGCAGGTGGAAGAGGTCCCGAATGCTTGCCCCATCCAATCTTCAATCGTCGGTTGTGGATCATCAAGCCTTGCAGGTTGCTCAGAGCGTAGAACGAGGCTGCGGAGGTTGGGTCGATGAAAGTCACGAAGCATATGTGCTTGTCGGGGATGTAACGGATGTGGTGAAGAAGACCGCCACGAACCACGTTGCAAATCTCCTCGATGGTGGTTTCTGGGTGGATGTTTCCGAGATAAATAGTGCGGTTGCCCAAGTTGTTGACACCTCCCGCAGTAGTAGCGACCGCGGCGGCAGCAACCGATTGCTGGGCAAGTGCATTGGAAATCAAGTCTCGGTCTGCAGAGTTAAGAACATGTGCGTATCCTGGTGCAATTCCCAGGAATTGAGCAGCATTTTGTTGTTGGGTTTTGGAGACATAGGCGCAGCGGTCTTTACCGTAGAACACGCGCTTGGGCGCTTGCCACTGCGGCTCTTGGGGCAGTTGCGTCACTGCCTTCATGGCATTACTAATAGAGAGGAAATGCACAAACCCAATCGCTTTTTCCTTTACGATCTTCACTGTATCAATTGGTCCAAATTTGCCCAACTCCTCACGCAATTCATCCTCTGTTGTCTCCTCGGGTAAATTTCCAAGATACACATTGCGCGATGCGCCCGACTGCTGCACAGCCAGCGCAACTGATGTGGGCACCTGAGATGGCTTACCCCAGCCCACCTTGATATCATTTCCCTTAATAGCCAGCTTCTTCAAGATGGCGTCAGAGTGAAAGTGAGTTGCGGAGCTGCTGTCGAGGAAAGAGATGAAAGCACAGTTCTTATCGGGAAGAAGACGCACTGACTCGATCTGACCACTTCGCACATGGTTTAGGATTTCCTCGGCGCTTGTTTCAGCTGGAATATTACCCAAGTACACAGTGCGACTGGTGCTTGCCAGCATGGCTGGTGATACAGATGCCGCGGGACCTCCCAGAGCGGTATTTCCCAAGCCACCCAATCCATTGAAACCATTGATAGGCGATTGAGGGCTCAACAGTTGAGATGCGCCCAATCCATCCGACATCATTCCGGTGTATAAACCCTGGTTCTGCATCCCTTGAGTGGGGCTGCCCAGATGATGGTGTTGGGAGTTATGCGCATGACCGTTGCCATTGACTTGCGGGAAACCACCGAAGTTGGCAAACTGTGGCGAGGCAAAGGCCGAGGGAGTGCCAGGCTGGAATGGACTACCGACCAGCAATTGGGAAGGTAACAGGGGGGTAAAGTTCATATCATAACCGGCTGAGGCCATATCGGCGTTTTGGCCAGCGGCAGCGGTATTTATAGCAGGGATATTGGCGCGACGGGAACGCTGGGAAAAGCCTTGGGGATTGTGGTTGGAGTGATAGGCGCCGTGAGAAAAGCCGGTGTCACCGTTCAAGTTGTATTTGGAAGGTGGGATCAAACGCGCAGTGTTCGGGATGCTCGATGCATCCGAGGTTTGCATGGCGAGGCTCACGAGTTCCACCTCAAAGCATCCACGCTCTCAGTGAGATTAAAGGAGTTGAAGTTGTTTCTCGGGTATTCGGTGGGAGAGTATAGAACCCTGGAGTGGGATTAAGGAGTGTGTAGTAATGATGCGATTCGAATGATCATTCAGGGGGTTGAGGTAACCGGAACGAGATAACCGAGAGCTTTTGTTTTTATTTTTTTATTTTCCTTCCTTAGATTTAAGGAGAAAATAAAAATAAAAAAATAAAAAAAGGGTCGAATAAAGTAGACAACGTGTCTAATACACACAATGTTAATTGGAATGTGTATGTCCCATATAGGGATTAGGACCAAGGGGAACTTTTGACGAACCTGCAGCTAAACTCTGAAGGGAATGTCACACGGTATATAGAAGAAAACACCCCCCAATTTGCGGAGAGACAAATTCTTAAAAAGAAAGAAAAAATTGAAAAAGGAAAAAAAAAAAGAATAAAAAAGACTAATTGAAATGCCCCGTCATTAGCTCGAATAGGATAAGTGGGAAGGGAGGATCCCTCGAGGCGCGATCAAAAAGGGGGAGAGAAAAGATCAGGGGGGGAAGAGAGAGGAGAAGAGTGAAAGAAGAGGAAAAGGGAGAAGAGAGATATTACAGAATAGACTCCCCGAAATGGGGAAAGTAAGAAAATGAACGGAAGCTAAAATGGGAATCTAAAAGGAGTGAAAAAAAAGTGAACCCCAGAATGCTTTTCAATGTTTGAATACCTTTTAACCCAGCAAGGTACGGGGGGGGATGAGAAGAGGGGAGATTATTGAAAAGGGGGGAAAAAGACACGCGATTTGGGGCTCCATAGAAACGGAAAAAATCCATCAATTAATCTAATCAAGATCCATATATTATAGATAGAAAAGGGGGTGAATTTGAGGATATATAGAGGGTCTAGATATGAGTCAACTATATGGTATACTCTTATACTATATTATACTAAGTTATAACTAGTAGAATTGAACTATGGTTTTATACCAGAACTTAAGATATACTATCCCTGAACTTGATGATGAACTCATTAATGTTGACAAACGTTCCGTGGCTCCTGCAGAACTGGATCAGGCCCCACCAATCATCGATGCCCCTTGCGAACTGGAGAACTAGTACTAAACCATTTTGGTCTTTTAATTTGGGTGATGTCAGATCTATTTAGTATACGGAGCGCTTGAGTATACTGGACATACATACATAATATAAAACACAATATCTATCTCCAAAACGTATATACTATCCAGTATATATCATATAGTATATTGTTGATATCATTGTTGAGCCTCCTTTAATCTCAGAGTGGTCACGGGTTCATCCTTATCATAACATGCTAGATATACTACGCTATAGATATGGGGAACATTGAATAGTACATACTAATACACATAGAAATAACTAATAATAGTTTACTGCTAGTAGTTTGGATTCAAATTTTTGTTCTGAATATCTCAGCTTGAAGTCATACTATAGAATATCCATACATAGTATCATCCATTTGACTATTGACTGCTGCTTCAACTCCAACCCCGTCGCGGCCTTGTTGCCTCAGGCACTTGTGGGGAAACGCCCGCTATCGAAATTTACCCCTCCAAAATGCATTCACGCTTTTCCTCTAGTCCCCTCACCCAATTGATCCTCTGTGCGAGTTCGCTTTTCATTTCTGGGCCTGTCCGGTATGTGGCATACCTGATTCCTCTCTTCTTATCGCGCTTCTGTGGCTCAAAATGCCCTTATCTCTGCCCTGGCCGATGACTCACATCCTAAGACACACTATTAATGCATGCTGCAGGACGAGATATCCCTCCGGAAATCCTCACTTAAAAACTCCCCTTTCCTCCGAATATTCACGGCATTGGTCCCCTTCCCCCCCCTCACATCGACCATAATGGCCCCCCTCTATCTATATTGACGAGGACGTTGGCCGCGACGACTCCACCGCGACCGGTGCCGAGACCGCGCCTTACAAGACTCTGCTGCAGGCCTTTGTCAACCACGAGGGCACAGCCGAGGGTATTCAATACTTCACCCGCAAGTCGCAAACCGATGCCGCTGGCGAGAACGTCGACCCCGCTGCTAAGTTGGAATGGAAGGCTGCCACCAAGTCCGCCCTGAAGAAGGCCACCAACCTTTGGGAGCAGCGCAAGAAGAAGGCCGCTAAGGAGCACGATCTGGCCATTCGGGAGAAGGCCGAGGCTGATAAGCGTCAGGCTGTTCTGGAGGAGGCGAAGAAGGTCATCATTGAGGAGGATGCTTCGCTCCCTAAGCCCGTCCGCATTCGTCTGGACAACACCGACCCTGCCGTCGTTAAGCTGAGCACTCCCGAGTCCGATGCACCAGGCACTCGTGTCCGCGTTTGCGGCCGTGTTCACCGCATGCGCGCGCAGAAGGACTACGTCTTCATTACCCTGGTTGACGGCTACGGATACCTCCAGTGTATTCTGACCGGTGACATGGTCAAGACCTACGATATTATGACTCTGACCCTGGAGACCTCCATGATCATCCACGGTGAGATGCGCGCTGTCCCTCCTAAGCAGCACGCTCCCAACGACCGTGAGCTGCACGCCGACTTCTTCACCATCATCGGCAAGGCCGCTGGTGACAAGGAAGCCATCACCACCCGCGTGGCGAAGGACGCTGACCCCCAGACCCTTTATGACAACCGCCACCTGGTGCTGCGTGGTGAGACCTCTTCCTCCGTGATGAAGGTCCGCGCCGCCTGTCTGCGGGCCTTCCGCAAGACCTTCGAGTCTACCCGCATGCTGGAGGTGACTCCTCCTGCCATGGTGCAGACCCAGGTCGAGGGTGGTAGCACCCTGTTCGGTTTCGACTACTACGGCGAGAACGCCTACCTTACCCAGTCATCACAGCTCTACCTGGAGACCTGTCTCCCCTCTCTGGGTGACGTCTACTGTGTGTGCCCATCATTCCGTGCCGAGAAGTCTCTGACCCGTCGTCACTTGTCCGAGTACACTCACATCGAAGCCGAGCTGGACTTCATCACCTTCACCGACCTGCTCGACCACCTTGAGGAGGTTATCTGCAAGGTCATCGACTACACTCTTGCTGAGCCCGAGATTGCTGGTTACATTAAGAAGCTCAACCCTGACTTCAAGCCTCCTTCTCGTCCTTTCCGTCGCATGAAGTACTCCGACGCCATTCAGTGGCTGGTCGAGCACGACATTCCCAACGAGGAGGGTGAGCCCCACAAGTTTGGTGATGATATTGCTGAGGCTGCGGAGCGTAAGATGACCGATATCATCAACCAGCCCATTTTCCTGACTCACTTCCCTGCTGAGATCAAGGCCTTCTACATGAAGAAGGACCCTGAAGATCGTCGCGTCACTGAGAGTGTGGATGTTCTCATGCCCGGTGTCGGTGAGATTGTCGGTGGAAGTATGAGAATGGACAACTGGGATGAGTTGATGGCCGCTTACAAGCATGAGGGTATGGATCCTAAGCCATACTACTGGTACACTGACCAGCGCAAGTGAGTTATCCCGAACTTCCGTTATTTATTTTATTTGGACTTTTACTAATGATTCTTAGGTATGGTACCTCCCCTCACGGTGGATATGGACTGGGTCTGGAGCGTTTCCTCGCTTGGTTGTGTGCTCGCTACACTGTCCGTGATTGTTCGCTGTACCCTCGTTTCACAGGCCGTTGCACTCCTTAAATTTGGAAAGTTGTTCGCATAGTTTTGGATTGATTGCATACAAGATTCTAGATTTATGATTCGTAAGATCTTGGATTTGGATATTGGATATTTGATTGGGGTTATTAAAAGTCGGCTCTTTGTTGATCAATGAGATGAAGAATTTCTTACTTTATACCGTCCTCTCAAATGCTGTTTTTCACCTTATAGTACTAATTTCATTCTGGTAAGAGACTCCTAGGACTAATATAGGTCCCAGAGAGATCATGATTCACACGATAATGCTTTTTCTAATAATCCAGGGCTTCATTTTGAAAGCTTTATTTTGAGGTTCTATTAAACGCCTCTAGTGATTATGCGGTGTCAAGTGTATTTTAAGCATCCATGGATGATTGAAAGACTCTTGGAAATGCATCCTCGTATAAATTCAAGCTCGGAAAATTCATGCATGGTCATTTCCTTCGCCCTCAATCAGTCAACAAAAAGTCCACACCGTGTGCAGGGCAAACGGCATTATCGTGACCGTGACTACGACTACATAGAAAACTATGTAGATATACAGTACCTCCGACCATTCGATATCCATAGGAGACTGCAAAATTCATATCACAGGCGTCAAAGTCAACACCAGGGGCATGATAAGAGCGTTACGGAATGCAGCAAGTTGATATGCCTCATAGTAACAGCACTTGATGGATATTTGTGGTATCACCCAGGTAAATGGACTTTCCTTCACCAGTATAAGGTCCCGAAATAAAATTTGAAGGGCATCTTCCAATGTCCAGTGGTTTTTAATGTTGTATAGACGGTGGCTAAATTCAATGAAGTTGTTAACTAGGTCAGGGTAACCCTGAAGAATCCTGAACTCCTTCCAAGTTTATCTCACCAAAAGTCCGGCTGGTCTGAGGGGGAAAAGCGATACCAATCCATTGAGATGCTCGCTCGCTATGTATCTTTTTGTCACTCAATCAGAACAATTAGGATGAAGGTTGCTCCATTCCCCTTGGATTCTGGATTTTTCACAACGAGGAAAACCCCCACAAAGCTCTGGGTGGTGTGCATAGCGCAGCTCGATGAAGGACAAATGCCGCACTGGCACTGCAAATAATAGAGGCACTATTTGCTGGAGACCTCTTCGTACCCGAAAAACGAGATCGCTAAGGCCAATAACGCTATCACTCGTTGAGTAGATAAACATAAATGAGTCTTATTGACTCGGCCCTTTTGGTTCAACTTGTCTCTGATGCGAGTGAATGGGTCAACTTTGAATCACCTTGGTAGGTAGTTGTTCACGTGTTTGGTCATCTTGAGAATCTCGATCAGCCCAGCAGATGCAATCTCTCCACTATGGGCTAGGTCGCCTGACGATAGTGAGAGATTGACCTGCAAGTTTGTCCTCAATATCTAATTGCTATTAGGCATTGATAATCAAAGTACGATGAGGTTTAGCCTAAGACTATCAGCATTGTCTTCATCTTCTCGTATGGAATTCTTCGCCGGATCAAAAAATTCAGAAACTAGAGATGAAGGACAACAACCATGTTTGTTCGGCCTTTTCGGGAGACTGATGAGCTCGAGGACATATAGAGATTCAGTACTAATCCCAGACAGTAGATGATGTGCGGGATCATGCTGGACATCCTCACACCATAGATTGTTCTTCGAAAATTGAACACCCATAGCTAGAATGATTATGCTTCGCCGTGTTCATGACTTGACTATGTGCAGGAATTTGAGGGAAGTTTCGAGGCAACAGTGTTTATCCTGCTCATTTATGAGGTCAATTACTATGAATCTGGTCCACGGTGCTAGCCTACCTACCTTTCCCAGAGATTTCAAAGCAAGTCGTGTATGAGACCTCGTAATGGAGTCACTTGAAATGAGCACAAACCTCGGGCCCCCATCAAGCATGAATCATGGTCTCGTTGATAATGGTGAGATGCATCAGTTTTTTGGGCATAGGTTCTATCGCAGCTGTACTTCTTTTGCCTGCGGACAGTGAAATCGCTTCTTCTCCATTTTGACTTTTCTGTTGAAACTGTGCGTGAGTTGAAGGTGGATGAAATCAAGAGCTTGTGAGAAATGAAAAGGTGACCGTTCCGGAGATATTTAGAGAGAATAGGGAGGTGAGAGATGCATAATGTCAGGTTTTAAGTGGTTGCATCAGGAAACGCAACAGGCGTCAAGAATAGCCTGTCTTTCACGCTATCGAAGTGCTGTGCTTGTCATCGGGAGTCGCACTAGCTAGCACCGTAAAGGTCATTGTGAGCGACTTGTCGGATATGCTCTTCCCAATATCGTCAACTTTAATATTGAGGTCACCGCTTCTTTATCCAGCTCGTACCAAGCCGTAGTACCAGGCTTCAACCCGTGAGTTAGTAACTAGTTCGTATTAATGAAGTATTTAAGTACTTACCAACTGCCCGTGCGCATTCACAATTGCACAACTCTCAAGTTTGGAGGAGCTTGCACATGTGTACCCGGTGATGGTAATCGAAGCACCACAATATCTCTCTCCCAGAAACAAAAGGTTCATACCGGGCTCGAATACCACTTATACACTTTCGGGTCACAGAAATATAGCCTTCTATTCAATCATTTTGGTGGCAGAAAGAAGAGAAGCTTTGTATAGGCTCTGTTGAATGTGTGTATGAGGAGATGAGAGATTGGGCGTGAAAGAGCTACTAGTGAGGACCTTGGTCTAATATCTCAAGGGTTCATTGATAGAATCTTGGTAGAGCTGAGTATATTAGTATGTCCTGGGCAAGAGGTAAGGGAAGGTGAGCTTATATATGAGGCCATGGGTCTGGTTTCTGAACCATCCTCAGCTTTTTGCTCCTCTGCAAGGCCCTTTTGAATGATTGACACTGCAACCTATTTCTCTCATCAGGGTAAGCTCATTTTAATTTGAGATTTGTGACGTACCGTCCCTGTCGCTTCCTCTCTTTTCTTGGAATGCCGTCTTCTCAAAGCCAAAGATCTGGGCTGGGCCTGCATATAACCTCTCAAGGTCTATCACTCTGACGACAGTAAGATCTTCATCCCATAGATGAATTTTGGCATTTCTTCGGGTCCTAGGTCGTTCTTGTATACGAACGAGATGGCGTTCCAAAGAGTATTTGAGCTCTTGATGAAAGGAATCCTTGTATTCCATGCCATAGCTCGTGGGGTCTTCTACGAAGCAGAGCTTTTTGGCATACATATAAGGCGAAATAGCTTTGATAGCATAGCCAAGAGGTAGTGTGTGATAAGGTCTTTTGACTTATCTTGGCTGTCACAGCCTTCAACATGGCACGTCTCTTTCTTTGGGCTCTGGTTGATGCAATCATCTCGGAACGACATTTCCTTCTCACTTAGAGAGAGCGACATCCAATGTCTCTAATGGCGGCGTCGGCTTTCCCCCCTCTTTTTGCTACTGGTAGGACGGTAGAGCTTGGGTTTATGACTCCCAAAGCACTGATTGTTTGCTCGAGTTCTCTGGATAATGAGTCCAAGAGTTCCGAGACGTCAGTCGCGACTTGTTCATGCGTCAGAGCACATAGTCTGTAAACACAGGCATGAAGGACTCCAGAGTCATTATTCAGATGTGTGATATTCTGGTGAGCGGAGACTTGGATCGTGTCATTGTATAAAGAACGATATGAGCAAGCGCGTGGGTAACAGTCTGAGCGATGGTAGATGAGAGTATATAGAGTTTGGATCAAGTAACCGGTTGATGCTAGTGATCTTATATCTCTAGCCCCGATAAACTGTTGGAAAATGAAATTTATTTTAAGACGAAGTGGTCAGGCGATGCGACAGTATTCAAGTGTTTAGGCGTTTTGCCATCATTGATTATAGGACTCCAGGGCTCGCGATGATTGCGGTTATGTTCAAGTTTCACCCACTGCGTTTACACTCAGGCTCAGGGTCCTCATCGTCACTTCAAGTTTCCAAGGTTTTTTGATCATGTCCTCTCCCTTCTCACTGCTAGTGTCACTTGATTCCGACTCCGACTTAGAAACTGCAGGACCTAAGAAATAACTGTAATGACTGTTATCAAGTTCTCAGCAGTTCAAGGTTACAGAAGATCGTGTCAGGGTCGATAGCAGTATGAACTGAGAGTCTCAGAGTAGTAGCCTCAGGTTATAATCCTAAATATAGTAGTGATTATTTGACATCAATAGTATTATCGTGATGGTCAGCCTTGGAAATGGTACCTAGTATCTACTATTTCCAGGAGGGGTAGTTTATTGAAGGAGAACAAAGACATATGGAGGAAGAAGAAGAAACATTGAAAGCAGCTGTATATCAAATCACATAAGCAAATTCGCTTAATAAAAAACCTTTCAATGACAAATAAGTTCAATCTGGCAAATGAAAATACTATGGTATCACCTGGGCATGATGTTATGATTTGACAGAATTAGGTTATCTGCCTCAGGCCAAAGAGGCGCCATTAAGTGGCAAACTTTCTTGATATGACGATATTTCCCGCGCCACGATATAATTCATGTGTTATAATTCTTCTCTCTCAATTCATCAAGTCCATTTCCAGGCTCTAAGAGTGTAATACCTGGTCGTATCACTATACAAGAAACTCACATATGTCCAACCTTGGAAGTGCTTGACATTATAATATTATGTGAATGGCATGGATAAAGTCAACATTGGAATGAATTGCTAAATCAAAAAATCCGATCATCTTGCAATCTGTCGAAACTCTCCAAAACATGATGCGTGTTCCGTGTTGTTCATCAATCATCAAAATCCATAAGTCGATAACGTCAATCTTGATCCGAGAATCATTCGCTGTTGCCAAACTTCTCTCAATCCCAGACATTCCTTTATATGGAATTCTAAGACCAGAGAAACCGAGTCGAGAAGATACCAAATTTCATTCACGCGAACGAGTACCATTGCTGGCTCCGTTTGTACTGCCAGAGTTGGAAAATTGGTCGATCATTTCGAGAATCTGGTCGTGGGAGGCCCCAGAGCGGATAGTGGATATGACACGGGCCACCGAAGCCTCATCGCCGTGGGCTATAAGGTCCAGTAGCTTCTGCAGCAGGGAGTTGAAGTAGATTATTTCACGGTCGTCACGATCTAAACTGGCGTTGGAAGTGCTGTTTCTATGGGAATGCCGGCGTAGGCGATGTCTCAGCTTAGAACACAAAATGCTGACCCCAATGACCCAGGGGCTCGGGACTCGGGACTATACAATCCCCCATGGACTTTCTCTTGGTTTTTTGCTGTACACGAAACTCTGACCAAAGGCTTGTCTCCATAGCCTGGAGAGGTAGGGAATAAATAACTCTCTACGTACCTTGAGGTTTCGCCCGACGATGCGTGCTCCCGCTGGTTGTCCCGGGTCGAGGCTCCCTGTTCACCAGCAGGGTCGGTCGGTCTGCCTTGGTTTGACATGATGGATCGAACGTTGAACGGCGGTGCTACAGGGGCTCTCAAGGGGTTTGGGGAGGGTTCAGAGATAGAATGGGGGCTTCACACGAGGCTAGATTGTCAGACAAGTTGACCCCTCTCTATTATTGACCAGGCTTGTTTTTGCCAGATAAGCCACGTCTTCGGTAATACAGGTCAGTATAAGAAGAGTCTGGGTAAGAATGCAGACAAGCAGATCCAAATGAAATCAATCAGCAAAGGAAAAGGGGGGTAGTTGAAGGGAGCAAAGATACGTAAATGGGGCATATACAACGAGCGGGGAATGAGTAGAGAAGAACGCGGGCGGCCATACAATTTGTAAGAAATGTCTCTGAGATAGCACCTCTCGGAGGGAAAGAAATGTGCTGTGAACGAGTTGAAATTGGGGATGAAAATTTAGAAAGAAAGGCCGTGGTAGATAACAGTCGTCGGAAGTTCAAGGGAAAAGCGGGACAGGGACTGGTCAAGAAGGAAATGTTTTGAGACTGAGATGGTGACAGTCCCGGCGCCAGCCCAAGGGCCTATTACCTCCAATGATCGGAATACGGTGCATCAGGCTCGATCCACCCAGGACGAGAAGTTGCCTTTTTCCCAATGAGAATCTGACGGATTAATTTCCCTTGACGTGTAAATTGGTTCTCACTTCCCTATACGCCAATAATAAAAATCCCAAGGTCCAGGTTAGATACCTGATCTATGCGCTTGTTGTGCACAAATCGCAGCCCTTGTTCGGAGGCGGAAAAATGTACCGACCAATGTGAACGCACGATCGCTTCTCCTCGGACCCATGAAGTATCGTGAAGATTCGCCTCATGCGCGTCACAGCATTCTCTTCATGGAGCAAATTGACAATAGCAAGATGGAGAGATCCTCGAGGTTGATTTCTAGCAGATTCACAATTATTGAGGCGGTCGGTTTGTCATAGTGAGTCCAGAGCCTGATTGGATCGGGCTAGAGGCCAAGGTCGATCTTGGTTTCAACGCAAACAAACTAATTTGCCTTATCATCGTTTGTGATCAATGAAAAGGATCAGTGGGTATGACAGATATGAAGTTGTATCTGGTACTGTTGCAGGAAAAGGAGAGTCTCTTGATCCTGCGTGGGAAGGGGCTGCCTGTTGCTCTGTGCTCTGTGCTCTGCTTGGTATTGACCTGATGTCGCAGGGACTGTTCCACAAACCTTTCAAGATTTGATCGTCAGGAAGCTCCTCGAGTAGGGGGAAAGATCACAGGGAAGTACCATTGAGAGGATTATTCATGGGGAGGAATTCTAATTGAACCATCGCAATGAGAGTGTCTTCATTAGTTGGGTCGATGATCTGGGTGTGATCTGGTCAACCTTCCGTTCTTCAGGATTTAGCGGAAGCCAGGATCCAAAAAACTCCTGAGCGACTCTTTGCAGTATGGCAAGTGGTATCTGAAATTTTGTTTAGCTTGGGAATATCTGAAGATTGAAAGACCTCGGGATTGAAGGAGATAGTAAAGAGTGAGCGCTGGGCTTCGGGGAAATCCCTTTGAAGGCTCCATGCAGTCAATGTGGGAACTTCGATGAGTAAGTCATGGATCACTGCAACCTCTAGAGGTTATGGAGAAGTGAACCCTCACGATCAAAGATTGATTAAAAGCACATGATGCTGACCCCGTTCTTTCCTTATACAGAATCATAGTCGAGGCAGGCGCCACCACTCCCAACCCATGACCGCGATCATGACTCCCGACGCTTCACAAATTTTCAAGGTTGAATCCAACATTCGAATTCAAGTCCTCTGTCATTTTGCAGGCATTGATTGTCGAGGTGATAAAGCTTTATGAGATCGCGAACCCAACCCCGGAAAAGGAGGCTTGTCTCGATAATTGTCCAGACAATGTTCCAACGTGTTGCGAACGCAGAACAAATCCAACGTCCAGAATATAATCCAAGGGGATGAAAATACAGAATGGCATCTTTATTCCACGTCGTCACTTGCACCATTGGCTCCGGCCTTCAATTCGTGGAAAACATGGTGGCGATACGGCTGTATTTTCCAGGCTCGTATTGGCCACATGAGGATTGAGGAATTGCTGATGCACTGGTATCTGGCCAGAGCATGGTCACGGTCGATGCAATTTGGTTCACATTGATTGTATGATCGCATCGTGAATGCACGGACAAAAGAGCAACCAGATTTTGATGCCCGTCCTACTACCCAGGCTGAAGCTCGACCCTGGCGACGACATCTCGAATAATTCACAGCCTGCAAAACATGCTACTTACACTTGCTCGTCCGTTCAAATGCAGTGTCTTGCAGGAATCGATAATACTCCGGGCGTATCGGGTTCTCTGTGGGGAGTCGGAATGGATGGTGGTGCTGGGTCGCGTGGGGGACGATCGGGCATCAAATGAACAGACTCGAAACTGCTTTGTTTGATACTGCTGTTGAACCAGGAATTGCAGGTCACTGTGACTGTCAGTCATATTAGTGTCCTATGGTTCTGCTGGTCTCGGTTGACGACTTCATCCAGAAGACACGGTCGGGAAGACCCTGCCATACGTTTCTACGACCATCTTCATATTCAGTGATATCTTTCAGTCCTGCATTCGGTGTTTGCTGCTTCATGGTTAGTGATGATCCGAGTTTATCATCAGCGACGGAGTCTGATGGTGAGGTTCAGGGGAGGTGTACACGGTGTACACGGTGTACACCTCCACCGGACAACACCTGATGCATCAGCCCAAGCCCAAGAGGCATACTGGCAAGGCCCAAGGAGAAAGCCGAGGTGGTTCTCATCATAAATATGGGTCAAACTCCGATCACAGGACTTCGGCTTCTTTTTCCACGCCACCTTGGAACCTTGTCAGCTCCCATAATGAAACACACATAGTGACAAGGAAGAGACGGGACTGTTTCTTTGCCAAAGGGCGAGGGTAGAAGGGGTAGCCCTACCTTTCTCTTTTCCTGCTGCGCCAATTGGCCTCAGATGTGGAAAAGTGTTCCTGGCGAGTCTATTGGAGCTACGGCTCCACCTGGCGTCTCCCTCCGACCAAAATAGGCGTCAGATTGACGTGCTGGACTAACCAGTGTTGAGAGAGAATTGTACAATCCATGCAATTCAATTTGATGCCATGATACCACATGTTGGACTCAGAGCATCGAGCTCAGATAAGTTGTCAAACGCGTTGTCTCCGTGTCATGAGAACCAATTTCTGTTGGGTCGAGAATAGATCAGAGCGCGAAGACAGAGAACGCCTACAGCCGGGGGAAAAGATATCCGATTCTCTCCACCATCTATTTCTGGTGACTTTTCATCATATTGGACACATTCACAGGCGCCATGGGCTGTTAAGCGGAATGTCAGCTAGTACGGAGTGCCGCCGGATATGATATGGAGACTGTTATTCACAGCAGATACAAACTGGTCAGGCACTGCCCATGTTCTTTGTTTTCAAAGCCCCTATCTGCAGATCCGCTCGGGTTTTGGATTTTTCAGTCCACTTTGCAAATCCTACGGATCATTTTCAAAGGGACGTATTCCAATATCGACAATTATAGCCGAGGAAGGTCAGCAGATGTTTTGTCGTACATGATATTATGTCTGCATTTGTTTGGTATTTCTTTTTTGACTTTGGAGCTAACTGGAAAAAGTACAAAAAGTACATGCCAAAAACAAGTTGAAGGGTACAGATAATACCAGAAGTACAAAGTGCCTCGTTTCGAGTCAGATGATATTGCAATACAGAAAAGCCTATTGGTCATTGAAACAAGGAAATAAGGTATGACAATCACCTGGGCAGGAGTGATGTATCATGTATATGTGCATTCGAACGGTCTAGCACAAGAAGAGCGGGTAAGAGGCTGGGGCGTCTACCAAGCATGATTACCGACAACAGGTTCTCCAAGCAAAGCCAGCGAGAGCTGAATATGACGATGGTGGCAAATCAAGACTAATCCAATCCTATGTATTCTACTAATCATCAGCCTCATCAAATTTAAAGCATTTCATCGTTCACTTCAAGTTTCAAGTGCATGGTCTATTTGTTCTAACGGCTGGAGCCAAATGCCACGCCGGCTGAAGTATCCCGAGGCTAACGCGCCCAGTGCTTGGTTGGACCCAGGAAATGCGGTTCAGCCACGGTCTTTGAAGATCTAGCCAGGTACCTCCAGGGCTAGGTACTACTTCATTCTCATCATGACTGTTGCAAATCCTGCCTCAAATCCTGCCTATCTAGGTACAATGAGATGATTCTAATCATCTTCACTCCTACCCCAGAGAAATTTTTGTCGCTTGATTTTAGGCCACGCCTATAGCGCCCACTTTATGACTGAGCTAGTGATTCTGCATCGGAATTCATTCGGTCAACAAATTTACTAACCACATACGCAAGGGCACGATCAGAAATTGAGACTGCAGTGCATACAGTGCATACACTTCAACCTATCATGGCTACCTCCTCGTCGGAATCTGAGTAACTAATCCATACAAGTAGACAGACAGCTCTTCCACGTGAAACACTAGCCACGATACTAATCACACATAGTATTTAGACTAGCTCGATTATTTTCCAAGAAGATGCAGCTAGTCTTTCTAAAAAATCCCGCAACGTCATTGGTCTTAATTAAGTCAGACATTGGTATGTGGGGAAGAAGTCAACGACTCTATTCAAATAGAACTGTGCATCGATATCATTTACCAGAACAAAAATAAAGAACAAGTAATATTCAAAGGATTGACTCCATTCTGAAAATACCATGTCATCTCATTCAATATAGAGACATAATGTTCTTTTTACAGTATGCGAGCATCAATTAACCAGTTAGCCGCCCGGCAGGAGGCGACCACTGGCACTCCATACTCCACGCCAGCTAGCATTCCACACGCGGGCAATCCAAAAATGTGCTTACGATCAACCCAAACAAGGCCCCTTGCAACAAATACTATGTCTACTGCCAATTCATTCACGTCGACTTTCTTCCTTGAACATTCGACAACGCCCATCGACTCGGGCCGCCAGCATACGACAACCACACCAACCGGCTCAAGAACAAAGTTCGGTTTCATCTAATAGAATTGAACAGTAGCGATAAAGTACATCTCCAAGATGCATTACTCTATCCTTACTCTCGCCACTCTGCTGGCCCAATCCCAAGCCCAACTCGTCCCCATGCCCTTCGGCATGGCCCCTGTCGCAATCCCACAGGATTCCAACCAGAACACCAACGGACAAGGCAACATCGGAGACATGGGAAATATCCCATACGCCTCCTCAATGGCTCCTCAAATTTCCATGGCTCCAATCCCAACGCCCATGTCATCTTCAATGATGCCTCAGCGTCCAGTCCATAGCCAAAGCTTCAGCCATGGCTACGCTTACAGTGCAAACCACCACTACCATTACCATATGACGCCTGTAGCATCATCTGCAGGCCACTACATCAAGCACATGTCAATGCAAGCCTCTGCAACTATGTCCGTAAAAATGTACGCATCGGCATCGGGATCTGCATCGGCAAGACCATCAGCCTCCCATGGTCTTACCCGTCTAAACAGTCCTAATCACGCTCTCCACGCACCCCATCCACATGAAGGATTCAATATCCCAAAACCACCATCCGATATCCCCCAAACACCTGATTTCACTAGCCAAAATGGTGCATCAAGCCACTCGGGTGGATACTCTGGTGGAAATGGTAACGGGTTCACGCAAACACACCCGGATCAGGACAATAACTCCGATACACCGGTCGTGTATTCAGATGGCTCCGAGGCCCCTGTTCCGGATATGGGTAATATCATGGGTCCTAATATGGGTACGGAAGGCTCTTCTATTGCCCCTGTGGATTCCATGAAACCTGGTACCAATGTGGCGCCGGTTCTACCGCAGAAGTCTCATGGTGCGGATTTGGGGAATGCGTTTTGCATGGGTGATTGTTATAAGAGTAAAGAGGATGCGAAGTGTGAGAAGCCTTATGTAAGTTCTATAATTTCTTCCAAGGTTGTGGGGTGATGGAATGGTGCTGACTTTTCTACTAGACCTCCCCTGTTTTCCAGGATGAGCAGGGCTGTTACTCCTGTTGCTTTACTTCTCCGGATTTCAAGTAGATCTACGTCGTAATAGGGCATTCTAAGACTGGATCTGTCTGGTCTCCTCGTTATCTTCCTCTGTTTTCTCTCATTTTATCTTTCTTTCACTCGGAGCCACTGGTCCGTTGACTCATTGAACTGTCTTGGATTTACTGATTGGTCGCGTGATGATCTATCTTCTAAGCTTGAGTGGCGTTCCTAATTTTAGAGGTGGCTTGATTGATTTGGATGATTGGTCTGATTGGTATTGTTTGAAGATGTGGCTTTGTTTTGATTCTGATCTATTTCTGTTCTTATCTTCTAGGTATGTTGACCACAATTTAGTCTTGACTTTTGTTTATGGATATCATCATTTTTGCCTTGATCGGATCAGTATCATAAGTGACCCCTCACTAGTAAGCCACTATATGGTAAAGTTGGTGCCTTAAGTCATCTATACATTCTTCCCCGTAGATTTGCCACTATCATGTGGGTACCTACTACATGGAAGTTGGAACTAATGCATGCATATTTCTCCACTTACACACATACAAATTAGACATCAGGAAAGATTCCAATAGATCAGATATTTTATATTAGGAAATCTATCTAGCTAGAAAAGATCCAAGCATCATGAATCCATAAGAATCATAACATCAACTCCATCTAACTAGTAACTCCAAAGAGCCAAGTTAAACGCGCGGTCCCGCCGCCCGCACCATGGAAATAGGCGCCGTCTTAGAAACAGGTGCATCCTCCCACACGTCAGAATCAACAACCTCAACAGGGAGATCATGCGACTCAGCCATAGGCATAACGAGTTCAACGCCCTTGGCGGTTCCCGAATGCTGGAATGGGTTGTGTCGTGGAGGCAGAGGACGCTTGGCAGCGTACATGCTAAGCTCGTCCGAAGCAGTACTGCTGAATGAGCTGGACACGGATGGAGTATGAGTCAGGGATGGAATACGTCCGTGTCCGTGAACTTCATGCTCATGCTCGTGCTCATGTTCGTGGGCATGAACATGCTCAACAGCTGGTGCAGCTCCCATCATGGCGGGCAGACTAGCTGTGCTTCGAGCTGAGCGCCGAGCGAGAAGGGTCTCGTTACCACCATGGAAACCAGAAAGGTAGTTCCATGCGTCAGAGGAGACGAGACTGATAGAAGTCCGGGACAGTATTACGGGCTTCCATTCGGTGGGGTCAAGATCTGACTTGGCACAGTGGATGTCGGTGGGTATCCTGATGGCGGGGACAGGACGAGTAGGCGTCAAGGGAGCAACAATGGTGCGAGGAGAGAGAGGAGGAGAGGTAGGAGGAGAGTTGGATGTGGAGAAAGAAGACATGTTGGACATAGAGGGTAATGAGGCGGAGAGAGGTTTGCAGGAGTCTTTGCGGCGGCAGCTGTGTTCAAGTTAGATGAAGTACTATAGAAGTATATAGATTGTAGATGGGATGAAAGGGAATAGAGGTTGGGTAGGAATGAGGTTGTCACACGTACCTTTCACTACAGTATAGGAGGGAATTGTTGGGAACGGTAATTTGTTTCTCGCACATGGCACTAAATAGAGGGTCAGTCTTGTGTTTAATATAGATCGGGTCACCCGAATCAGGTATGTAAGGACAGGATGACCCTGCAGGGGCCACTGATAAGAAAGCCAAATTTAAACATAAACAGTTTAACAGAGATAAAATAAAAAATAAAGGTAAAAAAAAAAAAATTGAAATCATAAAAGGAGTAGAAATGGAGTAAAGAAAGGAGTAAAGTAAACAAAGACTTACCAGAAGTTCAAGAAACTGGCTGCCATGTCGAATTCGTCGTCTTGGACACGACAATGACTGCCAGCACCCAATTTGGAGATTGAGAGATTGACAGCCGAAGTGCCTCTTCGATGTAAAACAGGACGAGAGGACTTTGATTTAGGATGAGAAGGAGAACGACGGTGGGACTGAGTCATGATGGCGGTGAAGACATCAAAATGCCTCACTATCTTATCTTGGGAGCACAGAGCACAATGAGGGATATATGAAATGTGTTGACCGCTCAGGAATTCTCGGGATGATGCAGTTTGCAGCTTGAATGACGATAAGCCCCTTGAGTACCTTGTATCCTTGAATTTCCTTTTCTTTTTTTTAAAAAACCAATTCAGGATTTGATTTTCCCAGGATTTTCAGGGATTGGGGAAAATATGTATGTTCTCCAGGAAACGAACAATGCTGATAAGAGAGTAAGTTAGTGACACCACGTTATCAAAAGATAAGACCTCCAGGGCTGCATATTGCCACATACCGATCCAAAAGTCTATATGGATAAGAGATAAGAGAAGAAGACTTAAACTGGAGAATAAGACTAAGATTGGAGAAACTGGAGACAAAACGAAACTGTTTCTCCCACGGGGACCCCGAGGTTAAATAACTTGGATGGTGTGAGACTCAATGAGAGTGATGTTCTAGACTGTATGATCCTCATCCCCCACTTTTTTTGAACTCTTTCATCTTGACGCGCAATACCCGTGGACTCTCTGAGTACATGATGTGACTAAGAGAGTGTCCAGACTCGCTGACTCACCGGAAACAGAGAATCCAGTCCTATATTTAGAGATTGGAGATTTACTACTACATTTGAACTAATATTTCTGTTAATTCTAGATCATACTTCAAATAAAATAGAAATGAATAATGATTCTACTCATATCTACTAAGTAGTATTGTCAATTGATCTAGATAAGTATCGGAATCTAGATTTCTCTTATGGTTTGATAGGGTTCTGCAGACTTCCCAATTCCCGGTTTGTGTCCCTAGTTGCATAAGGAGTCTATCTCCGGAGGGGTCGGATCTCAGATACTATCTGGCATCATTCAAATCATTCAATACTGATCTTCTTCCTCATAATTCTATAATTGACGAATTTCAATATTGGGAGAAGACGTGATTCTAGTAACACATTCTAATATCATAACACCTACCACTAACCACTAAACAGTACCATAGGTAGGTACCATCTCTGACGACTATGGCGTGCACGGATTACGAAAATAGATCGGCGTTCTCGAACCTCCACCAACCTTGGCAGTTCCCCTCATGGTGACACACCCTTGACACGTCGAGTCTGTGCTCTCTTTCTTGGCAGGGTACGTGTTGGTGTCCACTTCATCTCTGCAGCCCTGGAGAATATACCTACATACGTCCATATTAGTACCTAGGTCGTCTAGATTCCAGTTCTAGATAATATTACGGTCGATCTACCGTTTCGGGTCGATGGGTCCCTCGGAGTAAAAGTCGATCAGACAATGATCGTGGAATCGCCCAGTGATGCCTGATTCCTCTTCTTTCAATCTAATTGAATGAATTGCCACTTTTGTGGACAAAGCCAAGAATAGACTACGAATAGTGTTGAAAATCTGAAAATCTGTGGAGGTGGGGTGGGTATCATGTCACGTCAGACGAGAACGAATATGAAGAATTTTCATCTTCAATCTACAATCATACGTTAGCACCAACACCAAAGTATTGTGCTCTGAGCTCCGTGGATTCTCTCCCGTTCTTTAAACTCCCGTTGTCTTCCGCAGGGGAGAAACTTTGAACTTTGTTGATACCTTCAATAGGAAATTAAGCACAATACCTCACTATTCCTCCGTATGTCGGGGGATTCCCATGGGGTATATCCAGGGGGGGTCACACTGAAAAGGTAAATGATACATTTCCTTGGTCTGTGATGGGGATGTCTCTGGATAATAGTTCCTGATTTGATTGTCAATAAAGATTCTATCAAGGTTTTTCACGAGGTACCAAACGCCACTGAGTCTATGATTCGATGTGGAGTCGGATCATGTTGACGATTGAGCTTTTTTGGTAGCATGTTATCATGAATACCTTAGGCAGTAGCACTACTAATGATGTAGATAGACATGTAGTACAAGATATCATCAGCTCAGTACTATTCAGTGGTTTACATTTGTGCTAATTCCCTCATTTCATCCCAATCGTTCCAAGGTCCTCGAATATATCGAGTACCCGAGGAGCAAATACTGATCCCAGGTTGCAACTTTTTATAGCAACTTGAGTATTTTCAATAGTGGCAATTTCGTTTAGTCATGAGAACATCGACCTTGGGAGTCACCTCAGCATAATGAAAAAAAAGAAAGTAGATTTTACTCAATAGATCTCACTTGGCTTCCAAGGTTGGTGGTTGGTGATAAAAAAAAAAAAAATGATCCGGTCACGCGGAATCGAACCGCGGACTTTCTGATAAACTATAAGACATTACAGTCAGATGCGATAGCCAACTACACCATGACCGGATTTGTGATTGACTAACAGACTTTTACTAATCATATACTAATACTAAACTGGAATTCAAAATAAAAGCAAAATTCCATTCGCATACACTCATTCTCGCGCCTGCCAACTTCTTAATCGGTGATGGTTGGTACACGGGGTATAAGGGCAGAATCTAAAATCCCCGCTTGGACAAGTACATCCGCCTGATCCCAATAGATCTTCTGATGCACAATTCGATCCGCGCTGAAACGAGCCACGATTACAATATTCACCTCGATCTCGCGATTCGTTGAAGAGATACCAGGTAATAACCACGGGATCTCTGCTGTATGACGGAATGAGAATCGTACCTCATCGACGATCCGATCAGAGCCGACTGTTCGTGAGAGGAGGTGGATATGTTGACTTGCAAGTCCGCAGGAATGAATGTATCTTTTAAGAAAGATCTCAGACTCTGTGGATCGGAGCCTATGCATATCATTTAGTAAGGAATCAGAATAGACTGCAATGGATGTCGGTGTTAACAACTTACCGCCTGCTTTTGTGGGAGCACATTCAATCGATATTCCATACTCATCCTGCAAGTCCCGTCTCCCACTCATGATCTCCATAGCAGACCATGAAGTCTCAGATCTTTGTGGCTCTTTCCCATGATCCAATTCCGCCAGTATACATTGCCAATATTCCTCCCACACAGTTTCTATCGCTGTAACAGGCCAATTACTACTTGCCCCGAACGCACGTCGTAAACAGCCCAGTGTGCGACTCCACGCTAATCCAGAACTTGGATTCCTCTCGGGTGTATACCTCCCTTTCTGATCTTCAATTCCACTTCCATACTTGCCCTCGCATGAAGAATCACCGTCATTTGAACTTGCGCGGGAATGAGGGTACTTGAAAACATAGCACCGATGTCGCTTTTTATACGTGACATCTCCTTCGGAAGGACTAAGTGTAATCCATGGCCAGAATGTACAACCATTCTCAGGCTCAGGGATATGGATCTGAATCGGGAGTAATGTTGCAGCGGGACCAGGCTGAAAAATAGTCTCTGTGTCTGAACAAGCAGGGACACATGTTTCTGTGTTGCTGTATCTCTTGGATGTAGTCTTTGGATACTTTGAAATGGGATAGTAGGCTATCAGGGCAGAGAGTCGTGGAAATGGATTGGTGTTGCTGGTTATGAGATGGTGTGATGATAACAGGTAGTAAGCTGGTCGGTTATATGCTGTCACTAGTTAACTCGTACTTCCTATAGACTTCCATTCCTGATTTACTTACCCACAATGGCATACCTCTCCCCCTCTTCAAGTTCATCCTCCTTCTCATGCACTGCATTCTCCAATGCCCGCCGGTCTCGCTCAAAGTCATCGCTGCATGTAAACGGGAGATATTGTACCTGAAATGCCTCTGCGCGGAACCGTCGCAGAATCTCTGGGTCGAATTCTGGAGTATCGGAAATCAGAATGAGATGTCGTGGCACAGGCTCTTGCGCGGCAACGTCGTGACGAATGCGCTTAACTGAGCTTGCACTGGTGGTTCTGTGTAGATCGTGCGAGTTTCTGGTATTTGGATCATTTGGTTTGGATTCCGCGGACGTGCTGCTAGAGCTTAGAGCTCGTCGCGTAAGGCGATGGAAGATATTTACCATTGTTGGGTATGGTGTATGGTATACTGTGATAGTCAATTCTAAGCAGGTTGAGTACCTGAAAGAATTACAGGAAACTACAGAATTTCTAGATCTAATTAGAGAGGGATGAATGTGACTGCCTTGCCAATATTGAGTGACGTCGACGAGTGCGATAAGATATCACCATCCGCATTAAGCTACACATGCCAGAGCTAAAACATAGAAGGAATTCTTATTTCATCTATCCAATCTCTAATTTCTGTAAATTAAAAACTCGACAACCAAATCCGATCCTCACTATTTGTGCCCTGCGACTTCCCATCATCAACGAGATACCGCTTATAAGCATCTCGAAGAAGAGACTGTCGCGCGACTTCACAATCAACTCGAATATCCTCAATCAAGGCCTCAACAGAGACATAGTCGTATTCCGGTCGGATATATCCGAGAATCAGTAGATTGAGGCGCGTATCATAGAAATCGGGCAATCGGTTGAACTTGGGTTGTGCGACAGCTGTTGGGGAGGGTTGTGTAAGAGGGGGCATGATGTGGATTTCCTATTCATATTCATTAGCACAATCTATAATCAATGATATTCAGAACTAGCAGATAGTGAGACATGCCACTGATCGCACGGTATTCTTATAGTAAGGGTTATACCCAATACTCAAAACCGCAGGTTGGAGAGTCGCTTCATTGGAGCTTTCGGTTTCACCGGTTAACCCGTTCTCCTGCGCGAACTTTTTAGGATCCAGCGCGACGACGCCGTAGTAGACGCCTGATTTTAGGTCGGGGTGTTTTTCAGACAGATCGTCCGCGGGGATATTAGCGGTAGGGATTCCTAGCTATAAATCACTCAGTGGGTATTCTTAATGTTATGTCCGGGGTAGCTTACGTCTTTGCTTCCTCGTCCAAATCCCTTGATCACGGGGCCGGACAGTCGAATTGGATAAGGGGCCTCGGGGCCGGCATCAGGACCGGCGACGGGATCGCGGGGTGTATCGGGGCGCATTGTATATATTTATTGCGCAAATCTCAAGAGTTTGGGTCTGGAAGGAAGTGGTCAAGTTCTGTTGCAATCGATTGTGCGATGCGGTGCGCGGGGCTTTCGGTGGAACTCCGGAGACAGCGGAGTGAATGACCTCGGCTTGTGAATGGAGATCTTCGGATCCTTGAAGTGGGTATAATTGATTGCGAGGTATCTCGAGGTTCGAAATGCTGGTAAGATGAAGTGGGATGCGACAATGGCGTTGGAGGGGAAGAGCCGGACTCATAGTGGGGCTATAGATAAGCACAAGTGGTTTAGTGCATATCATCCTTCCATATAGACAGGGTATAGAATGAATAAACGGATCGCAGGATTATACATGTGGCGCTGCCGTTATTCAGGTACATAGATCTAATACAAGGGTGTATAATGGCTAATTTTGACTCCGAAGATATAGCAGAATGCATTCCTAGGCACATAATACACGAATGCAGACATCACGAAATGACATTAATCTCGTAAAAGCACAATCCCAGCCCAAAGATATCATTTTTTAACCTTTTTGAGCGCCAAATAGCATAAAGATAAAACCCAAATCAGAGCTGAGCTACACTCAGCTCCAAGAACACCGGTTGTATGTACGGGTGAGAACAAAGAATCGGGGGGAATCATACAGTCCCAGAAGGAAACCAAAGGCAGAGTATGTACTGGAAAGACCAGATCACAGAAAAAAAAGACTAGGAGGGCCTAGTCAGGGTATGAAGGGAATAACAAGAAAGTGCAAGCAGTACAAGAAAGCCAGAAAAAGATCAATACGAATAATCCAAAAGATGCCAGAATATAATCAAATACATGGCAAGAACTGTTCACGTGGTTAGTATAGGGTTGACTTCGGATAGAGTTGGAGTGATACTCACATTCATCACGATAAGCATCGGAATGTCAAAGACATCTCGCTTAACTGTCCAGCAGTACGCGCATTCGACTTTACCGTCCTTGAATCCTAGCTGGTTCATTCCGGCCTCGCCGGCGATACCACCTTTGCGAAGGTGGTTATTCCATTTCCCATTATCATCCTGAGCCACCTCCATATCCTCCTTGGTTTTATACTTGAGCAGTTTGCATCGAGTCATGACACTACCACGAGAGTCACCAAATGCTAAACGCGCAAAGTCTTCATAAAATTCGACAACACTGTCATCGTCAAGTAGTTCGGCCAAGAATACTGGTTGTGGACGACCAGCAGTGTGCTCTAATGTTGAGCCGCGAGGGGTGAAGCTACCACGCGATGTAGTACCGGACCCTGGCATAGATGCACCGCCCGTGTTGACATTGAGGTTAGGCTCCTTGCCCAACAAGACATCCTTCTTCCATCCTGTCAGGATGCTGAACTCCTTGCCTACAGCGGCAATCTCTCCGGTACGTCGACAGACAATCGTTGGGGTGCCACAGGCGTTGATAAAGTCCTCGTATTCCCATAGTGTGCGTTGGAAACATTTCTCCATAAAAATCAAATCATCCCGGTTAAGGGTTTTCGTGGTCGCGATAAAAGACGGTCGAATAGATGCAAGTGCCTTGGCAATCCGCACAGTCTTCTGCGGTGAGAAGCGTCGCTGAATAAAAGCTGTGAGATTGTGAAACCCGCTTGTATAACCGTATGGTTCCTTGACACTTTCGTATATGGCTGATGGGTTGCGATGACGTCGTTTGGGCCCAACATGTAATTGTTGATGCTTCAAACTAGGCGTGGTGATCATCGGTCGCTGGCCATTGGGTGCCAGGTTGCTAGACTTGGCGCCCGCAGGATTGAACGTGCCATCCTCAAAGGCAGAGGGATTCACATGGGGACTGCTAGCAGATCCCGGGCTGGCGAAGGCGGCAGGGCCACTCTCAATCGCAAAGGCATGTGGCCCATCTGCTTTCATGTGCCCCGGCAGCATGCCATTCTGGCCATACACACCGCTGACGTTCACATGCGGCTGACCCGAGGCCTGTCCAGCGGACCAGTCATTCAGCAGTGGATCACCGAACAGGAATGGCTGATTCCCCGGACTTTCGCCAAATCCAGGAGCCGGCGTGGAGAACTGGGCAGACCCACTGCGGCCGATCGACCCTCGCTGGGTTGCCGAATCGGTAGGGGAGTCTCCAGCTCCCGTGGCCATATGTCCGAGCATACCAAATTCGAGCGCACCATATCGATTTTCGAAATTCATACTCGAGAGATCAAAGTTAAATAATGCGGGGTCGCTAGGGTCGAAAAAGGGTCCCGCGAATGGGTTTGGGGGTTGTGATGTATCGCCGGAGAGAGCGGTACTAGGCGTGGGTTGCTGATTCACAGTAGACGATAAGCTGGGATTGCGACCATTTTGACTGGTCTTCAGGTTGAAGGTGGGAGACACAGGTGATTGGGTCGTAAAAGGGCTTTGACTCATGGTTGTTTCTTGGTACATATTGTAGGATCCCGCCTGGGGCTGGGCTTGTGGCTGGGGCGTGGGGTAGAAATTTGTGGTCGCCTGCTGCGGTTGTTGCTGTTGTTGCTGCTGCTGTTGCTGTTGTGATGTACTCGTGTTGGGCCCATTTCTTGACATAGGCAAATTATTGTGCATGCCGTTGTTGTTATTGTAGAAATTTCCTCCACTCACTCCGGGCATCAGTGCTCCGTCCGGGGCGTCGTGGAGATACTTGGCCTTTTTACGAACACCGTCATGACAAGCATCCTGTAGGCCACGTTTGATGCAGCGTTGGCATGGTCGCTCGTCACCTAGTCAGGAAAAACAAAAAATTAAGATGTTAGCCAAGTTTTGATTACTCAGAGCAGGGTCCAGTCATAATGCATACCGCATGTTAAATGAGCTCGTTGACATGCAAAGCAGGCTCGGCGGGCTTTCTTCCGCCGCGGTCGCGAAGGATCTTTAGCGTTAGTCGACTTGCGACCGTTCTCTGCCTTTCCACTATGGCCATTGATCTTTTCCTTGCCAGAATCCATTGGTTCTGAATATTCGGTGACATCGGCGGAGTCACGATCGTCGTCCATAACCGGGGTGCCGTTCTTGGCTTCCATGTTCATTTCGTCATGTATTCCGACCCGGAGGGATCAGAATCTCGAATGCGCGTTCTCACAAATGAGATCTATCTACGGTGTAATATCCGAGAAATATTTCTTTCCACCGTAGTTTGTTTCAATCTTCAAAAGAACAAAAATATCCCAATAATTGTGGCGATGGGACCATCCGCGCACTTAGATCGCTCGGCAAAAGAGGGATCCACGTGTTTGCGCAATTCTGCTAGATTGACCGAGAAGGGGGCCAAAGAAGAAGAAAATAAAAAAAGAGACGAGAAAATAAAATGAAAAAAGAAGAAGCAATTATCAGTCGCGAAGGGACCGCAATTGAGAAAAGAAATCCCGCTTCCTCCTTATAGCCCAAGATATCACTGAGAAGCCGTGGAGATTCGACTCCTATGCGCGTTCGCGATCAATTCTGGCGGGGAACGGAAGGCAGGTGTCGGCCTGAGTCACGGGTGTAACGAGGCACAATCGACTCGGAGTAAGACGTAATGAAGATCGGACGCATTGAATGGTTTCGTAGGAGTTGGGGAAGCAAGGTCAAATGTGCCCACGCGACAAAGGGAAAATGCCGCAACGGTACTCGGGCGCAGCTGAATTCGGGGAGTGGAGAGTAGCGGCAAAGTCGTTCGGCTGCGGGGAAGCGGATGTAAAATGCCCGCACGAGGGGAGAAAGAGTTTTAAGATCGGAAAATGCGTTTATATCAAACCACAAGAAAAGGATTCAAAGTGGGAAAAAAAGGCAGCTTTTTTTTTCTGCGCGGGGAAAGAAGATGAAGAAGAAGGTGGATCGTCTTTGAGATTTGGTAAGTTCGGAATGTTCCCGTGACTTTTGAGGTCTAAGCAACAGACAAGACTTCAACCGGACTGATTCAAGAACTGATGTACTAGGATTTGTTTAAATGTTTAAATGTGTAGTATATAATGTGAAATATATGCAGTTTATTCTATCTATGGATTTTAAAAGTAAAACACATTCACATAAAAACAAGAGATAGAAGTAAGAGTATTCTCTATACTGTGTAGAGCAAGATATAGTTCGTTTCGATTTCGTAATTTTACCTTTTGTTACATAATACAAGACCGCGATTAAAACCAATGAAAACACAGCGATTTCTCACTTCTAATAAAGTGCATTATCTACTCCGTATATACGGGAAGATTCAACCCCATACTGGTTCTAATATACGAGATTTGAGCGATTTTTTTATCCCTTCCAAGTTTCCCAATCTTGATTCTTTATCCCATTACTATGCAATATCTTCAATAATTAAACATTCCTCCGGTCACTTGCCTCAGTATTAATCCCTTACCCGGATCTATTCTTTATAATAATATGGCGGCAGAGCGAACTTCCATCCCCGCGGTGGGTAACTGTGCACGTGAAACTTGAAGGCGAAACCGCCTCTATACATTCCAGATACCATACAGAATATGACCTGCATCTATATCCGTATCTGCAAGTCCTAGAACCAATTTCCTTCCTTTTTCAACTCGAAAAATTCATTTTAAATACTTTCATTCCCAAAACATTCATCTTACTTAAATACCGCTCCCCGCTCTGAACCTGGTTTTGATTCTACTGTTCCGGAATTCCCCTCTTCGATCCCGTTTTATCCCGAGGTTCTATGTAAACCATGCCTCGGTTAGCGAGTGAAATTTCTAATTCCTAGGTTCTATCACGGATATTATCAGGTGTTAGTTGTTGTCTGTTATTGTCTGAAGAGTTGCAGATGTAGCAGTGTCGAGTATTAGACCACATGATGCCAGTAAGAGCTACCTAGCTGCTTTGTATCTGGACTAGTCCAGCCGGGAAGAAGATGTCGGAGAATTACATTCTAGTCCATGTCCACCCCACGACAGGTGGGCCTTGAGCTTCTTGGCTTGAATCTAATCAGACGTATGAATACTAGAGGTACGTAGTGGGATACGGGACTTGAGATGGGGCCGAAGTCTATTATGGTCTTGGTTCCTGAACCTGGAATAGATTGGGCAGGAATTTGAACTTGAAAAACTTCAATGTTTCCTCTCAGGGCTTCATCTGAAATTCATTCACTGTATGCATTCTAATTCCAGGTGGGACAACAGATAAACCTTGAACTGTTGGGCGTTGCTCGGAAGCTCGGCCGAGTATCACTTTCTAATACTATACCTAGGTATAGCTTCAGCATCATAATAGCACCGTGACGTTGGGAGCGTTGAGATGCACTGTTACCATTGAGATATTATGCAGGTATCCAATGTCTTGAATCTAGCAGTCAGGCACAGAACAAGGTTTCAAGGTTAACATTTTGAATTGTAATTATGTATGGCATATCTACCAGAACCTTCTATAAGCACAAGCAAACAATTTTTTTTCTTCAGCGCTCACACATTTTAATCACTATATCTGATGGGTAGCAAAGCGACTCTTACTTCGAATTCGACTTCCATAACGAAAGAATAGGTATCTGTTCCATCATCAGCAACGTTCAACAAATGCCATGCGATGTATGTGTGACGTTGGTCGACGCCCGTGGCTAGATGCACAGCGGGGTGATGGAACCAGCAATCAAACTTTCTCAAGTTTGGCAATGCAAGAAAAATAAAAATGCATAGGTCATAGCACAGAGTCAGGGGTGTCAAATCAGAAACTTACGGGAATGGCAGCATAGCAAGAGTGAGGAAGGCCAGCAGGGAGGTAGCCCAGTGGTACCCAAGGTTGTTATACACTGTACGGCCGTTAGAAACACCGGTCTTCGCTGGGATTTTATTTGCTCAACGAAGTACATGATTCGACAGTAGCCTGGCCTTTAATGAAAAGCATTGCAAGAACGGCGTGGTCGATACACAAGGGGGCGTCTCTCCTGCATTGCTGCATGCAGAACGCAGACCCATAGACTTGAAAAGAATTGAACAAACTTACTTTGGATACCGAACAGAGGGAATATTCCACCAAAGCTTGAACGCATAAAGCTATTCGCGGCTAAGGCACTGGCAGCAAATGTAGGATAAGCATCAACCAAGAAAGTAAAGATGCCGGCATAGACCAGGATAACCCTAGTATAATAGGTTAGCGGCAGATAAAATCAATGATCCCTGAATTGAAATTCAGAGCTCCGATTTGAGATTTTTGGCATATCCACTTACCCTGCTCCAAATATTCCACTGCCGATGATGGGACCAATCCAGTGCACATCAGAGTAAATGGTCCACGCAAAGATGAACAGTCCGATTGTGACGAGCGGTCCACCCAGAATCGCTACATCACAGCTAGTTAGAAATGGGTCTTTTGAAATACCATAATAGATGTCTTACCTGGAGGAAGACGCCATTCCGGTTGAAAGTCGTCGTCTCCGTTATTGTCTCGCTGAAAATTTCGTTCCAGCCGCGCATAATTGCGACGCCAAAGGGGATCTGAGATAATCGCGAGAACCATACCAACGAAGAGACCCATGAAGCATAAGCCTCGCTGCCAGAGTGTAAAACCGTAGACGTGTTCAAATATCAATTGAAAGGCACCGAAAAACAGGTACAGGATACCTAGTAGGATCGCAGAGAACACACAGAGGTTGAGACACATAGGCTCCAGTGTCAAGAGAAGAATGGGGCGGTACATGGATCGTAAGACTGTCTGGGCTACAGAACGGTGTAGCTTCTCAATGGGAGCTTTGTATCGGTCATCTCCGGTTTCTGCGCGCAGCTTCTGCGCCTTACGTCTGAGGAGCCTATACAATTGTCAGCTTATAGTCCCCTCAAATATGACGATAACACATACACTGGATGGTATGTCTCCGGTACGAAGAGAACAATCGAAACGAGCAGGACACCGGTCCATATCAGCAGGACATAGAATGTCCATCGCCTAGATAACATTAGTACCAGCAAGTTTCCCCGATGAAGAGATAAAAGCATACCAGTTGGTAAAATCATTGATAAAACCACCGACCCTATTCTTCGTTAGAACCTGGAACAGACACTGATAGTGGAAATAACTTACAGTGGACCGACTTCAGGTCCAATAAACGGACTTGCAGTATAGAGCATCATAGGAAACGCAAGGTCTTGTCGATCAAACATATCACCCACTGTTCCACCAGCCACACTCAAAAAAGCACTTCCTGATAGTCCGTTGAAGAATCGACAGATCAACATTGTTTGAATATTCTGAGCCACCGCGCATGGAATAAGCCAGATAAGGAACAAAGAGAAGGAGACAATGTAGATATTTCTTCGGCCATAGAACTGGGGTCTGTCAGTTATCGTCCCATTTACCTATAACATAGAGACTGCGACTTACTTCGGACAGAGGACTAAGAAACAAAGGACCGATTCCTGCCATGCGTGTGAACAAATTAGGAATCATTCCAGAAGATGAATTAAGGAATAACAAACCGAGACCCCAGATGAAGAATGACAGTCCGAGTGTCGCAACTTCTTGAGAGCAATTGAAATCCTTCATCAACTGACTGTAAGTCGTCGTGTACATTGATGATGTGCACGTTCTGTACAGGTTAGCCGCCTTGGAGTCGAGAAAGCCCTGGATGCAGGTGATATACTTACACGCAAAGCGAACCCATCGAAACAATAATCACTATCATCCATCGTCTGGCCTTACTCATATTTTGGGGGTTCGAAGGATCATTCTCGTCCCATCGCACTGTATACCCTTCTTCGCCTGGAGCTTCTTGTGCCGCTTCTTCGGCATCACCTTCAAACTCATTACCACCAATACTTATTCCATCGTTCAAAGACCAGCTGCGCTCCAGGGAACGTGATCTGGAATGAGAGCGCCTCGATTGTCGCTTTTCCGCTGCCTCGTCACGGTGGTCCTCACTCGTTGTTTGGGAAGTATTCTGAGCGAATGATGAATCCTGCTGAACATCGGACCTAGATCTGGATCTGGGAGGACGAAACTCCTGAGACTTCTCATTAACCGCATCCAGTTCCCCGTTCATCGTGCTTCGTTTTGCCTCAGCGAGATCGGATTGGAAAATTAGGAGTATCTCCGCACGGGAAGTTGGGGTAAGTGTCGGGACGGATGGAGTCTTGGGCAACTACGAGGGTAGTATGTCAACATTCGATGTGATGAAAGAGAGAGAAAAAAAAAGCCGGTAGGAGGCCTAATAAATAGGTTGAATGCCAGCCTTGTTCCTTATTGAACTTGACTCACTTGAATAGACTAGAGACTCTTGAAGCTAGACGGGGCTGATTAATTGTGTGATCATCAGGGCCGCGCGGGCCGCATCAAATGTCGGGTTCTTTGTAATTTGTTTTCAAATGTTGGTTTTAGTGCGGGTGATATCATTGAATCCACATGTCCAAGGTTTGGCTCAGCATTTGAACATTTGAACATTTGAAGTTACTCGAGGTAAACTCAGGGTCTAACAAGGTTGCATTGACAGGGGATCAGGAGTTTGTCCTACTTTACTCATCTATACATGGTAATAGTTTACTTCAAAAAATTTATATCAATTGATTCTACATAAAAAAAAGCAAATGAACTTGCAGCTGTCATTTATTCTCCGGTGCCGCTCCGATTGGTTCGATTGGTTCAACTTTTGACAGCTGGATATAAAGTATAGATGGATATAATAGAGTACATAGCAGTTTAGAATTAATTGAATGGAATTGAAAAGCACATCAGATAAATAGTACTATCACTATAGTTTATTTTATTAATTTGAAGTGATCATGTTAAATGTAGAAGAACTTGAACTCCTACTCCTATAAACCTATGAGGTATGAATTCCGATCTTAAGTTCTATACTAATCAACTCAACCCATTTTGAAGTGCCCTGGAAGAGTAATTAAAAGTCATAATAGTTAAGCAGGTCCTATCTCTCTAGGGCTGACCATACCCTTGGTTCTTTTAAATATTTATATTTTATTTATACTATTACACCTAGTTAATCTGAGTCCTACCTAATTATCTTATGTAAAGCTAAATTAAGATATTAGCTAAAATTAGAGATAGCTAAAGTAAGAGATATCAAAAGTGGGAGGGATCGATATTATGTATACTACCTAGAAGTTCTAGGTCGCTGCTTTCCAGCTGTGCAAGCCATCAAGTTTGACCACCACTGCATTAACGAATTACGCAATGGGATAACTCTTCCTTTGAAAATTCCAGTTGGCATTCAAGGCAACAGACACACTCCAGCTCTACACCATCGAGCTATTCACGGAGCTGGATAGTTGAAAAATCCCAAATTCGCGACCAGGTGGACTTCCGAGTCTCCGGGGCGGCAGTGAAGGATATGCCAATATCCTTCATATGTCGGGCATGGCCAAGGCATTTGAATAGAATTATCTAAAATGGGAGCATTCAAAAACCAGTGTCCATAAGGTCGCTCACGGGGGCGAGACCTTAGTTGAAGATATCCAAATGTTTCTTGGCACCGAGATCTCTGGGCCTAGTTAGACCATATCAATGTCACCAGCATCATTTCTATTTGGAGCGTTTGTATGGACCAGTCCATCTTGTTCGTCTCCATATACTAGTAGCTAGTATCTATAACTTCAAGAATCAATTCCAAGGTTACCACCTATAGACAGCTCGCCCTGGAGTTCTCGTAAGAGAGCTACTAGTACTCATATTAGCTCTGAGCTTCGAAGGTTCAAAGTTGGGACTAAATCATACTGCCCATGTGATCCCTCTGCAACGTTAAATCTCTTACCTGACATGTGCCATCGGTGTACTACAAGACTAAAAATAATAATTAAACTTAAAACTTGAAACTTGAAACTTGAAACATGAAACATGAAACTTGAACTTCCAGTGGACAGGGTATGTTCAATTCACTATGTTGCTAGCAATAAGGTAACCCAATCAGACAACGCTTCCATAACAAGTTGTTCACAGCGAAAAGAAAATCCATCAAAACAGTTATCGCCGAGCCCCTTTTCTCCATTCCAAGCCATAAACTCCAGATACGCATCAAATGATGTTCACAATTATTCGGATCTTCCAGAAACCCATACACCGTCCCAAACTCAGCTGTACATGAACGTAAAATTCGCCAGGATATCCCCAAACTTTTATTCAGTAGGGAAGAACATCGCCATTTACAGAACCTGGCTCAACTGGCTAGCCGCACCAGCTGCATTCTCCTCAGCCCATGAGCCCCAGAGAGCCTCCTTGCCATGGACCTTGAGAGGAGCACCAATTGACTTGGAGTTCTGGTCAACCTTGACAGCATCCTTAGTGGCCAGAACCAGAATCTCAAAAAACATCTTGGTGGCATCCGCCTTGCTAGCACGCTTCTCGGGAAGCAGATCTTGGAAGAGAACACTCTTCTTCTGAGCGGAAGATGAGTCGCCCAGCTCCTCACGCAGGATGTGAACAGCGTGCTTGGTACCAATAGACACGGGCTCGTTGTCCACAGGGCGGATGGTGTCATCCAAGTCCTCCAGTGGCGCACCCATGTCGCCGTCATCGCTGATCGGCATGTCCATGTTAACATCGTCACCGGGGAAATCAATATCGGATCGCTGGTGCAGGGTGGTGTCAAGACCAATGCCTTCGTCAATGGGCATAATGGCCTCGTCATCTCCGAACTCCAGCTCAGGAACCTCAGCAGCAGCCACATCCATGTCGGAAATACCACTGTCACGTTTTCTTTTCAATTCACCAGCCTTCTTCACCGAATCCAGAGTCAGCAGACTACGCAGCTCGGGAGCCCAGCCACGACCACGCTCCTCGCCAAAGATGCTGGAGACAAAGTCACCATTCTGCTGGCGGGTCACAAGGGTGAGAAGAACAGGATCGCGGGGCAAGAATGTAGCCGGCTTCAGAATGCCATTTCGGTCGTTGCCTTGATCCCGGACCTCTTTAGTAGTAAGCTGCACCTTATCGTCCAATTCCATGGGTGGGTCAATCTTAACGCGCTTGGCACGCTGGGCTCGCTGGGGAGCAGCGGTCTCGGCAGTTTCAGAGGCCTGGCGGTTGAATTCCTCCTCAAGCTGGTGCATCTGAACTGATCCAGCGTCCGAGAGGGGACTCTCAGTGTCACGGGCAAATCGGTTCTCTTCGGCGCGTGGGGTCTGGCCACCAAAGTCGTCCTCGCCACCGAATTCCATTGGGCCATCCAGAAGGTCGTTCATGTTGTCGTGGTCATCATCGAGATCCATTTCATCCAATGGGGCATTGTCGTCGCCGATATCAAGAACCAGGTCATCGTTGTCAATCAACTTTCCAGAGTCGCTGTGGAGGTCCTCCTCCATGGGGCGAGGCGGAGGAGCATCTCGACCAATTTCCATAGTAGTATCATTGTCAAAAGATTCACCAATATCAAGCTCCACTAACGAGGGATCCTCCAGGCGAAGAGGCTCCTGGGACATAGAACGACGAAAGCTGCTATCACCCAGAGGCTGGCTACCGAAATCCAAGCTACCAGCCTGCTTTCCTGCAGGCTCAAGATTCAGGTTTTGGGGGAAGAGGAGAGATGCATCCAGGTTGGTAAACAAATCAGATTCGGTAAGAACATCGGGTAGAGTGATACCACCCGGTGCTACGGCGGTTGTAGTCAGGTCATTATTATTTGTGAGACGAAAAGCCTGTATCAGGATTGTCAGTGATCATCTTTGAAAATGTAAAAATCAAGGGAGAGCATACCATCTTAATCTTCATCAAAGCTTCATTACAGTCATCCAAAAGGTAACGCGCTTTACGGCTGTAGATACGGACAACACCAAGCAGCAGCTGACCACTCAATCGGAGGGCCATCGGAGCTTGGCCTTGATCAACAATGGCATTGACACTGGTATCGATATCGGCTTGGAGAATGTGCGATTTGGTTAATTTGCGCTCGATGTTGGCGGACAGCCACACACGGGCCAGAGGTCCTGTCTTGGACAGGAGAGTCTCTGAATAAAACATGGCGAAGGTTGATCACTAGATAATACAAGGCGAGGACGAGTGGAGATCTCAAGATTGGTGATAGAGATGGAAACCCGCCCGGCGCGGGGTGAGGCGTTTCAGAAGGTGACGCGCGCGCAGAAGCCGGGGAAAACAAATGAATCGGATCACTGGGGTTGTATCTCTAATTGCGTTCCCGCAATAAGAATATGGGGGGGGTACTGTGCAAAGTGCGACGGCGAGGTGGGAAGAAGGAAAGAAACGGCGCGTTTAAAGTCACGTCGTTTACAGGAGGTGCGAGTCTAGTTGGCTGAGAAACCAAGAGGAACGAGGGATGCGCGTGGGAATTCGGGCAAGAGCGAGTTATGTGTATGTAATCAGGCAGGAATCGAGGGGGCTGGGATGAGATCTGATTGGTTGGAGGTATGTGCGAAGAGACTAACCCGATACAGTTAAGTTCGGATAAGATATTAATCCGATATATAGACGCTAAACCTAAATGGGTAAAGCATCATCATGGGACTTGACAGTTTCCAAACGCATTCAACTGTTGTGGAAAGTTCTCCGTACGAGATATTGTGAGTGTTGATTTCAAGTTTATTTCTTTTTTTTAATCCTCATATTTTTTTTCCTTTCTTTTTTTGGGGTGACACTACTTTACCGTGGTTTTCTTTAAAATCCATATCAATTCTGTCGATCTTACGCGGTCCCTAGCGCCCAGGGTTCCATAGTCAGTCTGGAACACAACCCCCGTTTTGAAGCTGCTGCCAGATCGCATCTCTTCCCCCAAAACTTGATCGCGCCCACCCCCTCCTCCCAACAATTCCAATCTAGGCGGGATGAAAAGTTGCGCACGATACATATAACTGTTTTCCTTTAATCTGTCCCCCGCTTCCTTTCCCCGTTTCCTTCGGCCAAAGCATGAGAGATGTCAAGGTCCGCGACACCCGCGTTGCCGCTGCATAATGCACAAACCTCCGACTCACCGCGACCCTCGTCTACAAACCCCTTAGGCGGACGGACTGATGTTCCGTCATCGGTAAGTGTACAGAAATGAATTGATTCATTCGATGGGAAGGGAACTTCTTCTTCCAGATTGCACTTTTGTTGAGGACCACACCGCTAACTTCTAGAATTCGCGATTTACAGGCCTCAACTTCCACATACTCGTGGCTCGAACCTCACGAAACCGCCGAACGATTACATACATCCTTGCTACATGGCTTGGCCCCTGCAGAAGCGGAGATCCGTCTCGCTCGCGATGGTCCCAATGAACTTCCCCACGAAGAACCAGAGCCTCTCTGGCTGCGGTTTTTGAAACAGTTTAAGGAGACCCTCATTCTTCTTCTTCTGGCATCTGCAGGAATCTCGTTTTTGATGGGCAACTATGATGATGCAATCAGTATTACACTGGCTGTTACAATTGTAGTTACGGTCGGCTTTATACAGGAATATCGGTCGGAGAAATCACTGGAGGCGTTAAGTCGTCTCGTGCCGCACTATGCCCATCTGATTCGAGACATCCCACCAACCACCGTCAACAATGGGACTCATGTATCACCGGACCGTCGCGAGGAATTCGAAGAACTCAGGAGTAAGAGCCCGGCGGCCGCGTCTGCTGCCATGAAGGCTTCCACGACTGTTCCCGCGGTTGATTTGGTTCCTGGAGATTTGGTTCTCTTCTCTACTGGTGACCGTATTCCAGCTGATATTCGAATTACCCACGCGACAGATCTGAGTATCGACGAGTCTAACCTGACTGGCGAGAATGAGCCTGTTGTGAAATACGCGGAGGCTCTTCGTACCGCTCGTAATGGTGCCGTCCATGCTCTCAAATCCGTCAGTCCTCCACGATCTCCTTTCTACGATGCTCCTGCAAGCGGTGCTGTTGGTGCGGATGTCCGTTTGAATGAGCAGCACAACATTGCCTTCATGGGTACTCTGGTTCGGTCGGGATACGGACAAGGAATCGTTATCTCAACTGGTGCAAGGACTGAGTTTGGTAGCATCTCCGCTTCGCTGCAGGAGATCGAAAGCCCCAGGACTCCCCTGCAGCTATCTATGGATCGACTCGGCCAAGAATTGAGTTATATCTCGTTTGGTGTCATTGGTCTCATTATGGTCATTGGCTTGATTCAAGGTCGTAAACTTTTGGAAATGTTCACTATCGGCGTCTCACTTGCTGTTGCTGCCATTCCAGAGGGTCTTCCGATCATTGTGACGGTGACGCTTGCTCTGGGTGTACTCCGTATGGCCAAGAGAGGCGCTATTATGCGCAGACTTCCTAGCGTGGAGACTCTGGGCTCCGTGAACGTTGTCTGCAGTGATAAGACTGGAACTCTGACAATGAACCATATGACTGTGACCAAGATGTGGCACTTTGATTGCCCCGAGGCATTCGAGGTTCAACGGGACATGACTTCGGTGATTGCACCGGGGCCAGCAGCACGCACTATTCTTCGGGTCGGCAACATTGCGAACAATGCTCGGCTTTCTCGAACTCATGCAAACTCTCCAGCCAGTGCCTCGTCCGCTGCCGTTCTGTCCTCAACTGTCGACCGGGACTCAAGTGCGGTGAAGAGCCGATGGGTCGGTCAGCCCACCGATGTTGCAGTCCTAGACTTGCTGGATCACTTGGGAGAGGATGATGTACGTGACCGAATCAGTGCTCGTGTGTCCGAAACTCCCTTTAGCTCTGAACGAAAGTGGATGGGTGTGATTATTGGCAGGGAAGCTCAGAGCGGGTCTGATGTGGCCTACATCAAGGGCGCTCTTGAGCAAGTTCTTGCTCGTTCTGATACATATTTGACAAAGGATGGACGAGAAGTTATTCTGGATGAGCCCCGACGCAAGATTATCCGAGATGCTGCAGAGCATATGGCCTCTGAAGGTCTGCGCGTTCTGGCTTTCGCTAGTGGTACCGTGCGCGACTCATCTCGCGGTATGAAAGGATTCGGTAGCCGCTCCGGCACTCCTGTTTCCAAGGCCAGTCCCAGAGATGACGACGACCGGTATAATGGACTAGTATTTGCTGGATTGGTTGGCATGAACGACCCGCCTCGCAAGGACGTGCACAAGTCTATCCGCCGTTTAATGGCCGGTGGAGTCCGTGTCATCATGATCACAGGCGACGCTGAGACAACAGCCGTGGCCATTGCGAAGAAACTTGGAATGCCAATTACCGAATCTGCGGGTGCGCGGTCAGTCATCCGTGGTGATGAACTCGACCGTATGACCACTGCTGAGCTTTCTCAAGCTATTGCCACTACATCGATCTTTGCTCGCACCAGTCCCGATCACAAGATGAAGATTGTGCGTGCGCTGCAGTCCCGTGGAGACGTCGTTGCCATGACTGGTGACGGTGTCAACGATGCTCCTGCTCTGAAGAAGGCCGACATTGGCATTGCGATGGGTCGACTGGGCACTGATGTTGCCAAGGAGGCAGCTGACATGATTTTGACTGATGACGATTTCTCGACTATTCTCCGAGCCATCGAGCAAGGCAAGGGAATTTTTTATAATATCCAAAACTTCATTACGTTCCAGCTTAGTACCAGTGTTGCTGCGCTGAGTCTTGTGTTGCTTAGCACTACATTGGGATTCAAGAACCCGCTCAATGCGATGCAAATCTTGTGGATAAGTAGCTGTCCCTAAACCTTTGCTCCAACCTTCAGTCACTAATTATCTATCCAGATATTCTCATGGATGGACCACCTGCCCAATCCCTGGGTGTTGAGCCCGTTGACCCCACAATCATGAACCGCCCTCCGCGTCCCAAGACGGCACGTGTATTGACGAAACCCCTCATCCAACGTGTTCTGACATCTGCAATGGTCATTATGTTGGGAACCCTTGCCATCTACATCCACGAAATGGGAGATGTAACCGACGGATCACCCATCGACAAGCGATCTCGCGTAGTGACTGCCCACGACACGACCATGACATTTACTTGTTTTGTTCTGTTTGACATGTTCAACGCATTGACCTGCCGTAGCGAAGGCAAATCGGTCCTTAGAGGCGAGATCCAAGTCTTTGGAAATAAGATGTTCAACTATGCTGTTCTCGGTTCCTTGGCCGGTCAAGCATGTGTCATCTACCTCCCCTTCCTGCAACGCGTTTTCCAGACCGAGGCCCTGAGCTTTGGATCTCTGTTTAAGCTTGTTTGCCTTGCAAGCTCTGTATTCTGGGTGGATGAAGGTCGTAAGTATTATTATGCGCTTAATCGGCGCCGTGGTCTCGGCGCTGGGTATAGTGTCAATGTCTGATATGTTTTTCTTTTGCATGAATGAGGTATCTGGGTTTTTTGAACTGTGGATGCCAGGGAGGTGTTCAAGTTTCTGTAATCTATTTGATTGGGTTTATATCCATTATACATAATAGAGTGTGTGTGTCATGTCATCAATGAAGCGTCAAGTTAAATTCAACCTTGGAAGTCTGTTAAGTTTTACTACATTGTGGTGTGGTAGGTAGTGTATTCCAGGGTAGCCTGTCAGGCTATATGATGAAATTATCTTTAATCCCACTCGAGTCTGGCTGCATTTCACTGGAAATTCGTAATTTCGTCTGTGAGAGAAGAGAAAAAGGACAGGACATTTATAATCGGTCTTATTTGTCTGATATGAACAAGAAATAAGACAAAAAAAAGACTGCCCGCACAATTCGGATCGAAAACAACTTTGTAACATTAGATGGAAGAGTTAAAATGAACAAAAAGAATTGACCGACGCAGGGGTCGAACCTGCAATCTCTTGATTCGTAGTCAAGCGCCTTGCCATTGGGCCAGCCGGCCTTGTTGAAAATATTGCAAAAATTGGTTATATGAGCAGAATGGATTTGACCCGGGTTATCTCGGGATGAAGTGGCGATAAGGCGGATCTAGGCGTCCGAGGTTTAGTCCGAGTCTGATGTTGAATAAATAGTTTAAAATATACTCCGGAGTATTGGGGCTATAATTTTGGACTTAGTATTCGAGAGTTGAACAGTATAACTTGAATTTATCACCTGGGCATTGTGCCTCAGAAATCATGTCCTCGAGGTGCCAGTAAAATATCAGATTGGGTTTTTAGTTCCGACTCGGACTCCGGAGCACTAATAGTATATATACCTCCGCAATCCCGACGCCGTCTTGGCAGAATGACATATTGATTCAACTTGAACATTTGAACTGTTTGGAAAACCCATACATAGTCTGGAGTACCTACATAGGTACGAAATTCTAGCCCTGCAATGGACCACTGGTCACTATTATTTGATTTTGTCTGCTTGGATTCCGTACGGCTCGGACAAGACGGATACGCTTCAGCAATCAATATTCAAGCCCAGAACATGATTGGAAGGCAACTTGAACCAAACTTGAATACGACTCGGAGATACATATCCATGCACGTGAAAGGATATCCTCTTCATCTACCAGTTGATTTGTACTGAAGTCCAGATGCACAATCAATACTGGAGAAACATTGACCAATTGTCAAATGCTGAGCGCTGAAAATGATATTGAAAAGTCACTACCATAGAGCTTATCTAATTTGAAGTAGAACTTGAGGGACTTAGCCTTGGAACATTTCGACTTAAGGTGAAATACACGTGTAAAGGCATGTACTGGGAACATTTGAAGAATATTAGAGAGAAATGTTGAGTTTACCTGTATAAAATCTACTGTACAAGTTGAGATTAAACGCGAACCTTGGAAGAATCAATTCAAATATCGGTCAAAAATGAACCTGAATCATGTGCCGGAAGCTAGGATTACAAATTGCCTCATGCTGCTCATGTGACTAGGTAGTGAAACGCGAGTAGCTCTCACCACTGGTGAGAAATCGAACCAATAGAATAGCTCTTGTCTTCTTCCTTGATGCATATGTCATACGATAAGTGCGAGTAACCCCCATGTTGATTCATCTCAATCATGGAATTACTAATTACAATGATGGCAAACCCGCCAACTAGACTGTAAGCTCGTGCCAACCTCCAATCGCCCGAACCGGTATAGATTTAAGCACTGGCATCCTACTACTCCAAACCCAGCCCCTTAGTCCAGCATGACCTGCGTCCTCCGTACTAGTACCCACATGAGATAAAGGACTATTTTTTAATTCCATTCCTGCAGAAGTACCGTTAGCTCCCCTTGTTTAGAGCATCCGTTAGTTTACCCCGAGTGTTGACCCACGACGGGCTCTATATTAGTTCATGTTTTAAGATCGATGCAGATTGAGATCATAGCGGGGAAATAATGTTTGAGAAGATGCGGAGTGCATATAATGAAGCTGTGATTTGGTCTGATATGATATATAGTACTACACTGGATATGTGAGTGCTTGCGTCAATGACCTTCGCCAAGGAATGTATTTTGGGAATTGTTATTTTCCGATCATCATTATCTGCGACATTTGAATTTACCTGTGCTCTTGAGCTGTTTCTCCTCGGATTTCTATTTCTGCGTTGATGATGGAGTTGAATTTTTTTCTTTTTTGTCTTTTGCATACGAAGTTATGATGATCCTGATATGGGGCCCCATTGTGGATGACTAGCTGGGTGTTGTCACTGATAAGACCAGGACCCTTTTTGGGAAAATTTATTTTATTAATCTTTTTGGATAATATGGTCTCCACTCAAGTGCTGGACTCGATGGACTCGATGACCATTACTTTGCTCAAGGAGTCACCTAATCCCTTTACTTTAGTGTACATGTATACTATGTAGTAAGTACCTAGTTGGTAGTAATTATTATAACCATAATTAGTTCATCACTTTCCACATGGGCATGATGTACTGCGAGTGACTGATGCCCAGCTGTTGTAGTCTCTACCTAATAATCCCGAGTCTAGGCAATATTCCTATTAATTCCGAAGACCGGAATAATCCGGTAGAGGCAAAAAAGGGAGGCTTATCTGTCACCAATAGTGAAGAACCCGCTCAAAGAGATCTAACTCAGCACTAATCCCAAAGCATCGAGGCTTGGCTCTGCGGCGGAGACCCACTTGGTGTTCCCGGTGGCAAGTCTTTATCTTAAACCAATCATATTGAATCAATTGATCCAATTGCCCGCTCCCGATAATAGTTTGCACATGTTTGCATTGGTTTGTCTGTACTTAATTAGGGTTGTCAGAGATAAGAGTCCAGTCCAGTCCATCTTTTGTTAGGAGAACGCCGACATTCTATACGTGAACTTGATTATGATAAGCATATACCGATAGAATGGAAACCTGGGGATAACGGGTTAAATCATATAGACATGTGCATATAGGAAAAAAAAAGAATAAATGGAGACTTACATTCCTTCTATTCTCCTTCTCTTTCTTTTCTCTCCTTCTGAACCTCTCTCCAGGATATCTTCCCCGGAGAAGTTGCATCACCGGAATATTGGATCCCCGGTTATTCAATTGGGTAAAGCTCGGACTTATGTAGAGCTGAGCCACTAATTCGATCGGGATCCATGGCAGAAAAAGAAAAAAAAAGTCTCCTTCATTTTCCATGTTCGCCACTTTGAGGATATCCAACATTTGACAATCTGGACTGTTGGTCCGGTAGCATACACCGGAGGATTTCATGATGATGCAGATGGCAAAAGGAACTCAATTGTATTTTCTTATATTCTTCTATTCCCTGCATTATATGTGTGTACTGAAGTACTAAAGTACAGAAGTACCTATTAATTCTGTTGTGTGAGGAATAAGATCTACAAAGATTTGGTGGTTCCAGGTATAAGGTTATCGGGTTGAGATTATGATTTATTATCCCATTACTATTGTCATAATCTCTTAGCCCTTGACTCAACTTTTTTTTTTTTCTGAAACAAAATCTCTGATTATTCCTAACCGCGCCTCCCCCGGATTTTTCTCATTTTCCCTAATCTTTACGAATTCATTCGGGTGAATTAATTTTTTTCCTTTCTTTTTTCCCTTCTCTCCTAAAAGATCCCAAGAAAAAAAAACCGCAATTGCCTCCTTGGTCCGATTTCAGGCCCTGGTGGACCCTCGTCGATCCGCTTTATCGGGTCTCCGCAACGTTCCCAGTTTCCAGAATTCTTTTATACCTCGCGACTGTCCCCCTCCGTGGCGACTTTCTCTAACTCCACACGCTTTCTCCGATTCCTGCTCCCCTTCACCTTTACCTTCGCCACCTTCATTCATTACCTTCACTCTCGACATTGTCAACTTCCTCAATTCCGAGCACGCGACGAACTTGTTTATCTAGTCGACGAACTCTTCGGAGTTCAATTACGACATGTCTACCTTCAATGGGAAAACAGACTATGCCCCAGACTATGCTTCTTACAACTGGACAGGAGCACCGTCAGAGTACTCACTAACCACCAATGATGCCTTGGGTGGAAATTCTCGTACGTGAACCTGAACACCCGAGAAAAAAACAAATCCCTCAAAGTCCACCTTCTCACATCACATTTTTTTTTTCTTTTTTAGGTCTCGAGAATGTCAACAAATGGTTTCAGTCCGGTGATCAGGCCTACATTATTGTGGCCTCAGCGATGGTCTTGGTGATGGTTCCCGGTCTGGGTTTTCTATACTCCGGTTTGGCGCGCCGAAAGTCGGCCTTAAGTATGATTTGGGCTTGTATGGCTTCAATGTCGGTTGTCACCTTTCAATGGTATTTCTGGGGTTACTCGCTTGCATTTTCCCCTACCGCCACCAATGGTTATATCGGCAACCTACGAAACTTTGGCATGATGAAGACTCTTGCGGCACCGAGTCCTGGATCGCCTCTGATTCCTGATTTACTATATGCGTTTTACCAGGTAAGATTGGCATTGACACTGGGATCGGATTGATTGAAAAAAAGTATACTGACCTTTTCAGATGCAATTCTGTGCTGTTACTGCTGCTATCGTTATGGGTGCAGTGGCCGAGCGCGGTCGGCTTCTCCCTGCTATGGTTTTTGTTTTCGTCTGGGCAACTATCGTCTACTGCCCCCTCGCCTGCTGGGCATGGAACGTGAATGGATGGGCTTACAAGTATGGAGTGATGGACTACGCCGGTGGTGGTCCCGTCGAAATTGGTTCCGGTTTTACTGCGCTCGCCTATTCCATGGTTCTCGGCCGTCGACAGGAACGCATGATGCTCAACTTCCGCCCACACAACGTCTCGCTCATTCTCCTCGGTACCGTCTTTCTCTGGTTCGGATGGCTGGGTTTCAACGGTGGCTCCGCCTTCGGTGCTAACCTACGTGCCACCATGGCTTGCTGGAACACAAACCTGACTGCGGCTTTCGGTGCCATTACCTGGGTTCTGCTTGATTGGCGTCTGGCTCGCAAGTGGTCCATGGTCGGTTGGTGTTCCGGTACCATCTCTGGACTCGTTGCCGCGACTCCTGCCTCTGGTTTCATCTCCCCCTGGGCGAGTGTGATTCTGGGTATCGTGACCGGTATCGTGTGTAACTACTCGACCAAGATCAAGTTCTGGATCCGCATCGACGACTCTATGGATGTGTTGGCTGAACACGGTATTCCCGGTATTGTCGGCCTCATCTTCAACGCCTTATTCGGAGACGACGCTATCGTCGGTCTTGACGGTGTTAACACTGGCTCCAAAGTCGGTGGTTGGGTCATTCACAACTATAAGCAGCTTTACATCCAGATCGCATACATTCTCGCTACCGCCAGTTATGCCTTCGTCATGTCTGCCCTGATTGCACTCGCTATCAACGCTATCCCCGGTCTTAACCTGCGTGCCTCCGAGGAAGCCGAACTCCTCGGTATGGATGACGACCAACTCGGCGAGTTCGCCTACGACTACGTTGAGGTTCGCCGTGACTACCTCGCCTGGACACCTCAGCAAAAGGATCAGCTTGAAGATGGTCACCAGATTCCTGCTGCGGAGCGCTACGGAATCGGCGAGCACAGCGAAATGATCGAGGGACAACCGCCAAACGGTGAAATCAGTCAGAGTAGCCGTGGTGGAAGTGAGGTAGAGGCGATTCAGGAAATCAAGGTTGCACCGGGTCCTCGACAGGTCGCTGAACAGCATCCTGCTGGTTCTCATTCACCGCAGGAACCGCCTATGATCAAGCAACCTATCAACGAGAAGACACAGGATTAATCGATTCGATTCGATTAATCATCTGTTTCTTATTTCCTTGATTCATCTCATCCTTTGATCGATCTCGACGTACCTTCCAGCCTGTTTCTTTCTCCCTTCGCATTTTGTTCGATATCCCTGAGCGTGTTTTTTTCTTACCAAAAAAGCCTGGGGCTTTTTGTTTACTTTCTATCCCATTACATCCCCTTTTACATCGATACCTTTACCTTCACCTTTACCCTGTCTTCATTTACACTGCATCCTCTACCTTTCCTCTTAGAGAATCGATTCTCGATTCATGGGAAAAGCACCGTCTTCATATTATTGGCCTGGCGTTTTCTCGGTGTCGTTATTACCTTCTATATTGTTTTTATCTATGGATTTACAGGGTGGTGTATATACTCGATATTATGGAGTTCAGGATACCTGTTCAATAGATTTGATTATGATACATTTTCTCCTTTCAATCTTCAACGTAAATATGCTGTCAAGTTACCACCTGGGCATGCATCAAGACCTCGGGATATACCGTGATGTGCCGGGATATTTCGGAGATAGGTTGGCGGATGAATGATATTCCGAGAGAACTGGTCAAAGTGCCAACTGGTCAACATAAGTTTCATCCAACTTGAAGGTTTCCAGTTGGCACTTGAATACAATTTGAACATCGGACGTGTCACCCCAACGATTAATTTGAATATTTTCAAATATACAAATTTTGCATACAGAATATCAATTTAGACTCGAAGGAATCTGTACTACTACTACTACATAAAGAAAAGCCTCGAGTAACTTGAAGGTTGAATCAATATTATTCAGATCTATCTAGCTAGATCTTGCACTAAAAATTATCGCAACAAATTCCAAACATTGTTAACCGTAAACATTTGAATCATAAATTAATCATTTAAAAGAGTGTAACGGCAATAGCCACCAAAATCATCCAAATCCCCATGCTAGCGTGCTTCGGAACATCCCTCGAAGATATCGCTGCACTATACGGCGTACTCGACGCCGGTGAAGCAGCAGACGATGTTGTCGTACTTCGAATTGATCCGGATGATGAACTCTGTCCACTTCCAGTCTCAACAACTGTTGTAGCAGGTATTATGACGGTAGATCCGGATACGATCTCAGTTGAACTGGGTTTTATGATCGTTGTTCCGACTGAGGCGCTAGACTCGGTGTATGTGGTCCCTGGGATAATCACTGTTGAGCCGGAGACAATCAATATCGAACTGGGTTCTGTCACGATTGATCTTGATTGGGTTGTTCCGGATACGGATTGCGTTACTGTTGATCCTGCGATTATTATTGTGGATCCGGAGCTGGTTATCGTTGAAGCAGGGAGGGTTGTCACGGACTCGGAGCTGCTCGTTGATGTACCCTGGTTTGACGAGCTCTGTTCAGATGAGGTACTCTGAGTTGATGAGCTGCTTTGACCTGATGTAGTGCTCTGAGTTGAGGAGCTGGATGTGCTCTGCTCAGAGCTGTTACTCTGGGACGAAGAGCTGGATGAAGACTGGCTCTCCGAGGTAGATGCCTGACTCTGGGTACTACTGGTAGAGCTTGTCGTGGTCGGCGCGGGCGTTGAAGTCGACGTCTGACTAGTAGAGCTCATCGTCGTACTACTAGCAGTGCTGGACGAACTGGTAGAAGTAGTGGTTCCCTCAGTCGTGGTAGTCGCCGCAGAAGTCGTAGTCGCCGATGCCGCAGTGCTTGTGGAAGCCGCAGAAGTCGTCTGATCAGAGCAGTAGTTCAACCATTGAGTGAAAGACGGCAGAAGAGTCGACGAGTAGACTTCAGAAGCAGATACACTGGCATACGTACTGATACAATCTTCACACAAGTCTAGATCGTGCAGGAATGTCGAGCCAGATGCACATAGATCAGATGTTTTACCCGTGTGTTGTCCAACGTAGGCTGCGGCGTCACACAATGAATAACACCTTGTTGGGATGTAATTCGTGTTCACTCTCTTTTGGAAGAGCTCCAACGTTCGCTTGGCTCCTCCCCAGAATGAATAAAGATCGCGCTTGCTGCTAAGGGACGAATTGGAGTACTCAGCATAACGGAGGATGTCGTATGTCAGATTGAAGCTGGTGGGATCCAAATTGTAGTAGTTCACGGAGACATTATAGCCGGATTGATTGTTCCACTCGATTGCCGGAGCCACGATACATTCATCAGGTGAACAGACGTAGCCATCGGCGGGGAGACCAGCTTCAACGTTACAGCCGGCTCGGTCGCCTGTGTGTGCAGGCTGACAGAGGTATCCAGGTGCACAACCCCAGGTATAGTCGTCTGGTAGTGCGGTGGTGGCTGTGTAGGATGGGTTGCTGATTAGACTGGAGCATACAGAGACTACCGTTGCTGTGATGGTGGCTGTTTTTGTTGTTCCTGCACCTGTGATGGTAGAACCAGGTGCAGTCTCAGTCTCAATCTCGGTCACGGTTGTTCCTGCACCTAAATTGATGTTAGTTCCCTAATTTCATCCTTTCATATGGGTCCTAATTACCTGTCGCTGTGACTGTGTCCACAATTGAAGTTGATCTCACAACAGTCACCGTGCTGGCCGGGATGGTAGTAGTCACTGTGTAAGTTGAGGCAGGTACAGTGGTGACACTTCCGGATATCGTGATGGTACTAGCGGGCTCCGTAGTGGTTGTCGTGATTGTCGATGCTGGAATGGTTGTGGTGTCAAATACAGTAGTCTCTTCTACTGCGGTGTTCGTCACGGTGATAGCCGGAATGGTAGTCGTCACTGTGTAAGTCGATCCTGGTAGGGTGGTGACACTTCCTGAAATCGTGATAGTACTAGGAGGTTCCGTAGTAGTTGTCGTGACTGTTGAGGCCGGAATGGTTGTGATAGAACCGGATTCAGTTATGGTTTCAAATACGGTAGTATCTTCCACTGCTGTGCTTATCACAGTGCTAGCCGGAATGGTAGTAGTCACTGTGTAAGTCGAGGCAGGTAGAGTGGTGACCGTTCCTGAAATTGTGATCGTGCTAGCGGGTTCTGTCGTGGTTGTTGTGATTGTTGATGCTGGAATGGTTGTGATAGACCCGGATTCAGTTATGGTTTCAAATATAGTAGTGTCTTCCACTGCTGTGCTTATCACCGTACTAGCCGGGATGGTAGTAGTCACTGTGTAAGTCGAGGCAGGTAGAGTGGTGACCGTTCCTGAAATTGTGATCGTGCTAGCGGGTTCCGTCGTGGTCGTTGTGATTGTTGATGCTGGGATAGTTGTGGTTTGAAATATAGTAGTCTCTTCCACTGCTGTATCCGTCACAGTTGTGCCTGGAAGGGTGTTTGTGACAGTCGTACCCGGCAGGGTTTTCGTATCAATCTCGGTGTCGATGACAGTTTTTGTGATCGCATCTGTCTCTGTCACAGTTGGACCTCGAATGGTGTCTGTCACAGTTTTGCCCGGAAGGGGTTTCGTATCAATTTCAGTGTCAATGACAGTTTTTGTGTCGATTTCAGTATTAATGACTGTTTTCGTGGTCGCATCAGTCACAAAATAAGTTACGAAAACACTTGAAGCGCTTTCAGAGATCGTCTTGGTAGTCGTATCAACAACTGTCGCTGTGATCGTAACACTCTCAATGTCGGTGGAGACTGTAGCTGTTTGGGTCACAGTGTCTGTCACAGTGACTCTTGAAGCACCTCTTGAGACAGTGTCGGTTTCAACAATTGTAGCTGTTACAGTAACAGTTTCCTTGTCGGTAGAGACTCCTCCACGAGCTGTCTCCGTCACAGTGTCTGTCACAGTGACCTTGGAACCACGGCCAGTCACGGTCACAGTATCCGTTACTGTGCTGGTCTTGGTACTAACTGCATTGCCCGCCGTGACGGTCTGGGTAATAATATCCGTCGTTGTGCCGGCTTGAGTCTCAGTCTCAGTCTCAGTATCGGTAATTGTAATTATTTCGCCCAAGCCAACCCAAATTGTGACACCAATTGTGATAGTCGCACATAGATCAATATCAACGTCGACTTCCACCCCATTCCGAGCGCCAACCGTCTTGGTCACCGCTGCTAACGTGGGTGCGCTCGTGGTGAGGGCATTGCTATTTGTAATTGTAGACACGGCAATGGCAGATGTCGCAAACCACGACAACCAAGCGAGAGAAGCCCTCATTATCGCGACTTCTCAATGTCTCGCCGTGGTAGGGCAGTCGAGAAATGGCCTCAAAAACACAAACACGGAGAGGAGAAAGATTCCCCGGCAAACGGGGGAAGAAAAGAGCTCCAGATCCATCACGCACGGCCCTCCCCATCGATTGACTCAAGGATGCCTGCTGCGAGGCTCAACTGCGGAGTTAGACCAGTCGTCATTACGCACTCTTCCTCCTTTGGGCCTCGAAATGGGCTCGTCCGTGTTGCCCATAGCCCCGCAAAAATGAGACTAACCGAGATGAGCGAACAAAGACGGGATACACAGAATCCTGGACCTTGAACTTGCATGAAAGGTCCCGCCCATGTGGACTGTTGTTGACCCATTCAGCCGCACGGCTAAAGACCCACTAATGTAACCCCTCAAGTAAGCAGCCAACAGAATGAGACAGACTTCGTATTGTGGTGCCACTTTCGCTGTAGTTCATTGCTAGTTGCATGAAATTAGGGCAAGATCGGCCTGGATTAGGCGGGATTTAATATGGAGAAATCGGATTAATGTGTCCGACGTGTTGCTTGGCAAGAAGGAATCCAAATCTTTGCTTTTCCAAGTAAGGATCGCTCCGGCCGTAAACAGTCCTTGGTCCGAGGAGTGAAGATGCACGCTCATTTACTTTGGTTTGTTTTTGCATGAGCTTCCCCTCTTCAAGGTTTTCTTTGTAAATGGTGGACTCGGATGTGACCGGGACTCATGGGACTTGAAAGTGGGGGAATTCCTAAATTTCTCTTTGATATTTTCTTTTTTCAAAGCACCGATGCCCAAGGGAAGTTGAAAGGGGTAAAAAAAACAAAACAAAGCGGTATAGTGTGCACTTCGCCCTGGAAACTGGGTCCTTTTTCTCGCACTCCAGTCCAGTCCAGTCCAGTGCCCGAGTGGAGATTAGCGGTCAAACTCCACTTTTGCATATGTCCGTCATTAAGGCCCCCAAGCAGATTTTCCAGGTGATGTGGAAAGTGGAAATTCAAGTTGCTTCTTCAACTTAACATATTAACGGCTTTTTTTTCATTTTGGTGAGAAAAGTGAGAAAAGTGGTGGAAAAGATGTCACTTATTGGGACTCTTGGCACACTTTTGGCTGTGATCAGCCCTGCATCAGCAACTTGTAGCACTGATTCATATTATGTGGAAACTAGCTGGTCTATCTGCAACTGGTTATCACCGCGTGGTAGGTGCTTATATGTGAAATCTACCTAGTGGGGCATTACTGATATTATTGATAGTGAATATTGTACACGATATAGTCTATATAGACGGAGGAGATCTGGTATATGAATTGTATGTCCACACTACACATGCACCAGTTGACTGAGCTCATATCGCTGACAATTCAGAGTTTATTCAAACAATTGCACCCAAATAAATGAAGATGGTATTATAACATTATGTTGATTCAGATAATCACCGCTAACTCTTATATTAGACAACTACTCAGGCTACATCTATACTCTGGACCTCTCTAAGTCATGGAACACCAGTGCGAACTTTTCAAATGTCATGGGCACTATGACAATGGCAGGAGGTGCCGGCAGTAATGTAGATCCAACCTATGTTGACGGTGTGCTGTTTGCCAACGATAATGAGTGGATTGGTTATGGGTGAGATTACTTGAATGAGGATTTTGTGACCGTCTACTGACATTCTATGGTATTATCTAGAGGCCAAGGATTCCCTGCTTCCAACAATGTAGTACCTTCTGGAGATGAGGTCCTCGGCTATAAAGCTTACCAGGGGGACTCTGATATCCAAGATTGGAGTCCAATGTGGTGGACCGACGACCTACCAGACAATGTGACTAATTATATCACAAATGGTGCTGGAGTCTCAGCTCCAAGCGAAAATATGGGCTTCTACTTCAGTGGCATGCACGCTCCGGACTGGGCATCTTTTACCTGGCCTGCTACCGAAGTTGCCAACATCACTGCCGACACATTTGTCACAATCAATATGACAGTGATGCGATCGGAGGTATGGGATAATGTGACTCTACCGAGTAATATCCAAGGCCGTGCAAATGCAGAGCTTGTCTGGGTTCCAGTCTCGACGAATGGAGTTGTAGTCGCAATTGGCGGTGTTATCAACCCTGCAGGGTTGTATATAGAGCTGACATCTGAGCAAGAAACAGAGAGCAAAGATGTCAGCCCAGGGTTCATGGAGCAGATCCCGGTTTACGACGTCGGTACCAAGACTTGGTATCTACAGAACACAACAGGTGATGCGCCGCCACAGTTGACCCAGTTCTGCTCTGTTCTTGCAAGTGCATCGGATGGTTCATCGCATAATATCTACATCTATGGAGGGTATAATGGTTATAACTCCGCATCTAATCCCTATGACGACGTGTATATCCTTTCGCTGCCTTCTTTCAAGTGGGTTAAGGCGTACAATGGGACCACTGAACACGGTCGCACGGGACATCGATGCGTCAAGCCTTACCCTGATCAGATGCTCTCCATTGGAGGGCTTCGCATTGATACATCGTACTGTCTAAATGGAGGCGTCATCACAACCTTCAATCTCAATAATCTCACCTTCCAGGATAACTATGACCCGTCAGTATGGAGTGAATACAAGGTGCCAGATATCTTGATTGCAGAGATTGGAGGAGAGTGAGTGACCCGATTAAATTTCGATGATATGAAGAGCATGGCTAACTTGAACAATGTTAAAGCGCATCCGGAGGTGCAACCACGACCTCTCCATCCAAATGGGACAACTCCTCACTAGCCAGCATCTTCGGCGTGACGTATACCAAAACTATCTCAACATACTATCCCTATAACACCACGTCCGCCGACACTACTAGTAAAAGCAGCGGCGGAAAAGGCCTCCCAAAATGGGCAGCCGCAGTGATCGGTGTACTCGTCGGTCTATTCGTTGTTGGCCTAATCGTCGTCGGACTCTGGTTCTGGCTTCGCCGCCGCCAGCGACGCGAATTGGAGAAAGAACCACGTCCAAGTGAGGCTGATGGCACAGAGCGTTTGACCTCGATGTACGGTGGTGGTCCTGTTTCCCCGGTAGCTGGTCCCCAGTCCGTTTCTACAGGACAAGATACCTCTCTCGGAGCATACACAGCACACGAATCCGTCGATACATCTGCTTCGCCAGGAACAGTAGAATCAGGAGGAGGTATAGTACATGAGATGCATGGTATGTTTTCAATCTAACCCAGGTACTATTCCCGTGATTCGATGCTAATAAATTATCAGACTCATCCCCAGTCGAACTTCCTACCCAGTTCAATAATACATCTACAACCACCACAGCCGAGTCTTCTGATTTCGCAAGAAGATCCTCTCCATCACCGATTTCACCTCAAACTCCAGATACAGAGTCGGGTCATTCATTCATGATCGGAGGTGGAGTTTCAGGGCACCATCGCACGCTCTCAACCCGGTCAATCGATAATGTGGTCAGTGCAAGATTGTCGCATTTCCAGGAGTCTTTCGATGGGACTGGTACCACTTTCACACAGCATAAGCATCAGGGCTCAGAAGTTTCGGAGATCAGTGGGAGCTCGAATGCTGGTGATAGGACGCAGATTAATGAGACTATTCATGAAAATGAATGATGGTGAATTGGTTATGAGATAGATTTGTTAATGTTGATACCGCGCCTGATGAGTCTAGGTGCTTTTACTTTATTTAATAGTTCAATAGCAGGGTTTGTAATTAAGCATCCATATATGAAGATGTCTTCTCGTTTAATTATTTTCTTCGCAATACTTGCTATCTCTACTTCAAGTTGTAAAATACTGACGAAAAGACCAATGTAAAAATAGGCAATGTAAAGATTTGTATGTACATTTAAAAGGAGTCATTTCAACCAAGTCTGTCCTCGATGCCACTATCCACGTCTGACCATCGCCCGTACGCGAACCCTCTCCTCCCGACTAAGCTTATCCACAACTTCTGCTGCCTCCCCACCCCTTAATACCTCATCCCACTCATCCTCATCCATGCTCATCACTAATGTCATCTGTACACAGCGCGAAAGAGCTTCCCGGTGGCGATATCGACCTGGAGTGCCAGGGCCATACCCAACATCCACAGCAGCACTGACAAGACCAGCAATATCACGCTCCAGACGAGCAGCACCAAGTGGGTTGACACGTCCTTGGTAGGACCACAGTCGCTTTTCTAACAGTCGTGCGAAATATGCGATGGTAACAGTAAGAAGACGATCAAATGCTTGTTGAGTAAGAATGCGCGCTATCGGAACGAGCAATTCGGACCATCCAGCTGCAAAGCGTGGTCGAACGAGCTCTTTGCTGCCATCATGCTCATAATCATCGTGTCCGTCAGCAGGTGAATCGCTATCGCTTGACGGTTGGTACTCGATATCACGGAAAGCATCGGCAAGGATAGGGCGGAGACGGTGCTTGATCACATTGTTGAAGACGACCTGGATTCCATCCGTGAGAAGGTCATTGACCTTGCTTTCGAATGAACTGGCTAGAGAGTGAAGGGTTTGTGCGACAATAAGAGCAGTTGAAGGGACCGGGAAGAGCGAGAGCAGATACTCTGTCACCTCTGGAGCTTTCTCTGGGCCAGCTTCTCTTGTCGGCGCAGGCTGTTTCGAGCCCGTGTTGTTCTGCACAATTCGTCGAATGTAATCGATTCCTATGTCCAGGTTGTTGATCTGCACCAGGAAAGCAATGATCATTTGCTCTGGAGGTTGAGCGCCTTGTGCGACAGCACGGGGATAACATTCATCACGCATTTTGCGCTGGGTCATGCCAATAAAGTCAGACCCCAGCACGCGGGATAATGTAGGGACCACATTTGTGATTACAGTTTCCTGAGAAGTCGCCAGCGACTGCTGCAGGACCTTATTCACGATATACATGATATCGTCGACGGCGGAAGTGATGTGAGGTGGATCCGCCTTCAGGGGTCGGTGGATATTCAGGTTCAGGCCTGAAGGCGATTCATCTAACTGGAATGCCTTCTCCACAGACCGACGGAAGAAGAATGTTGTCATGACATTGAATGGTGTCACCAGTCGATCATTGATTTTGCGCGCCAGGGAAGATTCTCCCAAGAAGGTAGGAAGCTCAAGCTTCTTCTCATGGTCTTTTTCGTCGCCTTCGGCGGGGGGCTATGACATACATGAGCGACCGGATAATAAAGAGAAAAAAGATGAAGCACTTACATTGCAGGTCTCTGCCAGAAAGCGACAGTACAAAGACCATCGGCCTAGCATAATACCCATCTCATTGAGTATCTCGTCGATTTCCTTCATGTCAACTCCCTCATCCTCGGTAGCTGTAGCGCCGCCCGGTGCGGGGGAGTTTATACGGGCTTGTCCCGGGCGTTGCGCAGGAAGGAAGCTTTGCACCAGGAAGGTAAATGCATAAGACTTGATTTCCATCAACTTGCGATCCACATGCCGTTCATCGCCCCAGGTATCAAGAATTATGCCACCCTGTACATCTGCCTCAACCTGTAGTCGCTCAATAACACGACTCATCTTCCGGGGACCATAGTGTCGCTCAACTAGCCCTCCATGACCATCAATAATTTGTGCAATATGCTCAAACAGCTTTGTCAGTGCATTGGCGTAGAAGAAACCCTCTTTACTCTGTGTTCCCGGGCCTGCATTCAGATTGTTGCGGGCTCTTGCAGCCACGCCCTGGCAAACATAGCGACCGTATACATCTAGACCAACCTCGGAGCGACCGATGAGCGGGAACAGCTTGAAGAATCGGGTAATCTTAGCTCCGTCATTCTCCTTAACAGCCTTGTCGAATTCTCGTAGGAACAGGCTACATAGAGACTCGGCCGCATTATCCAGGGTGACGCTTGGCGGGTCAGGCACCTCAGCTGTGGGAACCATTTCTGCAGCGAATGCTCCATTGATCACTCCTGATGGAACCTTGGCAGCACGATTGAGGTAGCTGGCAGCTATCTCCCAATCTTGAGAGGCACCCATTGACCCCGCAACACCCAGAGCACATGCCTTGAGCTCTGCAACCTGCTCAACTACCTCCAGTGTCGCCTTCACCCGAGCTTGTTCCAGATCTAGTCGACGCACAGCTCGCGAAATTCGATCGGCGGTACCGGCTGCGCCAGAGAGCATTCCATGGCTAATCGATCGGGTGGTTGTTGTTTGAGCGCCAATGTTGGCTCGCATAAGATCCAATCGGCTCAATTCTCGAGACAGGTCTTTTTGTGAGGTCACCAGGGCATCGAGGCGGGCGGTCACTGATGCTTCCTGGGTATGGAGACGGGAGAGGGCGGCCCTGATCTCAGCCACAGAGCTGGCATTAAAGATATCGGTTCGTGTTGGGGTATCTCCCTCTATTGAGTCCATTGACTTTTCTCTCAATGGTGATACCTGGCCATTAGTGGCCGGTTGAGGGAGAGTCATACTGACTCATATAGCTGGAGAGGTCTCAGTCTTGTTGATGCCACGCGATTGTATCAGTATGGAGTCCGGGCGGTGAGAGATGCGGGACCTTTTTCTCAAAGCTTCAGGTTTCATGAGCCTCAAAGAGAGTAAAAAAATTCCCTTTTTTATAATGTAAGAGGATGTTCCAAATCAAAGACCTTAGTCTTAGTTGTGATTCCCATCTCACTGAAATTTGTCCCTATTTAATCCTGGCCTAAATTCTTTTCTGTCGGCACAATCAAACTTATCGTCATCTTCCCCACGATCACTCTACTTCATCACATATTTCAACCTCTTCAAAGATACAAGATTTCTATTCATATCTCCACCTTTTTTAAGGCACTGAATATTTTCTCTGAAAAATAGAAGGCTTGGGCTACCTTTTAACTGCCTGACTACATCATCGGACCCCACCTCAGACCTCATTCTTCCACATTCGCCATGGGTAACGAAGAGTCAACACTGATGGATGGGAATCATGCCCCTGTATTGGAAGCTCCTACTGTCGATGCCTTGGTCAAATACATCAAGGAACAGAATGTCAAGCATGTTGTGGTGATGGTATGTCTCTCCCAGTCAACTTGATTACCCACCTACATTGATTCCCGCGCTGTCTTCATGTCATATCCTTTATCTCACTGTATTATCCTGGCCTGAACTGACAAGGAATACAGGTTGGAGCTGGAATCAGCACATCAGCTGGAATCCCCGACTTTCGATCCCCTGATACAGGAATCTACGCCAACTTGGCTTTTTTGGATCTTGAAGAACCAGAGGATATCTTTGACATCGACTTTTTCAGACAGAACCCAAAGCCCTTCTACGCATTAGCACGAGAGTTGTATCCAGGACAATATCGCCCCACTATCGCACATTCTTTTGTCAAGCTGCTCCATGATAAGGGCATGTTGTTGAAGCACTTTACACAGAATATCGACTGCCTGGAGCGCCAAGCCGGTGTTCCTACCGAGAAGATTATTGAAGCTCACGGTAGCTTTGCTACTCAGCGCTGCATCGATTGCAAAGTGGAATATCCAGATGATAAGATGAAAGATTTTGTCGCCAAGGGTGAGGTGCCACACTGCTTGGAATGTAATGGCCTGGTCAAGCCCGACATTGTGTTCTTCGGAGAAGCCCTGCCTGAAGAATTCCACCTTAACAGCCAACTGCCATCATCAGCAGACCTTTGCATCGTTATGGGAACTAGCTTAACTGTGCACCCATTCGCTGCCTTGCCTCAGCGGTGCAGTCCAGGTACCCCCCGTCTACTGATCAATATGCAAAAGGTTGGATGTATGGGAACCCGACCGGATGATGTGTCACTACTGGGAGATATCGATGAAGGAGTACGCAAGTTCGCACGGGCACTGGGATGGGAAGAGGAGTTGGAAGCAGTCTGGGAGGAGACTAACCCAGATCCCAAAGATCGCGAGGCGGAGAATGCTTCCCCACAAACTCGGGATGAGCGTCTCCACGATGAAGTTGACCGATTGACTGCGGAGGTCGATCGCACATTGGGATTGTCAAGCGCATACGAACAGCGAGTTCGGGAGCGGCTAGGAGAGCTCAGTGTTGATGAAACCAGCTCATCTAGCTCATCTAGCTCATCTGAGGAGGGTCTTGCGCATGTTTTTCCGCATTTGGCGCATAAATCTCGGTAGATCACCAACTCCACAGCATGGCGTTCTTTCTAGTCCACTTGGTCTATCTTTTTGTTTTGTTTTGTTTTGTTTTCGGAGCTCTGTCATCCTGTGCCTTAGTTGAGTTTGAAACCCCTCGAAGTTAGAGAGAATGAGAATCAATACCCATGACCCAAAAAAAGAAATCATATAAACGTGATCAATTCAATTTATAATAGAGCAAAAAGGGGATAAGTCAACCTTGGAACTGATTTGTGGGAAAGTGACTATTATTTATTATTGAATATTTTAATATTTAATCTGAGCGACGATTGCTTACCGCAACCAAATCAAGCAAGGCAGATCGTTGCCCCACGTCCCCTTCACATATCGTCATTCCCTCCCCTTGTTTTTTCTCTCTTCCCCTCCAATCTACCTGGAAATACCTCCAATTTATCAGCTATCATCATGGTTGGCCTTGGTCCTAAGCACCCACCATCCCGCAAGGGTGAGCTTCTTTGCTATCGTGAAGCTCCGATCATTTTGTTCTAATCATCTTGATTCATCCCCACTAGGATCCATGCACGATGTGCCGCAAAATCTTTTGCAACAAATCCAGTATTTCGAGCAGCACTTCACTGTTGATGGTGCCAAGCTCAAGCAGATCGTTGCTCACTTTGTGAAGGAGCTCGAGAAGGGTAAGTACGAAATCCAAGGACTGCTTATCTGACGCGGGGAAGCTTACTGGTGATGATAATCTAGGCTTGACTGTCGAGGGCGGCAACATTGTGAGATCACGAGACCATACGAAATCAACTTGAACCCATACTAATGGTATGATATAGCCTATGAACGTCACTTGGGTCATGGGATTCCCCGACGGTGAAGAGCAAGGTACTTTCTTGGCTTTGGATATGGGTGGCACTAATCTGCGTGTCTGTGAAATTACCCTGACCGATGCCAAGGGTGCCTTCGATATCACCCAGTCCAAATATAAGATGCCAGAGGAGCTTAAGACTGGTACTGCTGAGGAGCTGTGGGAGTACATTGCCGACTGCTTGCAACAATTCATCGAGTTCCACCACGAGGACGAGAACCTGACCAAGCTCCCCTTGGGTTTCACATTCTCCTACCCTGCTACCCAAGAATACATTGATCACGGTATTCTCCAACGCTGGACTAAGGGATTTGATATTGATGGTGTTGAGGGTCAGGACGTCGTCCCTCCCTTGGAGACTATTCTGAAGAAGCGGGTACGATCTATACTTCCATCTGACAAAATTGGTATTATTGATTTTTCTAACTTGTTCTTGTTCTATCTAGGGACTGCCCATTAAAGTTGCTGCCCTCATCAACGATACCACCGGTACCCTTATTGCTTCCTCCTACACCGATTCCGAAATGAAGATTGGTTGTATTTTCGGCACTGGCGTCAACGCCGCATACATGGAGAACGTTGGATCCGTCCCCAAAATCGCCCACATGGGTCTGCCCGCCGATATGCCTGTCGCCATCAACTGCGAGTATGGTGCTTTCGATAATGAGCGCGTGGTGCTCCCTCTCACCAAATACGACGAGATTATTGATCGTGACTCTCCCCGTCCCGGTCAGCAAGCCTTTGAGAAGATGACCGCCGGTCTGTACCTGGGCGAGATCTTCCGATTGGCTCTTGTGGACATCCTCGATGCGCAGCCTGGACTCATCTTTAACGGCCAGGATACCTCTAAGTTGCGCAAGCCCTACCTACTAGATGCGTCATTCCTTGCTGCCATCGAGGAAGATCCCTATGAGAACTTGTCCGAGACCGTCGAGCTCTTTGAGCGTGAACTGAACATTCACCCTACCCAGCCTGAGCTGGAGATGGCCCGTCGTCTTGCGGAGTTGATCGGTACCCGTGCTGCTCGCTTATCCGCTTGTGGTGTTGCTGCCATCTGTACAAAGAAGAACATCGAGTCCTGCCACGTTGGCGCTGACGGATCCGTCTTTACTAAGTACCCTCACTTCCAGGCCCGTGGTGCCGTGGCTCTGCGTGAGATCCTAGACTGGGCTCCTAATGAGAAGGATAAGGTTACTATCATGGCTGCTGAGGATGGATCTGGTGTCGGTGCTGCCCTGATTGCTGCTTTGACTCTGAAGCGTGTCAAGGCTGGTAATCTAGCTGGTATTCGTAACATGGATGATATGAAGACCCTGCTTTAAATAATAGAATGAAAGGAGAAAAAATACATAAAGAACCTCCAAATGGAGCTTGACGACCTGAAATTTCAAATTTCAAATTTTGTTTGACTTTCTACTTTCATGCATGATGTGTCTTCTGGACTAGTTTGATAGGGAGTACTTATACACTCGGTTTCAAGATCATCAGTCTTGATGGCCGAATATCACTACATGTGCATGATGTACATATGCATGGTATCTACGACCTGCACATTTGACTATGAAAGCAATGAAATTCAAATTCAAAGTACTACTAGTAGGTTACCAAAATCTCTTTGGAGTCGAGATAACCTTGCCATCTTCCATCCCTTCAAGTTGTTCTGCAGTTGAAGAGTCGGGCCCGACTCGGACTCAGCCCAGAGGACAATGGAAAATGAAACATTTGAAACAAATAAGAAGGTAGAATTATCTGACCAGCACATCTTAACAAAAAAAGCAAAAGGAATGACTAATCAATTTGAAAGTACAGAACGCATTTCAAGTTGCAATATAGTATCTCAACCACCTGGGCATCCATATCACCGTCCACAGGTATAAATATGGTTAACCCATGATCTTGAAGGCTCCACAACCTGGCTTGAACATACCAGATATTGATGATCACTGACAGCCAGTAGCAGTCTCAGTCTTATCTTCAAGTTCTTAGGAGTCCGCGGGAGGGACTGTTTGGCGTCGCCGTCTCATGTGGCCTCCACTCGCTGCAATTTCGTCTCGCCCCATGGTTTGGGTTACAGTCAAACCTGGCAAGAGACCCGAATATCCAATATTTACATGATTTAGATGGAAAAGTCTTCGCATCTTCTTCACAATATAAAGACGATTCGTGCCATCGGGACTTGTCGCAGTGTAAAATCTGTGTCTCAACCAAGGTCCTATCAATCTGATGGGCTCATAGATTTGTGGATCTGCATCATCCTCCGCTATGGCAACTTCTATGTTATCCCATTTCTTCATCATTAATTTTCCATCACCACCCCGCAAGTTGATCTGCAACGTTCTGGCTACCTCGTAAAATGTCTTTCCTCCGACCCAAGTCTGGATATAACCCAGTAGAGGTGGTAATTCGGCATCCTCGTGCTGTTCTTGAGCCTTCAGTACCAGACTGTCAATGTCTGATTGGTTTAATGTACATATATCAGATCCAGTATCGTCATTCATCCAAATGATCTGATGCTCATGGGGGTCCTGTGGATCATAGTAGGTCGACTGTAAAGGGCCAGGCAATATAAGAGGTCTAATGGGAGGCTGGGAGCCAGCGAGCGGATCATCATCATCATCCACTGGATTTAATGGAACTCTGCTTTGCCGGTAGCGCATTTGGTGTAGCGTGGGACGGTGTTCATCTCGGTTCCAGTTAGGATCTATCGTTGTGTTTCCCATCTCGCCTGAATGTACTGGTCGTCGAATGATTCGGAGGGCAATTGGAACCTATGAGATAGAAAAAGGAAAGTTGGTATGTTTTAGGAAGAGCGAGAAGATATTTCAAACATTTGAAGTATCTATTACCCTTTTTTTCTGGAGAGCACTGTTATACCTTTACACCGACACTGATATTATTTACTTCAACACCTGGCATATCATATCTCGCAGGCCAACATATCGTTCGTTTCAAAAATCTGCGGACAGGAGTTGAATCGCGCATCTAAAAAGCATTAGTAATTCCCCCATATCTCTCTGGGGACTGAGAAGTCAAGTAGCTTACCCCTTCAACCCAAAATCCTGACCAACCTTCATATTCGGTATTCAAATCGAGGAACTCATCCCAGTCAAAAGGCTTTGGCTGAGTGAGTTGTTTTCCATAAGACCAATATGTGACACTTCCTGGAACCCAGTCCAGATTCTTTGTCAGATATTGCTTCATGATTGCCTCTATTGTCGAACGGACTTTGTGCTTATCTCCGTTCTCATGAAGATGTTCTTTGAGGCCTTTGAAAAAATCCAGTCGCTTTGCTACTTGGAAAGACATTTTGGGCCATCTTGCCATGGTATCACTAGATTCTGTTAGATACCATTGCTCATTTGTCGGAATTAGGAGTCATACTCTCGATGTAATTTCTTCTTTACAAGCATCTTCAATTTGTCTCCGTAGTACTCTTGCATCTTTCCTTCTATAATACGTTCTTGACAACGTGTAATCTGCGCCTCAACATCACTAAGAATTTTATTTAGTCATGACTCATGCTCCTAAGACTTCGTGAAAACATACTCCTCATCGATATCGGGCTCATCATCAACCCATCTTTTTGGAGCCCCAACAGTAGTGCCATTAAGATCATCATCTGCCATCGAGATATCTGTGAGGTCTGTGACATCTGAGTCATCCTCACCCAAGTCGTTTAGGTCGGTCCCAACATCATCGTCAATCTCCATGTCATCCTCCTTCTTTTTACCATCTGTCTTCGTACCATTTGCCTTCTCACCGTTTGTCTTCATATCCTTCTTTTCTCCATCTTTCTTCTTCTTGTCCTTCTTCGTCTTCGTGACCTTGGTGGTGTTGTCATGGACCTTGCCATTAGTATTTTCAGTCTCGCCGTTGGTCTTTCCAGTCTCACCGGTAGAATTTGACGTCTTGCTCTTAGACATATTGGCAGGTTGAAATTAAATCACTTGAATGAAATGAAAGATATTCACTTGTGAATGAGATAATTCACATGTGCAGATATGAACAGAACTTAGAGGGAAATGAATACTAGATTATATAAGTACAATAACACTCAAGTAGAGCTCAAAGCATGAAATTGATAAAGACTGCTATCAAAGTCAAGAGATATGAAAGATTGGTTCAAATATTTGCTTCATTGACATATTTACTTGAAAGAGATAGGATTAAAAGAGATAGGATTAAAAGAGATAGAGAACTCAACCTACAAAGAAACTGAGCGTACTATCCTCATCCCCGGATGTAGCTTTAGCTTATAGAAATAAAAATATAATAATGAATTTTGTTCTACGGAAATAAAATTATATTTGAATTTAACTGGACACATTTCCTTCATTTACAAATTCTAGAGTTAATATTAGATTCTTTGAAAACAGATTATGATGATGATATTCTATCAACCCGATGCTACCTAGGACCTAGGTATTAACAACATAGCAAGAATATTTGAATATCCCGTGAATTCAAGTTAGAAAAAAGAAACAGGCGTATTGCCAAACAACTCGAAAATAAGAAGCCAAATTTGATAAAAGAACAGTCAGAAAGAATCAAAACATCCACAGTCAAACCATGGCACTGATCTGGACTCATTTTGAAAGCGGAAATCTCAACTGTTTCTAGAAACTTCGTTACATTTCCTCTTCAAATGTTGAGTCTCGTTGCTTTGTAGCAGATTCATGGACGTTAATCCACATATACATGTTTGATTTCATTGGCCTTAGGACGATGCGACATGTTAACAGTGTCCGATTCTGTCTTCCAAAACCAGTTGAACCTTGTCAAGCAATTCTCCGAGATAATGTCTATCTTTTTGCATTGCGGAAATAAGTCGAGTGACGTCGTTGACGAGCTCTGCAAATTTTTCCGTAAAATCTTTATCCAAAGGGCCATTGCGCATTTCTTCAACCAATTCTGGAGTAGGAAGATTCTCTTGCCATTCCATAATATCTTTGTCCTTTTCCTCATATTTTTCTATCATTTCCTTCACCAATTTTTTGAGGAACTTAGTGCTTGATTCTCGCAAGACTTGTTCCATTGCTTGTTCCCTGTCCATTTTGGCGCGTGTATATAGTACTAGTATATGGTTAGGTTCCAAGTTCAAGTTTGAGTGCTGTGTTGAGGTGTTGAGGTGTTGAGGAGTAATGTTCGGTTGAAGTTGAACCTGTTGGGAATTTCTACAATTTTATATCTTTTTTGACACTGCTCTCGCTTAGAATTCTAGCCTCTTGAAGCTATTTCTAGTTACGTGATATTTATAGCATCACCAACTCCATTATTATTTGCTTTGTGAGTCTCATAATATCTGCCTCAAAAATTCAGTCACTTTTGTAAAAGAACTTGAAAATATATATCTTTTTTGTTATGCGTCGCCTGTACTAACTTAGGCTTGCTCTGAGCTTCAAATTTTAGCTCCAATTTCTCAAAAGCTTATGTTCAATGCTGCCCTTGTCTCTCAGGCTGCTAGTCAAGGGTACATACTAGGATGTTTTATTTATATTGCAAAACATCAGTTTCAACCTTAGAAGTCTTAAGCCTCAACTTCTGAGGTTTTTGATATGTTACCAGTTGAAATAGGTATATCTGAATTTAAGATCAAAAAGTTGTTTCATTTCTACTTTCACTTTATTTTACTTCTCATTTTACTATAGTTTCACTTCTACTACTTTCACTGTTGTTTCATGTCTAAGGTTTCATTAACCATACATACCTAGTTTACTTACACTCGTACCACCGAGGTCGTAATAGTCACCACCTGGAGGTGGGCAGTTAAACGGCTTGATTCTGGGAAAGGGAGGGAGCTGTCTTTCAAATGCTCATTAAATCTCCTATCGTCTTTTTTAATATAGTAGGTTAAGTCCAATATGCATTTCCCAATTTCTACCTTGTGTTCAACTTGGAGTTTCAAGCTTCAAGTTACTACTAGTATCTCTTAGAACATAATACTGTCTGGCGTGATGAGTTCAGCAATAGTTTCTGCTGCGAGGGTTGCTATGGAAGCTTTTGAGACCATGGGTGATATCCAAGCAGCAAGCGTTGGTCCTAAAGATGTATTTGGATGCAAGACGCGTAGGTTCAGACCACTTGCACTGTTCAAGTTGTTATGATAGCTCCCCGGCCAGACTGGAACTTCTCTTCCCACCTCTTCCCACCTCCTCTTCACACCTGGGGTTCCCACTTCACGTTCCCAACATACTACATCCTCACGGCAAACCTCAACAGACCATCTATAGCACGGTATGATCCTACAACACCCCCTTGACCCTTCTCTTGATTGATGTTATCTCATGGTTCCAAACCATAGCACAGTCGTCTCAATCTGAAATCATGGAAGAATGGGACTATCCCCTCCGCGCGCCGGAGTCATTTACCTCAAAGTAAGAATGCAACTTCCCCCTCCCCCGACATCTATTGAAGGAGTTGATTTTAAAGATGGATCTTAGTCTCCTTCCCCTCTACCATGGCCCCATCAAAATCAAACTGAAACCTAGCAACCACGAATACACGATCTCTAAAGATCTGCTTTGCGCAGAGTTGCCGGTGTTCTCAGCAATGTTCAAAGGTCACTTCCTGGAGTCCCAGACGATGGAAGTAGAGCTAGAAGAACTGGAAGATGTCGTCACTTCACAAAGTGTACAAGCACTCATTCAATGGCTTTACCTTCGCGTTATCGAATTTGACATTGAAGTTGGAGGCCCCCAGGATTGCATTACAGCTGCAGTGGAACTCGCAAGACTCGCGGATATGTATGCGATTACCAGACTCGAATTCAAACTGGCAAAATACATCAAGAACATCATTATTGAATGGAATGACCCTGAGGTCCTCAATGCTAACCCAACGGCATATATTGACCACAATACACTATGTCTGAAAGCTGAGCACATCATCTCCGCAACTCACTTGCATCGAGACCATCCAGTGCGACAAATTTTAGCTGGAGCCTGTGCAACAGGGTTTCTCCAGACCTATCCGAGCAAATTCCATGGATTGATTCAGGAGTACCCTTCCTTTGGAGCCGATTTGCTTCTTGAAGTCAGAGCTGCATTGTGCAGTGGACGTTTCGAAGACCGCATCAGTGAGGAGGCATTAGATCACTCTTTCCGTGGTGCGTAGCTGGATCTGCGCTGACATGACACTACACGAACCCTGGATTTTCCATGAAAGGTTAGGGATTTGAGAGTTCTCCAAACGAAGAAGAAAAAAAACATGAGTAAGTGGGTCATTAGCTGGCTTTTTGTATCTAAGAACTGCAACCTCGGGTGGAATTTCCAATTTCCTATTGTCAGATCAAATTCATATCAAGTCCAGCTTTCTATGACTACTAGTAGGCTAGAGTCCTTAGATTTATGGAGTCCAAGGCCACCTGCCCATAAACGTCCTGTAAAATACCTTTTATTATGTTACCATTACTTTCTTTTTCTACTGGGAGTTGACGAGATGACCGTTATAGTCCTCCTCCATATGCCATGGGCTCAGAACGTTCCAATGTTTGCATTTAGACATTCTGCCTGAATCAAAATGTTTGTCTCCAAAGCTAACTAGCATGCAAATAAAGCAAACAGTACAATCTCGCACCCCCTTTGCCCCTCCTTCTCTTGATTTTAAAGAGAGCGCTTTATTCACCTTGACCATCACCTGGATCATAGCACAGTACCCTTCATCTTTTCCTCCCTCACGTCCATCACCATATTCGTTCAACCAGCCAGGAATCCTCATCCCCACATCTCCAATGATGACCGAGGCAACTGAAGCTGGATTTGAAGCGGCTAAACAGCCTGGGCATTTTGTGTCAAAGTAAGGAAACAAATGATATCTCTATCTATGAAGGGGACCTGTTAAAATTGTGGATCTCTTAGCATGCTTCACCTCTACCATGGTCCTCTCGTCAAACTCAGACTCAACCCCAGCAATCGCGAATTTACAGTCTCTAAAGATCTACTATGTGCGGAATCAAAGATACTTGCAGTGATGTTCGAAGAAGGTCGTTTCAAAGAGTCCCAGCAGATGGAAGCAAACCTGAATGAAGAGGAGCATATTGTCTCAGTAAGAAGTGTGGAAGCACTTATTCAATGGATCTATATTCGCGTTGTCAAATTCGACGTTGAAGACCCTGGTGAGAATATTACGGCTGCGATGGAACTTGTGAGGCTTGCAGATTTATACTTCATCACTGGACTGGAAACTGAGATGGCGCAATATATCAAGAAGATAATTATCGCCAATCCCGGTCCAAAGCGCACAGGTACTAGCAAGTCTAAGTACGATACGCTTTCTGAAAGAGATACTCACTGGCTTAACGCTGAACATATTATCTCTGCAACCTATTTACGTCCAGACCATCCAGTACGACAAACTCTAGCTGCAGCCTGTGTCGCAGGGTTTATCCAGCACTATCCGGGCAAATTCCACAAGTTGACTGATGATTATCCTTCATTTAGAGCTGATCTGGCTCGTCAGGTTGTGCCTGTAATGAAGATTTCTAGTCTCTTGCCATCATATCGCACTTTTGAAGACCCCATCAGTGGGGAAGAATTAGAGATGGGTCCAGAAACGGTTTTTTTGAGGGGGTCAGAAGACGAAACTGAGGATTTCGCTAGATGAGAGTAGGATTTCTTTTGGTAACTTTGTCTGAACTACAGTATGTGCCCAACTAATTTCTCAGATTCAAATGAAGAAAAAAGACGAGGAAGGGGATTATTGGCTGGTAGTTTGGGTCTAGGAACCGTGGCAACCCCAGGCTTTGCGATTTTTCATTACTGGTTTACTCTACACAGCGAATGGTCTGAACACATTTTATTACAACACTTCATCACATCCTACATGCAGTTATGAATGAAAAAAACATCACAAGATAGCAAAATGCATCAAACTATGACCCCATGACGCTGCGGGATCTTCAAGTTTCGAAGTAATGGATTTCTTGAGATAAAGCTAAACTACATACTAGACCAATGCCAGTGTGTTTCAAGTTCATAATAAGGTTCAATAAAGAATATTCTCTTGAAACTTGGTCGTGAACCTGATTTCGATCCCTCGTGTGCAGGGTTGCATCAATGCACATATGTGCATGCTTTCGAAGGAAACACTTGGAATAACGGGTTTATGCTTGCATTAAATGATGCTATGTTCACTAATCTGCATATGTGACATGCATTGGACTGCTAGTAGTGCTTTAGTCTGTCTGCCTGATTTGAACAAGTGCGGACAATTGACAGTGGTTGCGCTCGTGTTATCTCCAGGGATTAGTACTCATTATGACCAGTTGACCCTGACCATTACCAGCTCTAATATTGCAGTCTATACGAGAAAAAGGTCACCGGCCCTTTATTATCAGCAGTTGACGGGGTACTGTGTTAAAACATCATTGGACCTCAGTTCGTGTCTAGTCAGATCATAGATGCCGCGATCGCCGAGGACAGGAATTCGGGAGCGTGAAGGCAAGCATCCAAGGTTGCACATGAGTACAATGAGTTTGATTTATATTGGTCTCAATTTTAATTCTCATATGTATGCAGGAACTGATTTGACAAATAGGATGAACTGGAAATCCATATCTAGAGAATAGGGGCTCGATTTGTATTAAGGAGGCAAGGGGTAATACCTTATACCAGTTAAGCCTTGGATAACCAATTTATGTATGCAAATGCAGAGACAACCTTGGAAATAAATTAAATTAAACTATAATCATATATTCATTAAAATTCAATCCAAAATACACATCTAGAAAAGTAATAAAAAAACGAAAAACACCGGTTGACCATGATCCGAATCAACGATCACCCCTGAAAATCACCAAATATGCAGTATTAGAACCTTGGAATTAAACACCTGAATCCTCCTGTACAATATCTTTGGTCGCATCATATGTTCTCCACGCTGAACAAGTATCGTCAAGTAAGTCGTAATCGATGGTTCCCCGAATTTCATCATACCTCTCAACAAACTGCAACGCAAGTCCCTCGTTCACATGCCAACCAATGTGACAATGCATTAACCATGCACCCGGGTTATCGGTTTGGAATGCAACAAGTAGCCACCCAGCTGCCGGTAACATCGCTGTATCTCGACGTGGCGGATTTTTGGTAACTAAGTAGCCATCGAAGACACCTATCCCTTGACCTAGGATGGAGAAATCATGACCGTGTAAATGGATGGGATGCGCAACTGGGAGAGTGGTGTTGATCAAAAGATATACCCATTGATTCTTTCCCGGTAACTCAATCACATTGCTCGTATTCGTAAAGTCCATTTCATCGTTGTAAATTGACAGAAGCGTTGGGTCTTCCCAGCTAATATTCAGTGATGAAGAGTTGAACTCCCAGCGGAAGTAGTTGTCTTTATTTTTTGCAAAAGTGACATCGAGGCTCTCTTCGAAAAATGGTGCTGCCACGTCCTGTTTCACCCATGGAACGAGATCCTTCATGGGAATATCGTTACAGCCAATGTATACTGGAAAACCTTTAGTTGTGGGTATCTCGGCATTTTGACCATAGTGCATAATGCCTCGAATATTGTCCGCCATATCATTTCCTGAACATGGAAACGTGGGCACGGCTCTCATCCAGAAAGACTCAGCGATGTGTCCCTGGTTTGCTGTAACAATAACATCGTAACGTTGGCCTGTATTCCTTGTTAGATATGCGATGTAATACCGGTGAGGAGATACGAATACGAACCCATGGCAATGTTAATCACATCCGTTTTGAATGGTACAATTGGGACAAGATCCATGGCGATCACTTCTAGACTGTGACCGTCGATACTGAACTGGTAAAATGTGTCGATAGATGGACTGACTAAGCGTAGTCGGTAAGAAGTTCCCTGATTCACTTTCATCGTGAAGCGGTGTCCAGTGCTAACATCGCTTGGTGTTGGTTGATAAACATTGGTCCCATTAATGAGACCATTGGACAAATTCTGTGCAGGTCCATTGATCTCCTGGTCAACGTAAAGCTCATCCACTGTTCGATGCGTCCAGTCACCCAAAAACAGAGATCCCTTATCCACATCGTAGTTTGCTGTTGCGGGTCCATTGATAACAATCCCACCATAGACACCTTCCCAAGCTAGCAGCCCAATATGCGCATGGTACCATGTTGACCCATACTGCTCAGCACGCCATTTATAAGTCATTGTTTTTCCAGGAGTGATAGGACATTGTGTAATCGAGGGAACACCATCCATCTCACTTGTATAGTTTTGGCGAATACCATGCCAATGCAGTGTTGTTCCATTTCGTTGGGGACCAAGATTATTGGTAACATGGATAACAACCCAATCACCCCAATCTGCAATGATGGTTGGTCCAGGCACGGTGCCGTTTATAGTCCAGACTGGACGCTCAAACCCATCAGGGGCAAGCATGACTTGTTTGATCTCAAGCCAATACTCTCGAGTTACCCCTGTATCTGGAGCTATTTGTGAATAGTCTGTGTCGATATTATAATCACACCATACTGATCGGTCATTCGGTGTGTTCCCTGCACATGGGTTTCCTTTGCCATGATTTCCATGGGAACTTGAACTTGAATTTTTGTGCCCAAGATCATTATCGAGACCTCGGGGGATGACTGAGAGTGGTTTTCCTGGTGATCGGATTGAATTGGCATGAACGATGCTCACAAAGAATAAACAAAAAAGAATAGGAAAACAAAGGAGCTTCATGATGAAGTAAACAAAATAAATAAATATGTTCAATGGCGAAATGAAAATTAGAGGCTCAAGGCCGAGATCGACGGATCTCTTCGAATAATTGAGGCCCAATGTTATCGTATGAAGAACTTTTGACTTGAAATTGAACGAATAATTATACACTAGTACTTAAATAAGGAGGAAGTTCTATATGACAGCTGAGCAGGTTCTGTTCATGTGAGTACTAAAGCCTTTTCCTCCGCCATTTTTGCTTCTTTAGGCCATATCTCGTATCTTGTCTAGGCGTTCCGAATCATCCGAATAGATCTATATTAAAAAAACACCCTCATTAGATGATTTTGCAGAATATAGGCCCACAATTGTTTTAACAAGGGACCGTAGATTATTCTTAGCTACATACTACTATACCCAGTTCGCGACATGGTGTCTTGGTTGCCCTGTTCGCTTAAACCCCACGCTATCCAGGATAAAAGCGATATTGCCGAGTCACAGGGCCAAGATCCTTGGAACCATCTGGAATTCAGTTCAAGCTAGATCGTATCTGCCGGCTCTTGCAGTGTCAACCTTGCCAGCCCTAGGCATAATTGCCCGGAAAGTCCGAGCAGGGGCTGTTTCTATGGGACGCCGCATGGCTATGGCGCAGCGCATGATATTCAGGATTCGGGTGGTTGTCCCGTGTGCTCGGATAGATTCACTAATTTTGGACCCAAAATATCGATTCAGACTGCGAAATATCGGTGCTTTGATCGCGTGGAAGAGATAAGACATGGAATGTCAGATTGAGTTGCATCTGATATAGTGACATCGCTGATCCTGCATAGCCTTACCGCATGGTTAGTTTCATACTTCAACTCACTCCCTCCGCAGAATCTTGGCATCTCCACTGTAGCAAGGTTTATAGTTGGATGATTGTACATGATCATGACATCACGCGAGGCAACTTGGCCCCAAAGGTGTCAGATTGAAACAACGTGGCAATGTGGAGCTTGGATATGGATACTCCCACACGCAAACAAGTCTCAATGCATATACGAGGTAAGAGGATTCCAAGGTAGACCCTAGACGAAAGTGAGGGGAAACCACCCAGTGTGCTTATGTTCAGTTGTAACTTGAATCAAGAATGATTCCATTCCTGCCTTGAAAAAAGGTGTAATGTAGTTGATGCCTGTCGGCCCGAGCGGACGCCTTGAAGTGATTCAGCATAAAGAGTTGAAGCATTGTCCCTCGCATCTTTTGACCCCCAAGGCGACCCATATTTTTGAAAAATACTCCCACCAAACTTAGCACTCAAATTCAGCCTCACTATGTTGTCATTTATTTCTATTTTAGCCCTCGCGCTTCTGGAGTCTAGTGTCTTAGGACGCCCCCATGGGGCCAGGCGGGATATTTCTGGCCCGTTTAAGCTGTATGCATATGGAACAGACATTTCTGGGCTTCCCGTTTATTAAAAAAAAGGAAAAAAAAAAAAAAAAAAAAAAAAAAAAAAAATGGGGTTTTAAAAAAAAAAAAAAAAAAAAAAAAAAAAAAAAAAAAAAAAAAACAAAAAAAAAGATGAGATTCCGATTTACGGTAAGCGACCGACTTCCTTGGCAAAATGGGATGAATCTAACTTCAACCGGTTTAGTAACATCTGGCGATGACCCTACCACCTGGATCGCGCGCCCAGATAATAGCACTTCGTTGGGCAGCGACCTAGTTTTCAATGCTGATGGCATTACCTCGGACTCCACCATTGTTGCTTGTGTGAATGAGACTGGCCTGACGAACCCTGTGAATTTTGTCCAAGTTGGAAGTAATTCAAGTGGCGAGCTCACAAATGTGTGGACTCTCTATGGGACAACTGTCTTGATCAACGAAGATGGGGCCAACTTTTATGCACAGTCCACGGATGAGGATGGGTGGTATAACTTGGTATGGAGTGATTCTGTTGATGCGTCAACTGATAATATTCTCCTTACTTTGCTTGCTGAGACTCAATAGTTTCAAGGTTTTAGTCTAGACGTGTTGTTGGCTTGCTAGGCGGTCAACAGGGGACCCTTGTAGTGTCGTTGTGGGATTTGTATAAGTCGTGATTGTATGTTAGTATCTGTCAACTATTAGCCTTGCTTCTTAGATTCAACATGTGCATGGCACATCTCAGCTTTGGAGATGTCATATTATAACAAGACTTTTTTTAATGATAAGAAAATGCAGAGGAAACGGAGATTCTTATATTCAAGTTATACTGCTCCAGATATATGCTATAGTCACCAAGTACGAGGTCATCCAGCTGATGTAGTACAAAGGCCCCTTGCAGGAGTCCTGGATGACATGAATCACCTCTAGGCAACTGGATAAGATGAAGATAGACCTCTTATTTAGGTTATAGTAATTTTTTAATTTTTTTTTCTAATTCATTCTATGTAAACATAAATATATCCATCTTAATTTAGCTATCTCTCACTTTACCTATCTCTTACTTCAGATATCCCTTACTTTAGATATCTATAGGGCTGGTAGTTACGGAGTACCTATATCCAAGTTGAACTATGTAGCAGCTAGCCTTCCTTGACCTCCAGGTAATCCTGTAGGTAATCATACAGGTAACCCTGTAGGTGATCATACAGGACACCCTGTAGGTACTTATGTATAAAGAAGTCTAGGCCACCAGTCACCTATAGATGTTACTTACTGAGCTCTGTACTTGAGTAGGTGGACAATCCAGAGGAGGTGAACACACCTGGTCAAGGACTTGAACCAACTGGACTCTAATGTCATTTCTGAATGATGTGATTCTCAATCTTATCTCATCCGTTGTTGTCGCCCCACCAAGACCAAAGACCATGTACGATTTCCCACGCTTTACCCCTCTTCACTCTGGAACATACTCGCAAACATGGGAAACACACTCTCCTACCAAGAATCCCTCCACGAGATAAATCTCGGCAAAAAAGGAAAGATTCAAGGAACTCAATACGACAACAAATCCCGCAGATATGCCGGAATCCCCTATGCATTACCCCCAGTAGGCGTGCATCGCTGGCGAAAACCCCGCCCATTACCAGAAAATCACACATATACGCAGCCTGATGGCAGCGCGTTCGATGGAACGTGTTTCTATCCTATTTGTCCCCAGGAAGCATATGCCGGTGGGGCGGAAAAGGATCTGGACTCAGAATCGTACAGTGAAGATTGTTTACGGCTGAATATTTGGACCCCGAACGACGATCATCGGAGTTCGGGCTCGAAATGGCCCGTTGTACTTTGGTTTCATGGCGGTTGGTTTCAGTTGGGTGAACCACTACAGGAATTGGGTATGGACCCCACTGAAATGATCTCAACTGGAAAATTAAATGCGATTGTGGTGGGTGTTGGGTATCGGCTTAATCTTTTTGGGTTCCTTGCTGGTGAGGCTCTACTGGAGGAGAGTCATGGTGAGAGTGCGGGGAATTTCGGACTCTGGGATCAGAGATTAGCGATGGAATGGGTCGTTCAGAATATTGAGGCGTTTGGTGGTGATGTTGGCAATATTACTCTTGGTGGACGCAGTGCGGGCGCGTATGCGGTTCACGCGCAGGTGCTTCATGACCTTCGATCGGAGGATGAGGAGCGCCTTGAACTTTTTCACAGATTTTATATGTACTCCAATGCTATACCAGCTCAACCTAAGGCATTAAAGGATGTTAATCCTCAATTTGAGGAGCTTTGTGAATATTTCAAGGTTGATCATACCTTGTCTGGACCGGAGAAGATTGACAAGCTGAGGGAGATCAGTTATGAAGATCTTGTCGCTGCGATGAAGCATCTTAAGAATCATACCTTCCGACCTGTCACCGATGAATTGTTTATTTTCTCGGGATTTACTGAATACCATCGCAGTGGTGCTTTCGCTGAGCAGTTTCGGAAAAGAAGACTCAAAGTACTTATTGGAGAAGTCCTCAACGAGGAAACTCTCTACGCAACGTACAATACTCCCGAACCGAATATTGATTCTCTGCGATTGCAGGTTTCGAATTACTATGCTCCTGAGACGACCGATCGCATTTTACATGCCTACGACTTGCCCTCAACCGCTGATCCCAAGGCCTGGAAAACGGTCTATGGGAATATTATTGCGGATGGACAGGTTCGAGCTCCGACTCGTTGGCTAATTCACTCTCTTTACGATCATGGAGTTTCTTTGAGGGATATCTGGCGATATAGAGTGGCATACAGATTGTCTTTCATTACTGATAAGGTTGCTCCTCGGTCTTATGGTGTATCTCATGCAATGGACAAGCCATTTTGGAAGTGAGTACTCTATACGCATTGTGTCAATTTACGAGTTGCGCTAAACAGTAATAGTTTTGCCATTCTGCATGGCCCAACTGATGACGAGAGAATTCTAATGGAGGGATGGATTGAAGCTTTTGTGGCGTTTGTGAATGACCAGGAGTACCAATATGGCACGAATGCTATTGATGAAATGCGAGTTGCTACACCCGAGGGCAAGATCGAGATTCAAAAAGATGTGCGATGGGATGATTTGGTTAAACTTGGAGAGATCTTTGCCAACGACGTTTGAGTAAATTCAGTCAAATTGAAACTATTTATCCCAGATTCCATAATTTATTGCCCATTTATTCCTTTTATACATGTCGGGTATCATTTCAGTCATCATGCGTCAATTCATCCACTCAGTCTTCAAGTTATCGAGTTCAACGAGCTTGTTTGTGATGAACTCTTCGTAAATGATCCCGCATGTTATCCATTCGACTAAAAACCCGTGTACACCCCTCCCATTCACATGTGATGCTTGGATTATGTCTCGCTTCGTGACGCGCCCGATCCTTCTTACTGGAGAATCCCCCAGAAACTGATTTTGGACAGGAGGAATATCGACAGAAGAGGTGTCGATAGTGACGTTTGTAATGTTTTCGTAGATCACAGCCTCGCTGGAAAGTTGTTTTGGAGTTGCAAGTTGGAAATGAGCAACGCCATCCGTCTTCGGTCGGGACTCCGTAATTTAATAGATCGTCTCTTTCTTTTAGTGGACCCGGTGAGATAGAGACATCTCGTGGACTTGGTTGTGGAGATTCGGTGACGGAGAATGTTGATGTTGACCAGGAGAAAACACTTTCACCATCGGCTGTGGTATCGTTATATAAAGAGTATTCTGGAGCCGGGACGGTGAGTTTTCCTTGATCTTCAAGTTCTATGGATTCGGATGGAATATTGTAGCCTTGAACTCGAACTTGAAGGCAGGAACTCGGACCCAATGTGGACACTGGCATCTCGGCAGATGCATATGGTATATCACATGGAAACGTCGATGATGATATGTAGAATCCATCCAGGTATTCGTCATCATACATGGTGAATTCCAAAGGCAATGGAAAGGGGATTGGCATGGATTCCATGGTGGACATGGTTATATAGTCATAAGTTTCAGATGTTATTGAAGTTGAAACAATAAAATAAGAATGATATGATGTCTGAAGGAGCTGTTAAATGTTAAATAGCTTCTTGTAAATGTAAATGTCAGCATCAATCCGTGGACCCTCCGGACCCTTACCACGTATTCCGCCGCATCGATTTCCCTAATCCGCCCCGTGGGTCCTAAGCTCGTAGGGCTGTGGGGGGGCTGTGTATAAGTGGATCCTGGGGGATAAATATGATCAATTCATTGGCTGGTTCGTTAAAACAAGGAAACTACAAGGCGCAAATTCTACTCAATCAAGTAAATGCGATCATAAACGCGGGATACTGGGTCTCATCTTGTTCGGAATCTATAATTAAGCTGCAAAGCCTCAAATTTCTTCACATGTATTCCCCTTCAGCCCAAAACCTTGGGTTGGCTTAGCTTTTATCACCGCTTAATTCATGCGGAATTCTTATAAAGTTGCTGACAGGGACCCCAAAACTGTCGGTGAGACACTATACTACGTATACTTTTTTTTCCTTTATGCGGAATGTGAGAGTTCAGCTGATGGTTTGTAACTTAACGATAACCTAACCCCTGTTAATTCTGAGGTGGTATACATAATACATAATACCTGGGTAGTATCCATTGTAGAGCCCTGTAGGGCACTTAAATAAGGGAAGATCATCGGATACGGTTGTCTGTGCGATCCAATAAAAGGTGCAATTTGGATTTGAACATTCTTTTTGTATTATTGATACTGTTAATGTATCATTTAATGGTAGAACTTACCATTTATCATTTACCATTTACCCAAATCATGGATTTTAGTGGAGAAATTGAAATGAGTTAGACCACATGGGAAATAAGTGCGAATCCTTCTACATGATGTATGACACAATATGAGTACATAGCTAGGTATTCAACTGAACATCGTTATGAGAGTAAGGGGGAAATATTTTAAAGATAGAAACACTTGAAACACTCTACCTCGATTTACTAGGAAATCCATCATGATGCAGAAGCAGTCCAAATTATAATGTAATGTTGCCCCAATGTTTGAACAATTTAGAACTCGAACTTGATATTGCGTCATCATTTTAGAATGTCAACTGGTATATACATAACAACTTCAGTGTCAAATATTACAGCTTGGATGCCTTAATCAAATGAGCATTAACCGGAGTAACCGCTTCGCCACTCTGCTGATAAGAAAGAATGTTCTCCATCCCAAGTCGCTCAAACCCAATATGTGAGTCCAACGAGGCTCCCGCATTGTGCGACATAATCTCCACATTCTTCATTCGAGCCAATTCCGCATTAACATGCGGCTCATTAAAGTGAACATCCAGTCCAGCCGCAGATAACTGACCCCGCTTCAGCGCATCAATCAAGGCATCTTCATCAAGAAGTTTTCCTCGAGCGATGTTCACAATTCGGGATCCCTGCTTCATCTTTGCTAACAGAGAAGCATTCAGAAGAGTCTCCCCACTAAATGGGGTGGCGACAACAACACAGTCTGAGTCTGCGAGAAGAGTATCCATGGACTTGTGGAACGTCGCGTTGGATACTTGCTCGAGATGCTTGGGCATCTGGACAATATCGTGGTAGAGGATCTTCATATCAAGAGCCTTGTATGCCTTCTCAGCCGTTCGGCGTCCAATCTGTCCAAACCCTATAATGCCAAGGGTATGTCCCTTGGGATTGTGAGAAACCATAGCAAGATTGCGATTCGCATCGACGAATTGACCCGCATCAATAGCTCGAGCTGCCATTGCGGACCAGGAGAATAGTCGGAATGTAGAAATAATCAACCAAATCGCAGCATCAGCTACGGACTCGGTACAAGCTGCGGCAGCATTGCAGTAAATAACACCTGAAAAGTCAGCACAGTACTTCAATAATGTACATGTATCGTGATTTGCTCACCTTTCTTGGCTAAGGCAACTGTATCCACCCAGTCAAATCCAGCACCGGCACTAGCATAGATCTTGCAAGAGGCAGGAAGTAATGAGATGAGCTCTTCATCCCAGTTTCCCATCTCACCACCGGTATTCCAGAATGGTCGGTACATCGCAACGAAGTCACCGAATTGACGCTCCTTCAAAGCGCGGATAAACTCCGGTCGCGACATACTGTATGAGCGTTTGATCTCAAAGTGATCGTTGAATTTGGCGTAGAGCTCATGGTTCCAGCGGATATCATCGCCTAGTTGGAGAACGATTGGTTTGCCCATTTTGAATTTCAAGGTTGTTAAATCAATTGTGAATTGAGATCAGGAGTAGCTTCAGAATGTTTGAGCTTCCCCGGAATTGGAATAAATATTGCTCTTTGCTTCTTCACGGCTATTGGGCTATTGCAGGCCTCTGTTGCGGCTATTGAGTGGAGTCGGTTATTGAAATTCGATCGGGGAAGTCCAGAAAGCCGAGTATTTGGTCTGAATTCAATTTCAAGTTGAGATTTATGAAATAGGATGAATGGTACTCTTGATGGCATTCTCTAGTCCAATATATTTAAGTCTGAAATAAGAGACATCAAGGTTCGAACTTGAAGGTATCCTGTGTAGGAGGACGGAGTACACACATGCAATAGTACTCCGTACTTAGTACCCGCATCGATTCTATGAATATGGTCGGTAATGCAGATCGCCAGCGGAACTTGAATTCCTCCACTTCATGTTTCATGTCTACGAACTCTTAGTATCTCCTAGAATCGAGCGAGACTTGACCTATAGCCGAGGACATAGTCCAAATTATTGCCTCCAAGGTTCACCTTGGTGTCTGCTAGAAGTACAATTCTGATTCACGATGGATGAAACCACAGATCTGTACTCAATACTAACAAGAAAATTGAAAAAAAGTAGCAGTCATATGAACATGACAATGAGATAGAGAAGATGATCTCTCGAAGGATCAATTCTGACACTGAATCTGACATTGAAGCGATAAGGCTGATATAAGCAGCGACTAGATCCATCTTGGATGGCGCGATACTACAAAGCGGGGAAGCAACACCAACTTGAAGGCCCTGGCCATCATGGCTTCGGATTCTGCAGCCACCACTCGTCGCTTATGGTCAAAGTTGGAGGACGGAAGACTCGTTTCTCTCGTGCAAAGGTTTGGCGATCAGCGAGGAAAGGAGGGTAACTGGAAAGAGATCTCTAGACACCTCCCTGGGCGATCCAATAAGGTCAGATAATCTCTGATTAGTCCAGCTAGTAGGTGTTGAGAATCAGGCTAATGGTAACCAGGACTGTCGGAAACGATGGTTTCATTCGTTGGATCCGGCTTTGCGGAAGGGCAGATGGTCAAAAGAGGAGGATGAGCTTTTACTTGCAGCGTATAAGCAATTAGGACCTGCTTGGAAAGATATCGGTAAGTGTGCCTTGCTTGTAAATGTTATGCTTATCAAAGAGACCATACGAAAAACTTCACTAATATAGGATACAGCACTCTTGATTGAGGGTCGCAAAGATGACCAATGCGCAAAAAGATACAATGATATTCTGAATCCATTGGCAAAAGACCGGCTTAAGAATTGGTCGCCGCAAGAAGACCAATACCTTGCTGCAAAGGTGCAAGAACTCGGTCACAAATGGGCTGCTATCTCTGCTGGATTACCAGGTCGTCCTCCCCTGACATGCAGAAATAGATGGAGGAGACTTTCAAAAGATCTCTTGAAACAACCCGAAGAACCTTTCAATACTCCAACACCAGCACTTGGACCAGATTCCCAGTCCATCGCTGACAGTTTTCCGACGGACCTGTCGTTGTACTCAGTGGATCCGGATGGATTGAATGATCCTCAGAGCCTTGATATCTCTACCGACCTATCACTAGGCCTTCTACCCGATAATACCTTACTCTCACCTGTATACGGAATGGACACCATGAGTATCCAAAGTGGCTCAGTTTATGGAATGGATAATATCAATCTTCACAACACACCAAGACCAGATATGACACATGGATTACCTGATTCAGGTTTTTCATTCCAACAACTTGAAGAGCTCTATGAATCCGCCTCAGAAGGACCCTCATTCGCACTTCCAGATCGAAATTACGAATCAGAACCAAACATGCTAACGGATTTTTCGATTTCGAATCTTATGAACACGCACACGCATACTCGTCCGCGCTATTCTTGGCAGATTAATGATGGGAATTATCTGTATAATATCGCTTCTCTTGATCTGGCTAATACTCACCCCCGGGTTCGTCCAAATCCTCCGAGATCATTGCAGACTCGGATGCCGGGTCCAGGAACTAGTTTGGTTATTCCGGAAGTAGATGAAGAGTCTGATCCCCTACTGGAACAAGCAGCTGTTCGTCAGGTCTTCTCGAATGACTCGATGGGTGGTGATCTGGTAGCGGGGGCTGGGCCTGGTCCTGGAGTTGTGCAGCATCATCATCATTTTCACCATCATCATTATCATCATCACTACCATCATTAGCATTTGGAATTTAGGATGCACATGTTCTATTTTCTTTAGTATACGTCTTAGGATGGCTTCATTTGAGTGAATGATATCGTCTCATGAGAATTACTGTGAACGCACTAGCACTTGAGTACTCCAGTCATGAATTCAGATTTGAATATTTGAGAGGCTAGCATTAGATACATAGTGCTAGTATCTTCTCACTTCTGAACCAAGCACTACATGATTCTCTTTTTACTAGGATTCTCATAATTGCCTTATCAATAAATTCTGTACTATGGAGGCAAGTGTAACAAACCAAGGAAACTCAGCAAGTGATTGCGCGTGTTTAGACAGTTGACAAGAAATGAGATAATGAATTGAAGCACAGAAAGGAACGTGCACATATTTGGATTAGAAAGAAACAAAAGAAATGAAATCCTGGACGAACAAGGATTCAGAAACGGTCAGATCAAGAGAACTCCATAACAAAAAATCGCAGGGGACGGGAAACGCCATGGTCAACCCTGAATCCAAAGGGGACACAAGTAACAGAGAACGCCCTCAGAATAGTTGAATGAAAAAGAAGAAAGAGAAAATATGAACGCCGAATCTCCATACCCAGCTCCTGAATGATATCTTGAATCAATTGTGTCGACAGAAAAGAACAAAAAGAAGGAATAAAAAATCCTTGAAAGAAAAAGAAAATAAGACGTTAACCAGTCCAGCATGTCGGTCATGAGCAGGTCAAATCTTATGGAATCGAAAGTCTCTCATTATGCAACCTACCCGCGCCGTCTTCGTAAACCGAACTCCTCTTCTTGAAGCTCCCGAATGAGACGAAGACTCTCAGCATCGGTATCTGCTTCATTGAACAAGTGTTTGGAGTGCTTCGATTGATGAGGGGATAGTGAAGTAGTCGCATGCCGATCAAAAGTCCGTTCAGCCATGGGTGAGCTCTTCTTTGCATAAGAGGAAGACGGCCGGGATGAAGGTTTCTTAGACGAGGAAGGGAATCCTGGCGAGGTTCGACGTGTGGTAGATGGAATTGTTTTATTTGCTGGCTTGGGAGGACGAGTCGTGGAAGCCTCTGGTGCGAAGCGCTCCACATGTCGAGGTTGACGTGATGAATGTCGAGAACTGGAATTGGGTGTGTGAAGAGTGGTGGGGACCTCACCCTCAACGGACGCTAGTGGCTCACCATCGTGCACTACATCCATTTCATCGGCCAGCGACGTGGGTGGAGATACCAAGGAGGCGGTCGGCTTTGATGAAACTGGAATCGAATCGGCATCATTGGTTTCAACCGAATCGACATGGAAAACAGGGGGCGATGCATACAAAGCATGACTGAGATGCGTCTCGTCATCCTTGATGGGCTGGGCCTGGAGGTGATTAATAACACCATAGGCGATAGCCTCGTCATCGTAGCTTGCGACAGGCATCATCGCTTGTGTGATGACCCCTCTGCCTTCGACTTGACTGAAGAATGCTGGGTGTGAAATTGGAGAGGTGCTCTCTTGTTTGGTCTTCTTCACTGTGGTAGGGACGCCGTCTTCTTCGTTTGGTCGAGGTCGCTTTGTAGAAGCAGTACCACGGGGCTTCGACCGCTCCTGAGCCTTGATCGGGTCGATATTTCCACGTTCATCATGAATACAACGGCGCTAATTCTTTAGTCAGTTGAGGGCACACAAGCGGAGGATTGAAGATAGTACACTAACCTTGCTTTTCCGACAGTCATCACAAGCTTTGCTTCGTCCTTTCTTACCACCATTAGTTCCGTCAGGGCTTACTTCATTTAGCCTGTTGGCGGCGGCCGTAGATGCTCCCATCACACTCGAGTGAAAAGCTGAGCCATCAAATCGTTCCAGGCCAGCCACGCCGTTAGGTTGAAATCCAGCCTGAGAAGCAATCGCAGCCAAAGAATTGAGTGCGGAGACAGCATCTTGAGCTAGCGAAGATGGAGTGCTAAGACCGGATCCAGGCCCAAATCCGTTAATTGCCATTGGTCGACCTTGCATCCACTCATTTGGCTCGTCCTTGTGGCGACACCTGATGCGCCGTCTGCGACAAGCATCACATGCGACGCGTTTTGGCCCTAGCCCAGAGCCACGCGGTGCAGACTTGGGCTTAGGGGTAGCTGGCTCTTGAGAAGGAGGAGGGACAACAACAGCGATGGTAGTAGTAGCCGCAGCAGCAGGAGCAGCAGTAGGGTCAGGAATTGGACCCATGGGAGCCGGCGTTGCACTCTCAGAAGGTGCAGGGAGACTGCTACTCACGGGAGGTATGGAGGAAGCTATGGGCTCCTCAGTTGGTCGACGAACTGCTTGTCTTTCCGCATATGTGCGCTGTGCGTCCAAATTGCGTTCAGATCTCCGACTCGGCCGGCCGGCAGGCCGTTTTTCTTGAAGAGAGACTTTGGGGTTGCTCTCAATGACACCAGGACGTGTCCACGTAGGAGCCTTCTCATTGCCACGCTTCCATGCAACCCAAATGCCAAATCTCCGGATCACATCCACGGGATCGCTGACCCCCTTTGGAATGGAGCGCCGGACTGCATTTCGTACTTCTATTGTCACTCCATCGACATTATACGAACTTGCAATGAGAGCTGTCCGCAGAAGGTATTTCGTTAATTCTGGGAGGCCTTCCAGCTCGGCCTGAGAATAGAACCGAGCATTGTAGTAAGGCGAACCAACGGGCTCTTGGTTGGTGCGTTCACCAAACTCATAATAGATGGGATATTGTCGATGAAGTCGATAGTTCTCATCCTGGGCGAAAGCGTCCAGCACGTTTTGCGGAATAGGATCATCTTCCAGATACCTCAAAGCTGTATACCATTGGATCTTCTGGAAGAATGGGTACCTGAACTTCTTGGGCACTTTGGTCTCCTTTTCGATATTGAGAATTTTGATTTGCATTCCGTAATTCAGCCTGGTGAGGAAATTGCCACCGATGACCAGACTGTTTTCCGGAGTCCATACGGCATGTATCCAGCCTGATGGGATCAACATAGTATCACCTTCAGATAGATCCACGCGGTAGCACTCCTTGGTTTGGTTGCCCAGGAATATTGAATCTTGCGCGGGGGAATTGCACCACTCCTCATATTTCTTCAGATGCTTGTCCTTGGGAGGGATGAAGAAAAAGGTTTTCTTCCCCTTCAGGATATGGTAATACACGGAGGAACCACCAAAGTCGATATGAAAGTCCGTATAGCAGTCGGCAACGGACATCAAGCAATAGAATTGGACCTTGGGATAGTCTCCAATAGCCTTCAGCTCCTCGGGCCAAACAGCATCTTGCAAGTCGAGATCGCGCACAACCTTCGGTCGCTTGATCAGACGGCCTAGCTTGCTTTGCGACACCTCCAAGCTGATGACATTCCGAACTGGCTTGTTGGGCTCGGTGCTTTCGTAGTAATCGGCCCATTTCTGCATGTTCCATCGCTTATCTTCTCCTTGTTGTGACTTGACATCGATTACCTCAACCCGTTCTTGGGGCCCATAAAGCTCAGCGACAGCCCGCACAGTGAGACCTTGCGGAATCACCATGTCTAGTTGATCTTGGCCACACTCGGGGTACTCCTTCACATCGATCGCTTCTTCAGCAACATGATCCAGGAGCTCATCAAACATCTCTTGTGTGGAAGCTTCGTACACCAAGGTCTCCAGGCTTGAGTCGACTTCCGGAACGGGCTCACGGTTGTTCCAACAGGCGGGGATGACAACAGGCTCATTCCAACCATTGCCTCGTTCGAAGTATTCTGCTGTTACCAGTTCTGGCTTCATGCGAGGGAAGGTCTCGGGTAGGAATCGGATTTTGCCTTGGCGAATGGGCTCGAGGTAATGGTGTTCCACGGAATCACTCGCTGCCTTGACAAGACCTTGATTCAGGCCGGCATAGTCAATTGCCGTGCGAGCACGCGAGGACTTGCGGACAAAAGTTGTTTGGCCGTGGGCTGGTCGGCAGGCACGGCAGATGAACTTATCAACAGTCCGTACCTCCCGGTCGTTCTTGAATCCGGCACAAACGATATGAAACCAGCGCTTGCACCCATCACAGCCAATCCAAGTATCTTCATCTTGCTCCTCAGTTTCTATGGGGATCCGAACCAGGTGACATGCAGCACAACTTGCTTGGTTTCTCTCTACCTCTTCTCCATCATTGTCTTCTTCAACTTTCGGATTAAGATCAGGTGTGTCGTGGGATAGAAAGGGATCTAGGATTGGGGGGGCGTCGGTGATCCCCAAGCCCAGCATAACGAGACACCTCAGTTGGGGTGCTACTATCCTCGCCCTCGTCCTCCCAAACAATCGGAGGCAATGTTCCCGCGCTAGTTGTTGGGCGTACATTGTGAATGGCAGGGCGTGAGAGGAAGGCGGATCCATCAGAGCGAGACCTCATCCGTGATTGTGGAGGAAGACCACCGTCCTCGGCATGTGAAGATTTGACATCTTGCAGACCCGTCAAATCTCCACCAGCGATGCCAACCCGATTATGCCGCATTGAGTCGCCTTCGTATTGGTTGAAAGTCTCATCAATGCTAACTCGTTTTGTGTGGTTATGATTATTGGATGGAAAATTGGTGGGTCGAGCGAAGTTGAGTAAAAGCTCCGCGTCGGTTTTCATGCTGTCTATGAAGGCGGAGTGGGGGTTGTTGTTGCTTTGTGGAATTCCTCGAGGCCGGGACGGTGATAAGTCTCTTTCTGACCGGGCACGCTTCGCCGGCCTCTCGGAGTTATTGTCGGAAGGAAACAAGGGTACATTGGAGTGAGGGTTGGGGGATGGTGGTCGATGTGAGAGAGGAGCAAAAGTCGGACTCGTTGCGAGAGCGATCGTTGCAAGTGTGTCAATGGTCGAGTTGGACCGGCCATGGCCCGACCGGTGATGTGAATTAGCATCGGTAGCAGAGTTTCGTGTGTGATTGGACGGGCGCTGGTCACGATCCAGGCTGGCAGCTCGAGTGACGGCGCGCTCGGCCCAAGATGCACGAAAATCGGTGGTGGTGGAGGGAGTGATGGGTTCGACGGCGCGTCGCGGAGGGGACGGGGTGCGGTATTGAGGGAGGCGATCGCCCATAGGATTTAGGAAGGATGCGGCGCTCATCATTTTTGCGCCGTCGGTGTATGACCGGGAATGGAAAAAAATGAAGGAGACCGAGTCGGCGGTGCGAGAGGATGCGCCTGCGGTAGGTGGGTGCAAAGCGGGGATGTTGGACCACACGGACTAGCGAGAGGCCGTCGCAGAGGAAAAGAAAGTCATTCCTGGCAGGAGATCATGCGCACGAGGGACCGTAAGATGGACCAAAATAATCGATGGAAGGATTGTGGACGGAGGAAGCAAGCGGGATAGAGGGAGAGGCGAGTTGCGGATGCGCTTCGAGTTGAGGGGGCTTCCAGTTTGTCAAGCGGCGGGAGGACAAAGGCGCCGAAAGTCGCGCCGCAGCCCGCGGGCAAGTAAAAGGAAATCGAATCAAATGCAATCCAGTTAGCAGGAATAAGCTCCTGCGAACTGGATAACAGGTATGTTGAAATGGATGGAAGGGCTTCCGAGAAAGGGTGAGTTGGCGGGAGGGGAGAATGTCAAGGCGTGAAAGAGGGAGACAGTAGTAGGCCGAGTAAGTTAGTAGTGTAGATTGGGGCAAGGTGCGTACGCGGGACAAGCTGCGGACTAATTGATAGAAGATCGCGACTTGGGGCTTCCCCAATTCAGGTAATAAGTAAAAGAATTATGCCAATGGAGAGCTTCAATGTGTCTTAAAGAAGTTCAAAGTGGCTTGAATTCCCCGGGTAAGTTGATTCAACTGGCGACGAGAGCGTCGGTTTCGAGCTGTAAGCCTGTAACCACCTGGGCAGGTGATGCTATGACAATACGTGACAGAACGTGGGGATTTTAGTCTTGGAACGATCTTCATAGATAAGGGGGAATTCGTTAAGATAACAGTAACCAGTTGATTCTGTAATTTAGTCACGTATTGTAAAGTGCTTACCTCATCCCGTCGGTCCATCAACGTTCAATTGACGCTAACCCCAATTCGGCCATGCCAAGACCACTCTTCTGCACTCTGCGTGTTCTTCTTGTTCTTTGCGCTTGCTCCTCCTCCTACCACTACTAAAGCCCTCGGTACCCCGGGTATCCCGCTGCTTTATCTCTTTTTAAACCTCTTACTTCTCTTTCTATATCTCTCTGAGGATGAGCCGGAAGCTCGCCCCCGAAGCAAATCGGTACGTACAATTTCTTTTTGCCCCTCTCCATGTCCGGGCACATGAGCGCCACTAGTGTACACGAACAAGTCAAACCTTCATCAGGGAGGAGATCTGGATCTAAATTTATACTAACATATATGATCCCGATAGGATTCTCTTTGTCAAGAACCTCAAGTACGTCTTTTTCGCAATCCGCGGTACTCCGCTAGTCCGCCAAATCTCTTATTCGCCGATATCGATATCGTCTGCAATTTCAAAACTCGGCGCTGACTTTACTTCCTTAGCTATAACGTAACGGCAGAGCAGCTCTTCGACCTTTTCGGCAAGTTTGGGCCTATTCGGTAAGTTCATTGATATCTCACGCGTTTTAAAGATCCATCTCTAATCATCGAATCTTTCCCCCCTGCAGCCAAATCCGTCAAGGTATCGCCAACAACTCCAAAGGTACTGCCTTTGTGGTATATGAGGACGTACACGACGCCAAGCAGGCATGCGATAAGCTTAATGGCTTCAATTTCCAGAACAGATACTTGGTCGGTACGTTAAGGGCTATCCGTTCACCCTGGGGAAAAATTGTTTGAACACAACTAATGTATCCCCGATAATAGTATTATATCACCAGCCCGAGAAGATGCTCCGTTCGAAAGAGGACCTCGCCGAGAGACAAGAAAATCTGGAACGGCTTAAACAGCAGCATGGAATAGAATGATATGACGATATTCCGCTCTAATGATGCCCTCTGCAAGCGTTTAGCTGCGCACGGTATTACGACAGCTCTCCTATTCTATCGAATTCGGCTTGGTTGAGGGGTTACCGGCGTTTTTTTTATTCCCTGGGGTTTCTTCTATATTTTCGACCTTCAGCGGCAGGGTGATGGAGGTTCGATGGGTTTTATCTGTTGGTGCTCCATCGTGATCGAGGACTTTTTGCACGAAGCCAACACGATGGGAGGTTTTATTTATTTCTATGTGCATTCTATTACATACTCTTATTCCTGGTGATCACAATATGAATCCCCCCCACTTTTGCTCAGCAATCGATGTTCCATGACGTTCAAGTTTCTAAGGAGGTTTTCGGGTATTGAATCTATATCTACTAGTGTCATCGATGCGTTTAGTTTGACAAATCTGATCTATTGAAGAACAATCTGTTCATCATTTCAATAGCCTCTTTATTCCAAATTAGGGTCTCGGCAATGCGAAGCGTTGAGATCCACTCAACTAACACTGGACCCTTGTTTCATCGCCGGTCTAGTTCACTATAGATTGACAAATCTACCACCGCTTATGAGCAATACCAACTTCCCAAATGAGAGTAGTCTGACATATTACTTCAGCTCTATTCCAGCCCCTTGTAGATCCCGTACCCCGTAATGTCATCATTGCTTGCCCGTTATGTATAGAGCACAGCCAAGGAAGCCTGGGCCGTGTCGATCCCGCTGCGGGGGGCGGACACCGCCTCCAGTAGCTCATTGCATGGTAGGTGTCATCGCCCCAAGTCTCTTCTCCGAACATAATCCTTAATACAACTTCTGCCGCCCGCTAGGCTATTTTAAACCATGCTTAATCTTTAAATTACGCCTCGGTGCCCACTAAGCCCGGTGGCTACTTCGATCAGATCTCGAACGTGACACAAACTTGCAATTCGGTGTACGTCACATGTTCCCACACACCAGACACGAAGAAACCTACTAGTGGACCATCTGCGCAGCAGACCTGCGTCTTGCATAAGCAGCCATGGATCCTTCTCCCATATCTCTTGCTTTTAAAGCGTCAACGACTCTTATCGCTTCAACCTCACCTCCAGACCCGTCATCAACATCGCATGTCCACATGCTCCACTATCATGGAACTTCTCTAGCCGGGATGCAGGAGTTTGATGGAGATACCGGCGAATGTAAATTGCTTGGGCCCTTTTCGATTCTCGTTCAGACTGCTCTTGGGGCACTAGCGCTACTGTCGTTGGTTTACAAACGATGGAGAGAACGGCCTCAACGCCCAGTCAAAGTATGGGCCTTTGACGCCTCAAAGCAGGTCTTTGGGTCGGCCATGATTCATTTAGCAAACCTATTCATGTCTATGCTGTCAGCCGGTCAGTTGGAGATCCAAATGGACTTTAAGCCGAACCCGTGCTCATTTTACTTGTTGAATCTTGGGATCGATGTGGGTACCCTTATGACATTGTGGATTTCCCTAATATGGACTAACATTCGCTTCAGACTACTCTAGGAATTCCCATATTAATCATTGCACTTCGAATACTAAATCTTCTCGCATCATACACTACTCTCGCGAACCCTCCAGAATCAATCGAGTCCGGCAACTATGGCCATCCGCCCCGCTCAGCTTGGTGGTTCAAGCAATCCATGATCTACTTCTGGGGTTTGCTCATTATGAAAATATGTGTTTTCTTCCTGATTCAACTTTTTCCCATCATCGTCAAGATCGGTGACTGGGCTCTACGCTGGACAGAAGGAAATACTGCCCTGCAAATCACCTTTGTGATGCTTCTCTTCCCTGTCATCATGAACGCTATTCAATATTATATCATCGATACTTTCATCAAGAAAAAGGTGTCTCACGACTTCCTTCACGATGATCACGGTGACGCTGTTGATGATGATGACCTTCACCGACGAAACCTTCTGGATGGTATCGACGAGGCATACTCATCTGATTCTGATGTAGAGGACGCACCGGGAAAGAAAGCTCCTCTGCCATTATCCCAACCTAAGGGTTTCTTCCAGGACTCAGAAGCTACTCTGACTGAGGATCACTCACCGGTACCCCCTTACGAGGCCATCAGTTCGGGCTCTAGTAGCAGTCATCACGAGCATGGCCAGTCTAAGCCGATTGCCCAAGTCCATCACTGAATGGGTTGGAATTTGCTAGTTAAAATCCCAGTCCCATCCGATCATGCATACACGAAACTGTTCTTCTGAAATACGACCATTTTGTTCTTATTTATGTAGATACTCTATATCAACGAGCTGGTAGCTTCATAGAATGATACTGCTCTGCACATCTTTAATAATCTTGTGGTACAGTTCTTTTCCGTCTAGTACATAAATATCTATGTCTACTGAAATCCCTCATCAATCTACATACGGAACATAAGGATTCCTTGATTAACGGCCTCATGTGAGCGTCATCATGTCTGGGATACGAGTATTGTGGCCTCAGGCACCAGTATCTTGGCCGACGTTGACCGACATCCACACCGCCCATTTCTGCCCGCCCTGCAAAAATCAAAGCGAAAAATATTCTGAATCCCGCTCCGCAAGCTACAGATCGCCGATCGCATCGACGATTTATGACCTAACGAGAAATCGCAGCATCCATTCGACCTTAGGATTCTGCTCTCCCACAATGCCTAAAGCTGGGCTCAAAGTGAAGACCAAGCGGTCGACCGCTCAACCTCCGATCGATAATGATCCAATGAACCAACACTCGGACAACGACATCGACATGGACGATGATACCAGTTCGAACGAGGAAGATCTCCCTGAGAAGGATGAGGCTGAAAAGAAGCTCGAGCGCATGCTCTTTGGTGACGATGAAGGATTCATGGGCGCATTGAAGAGCCAACAGGAACGTGCTGCTGGTATGCAGCTCACTCTGCTCAGCGATGATGAGAGTGGAAGTGGTGGTGAGGGCGATGAGGATGATGAGAACGAGAACATTGAGGATATGTCAGACGCAGACGTATGTGAACCTAGTGGGGGAAAACTGGCCGAAGCGGCTCAATTCGATGTCAATTCTAACTATGTTGATTTCAATAGCTCTTTTTCCTCGACTCAGGCGTCGTTCCCGAAACTACAGATGTCATTCCTTCAGCAGAGACACCATCCGATGAGGAAGATGAGGAATCCGCCCCCGCAATCTGGCATGACAGTGATGACGAGAACCTTGCCGTCTCACTCTCCAGCCACGCTAGATTGCGCAAACTGCGTGTTGCAGAGTCGGAGGATGTGATTAGCGGCAAGGAATATATTCGACGACTGCGCAGACAGTTCCAGCGCATGCAACCTACTCCCGACTGGGCGAACCCTGAACTGGCTGCTAAGCGTCGCAAGACGGGCTCGGACGCTGAGTCCGGTGCTGAGGAGATCGACTCGGATGACGAGGCTGGATACTTATCGATGCAGCCACTGGCTAAGCTGCTTCAGAATACTACGGATCTCACCCGTATTGAAGACAATGCTCGTAGTGGTGGAAAGCGCAAGTTGCGACAGGAAGTACTAGATATCCAACGTCTCAAGGATGTTGGTAAGGCACAACCGGTAAGACACCATTCAGTCCTTTTGTCCCATCAATATCCACGCTAACATATTAATCACCTCTAGTCCTCCATTGACTCGCTCACTTTCCACCCTCACTACCCTCTCCTGCTCTCCTCGGGTCCCGCATCAACCCTCTTCATGCACCACATCTCCCCCTCCGCACCAGCCCCGAACCCCCTCCTCACTTCCCTGCACATCAAAAACACTCCAATCCACACCTCCGCATTCGCGCCACCTGGAGGAAACAAGATCTTCGCCTCCGGTCGACGACGATACTTCCACATCTGGGACCTGGATACCGGCAAAATCGACAAGGTCAATGGCACCGCCGACCGAAAAGAAGAACAAAAGTCCATGGAACGCTTCAAGCTCTCACCCTGTGGCCGTTATATCGGTCTTGTCGGCACATCCCGTAAGGGTGGTGGTCTGATTAACGTCCTAGACTCCGGAACCGCTCAATGGGTCGCACAAGTCCGCGTTGATGGTAGTGGCGGTGTTGCCGATTTCGCCTGGTGGTCTGATGGTGAAGGTATGACCGTTGCTAGTAAGAACGGTGAAGTCTCCGAATGGGATGGTAGACTCCGTCGTGTCGTTGCACGCTGGGTGGATGCCGGTGCTGTTGGAACTACAGTCCTTAGCCTTGGTGGTCGCTCTGGTCGTGCTCAGCTTGGTGGTGATCGTTGGGTTGCGATCGGTTCTTCCAGTGGTGTCGTTAATATCTATGATCGTCGTGACTGGGCTGCGGCTTACGCTGCTGCTTCCCAGACTGAGAAGGATGGTCCTTCGCAAGCTGGTATCCCCCGTAACCCGGAGCCTGCGCGTGCTTTGGATCAACTTACTACACCTATTAGCCATTTGGTTTTCGCGCCAGATGGTCAGATGTTGGCTATGTCCAGTCGTTGGAAGCGTGATGCATTGAGACTTGGTAAGCATATATCTTTTTATATTTGGTTTCTTTTTGTGGGATGAGGCTAATTGTGTTTCTTAGTTCACCTTCCTTCTTGCACGGTTTACCGTAACTGGCCTACTTCCAATACGCCGCTTGGTCGTATTTCCTCGGTGGCTATCTCCCCGAACTCGGAGCAGTTGGCTGTTGCTAACGAGCAGGGTCGTATTCGACTCTGGGAGATTCGGGGATAGACATCAGTATAACTTGATGCATCTACCTTCCTTTGCTTGACATATGTTTTATGTATATCCTGGCGTCTCGGACCAGCATTTTACAAGGTTCTTTTTGCGAACATAAATGTATTCAATATAAATCATGCTAAAATACTTTGAGTTCGGCTTAATCCCTGCCCAGGTGCCTAGGTAAAACCCCACGTACCTACTAGTGATAACTTGGGATGAATATTGGTACCTAGGTAGTAAGAAAAGAGGGAATACTAGATTGACGTCTATCAAGCTATATATCCAAACATTTCGCCGGTTCCAAGTTGATGAGCTCTAGATAAAACTTTCATCCAACACCTGCACCAAAACGGAATCAACCCGAAATAAAAAAGCAGACCAAACGCCAAACGCCCTGTATCAACCCAGCCATAAGGAATGCATCAAGCGAGGGTCAAGTAGAATCATGGTATCATGTCGTTCATGAGTGTCTAACTTTGACCAAGCAAAGCGAGAAAGGAGCGAAAAGGGATCCAAAGCAGGATCTAAACTGCCCATTTTTGATCATCATGCAAATAATTGAGACAAACAGGGGTATAATCAGGTAAAATCAAAATAGCCAAATGAAAAGAAATGGAAATAGATGCTGGTGAGATCTGATCCGTGTAGATGTGAGTTACTCGTCAGGCCCTGAGGAGCCCCAGCGTGAATCTCGACTTCCTTCACCAATCCAATCTCTAATAACACAGGGTTTCGTATCGGGCCCTTGACACACCTTGCGTCGATTGAGATGTTTGAATCGGGGTCCGAGCGGTCCGTTCACGTAGTGGTATTGTCCAGCAAATCGGTATTGTCGAGAGTCGCCGAGAGCATAGAATTTATCGCCCCAGTGACCGCGGAAGTAGAACCACTCAGTAGGGGATTCAGGATTGGCGGTGGATGCACGGAGGATGTCATTGTCATAGTCATATGTATATGCGTGTATGTTGAGTGTGGGATCCCAGAGTGGGCCTCGGTCGGTAATGTCGTGTAGTAGTCCCAAGGGAAGAATGTATGGGTGTACATCCGGTGTGGCATACATGGCATGACTGCCTTCGGCAGAGTAGATAACAGGCTAGGATGAGGTTAGGATTAAACGTGGAAGAGTCAAACCGAGTAAGGAGGTTAGGTGACTTACGCGTTGCCCAAGCTTTTCTACAACTTCATAGTTGTATGCCTCACCCGCTCGGTGAGCGCTGAAGAATAGGGCTTTGGGGTTGCCGTGGTGGAACCGCACAAGACAATGCTCCCAATCACCAACATGGTTTCCGAATCGTACATTCATCACAGTGTTTCCCAAATTGAAACTGTAGAAGAAGAACCAGAAAGCGTCGACGACTCCGTTGCCCTTGTCCATGACGAGTAAAATGGCGGGCGCGTCACTTCGACCTCCGCCGCCTGGGACTAAAGGTTTTTGAATCTCGTTACCCCCGTATCGTTTCCGAAGCTCATGGAGTAAGTATTCTTCGGCGTGTGAGGATTCCTCTTTCAATGCTTCTTTGATGTCGTCGTCACTCATATAATCCTCATAATCCTCCTGATACTCTTCCTGGTAATCTTGCTGGTCTTCCCGATCTTGCGTGACCTGACTCAAATCAGACCATTGGGCACGCTCTTCTGGCGTATCAATGTGACCATCTATCCGACTATCCCAATCCGCCCAGGATTCTTTCCTCCTTCCACCCTTCGATTGCGGAATGTTATTTTCACCCTCCAGCCAAGGTGGTCGGGTCTGGGGATCATCGTTACTGGTCAAGTAAACATTTTTCACATCAAACTCATTCAGTTGATCAAGGTCGGTGAGGGTCGGATGATCCCATTGACCTTGCATAGGGGTGTAATTGAGCATGGGAGTGGTGTGGTACAGATGTTCGGCGATATCACCAGGCCAATATTGTTCCTTGGAGTAGAGATGAACAAGTGGGGCATAGTCAAAAACATAGTCGGGGATCTCCCGCTTAGCCCACTCATCCGCATTCCACTCAGATTGATTTGCCCCGCTAGACCAATATGAGCGCCAGGACTCAGCACCGTCCTCGTCATTATCGTCGGGTACTTCGGTCCAGGCGGCCGAGTTACGATGTCCGTATGGCTCGTGGGCTAATTGAAAATGGGCGGCACCGCAGATGCCGATCCAGCGGCAGCTCTTACGGTCGAACCAGGAGCGCGAGGTAGCTATCCAGCTCGACTCCTCACGATCCTCCGCAGACCAGATGAAAGCGTTGGGGCGAGTAGCGCGGACTATGCTATTAACGGAGACATAAATAATGAGTGACGACAGAGTCAGAATGGTTATTTGCGCTTTGCGAGTCATCTGTTGCAGGCAATCGGTATAGACAGCCAATGAAGACTTGGATAGGGACTCGGATAGACCAGCTTCTATGATCCCGGTTGACACGGGAGGGTCAATGCAGGGAACCGATGATAAGGCTGAGGGGCATAGTACCGGGGAGGAGTCTATGGAATGAGAAGTAACGAGAGAGATGAGGCAGTAGAGCAGGATGGGGGGAACGCCTAGACATTTATGTCCATGTTAGTGTTTTTGACCGGGCTTTCCGATTCCAGCCCCATGTGTGTGGATTTGTAAATAAAAGAAAATAAAATAAAAAAATCAGTTTAACATAAAAAATTGGGTCCAAATTATTAGTACATAAAAATGGGGGAGAAAAAAAAAGGATAAGACCAAGTCAGCATTAAGGCCGGGAACCTGCGGAAATGCCTAGACATTTCCCGGATGAGATCGCCCATAGGTTGCCGAGAGTGTTATTCTGCATGCAGAAGCTAAGAAAAAAAACGGAAGACTCGGATACTTACGAACACATGATGTTCTCGCCATTTCGGAGTTAAGGTATGAAATGAATAAAAAAAAGAAGAAAAAAAGAGGGAAAAAGAGAAAAAAAAAGGGTGATCCGTTACCTTGCTTACTCTCTTGATGAGGGGTTCAAGTTGTAGATCATAGATCTTGGTCCTACCAGTCCATCTCTATGCATCCCATAATGTACAATGTACAATGTACATTTTTATTCATATTTTCCTTACACATGAGTTGATTGCTTATTTAGATATCGCCTATTTTTCCTATCATTTTTTTTTCTCATAAATCCGAGTCAAACTAAACATGTTTCGCCACCCCGAGTCACGACAAGCGGCTAGAGTCCGATCTAAAAACGGATGAAACGGAGTTGATGACTGGATCATTGGATAATTTCGATAATGGTATTTACTAAAAGCTTTGTAGAATAGAGTTCAATTCCACTTTTCAAATCCATTCCCGTCAGAACAGGGATAAGTTCCTAATCTCCACCATTAACTCATGTGAGGTCCCCATTGATCTGATATATGCATAGCACAAGTACCAGTTACAGGTTGTTGGTCAGTTGCCAATCACTTGCCCAGGTGGGATCCTCACCGCCTTTGCTGACTCATCTGTATTATCGCGCCTATCTCCTCCACTTGCATTGTACATACTCTTCAGAGCTCATATAGGAGAAGAAATCTTAGCAATCATGAATCCTCCTCTAGATCCTATGCTTCTGGACCCAGGTGAATACGAGTATGAATATGAATATGATGAGACCGAGACCGAGGTAAACCCCCCCCTCATGACTACCTGCTTTTGTCTCACAGCTGATCTTTTGCATAGAGCTTCTATCTAAACCTGGATTTAACCTCCATCAATGGTCCAATCCGCCCTCCACGACAACGGAATGACGAGAACCAAAATGACCCCATCGTCGAAGATCAATTTCAAGATGTTGCAGATGATCAACTGGACGGACACTCTTTTGCGCCCTTGGAGACCAACAACTCAGACACGTTATCGAGCGAGCGAATCCAACTGCTAGGTCTACACACGTGCAACCCCATTATCTCCTACAACAACCAAACCTTCAGTTGCGCATGGGCTGATCAAATTGGGACTGAATTAATCTTTGCGCATCCCGAGACCATACCCGATCCAAACCATATCCTCAAGCCCCTGCGAAAGGGTCCCGCGTATGAGCTACTCGCCGCCAATAACGTCAAGCTCATAGGCCGCAAAGCGACCATCGTCTCTAGTTCAAACCCGGGATTGGTTCTAGACCCTACGCCTGATGCGACAGATGTCAACTCTATTTCAACCGACGTAGACGCATCACCCTCCCACGCCCCGACTTCTACGGCCGTCCCTCGTCGTCCACAAGCATCCACACATCAAGCCAACTTCATTCAACGTCTGCAGGCTATGAAGAATGCAAAGGGTCAGTCGGATACTGTGCGCACGGCCATGACGCTCCGTCGCAATGTGAACTATGCCGACCGACTGACCGCGTGGGCTCGTACCGAAGCTCAACTGGCGGAAATCGCGAACTTGAATAGACGTGCTGCGAATGGTGATGAGGATGCGTTGGATATCCTAGAACACATGCTCCGTGCTTGTGAAAGGGCTGAGGAGGCTCGCATCAATTCTTGATCACCCCGATAAGGATTTCGCCCTCCGCCCGAACCGCGGGTATTCGGGTTATGATGATTGTCTTTTCATGCTCGCCAGGTGGATACAGACCGAAGTCATGTTATTCATCGGTGCTATGTTTCCAACTTCTATTGTTAGGTGCATGCCTGGAAGGATTCAACACTCTGCATGCTCTGTCTTACATTGGGGTCCTCAGGCTGTCAACTTGAACCCAATCTGACAGTACCTGGGGCTGCAGGTCCCGTCGAACGGCTACCCCTATGGGGCGCCCCACATAAAGAGCTGCCTTGAACTGACCAGAATGCCGGAGAAAGAAAGAAAGAACGAGAAACAATCAGCGCAATCTCATGCGCCATTGCGAACCATTCCCCTCAATGATGCCTAATGTGATGGGTGTGATGAATCAATCCCCACCATACCCCGGAATTCAGATTTCGCTCATTTCAACCATCTGGTTCGTGGGATCGTTCCTCGCCATCTACTCCATACTGCAATTTCCCCCAGCCAACATTGTACAACCATAGCTCTACCAATAGATGGTGCCATGTTCTTCGTTAGAAGCGCCTGTGACGTCGTGATCGGCACTTCTCCTCCTGGCGCTTCCTTTCAGGAGTTCTCTAACGGCCCCCACGAATAGGATCGCGGGATAATTTCTTTCACTTCGTCGGTGTACAGCTGGTGTACAGCTATCGAGCCGCCTGTACCTTGTACTTGTGATGAGAAAGGGGTATGTACACTGTACTACTGTGCCTGGCTCAATTGGGAAGCGTTCGAGAGTGCGATGCTTATCTTCGCACTAAGACAAAGAAATTAATCAATACTTGATTTCATCTTGAGTCTAGACCTTGATCAATATAGCTGTAGCCTTGGAGCTCGTTTTTTTCTTCTCTTTGTTTACTTACTAGTAGCGGTGAATCATACAATTAATCTGGATCTGGTTGAAATTAATTTGACTGAGATCACGAAGACGTAATAATGTATGCATCAAAGTGGGTCATTCAGGACCTAGCTACCTAGGTACAGTACATCGTAGTACAAAGTACAGCATGCTTAGAGCTATGATAGAATACTCTAAATTGTGGTATTTTCGATCATCGGAAATATGAATTTTTAAATTGATTTGAATTGAGTATTATTATTCAAGTTAGGGAATCAGCACCACAAACTCCCTAACCTTTTGTGTATCCGTAAAGAACCAGTCATTAAAGTCAGAAGACTTGATTCACGCCACGCTAATGCAAGCCCTTGTAAGAAATCACGAATCCGAAAGCAGAAATCAAAAACCGAATCTATCCCCGTAACCCGAACTGCCGTGTGAAATAAGATAGTGGATGGAGGAATGTGGAGGTGGAGGTATTGTAGGGCCAGCCAGTATCCTCGTATGTCTCCAATGCTCAAACCCGTAAGCGAAAGAGAAGAAGTGTGAAAGAGTTGATGATTTACTCAAGACTGAGACTGGGAATCTTCTCATGCTTGATAGAGGCCTTGCCGTTACTGTCAACAGCGAAGGAAACAGGCGAGGGTGGTGGAGCAGGAGGAAGTCCATCTTCGAGCATCTTAGTAGACTTGTTTCCCGGCACGATGATCAGGTTCTGAGAGAAGCTCATCAGAGCTTCGTGGGTGGTGGGTGGGCTCATAGTCTTGGGAGTAGCGACAGCTGCCATTTTGATTGAGTTGAAGGGTTGAGAGTAAGTGAGGTATGAGGTATGGAAGTATGAGATGTCGAGAGATGAGGACGGTTGAACTTGAAGCGACGGAGTTCTTTGTAGTTCAGATAGCGTTGATACCGAGGTACTCAGTGAATGAATTCAAGTTTTGATTGGAAGTAATGGGAGCTTCACTGGTTAAATATTTTTGATTAGCTGTTTGCTCAGTCTGATTTTCGTGCACCTATGCTTGACTTCTTCCGAAACCGCCCGAGGGAAGTTCAAGTGGATCGGCATCGGAGCTGGGGCGGCAAATGTATAGACATGAAAATGGTAAATGATTTACTCACCTGGACTTTGAAGAAATTCGAGAGGATTCGATAATTTTTTTTCGAAAGATGGGAGGGGGGGGGGGGGAGTTTTTAAGTAGAGATAAGCGATGAGTGAGTGAATGGTGAAGTGTACAAAGTCTTTTGGCTTCCAGAACTTGATAAGCAGAAAAAAAGTATAATAAAAAGATAAGTATAGGTCTGAGTATACTGTACATGAGGTCCGGGGTTGGAACGATAGTTATACTCTCAAGTGCTTCACCCTTTTTATTCACCCTTTTTTTACATATTGATTTGAAATCTCGGAAAATCAAACAGCCAAAATAAATCCTCACCCAATTGTGGAGTATAACAACATGCCTGGGGAGATGTACCAGGTACCCAGAGTACAAGCGAAGATCGTTTAAGCCAAGCCAAACGCCTCATTCTCTCCTAATAAAAAAAACAATTCGATCAACCAACCACAATACTCAGTGGGAACAGGGATGGATACTCCACCCTTCAATTCGCTCCATCTCACCATACATAATCGCCAAATATCCTTCCGGGGAAGAAAGACGCGTTCCAAGTGTGGGGAACGCGGGATCCATCAAGGACCCATTTCGATGTACGGAGTACCCAACAGGGGCGAAAAAAACTCGATGGATCAGCTCTTCTCCGGTCTATGGACCACTAGTGAATGTTCTAGGGGCGGGGAACTTGGGGCGAGGATGCCGGGGTCCTTTGTCTTGGGATTATTGGCGTTAAAACTGGGATGAAAAGGGAACAAGTGTGGAATCTGATTTCCTTCTAGTTCCGTTCTTTTGCCGGGGAAATCCCGGCACGAGCTGGTTTCAAATGTTAATGTTGAGATGTGTGTGATTTGATGAGAAGTACTCTAATATACCTGAGTATATGGAGTATAAGGAGTATCAGGATTCAAAGTATACTCCATACCACATGATATGTGCAGTTTCATCTGTATATGTGGAACAGGGGGGGTACGCAGTTCATTCAAGTTGCTCCAGAGTACAGTGGAGTCAAGGGGTGTATATCAGGATATCCGGAATAGCGGTGGGAGTCCGATCCATATTCTAGCCGTTCAGGATCATCCGGATATTCTTCCGCTTCTCCGTTGGAAAGCCTAGGCCAATGTTGATCCGTCAAGCTCCATATGATCAACATCTTGTTCCAAGAAATCATCCAAGACAAAGACCCTCTTTCCCCAGATTCAAGGGGCGTCACATACTATTTACATAAATCCCTGCAATGCACTCCACTCCGATTCAATACATATCTAAATAGTAGCCCTGGAGTCAAATGGTCCAGGGGGGAATGGACATGGACTGTCCCACTGTGCAAGTGCCAGTGCCAGCCCTGAAGGTTAAGCTCTACGGAGTCCCAGTTACCAGGAACTCCGTGGACATTCCAGACGTCTTCAATGTTCGGGAAAAATATCCCCGAGATCCCAGGACTTTTGTCCATTCCGATGACGAGTCTCCATAATTCTTCACCGCATAAGGGTCCGTGAGGGTGTGTTGTTCAACACCATGCATGCAGCCTGAGGCCGTGCTCATTCCTGATTGTATTTCAAGGTTCCAAGGTCAACTGTGCACATGTGCATCAACATAAAGTGGTTCGTTATCTGGCGTCAATCTACTCCGAGTCTGTATGGAGTGCAGAGTACAGAGTACAGAGTAGGTGAAGTTCTAAGCTATCGTACATTCTTATTAGTTATCAAGATAAGACACCTCCAAAACAATACATAAGCTTATCGGGACCAGCAGCTCTCAAGCGCTGTCTTTAGAGTGCAGATGTGCAGATGTGCAGATGTCCAAGTACATAAGTATTGGGTCATCCCGTAAAACAGACATTTTGGAGGTCAAAGTGTTCGTGTTCAGCCCTGGAGTTGCCTAGAACCAGATCAAGACGAAACTAGACTGATAACAACTCAACCTTGGAAGTGCTGCATGTCCGCCTTATGTACCAAGGCCAAAAATGATTGTACTTGATACTTCTGTCGGGCATTTTTCTAAACATTCAGGTTATAAGAGTAGTATTATTTGTCCATTTGAGAATTGGTTGACACATTGACTCTTGGGCAGATATGGAGATTAGAATGAGTCAAACTCACCAGATGTCTCTGGATGCCTCTCGGATTCTCCGTATTAGTATATGCTTGGGCACTGGCGCCTGAAAATTGTCAATCTCAGGATAAGATTCCCGTTTTCGAACAATTCTCTTAAATTTTCGTATTGATGAGTGAGTCCTGGGACACCAACCCCCCCTTGATATACCCCTGTCTGCAAGGTTGGGCCGAATTATGGAATTAAGTCCTCATGACCATGTTAAGGCCATACCAAAACGTGGGTTCTGTCGTGCTTCCGCCACTTTTTTACTTTGACCCGGCTGTGCTATCCGGTTCAGGACAACTTACGAGAGAAAAGAAAATTCCATAATTCTAGCCAGATCTTGTTCAATATCTTCATAAACGGCATACGGAATATCCTTTCCCCTAGAGGATGAATGAAGCTGAACCATTACCTCATCTCTCACCGGTCGGTAGTCTCTTCCAATCGCGATTTCGCCGAGAAAGATAGGCATCACGTAAGGCCCCGCTGAAACTTCTAGTATTATTGGAGTCACGGGGGGGAGTCACGTCTGTTGATTCGTTCTGAGGAAAGACAACGTGCGAACTTTTCTCTGGATCGTGTTTCTTTTTTTTCTTTTACCCCGCATAGACGATCCAGGTACGGAGTCAATGTCCACCAAAATTCATCTCCACCAGGTATATCGCCGGGCCGGGATCACACCTCACTTGGCATTGACTAAAATCATGGTGGAATTGACGCCTTAGCGAAAATCCCCCGGACTTTGATGGCTCAATGGAGGTTCAATTCGTGATCGGGTTCCCCAACTTTCGTAGAAATCAAGTTTTGATAGGGTTAAAATGTAGACGAAATCAGAATTGAGGCATTTAGAAGACCTGGACCTTTTTTCCCTGACACATCGCATTCCACGATGTTCGACTTGAATCACCTCATTTGTGATTAGTCGCGCATAGAAATCAATTCCAATGTTCCAATGTTAGTATGTAGTTCCGAGTCATACATACTACCTAGGTAGTGAGAAGTACTCTACCTAGGTACGGTGTAGGGTGTAGGGTGTAGTATAGAGAAAGGGGGAACTATTAGATCCAATGACCATCTCAGGTGACCAAGTTGAAATTTTTTCAATTTCAATAGAGTATTGATTGATTTATTTCTCAATTTTGGACTCAGCCACATTCTGAGGCCTTTTTTTAGGTCTTTGTCTTGTCTAGCTCTACGGAGTATGTACTCAGTGTACTCAATGTATACCGTTGCCCCGTTGGTACTCCGTATGCAAATGCCCACATGTGCACCAGATTTCCCACCAGATTCCACTTCTTGATTCCCACTTGAGGCAATTCTTCTATTTTCGGCCCGCATGACGCAGCGGGATTTTTTATTCGGCTTAAACCTCGGAATAGAGGGGCGTTTACTACCAATCATTTGAATCGCCTATCGCCGGTCTCTTAGTCACGTTAGTCACGTTAGACTGGCGGTGGAGTCGAAATGCGGATCAAGGGCTTCGAGACCTTTTCAGGCGATACGCATAGCATCGGTTATGGCTGGTGCCAAAAAAAAAGGATCAAGTTTCGTAAAAAGATATTTATTTTTATTAAAGAATATAAAAGGTGTCAAATTCCCCGGATTTCTTGAGACCCATATGTACTACATATAACTCTACATACACAGCACTAGTAACTTGATCGTATACTAGTACTACGAACTTGAACTCGATCTATATATACTTGTTGATGGCGACAGTAAGTCTCTCTCCCCCTCTATCACAATGGCCTAAAAATCCCTCTTTCTCTATCTCCCCCCCTCCCCTTGCCTGTTATCTTTCTCTTTTCAATGGAAAGACGGAAACTCTCCAAGGTTCATTGCAGTTGGAATGGTAATCCCAACCAACTACTTGAAACTGCAGCTCCCGATAAGACCGCAGTTTCATACTTACCCTTATCTATTGCCCCTTCCTCAAAGCCTGAGCTTTTACTGACCTTAAAAACCCTCTCACAGCGTTCTGTTCTTTCTTCTCAATAGAGTCTTCAGACCATGTCTTCCCCTATTCCTACTACCCCGCAGTCGGAGGCCTCCAATGGCACTTCCCTACCTTCGCGCCCGCTCCCGAAGCTCTTCGCTAGTCAAGATGGAAGCTCCGGACCAGGAACCCCCCCTCGGTTTCCAACGTTACCCTCACAACAAGCACCTCGATCATGTCGTAGGATCAACGTTGCGACAACCGTCTCCTCAACCTGTTCACTTGGGGGTCCCGGGTACCCCACACCGAGTCTTATCGGAGGAGGACCCGGGATACATTGCGGCCACCTTTGAGGGCAAGCAGAAGCAGATGGAGCAGGGTAAGCGCAGAATTCACAGTTATCCTAATGAAATTTTGAACTAACTAATTTTCTTTTGTTCTAATATAGTGATGGATCAGTTGGAGGAAAAGGGCTTCTTTCCTAGTGATTTTATTGTCTCCGAAACTACTTGGTTCTACAACATGCTGGGTATCGACGATACCTACTTTCAGACCGAGACAGTCGATGCCATCGTGACTCAGATCCTCTCCCTATATGCTGCCAAGGTAGCCGCCTATGCTCGGGATGATAAGCAGCTCGAGATTCGTCTGGACAAGGAAGCTGAGGACCATGCCGTCTACATTGATACTAGCAAGCCCGGTGTCTCTACGGTCCTCGGTCCTCGCTACGAGCAGCGCATCGACGAGAAGTATATCAACACCTCCAAGGGCCCCAACAGCTACCGTGTCGAGACTTTCCGTTCGCCCACCACTCTTCCCGGCGACAATGGCCAACAGCTTCGTTGCTACTTCGTATACAAGTGTCAATTCGTCAACCCCAACCCTTCCCCGAACGAGACCAACATTGACATCATTGGTGAGAAGCGTTTCTTGCAGAAGGCCACCCCTAATACCAAGGCTATCTACCAAGAAATTATCACCACTGCGGTCAGCCGAACTGGCCCGGTCATTGAGATGTTCGAGATCGAGGGTAGCCGCGAGAAGCGTCTGGTGATTGCTTACCGCCAGGGCTCTGCGATGGGCCTGTTCAGTGCTCTATCTGATCTTTACCACTACTACCGCCTGACCAGCTCGCGCAAATACCTCGAGAACTTCTCTAACGGCATCACTGTCATCTCTCTATACCTGCGTCCCTCGGATAGCCCCGAGATTGCGGCTAAGTACCCACCTATCGAGGCTGCGATCCACCAGATCATGAAGGAGATCTCTCTCCTTTACTGTATTCCCCAGAACCGTTTCCAAGGACACTTTGCCACTGGGCGTCTGAGTCTCCAAGAGACCATCTATGCTCACTGCGCGTGGGTCTTTGTACAGCAATTCCTCAACCGTCTGGGTTCTGAATATACATCTCTTTCCGCTCTTCTGGACACCAACAACAGTGTCCATGCTGAGCTGCTTTCTAAGATCAAGAAGCGTCTCCGCACAGAAACCTTCACTGCGGACTATATCTTTGAGATCATCAACAACTACCCCGAGCTCATCCACAAGCTCTACTTGGACTTTGCCAACACCCACTATGTACAGACTCAGGGTCCCACTGGTGACGACTTCCTGCCTACACTCAGTTACCTCCGTCTTCAGGTTGATGAGGTCCTTGATGGATCCAAGCTGAAGCAGCTGATCCGCGGCACCACCATGAACGAGCACGACGAGATGGTCATGACATCGTTCCGCGTATTCAACTCTTCCATCCTCAAGACCAACTTCTTCACCCCTACCAAGGTGGCCTTGAGTTTCCGCCTGAAGCCGGACTTCTTGCCAGAGCACGAGTACCCCCAGCCCCTCTACGGTATGTTCCTGGTGATTAGCTCTGAGTTCCGTGGTTTCCACCTTCGCTTCCGAGACATCGCCCGTGGAGGTATCCGTATTGTCAAGAGTCGCAACAAGGAGGCATACAGCATCAATGCTCGTTCACTCTTCGATGAGAACTATAACTTGGCGAACACCCAGCAGCGCAAGAACAAGGATATTCCCGAAGGCGGTGCCAAGGGTGTGATTCTCTTGGATGTCGCTCACCAGGACAAGGCGCGGGTCGCCTTCGAGAAGTACATCGACAGTATCTTGGATCTGCTGTTGCCGCCTGTCAGCCCCGGTATCAAGGACCCCATTGTGGATCTTCATGGCAAGGATGAAATCCTCTTCATGGGTCCCGATGAGAACACCGCCGAGCTGGTCGATTGGGCTACCGAGCATGCCCGCGCTCGTGGTGCTCCTTGGTGGAAGTCGTTCTTCACTGGTAAGAGTCCCAAGCTGGGTGGTATTCCCCACGACACATACGGCATGACCACCCTCTCGGTGCGCCAGTATGTTCTCGGAATCTACCGCAAGCTCAACATCGATCCTTCGACCATTCGCAAGCTCCAGACCGGTGGTCCCGATGGTGATCTCGGTTCCAACGAGATTCTGCTTTCCAATGAGAAGTATGCTGCTATCGTTGATGGATCTGGTGTCATTGTTGACCCCCAGGGTCTCAACCACGAGGAGCTGATTAGCCTTGCTAAGAGACGTGTCATGATCTCCGAGTTTGACCTGACCAAGCTCTCTCCCGAGGGTTACCGCGTCCTGGTCGATGAGAAAAATGTCCGTCTGCCCAGCGGCGAGGTCGTCCACAACGGCATGATCTTCCGTAACACTTTCCATCTGCGTTCACAAGAGCAATTCGATACCTTCGTGCCTTGCGGTGGACGACCCGAATCTATCGATCTGTCCACTGTCGGCAAGCTCATCCAGGATAACAAGTGTGTTGTTCCGTACATTGTTGAGGGTGCCAACCTGTTCATCACCCAGGACAGCAAGCTGCGTCTTGAGAAGGCTGGCTGTATTCTGTTCAAGGATGCCTCTGCTAACAAGGGTGGTGTGACCTCCTCCTCCCTCGAAGTCCTGGCCTCGCTCTCCTTCAACGATCCCGAGTTCGTTGCCAACATGTGTGTTGCTGAGGATGGTACTGTCCCAGAATTCTACCAGGCCTACGTTAAGCAGGTCCAGGAGATTATCAAGGAGAACGCCACTCTCGAGTTTGAGGCTATCTGGCGTGAACACGAACAGACTGGTGTCTTGCGCAGTGTTCTGAGTGATCGTCTTAGCTTGGCTATTACCAAGTTGGATGAGGAACTCCAGCAGACTGAGCTTTGGGATAATGTTGCTCTCCGTCACTCTGTTCTGGGTGATGCTTTGCCTCGTTTGCTTTTGGATAAGATTGGCCTTGCCACTATTTTGGAGCGGGTATGTTCATCACCTTTTCATCTAATGGACATCTCATGCTAATTATTTCTAGGTTCCTGAGAACTACCTTCGTGCTATCTTTGGTAGCCACTTGGCCAGCCGATTCGTCTATAAGTATGGCAACAACCCAAGTCAATTTTCTTTCTTTGATTTGTAGGTCTTCCCCCCTGCTGATGATATTTGACATTTGCTAACACTCTCGCAGCATGACCAAGCGTTTGCAGCAACTCCAAGTGTAGAGGATATATGATGCGTGTTACTTTGCTTTTTCGTTTTATTCGGACTCTTCTATGCCCGTCGAGGCTGTGAAAAGATATAATTAATACAAGGACAGTTCATAGACTGTTCCCCATGATGAATGTATGGTTAGAAAAGTGGTATTGGAATTAACTGTCAGGTCCACAGGACACTATTAAAGCTTCAATTGCATAGAACTACCAGTAGCTCATGTCGTAATAGTCATAAAATCATAATAAACTCCAACTCCAGGATAACCAACTAGTTACTCCTCATGCGGGAATCATTCTTCACGAATTCCGCCATGATAAGCACGATGCTCGTAGCCTATCAAATCGAATTGGTATAGTTCGTAGGATCTGATATCAGATTGACTTTGACTTACCAATAATAAATCCACCCCCTCCGCAACTTCAACCTCCCACTTCGGTATTGGCACCGGTCCCGATGGACTGAAATCCATCACCTTCTCTCGTCGAATATGAATAATCCTCTTCCCATCCATCATCACCCCAGCCGTCGTACTACTGTGTTGAACAACCTTCAATTCAACCTTCGGATCCAACCCACCTTCAGATCGGGGTCGCGAAGAAGATAACGAAGATGAAGAGGCAGGCGCAGGTTCACTTGGTGGCTCGATCGCATCGAGAAGATCTCGCAAGGAGTGACTGGAAACGCGGCGCATGCGCCGCACTGATTCGTATGAGGGTAAGGGAATATCTCGGGTAGCAGCTTTTCCAGAAAGTGATTCGTTATCCGAGTCGTCTGATGAACCTCCACCACTACCACTGCCACTACCGCTACTACTTTGATGCGCATGATCAGCGTCATCGGCATCGTCAGCAGCCATGACAAAGCTATAGGGTGGTGGAGATCCATCATAATTTTCATATCGCGGAAGAGTGCGAATAGATTCTTGATCCGCAGCACGACGTCGCGTATTTCTTCCACGAGTCGCATTCGCATTCATATGAGGATGTAAAGTAGGAAGAGTATTTCTTCGATTCCGCACTTGAACTTCTTCCTCATCCCAAGGTCCTAATAAAAGCGCATTCTCAAATCGAACCATCATCTTCATTCCAATCCCCCACCTCATTTCGGCTTGTAATAAATCTTGTCCGCTCCCAGGTCGCCGAACTGACCACTGTCCTTTCCACCATATTCGTCGTAACTCTAGTAATGGTCGTCCGCCCGCATCTCGGATCTCTCGAAGTTGAGAGTTACTCCAGAATCTTCCGGATACGGTAAATAGTAGTGCGCTACGACGTGGACTGGAGATCTCTTCGTGACTTCTTAGTTGGTGGACACTGAAGTCGCGACCGGATATTGTGTTCTCCCGTATTATGCGTAAAGTGGTGGGGGTGGCGGTTAGTCGGTCTGGTGCGGGGGAGAGGAGGTGTGAGCGTCGGAGCGCGATAGGGTGAGAGGGAGGTTGGAGGGGTGGAGAGGGCATTTTGGGAATGGGGACATTGGTAGATCCCAACTCCACGTGGTGGTTTCTTTTAAGTTGTAAGGAGTAAGAAAAAGATGGGCGAAGTACAAGGTAGATGTATTATTTTAATTGTTATCTATAGTACTGCGGAGAGGAGGTATGGCGGGGAGGGGCTTGGGTCCTTGGCAGGTTACAATGCTTTAGCTAACTGGAGGAATTAATAACGCGTAGGCAGCCACTTTGAGGCGGTGCTACTGTTACGAGTGAGATTATCTTGGCATAGTATGATTTAATAGAGTAATGAGGTGTGTTTTAACGAGAAGTAAAGTGAGGGGGAGCATGAGCCCAAGCCTTAGCACTTGAGAGGTCAACTGGTTCATGCTCATGTTACTTATGGTATGCATATGCCCTAGGCATCCACTGGAAGGTCGATGCAGTATGTTGTAAGGGGAGTATTATCTGGCAATTTATGATAGGTCCATGATAGATTAATATCATGATGTGATTAATGCACGGTGATTTGACTAGTGACCAGTCGGAGTTATGTGCATAACTAGGTACATGGAGATAGGGGGGCAAGTCTTAGCGCTAATTTGAAGGAAATTGGGAAAGTCATATGTAGTACTTGACTAGGAAGCTATTCCAATGAGATTTGACTAAACACCCATATTTACATACTCAGCTGGACTATTAGCCATATCCGTATGCGAATGGTTACTCCTCTACCTACTAGGTACACATGCAAGTACCTACATGAGTAGCTAAAGGGGTAGGCTAGTCGTTATATAGCTGGATACGAAAGAAATGTAGAATCACCGAGTCGATAAATGTAACCTGAAACTTGATGATGATATGACCTGGAAAACTGTTATTCAAAAGACCTCCAGTACCCGAGTACTAGTAAAGAGAGTAAAAAAGGTCTATCTACATATATGCAGTAGGTGCTTTGCATATCTAAGAAGTCACGGGACTCACCCTCACCTGGGCATTAATACTCGATCTGATCTTCATTCTACCCTGCATCTCAACCCCACTGATAAACTTGAATATTGATCATCTTCTCCCTACCTTCGTACATCTTGGAGATCCACTGATATGAACTATACACTATGTTCAAGATCGGCATCACCCGATGGAACCACCGGCATCCTTTCCCCTGTGATTGGGGACCAAGCTCTCTCTGACCTCTGACGTTGCTTGATCGGCCCCCTCCATTCCTGTTTCAGGCTCGACACTATAGCTCATTCAATACATATTGCTCTCTGGCCACCAGGATTCTAGCCATGCCTGTGGAGTGATTGGCGGATCCATGGGTTCCACTTAGCGGAGCACGCAGTACCGGCCACGCATTGAAACCAGGAAATTGGCCACAAACATCTGGATCAAGAAGTGGATTATCCAAATCATGAAACCGAGGTACGGATATGAATGCTTAAAATATCTCAACTTTGATCCTTCAAGTTCTTTGTGAATTACAGAGAAACAGGATTATCTAGATGCCAGTTGTTGATAATGATTTTCTTTCATCTTATAGACCCTGGCCGCATCCCATTCGGTCTCCCTCCAGGAACCAGTCCATTCGGAAACACTAGTCCAACCCCAGGCGCCACCACCTGTCTGACGCGTTCCGAAGCCCATGACTTCACATCACGTTAGCAACGTGGGTCCTGTATTCAAGACGCTCTGGCTTCATTTATGTTCCCCACTTGGGGCCCCCTTAAACAAATCTTTTTTTTCTTTCTTCTTTCCCCTGCTTTTCTCCCCAGAATATGAAGTGTCGCCGTTTGTGGGGTTCGGCTCCTCGCGGTATTATCTCCATTGACAATCGCTCTAAGAGTCTTGTTCCTTGACTTGAAATATCGTTTTCGGTTCATGAAATAGACTCTCTATCCGAACAGATCAGTGGAAATTTTGATCGCCACCCAGGGAAACAACAAGCAAAAAAGTGAAAATTGGAAAAAATTGAAACACAATGTCTGACAGTTCAGACCTCCAGGAGAAGGGGAATTCTCCTCACCAATCTTCTTTTGAGTCTACAGTGCATGGAGACGAGGAACAACCCCAACAGGAGGATACAGTTCCTCAAATTGCAGCTCGTGATGAAGTGAGCGAGCAACCCAGCATGTCTTCTTTTAGCGAACGGTGGAGATCTGCTAGTCAGCGAATTCGAGAACGCAGTGCGACGATAGCTGAGGCTCTGGGTCGTCCACACGAGAGAGACGAAGATGGATTGGAAGGTGCTGGCTTCTCAACTGAGGATTTCGGTGCCACGGATGATCTGAAGAGCTTTGCCGCGCGTCAAGCGAAGGATGAGGAGGATAAAACAAAGTCCTTCGATCATGATGCCCAGGCTCAGCTTTTGATTAAGCATTTGGGTCTACCGGGTGGTCATAGTCGAAATGAATCCTCGGAATTCCCTTCGGGTGCCACAACTCCAGGGGAGAGTGGCGCCGCTACTCCTCTCAATGGCGGTCTTCTGTCTCAATTGCTGCGCGTTTATGCCAACAATTTGGAGACATCGAGCCGAATGAGTCTTGCGACGACTTCCTTCGAAACGGATCCTGATACGGAGACCCTCCCACCTAAACCACACGATACGACGAACTCGGGTATTACCACCCCAGGAGGCAAGAAGGAGAAAGTTAAATGGTACAATAACGGTGCTGCGACGCCTGACAATGGTAGCAAGAATGGCAGTAAATTTAACTTGCCGCTGAAGACCCCGAAGAAGCAGAAGGAGTCGGGCCATCACTATACCTCTTCTCTTATCTCCGCATCCATGGGAATGGGTCGGGTCGGTATGCCTGCTGCGGAGGGACCGGCTCCTATGAGCCACAGGGAACGCAGGAAGCAGAAGCGCAAGAGCCAGAAGAATGTCAAGTTGACAGTGCATATTGCGGCGATTCTGGCTCGTCAGCAGTACATCATGCAGCTTTGTCGTGCGCTGATGAAGTATGGTGCACCTACTCACCGTCTTGAAGAATACATGACCATGACCTCCAATGTGCTCGAAGTGAAGGCCCAATTCATGTACATCCCCGGTTGTATGTTTATGTCCTTTGATGATGCTCTGACTCGCACGGCCGAGGTGAAGATTATCCGTGTTGTTCAAGGACTGGATTTGTCTCGTCTCGCGGAGACTCATAATGTCTATAAGAACGTCGTCCACGATGTCATCCCCGTTGAACAGGCTACGCAGGATCTTGATGAGATCATGCAGAAGAACCCTCGATACAATAAATGGCTCCGTGTGCTTTTGACCGGTCTGGCCAGTGTGTGTGTAGGCCCCTATGCCTTCTCCGCACGACCTATCGATCTTCCAATCATTTTCTTACTTGGTTCTATTGTTGGCTTCATGCAGCACATTCTGGCACCATCTTCATCAACATACTCCAACGTGCTGGAAGTGTCAGCTGCTATCCTGACCTCCTTCCTGGCCCGTGCATTTGGCAGTATCCAGCATAACGGCGTGCGAGTCTTTTGTTTCCCTGCTCTAGCCGAGTCCGCCATTGCCATGCTTTTACCAGGTTTCTCCGTGCTGAGCAGTAGTCTGGAACTACAATCGCATCAAATGAACGCAGGTTCCATCCGAATGGTCTTCACTATCATTTACTCCCTGTTCCTGGGATACGGTGTAACCGTCGGCACGACAATTTATGGTCTAATGGATGGCAACGCCACAGACCAAGAAACCTGTCCCAATTCCTCCGATCCCTGGGGAAATGAATACATCCAAAAATTTCCATTCGTCGTACTTTACGTCTCCTTCGCCGCGCTCCTCAACCAAGCAAAATTTAAACAGCTACCGGTTACTATCCTCATCGGTATCTCGGGCTACGTCGCGAACTACTTTAGTACGAAACGACTCGGTTCGAACGAGGTTGCTAATACGGTTGGAGCTTTCACAATGGGCCTTTTGGCCAATCTTTACAGCCGTGTTTGGCATGGTCATGCTGCCGCAGCTATTATTCCTGGTATCTTCACTCTCGTCCCATCAGGTCTTGCTTCTTCAGGCTCGATTATTTCGGGTCTGGAGTATGCGGAGGAAGTTGCGAATAATACAGCAAGTAGCTCGGATGGATCTACGAGTGAAAGCTCCCTTACTTCGCTGGGTTATGGAATGATTCAAACTTCCATTGGTATCTCTGTCGGCCTTTTTGTTGCAGCGCTGATTGTTTATCCGCATGGAAAGAAGAGGAGTGGAATTTTCAGTCTTTAGACTGTCCACGTGGATTAATGAGGAGAATGAATTTGTATATACATGGTTTGCGATGCATTTCGCGTTTTATTTCGGGTTCTTGTTTATTTCAGCGATCATACCATTTGCATTAAGTTGGTTCAATGTTGGAATTTATACTGCATTTATACTCCACTGGCAGGTGCATTTTACATTTATTTACTACTCAAGTGCTACATGATCTTTCACATTCTCTTATTCCAGGTAGTTCGCCTCTCCACCCACACTGGCAGCCTGAGCTTCAACTTGATATCATCTTTCGACCTCGGGGGTGCTCATAGAGGCGACCCAAATCGGCAATTTTTGCAACCAAGATTTTGCCAGGACTGAGAACGCTTAATTAAGAAATGGAGCTGATCTTTTTTCGTTTAGGAATCGGATATGCATATGGTCAAAGAGCACAGAGATCGAGAATGCATACCACGATATCACGACCTCTTTGATCTGTATCTTTGTCTCGGACTCGGAGTGTTGGAACGTATCTGGCTCTTTTACCAGACTTCTTTGATTTGGTATGGTTGCTACTATGGTCTGAGCACTCGGTTCTTTGTGTAGGCTCTTGAAACACCTTGGGACTTTCTCAAGACGCCGAGCTGAGTATCTATCTGGTGCTGGATTATAGAGATGGATGTCCGAACCTTGTCTGTCCGAAGAGAATCATGGTTAAAATGAATCGGAACTTCATGTGAATCATCCTGGAATATTTGATATTCATCATAGAACAAGATTGATCATATTCTTGCGCCCAATCTTTTCAATTTCTTTGATACCAGTCATTCAGGGCAAACTCAACAAAGCACCAGGCAAACTACTCGAATGGTTCTGGGCACAAAGAACTCGCATTATAGAATCCTTTCTTTTTTTCGTCTTGCTTAAGAAGGCAACACTACCTTGAAGATATCTCAATCAATTTTTTCCCTCCTACAATCTTCTATCTTCTCATACTTTCATCGTGCTGGATAACGAGAAAATGGACCTTGATATGCCGGACCTTACTGAGGTGCCCATGGATTCTCATTCGGAAGGCGGTGCAACAGGCGATGAGGAATCGGGCAGTGGTTCTGGCTCGGAAAGCGGTTCGACAGGCGACGAGAAATCGACCAGTGGTTCTACCTCGAAAGCCGGATCAATACACGTTGGTAGAACGTTCACGGCAGATTTCCCCTCGGAAAGCGGTTCGACAGGCGATGAGGAATCAGGCAGTGATTCTGGCTCGAAAGGCGGTTCGACGGACAATGCCGATGTGCCCATGGATTCTTCCTCTGAAGACGGATCGACAGACGATGAGGAACCAGCCGGTGATGCCGAATCGGATGCCACAAGCGTAACCGACTCGGAAGATTATGGAAATTCCGTCCGATGGCATCACCTCATCGATTACCTAGCTGACCACCTCCGCCAATATGTCTTGGGACTCCAGGGCGAAGATGAACCCGGTCTATTCACCACGGACCAATTTGTCAGTATCCAAGAAGATCTGCTCGATGAAGAATGCACCGCAGGCGTCGATGAAGTCTACGAGTACGCCACCAAGACTCGATTCCAGATCTTACCTGAAACCGTCAAATTCGAGGTCCTCGACAGACTCTTCAACTTCCATCAGGAAGATAAGGAAGGTGCTGATATGATCTCCATTCATTGCCTGCATTCCCTCCGCTCTATGAGTACCGATATGCGCACACTGGTTGATCGCTGGTTGGAGGAATCTCATGAAAAATGGGAAAAGCTATCTGAATGGGAATTTCAACATTTCTACGATCGTGATGTCTTGAGAGGAGATTTGTCGCACCCTTGGAACCCCAAAGCATACCATGTTCCTCATCTCGAAGAAACGAACCTGGCTATCCAAGCCGCAACGTCCTGTGCTGGGTGCTTTGAGATGCTCGTTTCTCATGGTGTGATAGTCCCAGATGCATACGATATCAACGGAAAGAGTCTTCTTCGTTGGGCACTGGAGCATAAATGCCAGGATGTGGTACGATACATTACCAACAACGCCGAACTTCTGGGTGATTTCTTCGAGGTAAACAACAAACCCGGAGAAGCTGCAGAGAAACACCCGCTGCTCCTTTTAATCGAGTATGCCAACCTGGAAGGCTTCGAGATTCTATTCAAAAGACTGAAAAAGGCCAACATATTCAGCACGCAACCCGATCTTTTAAAATTGTTGAATGTTCCTTCAAGCAAACTCGGCATGTGCAAATTCGTTACTGCGAAACTCGCATTAAATATCCTCGATCGTACAAAGATTAATATCGGTGACGTGGGACCCGCTGTGAATGGAAAGAAAGACGATGTCCCTTCCACCACTTCCTGGCACGAAGCCGCGAGATTTAACCCGGATGGTGAAGCGTTCATGGATTTCTTGTTGGAGTTTTCTGGTTTCGATGGCCAGAATTCTTATAGTAGACAGCATCTTACTCCTCTTATGTATGCCGCCTACGCAGATAACCCGTCTGCGTTTAAATGGCTTCTCAAGAATGAGGACTCTTCTAGCGCTGGTCTACCGAACAGATCTGACGCTCGTCCACCTTATGTTGTTAAGATCGTGGCCCAGAATTTTAACTATGGAAGTGACGAGATGTTCCGTGCAACCCTCGATATATTGCCTGAGGAATTCTTCGAGGACTATATGATGATCAAGGAGGTTTTCGGGTATATCATTGATGGACTTACCATGGCGGGATATAGAAACGATGATCCTAATGGAAAATCGGCTTTTCTGCCTGAGAATAGGGTCTTGACCATGTTCTTAGCTGCGGATAAGTGCCAAGAGCTTGTGAATCGCTTACCAGAGGATTGGATTTCCTCGGCTGAGCTCTATCAAACTGTTTCCAGAGCGAGATCTTTTGGTTATAGCTTCTTGCCGCCTAGTTTGATTAAGCAGAGAGATGGCTCGAGGAACAAGCCGGATAGAATGGTTCTTCCTGAGGGACCTAAGCCTTTACCTTTTGATTTTCCTTCGAGACGTCCGCTTAATCGGCCTTAGTTGAAGGGGCTCTTTTGTATGTGTGGTGGCAGTGGGGTGGTACTAGTTTAAGTTGTGGTGGGACGTGTTAGAGCACTTGAGATGCAAATTTGATATGTGGTGTTTTCATGAGTCTTCGGTTAATTAGAGTCTATATCATGTACCATGAGTACTAATAGTACATGTATGCCGAGATAGAGAGCGTTGGTGTTCAAATATTGTATTGCAGGATGCCAGATGAACAGTCAACAAGTCCTACTAGGGTAGATAGACCTCAATTCAAACCAACTGAACATCATAAATTATTTGTATATTGAGCTACTAGGCCATTTTGTACATGAACTATACCCACACCTCATTTGTGATACCATCAAACTTCTGACCCTCTTCGTGCTCGCTTCGAGGAGTCTCAACCAGGTGCGCCCAAAGCTCGGGATACTTCTTGAGAGCCCACTGCTCAACCTCATCCTTCCAATATTGGTATGGAATTGCATTATAAAATAAGCCAATCCTATTCGAACAGTCAGTAAATGAGTACAGTTAACCAATATTGATAAAACTCACGTAGTGCTTGTCGGGGGAATTCCGATTTCCGCTTGCATTTTGTCAATCGCTTCAGTCGCAAGATCAAACTCGCATTGAGCGGCAACCGCTTCAATGTAGGAAGTGTACAGCCGACGGTCAATCTTGATGTCCAGCTTCTTCACCTTCGCCATCATCTTGATCGCCTCCTGAACACCATTATGGTGTCTCTCGCACACCTTGAAGAAAATGGGAATGGTCTTCTCCGTCGGTCCTTCATCTGACTGCAGAATTTGACGGAAGATCTCCATGCTCTTCTCAGGCATCTCGCACGCTGAATATGCCAGCATCAAACCATTGAAGATTCGAGTGTTCAGCTCTACCTCCAGGTCAAGCTTAAGCATGTTATGGACGAGCTCCAGATTCGTGGCGTCGGCAGTTCGGGCTAACCCTTGGAAGCACCGAGCATATGTGTCTGGCTTGGGTCGACGACTCAGGATCTCGGCCTGACGCATGTGTCCGAATACTAGCACCGCGAGATCGCTGCGTTTCCGGTCGAAGAGCGAGCACATGAGCTCGGTGCGTACATCAACACCCGCCTCTGTGAAGGCGAGCTTGAACAACTGGTAAACCTCCCATACGTTTGAGTCGATCTGGCCTTTATCCAGCATAAAGTTGGTTAACTCGGTCCGGATAAGAGCTTTACCTTCGCTATCAAGGGCTCCCAGCCGGGGGCGGAGAAGATCGGAGATAGCTTCCCAATCGTGACGATATAGCAGCATGTGAGTCAATGCAGCGATGGTTTCGGCGCTGAGCTGCACATTGTCTTGGAAGAGCGGGTCTAGAAGAGATGAGATCTGCTGGAACAGCTCGTCCTTCTGCTCGGATAAGCAAAGCATGGTGATCAGCTTGTTAGCCAGGGTGAGATGCTGACTAGCCAGGAAGCTGGGGTCGATTTGATGTTCCAGAAGGCCAAGCGTTCGCTCCACGTTCCCAGCTTGGATGAATGATTCCAATAAAAGGATATTGGTCTGTTCATCTGCGACCAGATCCCACTTTTCGGCCAGTTTGGCATAATCAACAGCCAACTGTGAGTTGGGCAGGGTGTTTGCATATTGAATCAGATTGTTGACATCCGCAATGGTAAGTGCTGCCTTGAGTGACTGATTAACCTTTTCTGCGAGGGATGTTGCGCTGTTGCCCTGGGCTGCATCCCAGAGCAACTTAACATTAATGGTCTCTGGGCTGAGATCTCGAGGAAGAGACTCGAAGATAGGCTTGGCCCATGCGACCTCAGAATTGAGGATGGCATATCCAATAGCGGCAGTCTTTGCAGCTACAGATGGCGCCTGGTCCCCATTGATTGGACACTCGTAGGCGACTTGAACTGCCTTGCCGAGATTCTGGGAGATCATAAGCTTGATCAATTCCTCATGAGAGGCTTGGTCAAACTTAACCCCATGCTCCTGCAACTCCGAAGCAATCTTTCGTAGTTGGCGCTGGTCATCCTTCAAAGCGAAGCCTTTCAGGACATTGAGCCAAGGCGATGGCCTTGCGCCACGCAACTGGCCGCCAAACTTCACAATGACATGGCGAGCCTCCTCAGGTTTACCGTTGCTGGCCACCAGATTAATATAGAGAAGAAGTGCAGCTCGACTAATCGAGTTGGGTCCGAATCCGTGGTCTGCACAAAGCTCAAGATAAGCGAAGCGTGCAACCTTGAGGATGGTATCGCGTGCCTCGGGGAGACAATGTGCCTCCGAAATTACAAATAGAATTCTTTCCAAGTTCTCTACAGAGAAAACATCCTGCCATTCACTGTCTTCCAATTCGTTTTGTAGTGCCTTCAGATGTTTCCATGTAATAGACAGCAAGCGGGCCTGGAACAGGTTGATAGCACCGGGATTTTCCACGCGAGCTGTGAAGAACTGCTGAAAAGCCTTCACCAGCGTTGCGCTTGAGGGAGCTCTGCTCTTATCCTGCAAAGACCGCTTCAAATCGGTCATGGGTTTGAGACCCTTTTCTGTTGGCAACGTTGCCGGGCCCTCGTTGGGATTTTGCGAACCGAAGGAAAATGCAAAAAGGGATCGTCGAGATACATATGTCAGGCTAGGTAGGGAAGATCGAACTCGTGTGGGAGATATCGTATGTAATAGCTGGTTTCGACGGCATCGTGAAAAATGCAGTGGTTCGTTGTTAATGATGGCCCGGAAGACCCGTCTCGAAAGATGAGACTGCATAATTGGAATATAACAAGTCTGAGACTTAAACTCGAGGTCAATTGATCCTGCTTGATAGAAGAATAACAACTGTCTATATTGTCGGGGATGGAGAATCAAAAGTTCGCGACGCGGAGAAAGCTGAGGAGGGAAGGCGGTCTTGGCACTGCGAAAAAACGATCCGCATCCCCGACCTTGAACTTGATCTTGATCTTGAACTTCACAAAGTTCCCCCACCCCCAGGATATCCATCATGTCCTTGAATATTTTCACATCGACGCTGCTGCGCGTCCAAAATGCTGTTCCCTCCACCTGTCGCTGGAGTTCGACTGCGGCCGTGAGTGCCTTCACAGCGCAGAGATCCACGCAACAACGATCCGCACCTAAGAATGGTATGAGCCCAGATTTTGTCCCCTTGATCTTGTTTTCTAGTTGACAGAAATGCATTGGAGCTGGGAGAAATACTGAGATGGTGTTCTAACCAATTGATAGACCGATTCCCCAACAAACGCCGAGTTCCCAACCGTATGCGCTTCCTCGAGGACCAGAAAGTTCAGAGCGAGAGCCGAGCATTGGAGAGATTCCAGACTCGTGAATGGAAGGCCGGTGATGTCTATGCTCCTCATGATCTTAGCCCTGCCGAGATGAAGAAATGGGGAAAGCGCAAGGCTCCCTCGCGTGATGCTTTCGACGCCTTAAATATGAACCCATTGGACCTATACAAGGTACGAAGACACCAATTATTTCCTTTACACTTGCATTTCTCAATTGCGCCGCTTACCTGGGCTTCCGGCTTTTTGGAGTTATCATTATCATCCGTGACGGGACAAACAAACTTGACCGAACAATGCTAACATCATACCTTGATTAGAACTTCTCCGTCATGTCCGAATACGTGTCTGCTATGGGCCGCATCAAGCACCGAGGCGAAACTGGTCTTCGTCCTGTGAACCAACGGAAGATTGCAAAGGCCATCCGGAGAGCCATGGGACTTGGTCTTATGCCATCCGTCCACCGACACCCTGAAATCCTGGCCTCAGAAATCAGATCCAAGATTGGACATTACTAGATGGAGTTGAAAACGCATTTTATTTTCTTGGCTCAGAAACTGAGACCAGCTATGGCATTCTTGTACAGTTGACCGATTATGCCCTATGGAAAGGGCATATTTTCCATGTATTTTTAGTTCCAGCGCAATTTAACCGAATTTGTTTAACTATATACTTTTTCTATGCATATTCTTCATCCAGTAATATCGTTTTATCTCCCATGAATCCACTCATAGTATCCATGGTGAGTATAATGTTGCCTGTCATGCCTGACATGCGGCAGGTCCAGATGTCCCCGCTATAAGCCGCCTTGGGCTCCCGATGTACGTCAGTGCATAAACAGTCCTTCCCCTCCGAGTTCCTGAAACATCCTCCTCCCTCCACCTCCTATTCCAAGCGTTGTTCCTTTCAATGTCAATGACAAACGGTATGCCTATATGATGCCTGGTTTACTCCTCTCTGACCCAAGCTGACTGTCTTGCAAGAGTCCATCTGGGCTGCGAGCCCCTCCACCACTCGCGGGCAGGCTACCCAGTTGTCCTCGGACCCTAAGGGTGAGCGATTGGCATATGCTGTACGACAACCCGAATCCTCTTATTCCTTTGACTCCTTCTAACCGAAGCAATTGCAGACCAACAAATCCATCTTCCTGCGCTCGATCGACAACCCCGCAATCGCCCGTCAATACACAGAACACAAGGCGCAGACTACTGTCGCACGCTTCTCCCCCTCCGGATTCTATGTTGCCAGTGGCGATGCAGCCGGTACTGTGAGAGTGTGGGACTGTGTTGGAGAAGGCATTACCAAGGGTGAATACAGCATCGTTAATGGACGGATCAACGACCTGGCTTGGGATGGCGATTCACAGCGTATCATTGCCGTAGGCGATGGCAAGCAGCGATATGGCCACTGTATTACTTGGGATAGTGGAAATACTGTCGGTGAAATCTATGGCCACACGCAGCAGATCAACTCTATCTCGATCAGACAGCAGAGACCGTTGCGTGCTGCCGCCGCGGGTGATGACAAGAAGCTGGTCTTCTACCACGGAGCGCCTTTCAAGTTTAACATGGGCATTGGTGACAAGCACTCCAATTATATCTACGGAGTCGGATTCAGCCCTGATGGCTCGCACTTGGTCAGTGTAGGCGCAGACCGTAAGATCTGGTTGTACGATGGCAAGACTGGCGAGACTAAGGGCCAGATTGGCGAGGGAGAACATAAGGGTAGCATCTTTGGTGTATCTTGGTGCAAGGATTCCCGGAAGTTTGTGACTGCCAGTGCTGATCGAACTGTCAAGATCTGGGATGTGGAAGCTGGCAAGTCTACCCAGAGCTGGACTCTTGGAGAGGAGGGTGCAATGGCTGTCCGTGACCAGCAGGTCGGAGTTGTTTGGCCCCCTGGTCGCAGCGACAACCTGCTTATCAGTCTGTCTCTCAGCGGTGACTTGAACTACTTGGTTGAGGGAACCCCTGAGCCCCGCCAAGTGATCTCGGGCCACCAGAAGAGCATCACTTCTCTGAATCAGACCACCGTGGATGACAAAGAGACTCTGTGGACCGGTAGTTTCGATGGACGAGTCTGCAGCTGGGATGTTGCCTCGGGCACATCGGGAGAAATCGAGGGTGAAAGCCATCCTGGTTACGTTGCTGGTCTGGCCCCTACATCAGAGGGTGCTGGACGTATCTACAGTGTTGGCTGGGACGACACTATTCGCTCCATTGATGCCGCCGCTAACACCTACACCGGTAGCAAGTCCAAGCTGACTGGACAGCCCAAGGGCGTGGCGGCTGCCGATTCCACTGTTCTGGTGGGCACCGCAGACGCTGTCGAGATCTTCCAAGATGGCAACAAGACTGGAGAGTACAAGCCTAAGTTCTCTGTCACCACAGTGGCAGCTCATGGCACCGTTGCCGCCGTTGGAGGTGAGGATGGCTTTGTCCAAATCTGCAATGTCTCCAGCTCCAGTCTCTCGGGCCAGGCAGACATCAAGGCTTCTCGCAACTCGATCTCCTCTCTCGCTTTCTCTCCCCGATGGTTCCCTTCTAGCAGTTGGAGACCTGCGCGGACGTGTTTTGGTCTACAAGGTTGCAGATGGCAGCCTCGTTACTGACCGTTGGACCGCCCACACGGCACGAATCACTTCGCTCTCCTGGAACAAGGCTGGATCCCATGTGGTCAGTGGTTCTCTTGACACCAACATCTTCGTTTGGAGCTTAGCCAGTCCTGGTGACTGGATTGAGCTGCAGAACGCCCACAAGGAGGGAGTCCACGGTGTCGTCTGGATTGAGAACGGTTCAAAGATTGCATCTGCTGGTGCGGATGCTGCTGTAAAGGTGTGGAATGTTGAAGGCTTGAAATAAATGGGAGTAGTTGCTACTATTATGAATCAAATGATGTTGATCGTATTTTCAACTACATAGATGAGCCTGTACAGAGTATGTGAAGTATAATTAAAATTAGCAGATAGCTAAAGTGAGAGATATCCTAAACAGTAAGAGATAGGTAAAGTAAGAGATAGGTGAAGTGAGAGATGGCTAAATTCAAGTAATATATAAGTAAGAAGGAGTAGTAGCCCTGGAGTAGATCTAGCACCCCTTGTGACATCTGTTTTACTACTAGTACATGTCTCAAAATGGTTTCATCCATAGTATATACAGAGCTAATAGAATAAAACTGAATATATTTATGGGAACATTAGCTCTGGCGTAGAGGATAAGTGCGTGGCCCTAATATCAGGGTGTGGCCGTAACCCGCATTTCGACCAAACAATCGAATTTTGTTCGTCAACTTGACGCTCACTCTCCCCACAACTCCAAAACAGCTGGACAAAGCTGAATCTAGCAAGTGCTATGTCGACTAGCCTATGGGGTTCTTCAAAATGAGTATGCGCCGAGTCCGAGCGTAAGAAGAGCCTCAACGATGTCACCATTTGGAGCTCCAAGTAGCTCCCGCCGTGTGTTGCGGCCCAAGGTGCGTCCCGATCCCATGCTCACCGAGAGCATTGAGGTGAGCGCCCCAGATCCCCGAGATCGAAAACTTATAACTTGTGTAGCTACGTCAGGCGACCTTCGTCCTCCCACGAACGGGTCAACGTCTTAAAGGCCTGGTAAACTTGCGCGATCCTCCAGAAACCGAAGCAGTATTCGACGACGAAACCGATCCCGAAGAAAGACAGGGCTTACTGTCTGACGAAATAGAGACACGACATGATACACTTTGTACGAAAATCTCCGCGCAGGCGCGAGAGCTGTGGGCATGGATATATAAGACCGGTACTTCCGAGCAGAACATCGGCATTTTCAAGTGCAGCTTAGCATATTTACTCGGCTCCATGGCGACATTTATACCAATCATTTCCGCTTTTTTGGGTCACCAGGATGGAAAGCACATGGTAGCTACTGTGACGGTGTATTTTCATCCGGCCAGAACCATAGGAAGCATGTACCGAGCATCCATCTGCGCGTTACTTGCTTTCTGTTACTCGGCCTTCCTCTCCATTACAAGCATGTTGCTCGAAAATCTCTTTCAAGATACGCTGGATATGCCAGTTTTCGGTCATGCATTGGTACTCATTGTCTTTGTAGGTGGTGGACTTGGCTTTGTTGGATGGACGAAGCAGAGACTCGGAGATCCACTAGTGAACGTCGCCTGCTCTCTCACGGCGCTTTCCACGATCACCATCCTGACCAAGGAAGGCTCCGTGCAGAGCGGTGATTTATCATTGGAAAAGATCTCCCAGGTTCTTAAAATGGTCATCATGGGTGTTATTTTGGCCATGGCAGTATCATTCCTCATAGTGCCTATATCAGCACGGAGGAAGCTTCGTGCTAACCTGGTTACTGTCACTGATACGTTGGCAACAATGCTAGCTCTCATCACCCATGCTTTCTTAATTGGATCTGAAGAAGAGTTGAAATCTGCGGAATTCATTGACGCAGAAACAAAGCATCGTAAGGCTTACTCTCAGCTTGACAACCTTGTGCGCGAAGCCAAACTAGAACATTTCGTGGCGGGCACTGAGAAAGAATATCGGTTGGAAAAGAAGCTTGTTCGCTGGGTCCAAGATATCACCCATAACATGGGAGGACTGCGCAGTGCCGCAGAGCTTCAATTCAGCTTGATCCGAGAGACCATTGCACGGGAGTCTGGGTTATCAACCGAGGTCCCTACTCCTTATGCTGACTATGTTGCATCTCTCGAACGTTCGTGGTCCTATCCCGATTCTTCTTTCTTGGAGCCTATTGATGAACGGCCAGAGGAAGAACTATCGCCGGGTGGGAGCCTCAATATCTCAGGACAGGAGTCTGGTTCGGGTCCAAGTAACAAAGAACCTTTGCTTCCGGCTGATGTATTCACGATTTTTATATCTCATCTTGGTCCATCTATGGTAAGCACTATTCATTCTATGGAAACAATGCAATCAGTTCTAATATTTGAGATAGCGATCGTTGGCTTTTACTTTGAAGGAAATCTTCAGCGAAATTCCATTCGGTCCAGGTCCGACGTACAAGGTCTCAGTAAACAATCGACTTCATACGAGTCTTGAACGTGCTCTTGATCTGTATCGCACGTCAAGACAGAAGACGTTGAAATCACTCTATGAACAAACAGAAGCTATGAAACTAAAAACCCCAGATGCTGAAGCGGACTTGGAGGAGGTTTCAGCTAGCTGTGGCCATTTCAGTTTTTCACTTCTCGAGTTTGGAGAGCAGCTTCATGAGCTGTTGGCTATTTTGGATGAGCTGCAACTTGAGACCGAAGAAAGACCTAATGGACGGTCCTGGTCCTGGATGAAGTTTTGGCGGATGAATCAGAATATCCCAGATCCTGGTGAGTAGTCATTATGTTCTGGAGAGGCTATTTACCGTATTGTATGTATTAACTTCGTTTCAGAATTATCCAATGGCGCCGAGAGTAATCGACTCCGTCAGCTTTCACGGACCATAGGGTCGGAAGATAGGATTACAGCTGCTGTACGAGCTCGCTTACGTCCATCTAGCGAGACAACGGTAAAGGAACGAGTAGGATACCGGCTCTGGAAATCACTCGAATTCTTCCGACGAGATGACACCAAGTATGCGATCAAAGTCGGCGCCGGTGCTGCTCTCTATGCCTTGCCTGCTTTCCTTCCTTCCATTCGGCCAATTTATCAGCATTGGCGAGGTGAATGGGGCTTGTTGTCCTACATGTTGGTTTGCTCCATGACCATTGGCGCCTCTAACACGACCGGCTATGCTCGTTTCCTAGGTACTTGCCTTGGAGCTATTTGCGCAATACTGGCCTGGTATACCACCAGTGGAAATGTCTTTGGTCTTGCATTTTTCGGATGGTTGATGGCGACTTGGACCGCATGGATCACCATTGTTCGCGGCAATGGTCCCATGGGACGATTCATCATGCTGACCTACAATCTCTCTGTCCTCTATGCTTATTCACTCTCACAGAAAGATGCAGACGCCGATGAAGACGAGGGAGGTCAAAACCCAATCATCACCGAGATTGCCCTTCATCGTGTTGTCGCTGTTTTGTCTGGCTGCATCTGGGGTATCATCATCACTCGTCTCATCTGGCCTATTAGTGCCAGAAGTCGCTTGAAGGATGGTCTGAGTATTCTCTGGCTACGCTTGGGTCTTGTCTGGAAACGTGATCCGCTCACCACCATGGCCAAAAGCGGCCGGTCTATTGTTTATATGACTGCGCGAGAGAGACTCGAGCTTGAGCGGTTCTTAACTCGACTTGAGTCTTTGCTCACTGCTTCGCGCTCGGAGTTCGAGCTTAGATGTGCCTTTAATGATGGACCTTATGCTGATATCATTCGGCGTTCTCGAAGCATGGTGAATGCGTTTCATGCTATGAACCTTGAACTTATGAAAAGTGATACAGTCACAGAAGGGGAAATTACTCTTCTTCAATATACAGCTGGCGAGCGACAACAGCTCTCTGCTCGCATCAGCCATCTTTTGACAGGTTAGTCACGACGTTTCTTTGTTAGTTTTTTCTGATGATAGGTTCTTTGAGGCTAATGTTTTTCTTTCTTAGTTATGGCATCATCCATGAAACTTGAATATCCATTGAGCGATGTTCTGCCCAGTATAGATCATGCCCGTGACAGGTTACTGGGACGTATCTATCGCTATCGTCAGGACCCTGAGGTTTCTCAACTGACCACGGACGAAGATTGCGCTTTGCTATATGCCTATAGTATGTATTCCATTGACTTGAATAAGCAGATTCCATCATTTACTGACCTTTTCATTTAGTTTTGGTCACTGGTCAGTTGTCCCGAGAAATTATGGAAATCATTGCAGATATAGGCCAGTTGTTTGGAGTTTTGAGTGAAGATGTGGTGCAGCTAGTATAATATCAATGACTAGATCTTCAAAATGTTCGTGGATATAATGCGCTTGACTAGTTATGTAGTCGTCTATATGAATTATGGATGTTGTCAACTGGTGGTATCTATAGAACATTGACACCAGTTGGCTGATACTAGCTATAGTAGTCACTATCATGACATGGAAAAGGCCTCAGGGTACTTGTCGGTAGTAAAAGAATGTTTCACAGTTCTTCTCACAGTCTCAAGTTTCCATTCGAGTCCAAATCAACTCCTCAATTCACCTCGACCTTTCACCTCTCCAGTTGACCACATAGCTGTTTCGGGGAAGTGAAGGTGGTATCCGGCGGGGAGGGAACTTGAACCTCCAAGGCGGAAACCTACATCTTTCAACCCTTCCATCCTTTTTCTTCATCAATCCATCATCTCTTCTCAAGTTTCCATCCCGACTTCTTCGACTTCTCCCCTCATCTTTAGCCTCAATCTGATGAATGCCTAATCCCTCTCCATACCTGCCGCCCTTCGGCTTCGCCTTGTCGCACCCCTGCGAGTCCACCAGCCATGCAGATCGATCCGGCCGCCTTGAGTCGGACCGACTCGGGGTCAAATCCGGCTAAGAGTGCGACACCCAATGCCCCGACAACTGTGAAGTCGTCCAGAGCTCTCAACTCCGTCCCGCGACTCGACTTACAACATGCCTACACGGACCTCAAAGCCGCTATCGGAGATCAATGGGCTGAATACAAGGAATCGACCGCCTTCTTCCTACTAGGTATGAGCCTCATCACAATGCGCATAGGATCATTTCGGCTCCACCATATCCCTCTATTGTCTCAGAGATTGCCTTCTGGCCTAGAATTGAACTGTTTCATGCTGACCTCCTGACCTCTTGCCGAATCAGGTCACTATAACCAAAGTGAATACGCGTCGCGAGTCGACCATATCCTCTGCGCCGACCCCAAAACTGAACATCTACATAATAATTTCGTCTGCGCGATTCTCGGAAACCTCACGCGAGACCTCCCCGATCATGGTGTCGCAAACTGGGTTTCAGCTAACGATAAGCCCTCAGTGGTGTCGAAGCCGGTCTCCGGCGACGCTGCGGAGCAACGATTAAAGACGGAGGTTATGCATTTGCCCCCAAGAGATCGTCGACGACTCAAAGGAATTCCAGAGGTATGAGAGAGGAGAAATCCGTTTCCAGGCGGACGTAAATAACTAATGCATCCCTCTAGCGCGATCCCAACGATGTCACACCCAGTGAACTGGAGCTATATCACTTAGCAAAACAAATGAAGCTCCCAAGTCAAGTCCCAGCAAGCGCCGGTGGGCTAAACAAAACTAGTAAGGAAACATCACCCTCATCAAGATATGAACTGCGTCATCGCCCTTCGCGCACTCCCATACCCAGGAAGATCTAACAATCGCGCCCACTTATGTAGATTGGGAATTGGAAATCCGAAAACGATATGCGCAACCCCTCGCTGCTGAAACTGGTGAATTCCCCGATGCTGAATCGATTTATGCCCGTATGGTCCCCATGTGTTACGAAGAGTCCCTCCCAGGCGGTGCCGGACTCCCATGCGCCGAATTCATGGCGATTGCAACAGAAACGTTTGTGAAAGAAGCTCTTTCTGCGGTGTTTTCAAGAACTCGGTCCAATGGTCCCTCCGGTACGATTAACGGAATGATGATGCGCAAGTACCGACAGCAACTGGAGCGTGAAGAGCTGGCTTTCACACGTGGAGAAATTGTGAAGGATACTGCTACCGGTTTGCTCCCAGTTGAAGCCAGAGAAGCCAGTACTCGCAGACCTCTTGGTGTTCGAGATTTGCGATTAACTCTAGAACTCGGCACTGGTGTTCTAGGTCATATGCCTCTGATTATTGATCAGATCACGGGTGGGTATTTCGAAGATGAGCTGGAGACTGAAAAGCATGATCGCCTAGAGAATGGCGTTACTGAAGCAGTCGAGGTCAAGATGGCTGATGAGGATCCAATGGATATTGATGATATCGACGAGGTCCTGTCAGATTGGGAGGGTGGAACAACTACAGATCGAGATCAGTTGGGCTCCCTGCTTGATGACTGCTTATCTATGGCTGCTTGAACTGACTCACAACTCATTTTCTGTCTCACATCTTGACCTTCCTCTCTTTCCTCATCTCGGTCTGGCATCATCTTGTCAGATTATACTCTTCTTGTCCCCACATCTTCCTTCTCTTCCCCTCATTTCCAGTCACACATCTCCCTTTTTCTTTCTTCTCCTTTCTCAGTTCTCGGTCTTCGGCGGCGGGGAAAGGTAATGGCGTCTGGGAATTAACACAACGATTGTTGCGCCGAGCCACTGTGTGGCTCTTTCTCTTTCTATTAGCATGGGTTATGGAGTTCTTCAAAGATAGTCGACATGACCTCGGTCACGGCTCTTTGCTTTGTGCTTTCTCTTTTTTTCCCTTCTCTTATTCTTGTTCTTCATCCCCTCTGTGTGGGCGGTGCTGAACCTGCGATGTACAGTAGCCTTTCTGCGGATAAAGATGGGAGGCGAGTTTTTTTTATTAACAAATCGAAAAGCAGAAACGATGGTGATGGCATCTACTGGAAGTAGAGTGTTAAGCCTGTTCGATACCCATATGAATTTGATTGATGATTGAATTAGACTTGCTACTACAAGGTACAATATGTAGTACCAAACTAGTAGTTCTTTTCTATCAAACTTGATAACATCTCGGACTAGCTCTCAACCTTATAGTGTAACCTCAGGCTACCATGGATGAACTACATATCATGATGCTTGATTCAGGTTCTACTAGTAAAGGCGCCTAGGGTTAATTCGGCATACTAGCGACTACTACAAATTGAGTAAAGAACAACCTTGGAAGTGACCAGGCTTAAACCAGAACATGATACATCACTCTGTATGTACTCTTGCAATGGATACCAAAAGCGTTGCATTACATTAATGCTTGATACTAACTTGAACCCATTCGACTTCCTATAGGACAAGTCAAGTTCAAGATTAGGTCATACTACTACTACATCTGAATCAGACCACCATCTAACATGGATTTAAAGATACCGAAGATCGTAATAATAATATCTACCTCAAGTTAGAAATAGTATTTTGACAGAGCTGGCTTTACTAAGAAAGGGTTGTGGTAGAATTGGGTGTGTTATAGCAACGCCCTTGAACTATGCATTTCTCCATTATAGAAGGATCCCAACCTTGGAATTGAACGCCGCGTAGTAATACATCATAGATAAAATTTTAACAACGAAGGAAACATTGAAGACTCAATTGATCATGTTAGCAACAATCTTCAAGATCTCATCCGATGTCTTATACGCGTTGGTCGGGTCCTTAGCAATAGATTGCCACGCCTCGCCGTGCTTTGGTTCTGTCGAAATACACTTCGAGATCACATCCGATCGTTTGTCCTGGAAAATCAACATGTTAGTACCTGTGATGAATCTTTTACTGTGGCTGGAAGCAAAACGAACCTCTGTACCGTGTTGCATCAAGAACTTGTAGTACCAAGCCCACCCATCACCGTAGTCGCTATCTGAGACGATCGCCTTCTCGAACCAAGTCATCGCCTTTTCCAATCGTCGCTCGCCCCAGAAAATTCGCGCAACAGTGATAAACAAGATCGGGTCGTTATCAACCTTCTTAATAGCCTCCAGACTACGAGCCTTGCGCTGAGCGCGAGGTTCAAGGTGCCAGATGCTTTCACTCCAGAGTAACCCTGAAGCAGGCACCTCTTGTAGCGCCTTAGCCATTAGAACCTTAGCCTGAGCAATGTTGTTCGCTCGGCGTTCCACACGCACACTCTCTGTCCAGAGCTCAGCGCTCTTGGGAACGGCCAAACGAGCTCGATCAAGAACTGATCGAGCACGAACAACAGCACCGGCGAGCTCTTCCAGTCGAGAAGCGAGTAGCCACAATGCCACGGACTTTGAGCACGCACGAGTTCCTGTTCCATATGCCTCCCGTGCCTGTGGGAACTTCTTCTGTGCTTCGTATATCTGTCCCTTCATCATCCAAAGCTTGTCAGCCTTGGGGTATAGCTGCAATCCTTGGTTGACGAGGTCCAAGGCGTCGTCCGTGTTGCCGAGTTGCCGCTCAAATGCAACACTCTTCATCCAGACACGATCCGTTCCGGCCTCACAACGTGCAGTGGCCAGCAGTTCTCGTGCTTGGTCAGTTTGTTTAGCATCTGCCTCGAGCTTAACGGCGGCAAGCCAAATATCTTCGTTGTTGGGGTTCTGGTTGAATGCTCGGCCAAGAACTCGTCGCGCATCGTCGATTTCTCCAGACTGCCATTTTTCTTTCGCGAGTTGTAGCCAGAGCTCCTCGCTTTGGGGACAGGCCTCAACGGCCTTTCCGAGCACCTGCCATAGAGCTTCCTTGTCACCGTGGTTGCGCTCTAAATCAGCAGCAGCAAGCCAGATCGATCGTCGGTTAATGAACACTCGCAAGGCGTATGCGTAAATGGCTCGTGCGGTTTCATATTTGCCTCGTGCAATACTGGACTTTGCATCGTCCATCCAAATATCCTTGCGGTCATCGTCTTCATCGAGTCCCCATCCAAGTGTTTCGCGGATGATGGCTCCACAGGTGAGAATAGCGCCTTCATCTTCGCATCGCTCGGCCTCTGAAATCCATTCCTCTCGTTTTAACATGGCGTTTTCACGAGCAAGAGATTGGATAGCACGCTTCATAACATTGATTTTTTCAAAAGTACCCATCTGCTCCTGGAGACGAGCTGCAGCAATCCAGATTTCATGACTAGCGGGAACAGCTTTACGGGCTGCGTTCAAAACCTTCTGTGCATTCTCTGGGGTCTCCAATCGAGCAAGGGCCAGCCATAGCTCCACTGAAAGAGGAATCATCTCCACGGCCTTAGCCAGAAGGAGACGTGCATCTGCGGGATCGTCCTCCAGATTCACAGCTTCCTTCCAAATCTGAACTGACTGAGGAATATGGAGAATAGCCTGTCTCAGTACATTCTTCTTAGCTCGAAGATCGGTTTCAAGTTTCATAGCCTCAGTCCAAAGTCTGGTGGAGTGGTCATTATTCTTGATAGCGTTTGCTGCAATGACCTTTGCGTTGTGTCCTTCATTAAGTCGAATGTTCTCCAACCATCCATCTTCGCTCTTCGGGCATAGTTCACAACCCTTGGCAATGATATTCCTGGCCGCTACGATACGACCTGCAAGTTCTTCTAGACGAGCAAGCGCAATCCATCCAGGAGCATGCTTGGGATTGGTCTTGGTGACAGATTCCAGGAGAACGCGAACTCGCTTGATATCGCCAACTTCGACTTCTCCCGCCTTGAGCTCGGACTGAGTGAGGCTGGTTAGATAACCCTTAGGGTCAATACTAGTCGCACTGCCTGAGGTGGTACTCTCAGCACCTGATCCAAGCGCCGCCTGGTCCAGCCTCACTTTCAATACCTTATCACGCGCTGCACCGATGTCTGCGAAGTTGGTCATAGTTCCATCAGCGCTCTCTTCGTCACCGGCCGGAGCTCCATCTTCGGCGACGGTGGTATCAAACTGTGCTGAATCTCTGGCACCCGCAATAACGCTATCAGGCACGGCGTAGAATCGTTGTCGCAAGTTCTGCTTGGCTCGTCGGTTCTTGCCGGTCAAATCACCGACCTCGGGGAGGTTGGCCCAATCTTCTTCTGAGACTGCGGCGAGCGATCGCTTCAAGTCGGCGAATTGTTGTTGAATCTTCGGGTTCTTTCGTTCGTAGTCTTCACGTTCTTGTTGCTCTCGGGCTTCCCTGTAGGTGGCGAGCGATTCACGTCGGTATTCTATCCAAACAACCGGGGCTTTGCCCGATGAACAAGATGATACTTGTAATGAGGTTGAGGGGAATTTAACTAACCTTCGAATCTTCCGACGTCTATCCATCTTCTCATCTACCTCTTGGTAGATGCGATCCGCCTCATCATCCTCCTGGTCGAACTGACCATAGGCAAAGAGTCCAGTCTCATTATCTGGATCCTGGAAGCGCTCATCGTCCTCCTCATCTGCTTTATCCTCTTTCCCTCCCTTTTCTCGTGATTGATTTCCGTAAGCAGTGGGCGCAGCAGCTCCGAGAAGCTGAGCTCGCTTTGTCAAAGCGGCTTGAATCTGCTCGGGTGTTGGGCCTTCGCGCGCAGGTCCCAGGTCAGACCGCGTGGTGAAACCGGTCGCACCACGACCCAGACCGGCAACATAGTTCTCCGGAGCCTGTTGGCTAAGAAAATCCTTGCGTCCAGACGCCATGATGGACTCGGAGAGCTAGAAGATGTGGGTTAGGAAGACAAGCATTAAGGCGGGTTTCACCGTAGAAAAGTAGATCCGGAGCCGATAATCTTATCGCAGAAAAAAAAGTTGCCCACAGTGACATCGTTCCCCTCAGCTCTAAGTCTTCGGTCTTCTTCTCCGAATTTGGACTTTTCAACTACATTGAACGTTCTTGACGACAGAGAATTACTGTTGTCGTTTCAAAATGCCCAAAGTCAAGCCCCAGAAGCGCAATAATGCGCATGCTGATGCGGCCGCAAAGACCCAGGCGGCTCACAGTATCTTCAAGATGAACACAGATATCGGTCAACACGTTTTGAAAAACCCCGGTATTGCAGAGCAGTAAGTCTCAGCGCTAGCTCACTCATAGGGGAAATCTTTCTAATCATAACTCTTTCTAATAGAATTGTCAACAAAGCCGACCTCAAGCAAAGTGATATCGTCCTCGAAATCGGTCCCGGAACTGGAAACTTGACGGCAAAGATCTTGGAGCAAGCAAAGAAGGTCATCGCGGTGGAATTGGATCCTCGAATGGCGGCTGAAGTCACCAAGCGTTTCCAGGGTACTCCTGCTCAGAAGCGTCTGGAGGTGATTCTTGGAGATGTCATGAAGACTGAACTTCCATACTTCGATGTCTGCATTAGCAACACACCCTACCAGGTATGCATTGTTGCTCACAAGACTCCATGGATGCTTCATGTTACTGACAGTTTTATAGATTTCTTCTCCCCTTACATTCAAGCTATTGGCTACACTGCCTGCTCCTCGCACATGCGTTCTCATGTGAGTTATTACTATTAGTCCAATTCCTGTTGGGCAATACGCATCTATTAGTTGATATACTGACATACGTTCCTTATTTAGGTTCCAACGTGAATTCGCTTTGCGTCTGTTTGCTAAGCCCGGTGACAAACTCTACAGTCGACTTTCTGTCAACGCGCAAATGTGGGCGAAGATTGATCACATTATGAAGGTCGGTAAAAACAACTTCAAACCTCCACCCTTGGTCGAGTCCAGTGTCATTCGCATGGTTCCCAAGGTCCCTCGACCACAAATCAACTATGAGGAATGGGATGGTCTCTTGCGCATTGCATTCGTTCGTAAGAACAAGACATTGCGAGCCAGTTTCCTCGGTACCACCAGTGTCATGACTTTGCTGGAGGCGAATTACCGGACCTGGTGTGCCCAGCACGATATCCCAGTGGAGGACGGTCCCGTTGAAGATGCCGACGGTGACACCATGGATATGGGTCAAGAACAAGAGATGGAGGAAGGAGCGGACGAGGTCATGGAAATGGACGACGATGATGATGTCCCAGATTTCTTCAAAGAGGAGACCAATGCTCGTCTCCAGCAAGCACTCAACACCAAAACTCCGCGAAAGAAGCGCGGGAAGGTTGGCGAGTTGGTGCGCGAAAAGGTGCGCCAGGTTTTGGAAGATGAAACTTGTCTGGCCGACAAGCGCGCAAGAATGTGTGATGAGAACGAATTTTTGAAAATGCTGTGGGCCTTCAACCAAAAGGGAATCCATTTCAACTGATCGTGCTAAGGTCTCCCTCTTCCCCGGGGCAGTCCGGAATGACGAATTATGATTACTATCAATAAAAGATACCATTTTCAGGAGGCAAGTCGCCAGCTGGTCGAAGATGAGCGGCAGAATCTTGGAACAGACTTTGCCAGATGAAGGCTTCGCTCAATAAGAGCTCGATGTCTTTTTCAGTCCAATCTTTCGTTGGTAGTGCTTGGAGGAACATCATCACCTCCTACTCAATAATTAGAATCTTCAAAACTTCATCGTGTATAGTACAATGCAAAAAAGAAAAGCGACAATCACTTACCTGGAAGTCCATCTTGACCAATTGGTCCGTCCATTTGACTAGGAAAGCAGCACATACGTAAAGATGGAATCGTGAGAAGCCCTGCTCCTCGGCCTAGTAGGAGAAATATCAGTACCATATATGATCAGATCAAAAGGGATGGTGCATACCATGTATGTATCCCACATGCGTATTGTGTTCCTGATGTTCATTTCCCGCATGAGTAAACAATTCATCCAACGAAAACTGAACTGCATGAATTCGACGCCCTCTTGTTCGAGGTGTTTGGCCAGGGCCGAGTCAATGCGCTTTGTCAAGTCACGCAGTGCACGAACTTGTCGATGAATACCTGGTTGTGCATAGATATAGTTGTCCTGAATTCCATCCAGGAGCTTGGTCAGACACCAGAATGTATCTGCTTCGACCGCATCCAGCACACTACGGGGTAACTGGCCCGGATCCATGCCCTCTTCAACATTGAGATCTGTGATGTATTCTCCCAAGAAAACTTGCCAGAATGGCGTCACCAAGTCATTGATACCTTGAACGTAACCACTGGCTGGATGACGAATAGCCCACACATACAGGATGCGCTCCAAGGATCGCTGTGTCGCCTCGTACCCATATAGTGGAATATGAGGACTTGTTCGTGGCACATCAATACTGATCTGATGCCATACTGCCTCATCCAGACCTCTGCCACGCCCCGTGCTCGAAGCTGGTGGATTTGAAGCCGCCCCACTTCCGCGTTCGAATGCCTGTCTGACTCCATCCAGATATTCTTTGCGTTTGCGCTCCAGTGTAGAGATTCGTCTTTCACTGTTCGGAGGTAGATAACCAAGTAAAAGCTTCCACGTCATGGGCCGGACTTCCTCTGGCACTCCAGACCAGGCCAAGTCCCGAAGTTCAGTGAGAGAGACAGTGCTGGCCTGGAGAATGCGCTTGAACTTATTTATCCGTGATATACGACTCGAATGGATTTCCCTTTCTTTGGGAGACGCATTCGTAGGTGGCGCGGTGTGACTGATAAGATTCAACGCGTTTGCAGGATCTAAGTCGCAATGTCAGCCATCCCTCTTCCACGTAATTAATTCTTCAATGGCACTCGAACCTTGCAGGATATCTTTATACTGCGGACGGAGAATCTTCCCCTCACTCTTTCGCGCTGTGGGATACATGGGGGTGCCCCGTTCCTCGGCTATGTCTGCACTGTTTGCTCGTTGCCGGTTGCTAGATGAGAGTCCGAATCCAAGGGAACCAGGATTCCCTCCTATACTCCCACTGGGAGTTATATTCTTGGATTTTTTGGAAGACGATCCCTTCTTCCTTCGCATGCTTGCCAGGCTTGGAAGCCCAAATTCGTCCTCATCATCATCATACACAATTTCGTCATTATCATCTTCATCGTCTTCAGTTGGATCATGACTCCACTCATCCACACCCGAGGTCATGATGGCGTATGGTGCTCGTGGAGGGGAGGCGACGTTTCCAGATCGGTGAGCTAAATGCGAGGGCGCATTGGTGGCGGACGGCTTCGGGGGCGTTCTGGGGCGGGAGTGGGACGATGTGCCTCTGTCAGAAAGTTTATTATCAGCTTATGAATAATTCACTGACTTGTAGACAGGGAAGACTGACTGTAGAATATTGGCATGGGAGTATGAAGCCCCAACCACGGTGTTCTGACCATAAAGCTTCGAGGATGACTGATTCAGGGATACGGATCGGCTAGACCAGAAAGGAGACTCTGCACGTCTTGAATGACCATTAGTTAGCCTATTAAATGGTCAAGTATGAAGATAATCGGCTGGACATACTCAGAATTGTCTGTAACAGCAATCAAGTTGAGCTATGTTAGCTATGGACCCTGAATGAAACCGTGGCGGGGAATACGAACCAACTTGAACCATTTCCTATGCACACATAATCAGTATGATACAAATTGAGTCAATAGGGAAGAAATAAATCCCAGAAAGACCTACCTGTTGCCCTTTCTTATTGGTCATGGCGACTTCCTGAGTTGATGAGAGTGTCGCGCTCTGTAGTTTTAGCGGAGGTTGAATGCGGGGCGGCCCAGCAATGGTGTTGTTAGTAGTTAGTCTCCTCCTGCGGAGTTGATCTAAATCAGCAGGACATATCGGGTCTTTCCTGCAATTCAAAGCAAACTGAATGTTTCATATGACAAACTATTCTCAATGCAATTGAAATAAAGCAAATCCGATGAAGAATTGATCTTGTTCAAGGTTGAGACAGACTCAGACAGTAGTTTCCTATATAGTTCCTGCAACTTGGGCTTCGCATAACCGGCGAAATACGGCAGAATAATTTGATAATTAGTGACCGCCTAAGATCCCAAGGTTCAACCTTCACTTCGCCAACTCTCTTCTCTTCATTACTGCGTCTCCTTTAAAACGGATTTTGCGCTTTCTCAATATTCACGCTCTTGGTTGTAATAATTGGGCTCGCCATTGTCTCTTTTCTAACCTAGCTTCAACCTTACAAATCTGTGCGCCATGGCTGAACAGGAGGAACTGGAAGATGATCTCTTCGCTGACCTGTATGACACTTCAATTACTTCTACGAACAATACTTGTCTCGGTTACTGACTTTTTGGTTTCTTCCTTTCTAGCTATGATGCTGATGAATCTACTGCTCGTACCACATCTGCCGTACAGGCCCCCAAGCCCGCTGAGCCAGCTGCCCCTGCAGTAGCTCCTGCACAGCCAGCACCAGAGTCAATTCCTCAGAGCTACGAGACTTCACCCGTTGACACATATGTGACTCAAATGCCACAGCAGCAGCAACATCAGAGTTATGGTGGAGATTACCAGAATGGCTCTGAGGGCGCTTACGGCAACCCCGCAGCAGTCGCCCCCGCAGACAACGAGTCTCACGGCACAGGAATTAAGGAAGATGGGTAAGTCTATTATGCCTTTTTGTTTATTTGATCCATTCTTTTAGATTTTGGGTATCTGGCTCTGGCTGTGAATATGTTTGAGTGGCATTGATTGCTATGTCTTTCTTTTTTTTTTTCCAAAAAAACAAACAAATGCGCATACTCCCGTGAAGAAATTATGGAGGTCTGCACTTCGGTTACTTGTCGGCCTACTTGATCTTGGGAGAGCTGATGAATTGGGGTCTCTTATCTACTCGGCATCCAAATGTGAAGGGCTGGATGGTGTTTTCGTGGACATCTTTCGGAGAAACTTGGGAGGTTCAGCTCCCTATCATCGTCACGGCTTTTTATGCTCAGTCTTCGGAGCTCGCTATCAGACAGGGACGGCCAGAACAAGAAAAACAAGAATATGAGACAGGTCTCTTCAAACTCTCTTATCTGGAGGAAAATGGGCCTAGCAGCTGCACATCTTTGGCATCTCTACGAGAAGTTTGTTACGAGCGACCATATATAGTACAGCGGATACTATATAGCTTCTTGTCGATATACGTTGATAGAACAGAGCAAGAAGTAGCAACGCTGTCTGATGCCAGTTTTATCAAGCCCGAGGTAGCTTGGGGATTCTGTTAGACAGACACACATTCTCCCCCAAGTTGGAGACCAGAGAGACAGTGATAATTCACTTATTACGCCTTCTATCTTCGCCCTTTCGCCTTCTATCTTGCTCGCTCTTCCCGAATCATGAAACATGAAGCCCTACAAAAAAGAAAAAGAAATCCAGAAAGAGAATACCCAGACGAGGAGGATTCCGTGATCTCCGGTTCCAGGCTTGTGTAAACCAGGTGGAATGGATTATGCTTGTCTGTGCGGTGGTGGCCGTATTTCATCATTTCGCTTCGTCGGCTTCTGCAAACATTGAAAGACCATGGAACTCCAGAGAGTTCTGCATTTAGCTGTATTGAAGAATAGCAGCCTAGCGCCAGCCAGCTCCTTAGCCAGAGCCTGTACCCAAAATACTGTTTCTTTCTATTGCGCCGTGGCATTATTTTGTCCCCAATGCGGTTGACATTATGGGTGGGGTATACATCATGATACTAACCGCTATGTATAGGAAAATGTTTATTGGAGGTTTGAACTGGGAAACCACAGATCGTATGTACCTCTATGAAGCAGAAATATATGGAACTCTCCCACCTAACTTGTTCCCAAAACAGAATCCCTCCGGGATTATTTCTCCCAGTTCGGTGAGGTGCAGGAGTGTACCGTAATGCGTGATAGCGCCACTGGTCGCTCGCGTGGTTTCGGTTTCTTAACTTTCCGTGACCCTAAGACCGTGAACACTGTTATGGTTAAAGAACATTACTTGGATGGCAAGATTGTAAGCTGCCCCTTAAGTCTTGGTTTATATAAATCACATGTGCGGTGCGGTGGTAACTCACAGTTTCCTCTTTCAGATCGACCCCAAGCGCGCCATTCCCCGCGATGAGCAAGAGAAGACCAGTAAGATTTTTGTTGGTGGTGTCAGCCAGGAGGCTACGGAACAAGACTTCAAGCATTTCTTCATGCAATTCGGACGTGTTGTTGACGCAACTCTCATGATTGACAAGGATACTGGTCGCCCTCGTGGATTCGGATTCGTGACGTTTGACAGTGAGACTGCGGTGGAAAATGCACTTTCCCGGCCCTTGGAGATCCTAGGCAAGACCATCGAAGTGAAGAAGGCTCAGCCTCGTGGTAATCTCCGCGATGAAGACCGTGGTGGTCGCCGAGGTGGTCGTGAGGGAGGATACCGCGACATGAATAACGGCAACGGTAGCGGTGGCGGTGGTGGTGGAGGTGGAAGTCACGGAGGAGACCAGCAGCAGGGAGGTCAACAAGCCGGCGGAATGACTCCTCAGATGATGGCTCAATACTGGCAACGCATGCAGCAATACTTCGCCATGATGCAGCAACAGATGGCTATGGCTGGTCAGGGTCAGGGTATGCCTGCCGGTATGCCTGCTGGTATGCCAATGGGCGGAATGAACCCAGCTATGATGCAGCAGATGCAACAAATGCAAATGCAGCAGATGAAGGGTCAACCACAAGGCACCATGAGTCCTGGCCCCCAGAGTCCCGGTTCTCAGCAAGCAAGCATGCCAAACATGATGAACCCAGCTATGATGCAACAGATGCAATCTCAGGCTCAGGCTGCCGGTAATTCCGGAGGTGCTAGTCCTGGCCCTAACGCGGCCTATAACCGTCAGCCCAGCAATGCTGGTGTCGGTGGTGTCGGTGGTCCAGGTTACAATGCGCAGGAACAGATTGCCTTCGAACAACAGAAGTATGAACAACAGCAACAGGCTCGTCGTCATGTTGAGAACCGTGCTTTCTCTCCTTACCAACAGGGTGGTCCTACTTCCTGGGAAGGAATGTACGATGAGGTCCCTCAGCCTAATATCCCCTCCGGTCCCCAGGGTATGTTCTCTTTTACAATGGATACTGTGTTTTCTCATAGATCCACCCTTTTATGCAGTTCTTGAACTAACTTCCCTATTGACGCAGGCTCTACCCCTCAACCCCAGAGCACCGCTCCTGCTAATGCCCCTACTGGTCCTCGCAATGCCGGTAAGCCTGGTGCGAACTACCGAGGTGGTGGCCGTGGAGGACATCGTGGTTTCCACCCCTATTCTCGTTGATATCGCATTCATGCATTTGGCTTCCTTTTTTTCCTTTCTCATTTTGTGTCTTTTTTTCCTTATGGATCATTTTCAAGCAGATTTTTTTCGGAATGTATTCTTCGAGTTGATGACTTGAGTGCTATGTCTCCAAGTCTTCATGGACGGGCGTGGTTTTTTGCGGTTTAGTTTCCCCTTGGGTTTTCTGCTTCCCAGGTTCAAATGTTGTCGTGCTTTAAATTGGTTCTTATCAAAATGATCAAATTTTCTACTAAGACTACTAGTAAATGGTGGTGTTCTCTATCTATAAAGATGTACAAGAATGAGAAGTTTTTTTTCACAACTGCAAAATGGAAAGAAATGACAAACGCTGAAAATGAGAAAGAATGTTCAAGTTAAGATCCGTAACTGGAGCGTGTGAGAAAGATGAGGATATATAGGTAGAAGGAATGTTATGCGCCGAACATCCAATGGGGAATAAAACCACCATTCGAACAACGCTAAGCGAAGTCAATACAAGAAGGACCCTCGGGTAGAAGGAACGAAATACCCGGAAGGTATAATGAAAAGAGTGGAACAAGAATATAACTTTCTGAGAATCGTGACATCGGGATGCATGTTAAATCGCCATGCCATAGCCCGGAGTGGTCGGGTGTCGGCCCTCAAGAGATGGGCTTCGTCGACCATCATGTCGAGATTCTTGGCTGGAAGAGCGACTATGGTTATTGGCAACGCCATAATCGGCATATACAAGACGCTTCTTGCTACCGGCGGAATCCGGTCGGGATGGGTTATCCCGGTAAGCCTCGTAGGGTCCTGTGAAGTTGAATTTGCTCATCTCGGTGTATTCTTGTCGTGGTGGGTGGTCAATCAAGAGAGATTCACGAGCGTCCAGTGGTGTAAGGTCATCGAGGTCACGGTTGGCCTTCTCGGCTTCCTTTCTTCGCTTCTCGTGGATGTTCTCACGGAACATTGAAATAACCGCGTTGACGGCAATCAAGATCGCGAGAACCGCTGAAAGCACACACTGAATGACGATGAGAACGATACCAGTGACGGTCTTGGTGGTCTGGGAAAGTCCCAACTCGTCAACGAATACAAGCACACAGGCAACGGATAAGACTCGGACAATTTGGATGGTCATGTTGATACCCATGGTAGACTTGCGAGCGTAAGGACGGTTCCAAACTAGGAGACCCAGCAGAAGACACTCGCAGATCAGTTGAGCGATACTTTGTACAAGACCATGGCCCTGTGCACCAGCAATGATACATCCCTTGACCAAAGCGTAAATGATGACGGGAACGAAAAGCCACCAGAAATCCTTCTTCAGGTTATCGTAGAACAGCTTGTACTTGCGCCATGTGTCCTTGTCATCGAACAGTCCGCCGGCGTCTCCCTCTGCCTTTTTATACTCGCGAGCCATGTAGATGATACGACACGCGAAAAAGCCAAGTACAGCGGTGAAGACTACCAAGGTAACTGCTGCGAGCAATTTGGCGGCCCATGAATCACCATTCTTGAGTTGGTAGATACAGTACATGACCCAGATACTGTACAGGATCAGAATCATGTTGGTGATGGTTCGTGCCATGATTCCCCAGTAATCCTTGCGGAAGTCGATCATCTTATCTGGGAATTTGCCGTATAGCGCCCAAAGCTCCAGGATAACCTTGAATAGAAGAATTCCCACAATCACAACAGCAATGACGATTGCGAAGATTAGAAGCACGGTCATGAAGACATTGGCGGAGGGGATACTGAGCTCCTCAGCGAGGTTCTTGATCATATCGATATCACTAGAGCTAGCGGTGCTGTTGGAGTCTCCTAGCGTTATCTGAAGTGAGCGACGCGTTAAGTCCAGACTTCGCTTAGTGGAGCTTGAGCTAGACATGTTCTTCACGTATGCCAGACTATCATCAGTGAGATTTCCACCAGTTGCCTTGCGGAAATTATCAATGGAGTTCTGGAGACCGTCCCAGGAGACAAGTCCTGTGCTCCAGGCAAAGTTCTGGGTGAAGCTGGTGTAGACGGCGGGGTAGCTGACACTCAGCATACCGTTAGTAGCCATGGTGTGAAACCAACCCATTACATCTCCAAATCCTGGACTGGAAGATGCTGAAACTCCTGTGTGTGCTCCAGCTCCAGCTCCGGCTGCACTGATAGTAGAGACACCAGTCATAGCTAGCGCAGCTCCTGCAATTCCGGCTGATGCCCAGGCGGCCCCTTTACTGCTGGTCGATTTTCCATTGGATAGTTGCGCAACCACGCAGGCAAGTTCTTCAGTGCCATCAGTCGATTTTAGGATGAGTGTCGCCTGGCCATCAAGGTCGGGAATTTGGAATGCGATTGAAGGGATATCTGACGCGTAGCTTTCGGAGATTGTGATGACGCCGTTGGCGGAGAAGTCGCCGGATGATACTGATATCGCGCGTTAGATGGCCCCCATGCCTTTTTTTTTTTTCAAAATTTCATTTTTTGAAGCGCATAGATACTCACCTGGGCAAAGTGCAGCCACATGCACCTCATCTCCACAGGGATTAAATGAATCGGAGTAAATTTGGTTTCCATATGCCGTGACTGATAATGTCGCGGAGACATTCTGTTGATTTGAGTTGGTACCAGCCAATTTGAAGTTCAGTTCTCTTGTGGAACGGGTATAAGTGATGTCAAGATCATCGATTTGAATTTGTGAATCGGTCAAGCATGAATGAAACCCCTTTGTGCTGAGCGTGTCGGCCGCTAACACTTGAGGCACCACACTTAGACCCACGAGGGCCCAAAAGAGGGATCGCATTGTAGTCCCCAGTGATCAGAATCAGCAGAGATTGAAAGAATGCGAACTCATCAAAGTACTGATTGAGATATGTAGGAAAAGATCGGATAAATGGTAATAAAGATAGTGGGATAGACGCGACGAACAGGATCAACCTGTTGATGAAAATGATTGGAAGAGATCTAAAAGATCGATATAAAAAGATAGACTAGAGTAAACCCCTAGAGAATGACGAGGTTTACAAGGACATGTCTTGAATCAAATCAAAGAAGTTGAAGATTGAAAGTTGAAGGGGGAAGAATCGAGATTCACCCCCTTAGGAATTGATTGGCCCTAGCCCCGTTTCAGAATCTAGACTTTATTGGGGTTTAAAGGATGGTGATTGGATAAAGAGGAGGGTCCAATAAGAATCTGTTTTATGACTTCATTTTTATGTTAATTATCATAAGAATTATAAGAGTAGATAGGAATTAACAGATTCTTATACTAAGTATTATTATATCATTTGTAATTCTGTACTCCTTATACTCCTTATCATGATTATCTATATCATTTATATCATCTATAAATACTATCAATACTACTACATACCCCCTTATCCCCTAGATAAATTCAAGTAATAGATAGTGGATAACCCGAACGTTCCATGGGCCAAATCCGGGAAACTAGGAGCTAAAACAGAAAGGAGCTAATCCAGGTACAGAATCTGTGGACCGATTCCTCAATTAACTAAACGCCACCAATTCCCTCCCTTCCACGCAAGGATGCCCTAAGGACTCCATTCCATGCAAGCTAATTATAATCTACGGAGTACGGATTAAAATCTGTCAACTTGCAGCTAAGCCCTAATCTGGAACATTTTAATCAATGTGACAGAGAATTAAATAACTTTGCCACTTAGTACGTGTCGTTTTCAAGTTGGACATCGTTCTAGACGCTGGTAGAGTTGATGTAGGTCTGGATTTATACGTCCGACGTACTCCGTAGGGATTTTTATGTATTCCAAGTTTTTATAATTAGTCTATAGTCTAGACTAAAGACTATCATATGATGTTTTCTCTTCAAGTTCTTTTTTCTTCCAGATGTTTCCCACTTTTATCAGAGCAAAAACATGGTGCAACCGCCTGGGCACTATGTATAGTATAAAATTTGTGCACTGATGCTACTAGTAGTACCCGCCTCATTAACCTGAGACACCGTCTTACCGCCAACCTCTTATTTCACACAACATAGCACCTGAGGATGAATCGAATCAACTTTCCATTTGTATTAAAAGTCATAAGATGTTATTAGAATCCATATCATATTTCAAGTTCGGGCTTAGAATAGTGCCTTTGGAGCTCCGGCCATTCCATTCCAATTCTTATTCGGAATCCGTTCCATTCTACACGACGGTCGGAGATCTTCTGAAATAGATGACACGGGCGAAGGAGTTAACAGGGTCCCACTATCCCTACCGTCCCTGTATGACAGTGTGGCGGGTGAGATTTATCGCAGATCATCCCAAAAATATCATGCTGCGCCAGAAGTGGACCGAGGTAAAGAGGTCAATTGCCAAAACAAGAGATGCCTGTCATCTTCAAGGGTGTCACCGTAGTATTCTGAAAAATGTTGATAATAAAAACCTCGTATTCAACCGGTTATTTGGTCCGATTGAGAGATTGGACCTCCTAGATGGTTCAGGATCACTTCTGTCCAGTCTTGCCTTGCATTTCTCGCATAGCAGCACGCGCACTGCGACTACCTCCCAGCTTAGGTCCCTTTGGTGCTTCGGTCTTGCTGTCAGTCTTGGTCGTACGGGCGGCTCGAACTCGTCGCCGGGATTGAATCGCATCCATAAATTCTCGGCGGAATTGTTCGGCTATCCGATCATCCGCCGCTTGGTCATCTGCTAACATTTCTTCCTCTGGTTCATCGTAGACATCCACTGTGAAAGTTAGCATCAATTTAGTACCAAGGGCAAACAAAAAAGAGAGGGAAGCTTACGTTTACTTTCTCGCAATACCTCCTCCACAAGGCGGTCGCGTTCAAGAGCGGCACTGTTGCGACGCTTACGGTTGCGCCATGGCTTATCTGGGCCAGAACGGTCTGGTTGTACTTCAGATTCCCCGGTCATCGAAGACTCTTCATCACCAATCAATCGTCGAGTCGCAGCTTCAGTACGTGCGATATTGCGCATCTTCGCCTCCTGACCAAGATCGATTTCATGTAGCTTTCCAAGTGATGCTGGCTCACGCTGTGCCTCGGATATTAATGGCGCATCGGATTTGAATACATCTGCCTGGTCATGGGTTTCAACATTATCTGGCTGTGGGCTACGATTATATCGTTTAGCCATCTCGGAATCTATATAAGCCATCCTTATCTTGTTAGTCGGGTTTTTGAACTGGTCACATTGGCAAGGGAGAAACTCCTACATGTGTTTATCCACATCTTCGGATTGTCCTGTGTAGGTTGTAAATCGGTCAGACATGGCCTGGATTTTTTCCGTCTCCATGTCTTCGGAGGAGATTAACGCCCTCTCTGGTTCATTTTTGCTGAGTCGCGAGGTGGTTGAGAATGCTATGCCTGCTTTTCGAACTTGGTGTGGGCGCCGGGGACGAGCAATGCCTGTAGATTGTGCGGATTGTTCCTGATCGGCAGTAGACGGTGTTGTGGCATCATTATCATGGGTAGTCGCCGTGGGCTCAGTCGCGGCGGACTCTTCCGCGTCATTGGGGCGTCGTCGGATGAACTTGCGTCGCTTCGAAGAGCGAAAGAGGGATTCCGTGGGGTGACCGACTTCTGTATCCATTATTTGTAGTGGCCAATAAAGAGGCTATTCGTTGAGAGCAATAGGCATAGATTCATTGAAGATGAAGACAGAAAGCGAAAAAAGTGAGGTCATTCAGCGATCTAATCATTCTAAGAGCTCCGAAGATAGCATTCACCGCCTACCACTTACGGGTAACCAACATGGATTCCATCTAGCCCTGGGTAATCAATCAGCTACTTGCACAATATATATGTTTTGGCCTGGAAAATTTTCATGTCTAGCTGAAGTTTGAATGGTACTACTGTCAGCCAAAAGCAAGTTATTTTTTTTTTCAATAGGTTGAACATCCATGGGACTTAGGGCATGTTTAGAATTTCCAAACTTGAACCTCCAACATTGCAATATGGTACTAAGAGCTCCTCCGAGTGTCAGTCGAGCGGTGCCCAGGTATAATTATCTCCCCCATGCTTCAAATATTTCAAATTTTTGGCATTTTTCACAAAGAAATTGAGGCTTTTTTGGGGGGACCAAGATCAATTCTGAAATTTCCAAAATTTCAAGAAACTTCGCCATCGACTATCAGCAGAACCTCGTCAGTCAAGCTTATCAGAAGCTTACTTGATAGAACACTCACCAAAATACTTCTTAGATACCCAATCCATGTCTCAAGGAAAATTCCAATATAGGAACCCTTATAACATAAGATAAGTCGCGAAAGTACAGGATATTTGAAATGAGATAAATACATATCATAAAAACAGCCGAAATAATTTTCAGGTTCCGAACTGCAACCTATGTAGTGGTCTATAAATATTTGGATTGTAAGGGTATGTAGCTTTGGAAAGCTCAAGCCATTGAGATCATGATATCTATTTTTCAGACCACTAATACCTCGTTTAAGTTTTATTGGTGTTGTCGTCTGATATAGCGCAAATTCGACGCAATTTGCCAATGCTTGTTTTTTGGGTGACTTCTTTAAAGCGCTATCAAAGATGGATGAGAGTACAGGGAGATCACGCCAAATAGTTGGGGTTGCTGTAAAGTTCCAAGTATGGTTAACTCGTGCAAAGCTTAAGAGATATCCAGGCCCAGGTTTTATTGCCTCCTGTTCTTCTGGTGGCAGGACCTCAAGCCATAAAAATATCTCGTGAATAATTTCAGGAATGGCAAGAGCATATTGAGCAGCTGTTAAGCCGTTGGTTCTGGTAATATATGGCATTGCGTGATAGACTTCAAAGGTTGCGATCAAGGGTTTGACTCGCTTTGACTCGTCGGCTACCTACTAGGCATCCAGTTCAGAGCATTACTAGAAGCCGAGAATACCTACACTGTGTAGGTATAGACCTCTGCACCAAGTGGCCAAACTGATTATTTCAGTGACAGCCTGGCATCGATTTGCATCTTTCTTTCTGTTCTTCAATTTTAGAAGCTATTCGCGAGAGGGCTGAATGCGAAGTGACAAAAAAGAAATTCGTGAACAAAGAAGTGATCGGACGCGGGCTCGATCTCAGGTCCTTGCTATAAATAGCCTCCGCCGTTTAGGTAGGAAATTCCAAGAATTAAGTACCAACCGACTTTATATCATACAATAAATCAACCATATCAACGGCTACGACCTCGCAAAATGAAGCAAAAAGATAGAGAAATATGTTACCATTCCAAATATGCAAAAAGAAGTGACCAGACCCGGGCTCGATCCGAGGACCTTATCGGAATACGAAGTCAGAGTGACTTGTTAACGATACGTGATAACCAACTACACCATCCGGCCATTTGATATATGCCATAGGCTTGTTTTGTCATGATATTTAACTTTCACATATCATCTTTCCCAAGGTTATCTCCATGTCAAAGCTGCTCCCACACCAAAACGACCGTCCCTTGTCACCCTCCCTTCTCTACTCCGCGCATGGATTTGGCCCACCTTACACTTTAGTGGACTAATTCATTAATTCCCCTCTCCGACACAACCTTTCAATCTCTGCGCCATCCGACATGAATCCTTCCAACCCACCCCAAGCTGCCGAATACGGTGGAGGTACGTGCCTTCGCGCGATGCGCCCACTCCTCGTTTCCCTACCTCACAGGCCCCAATTCTTGCCCAAAAGCACAGTAACTTTCGTGCCACGGCTTTGAAAACCATTGCTAATATGCCGAACTGTTTCTTTTAGATGAGGTCTCAGCCATTGTTCTCGATCCGGGCTATTCAACCACTCGCGCTGGCTTCGCAGGTGAAGATGCTCCCAAGTCTCTAATGCCAACATATTACGGCAAGTACAACGCCGATGGCCAAGAGAAATTTGTCTATGGAGATGATATTTTTGTCACGCCACGTCCCGGTTTGTCCATCTACAACCCGATTGGCAAGGATGGAATCGTCGAGGACTGGGATATGGCGGAGAAAGTCTGGGAGTACTCCTTCACTTCGCGACTTACCGGCGCGAAGCCAGGCAATCCTTTCCAGAATGGCCTAAACGATATCTCCGCTGAGGAGCTCCCCACAGAGATGGAGGTCGAGACGGAAGAGAAGCCTTTGGCCGACAGCCCATTGTTGATGACAGAGCCTGGCTGGAACCCGGCCAAGGCACGCGAGAAGACCATTGAGATTGCGATGGAGAAATGGGGTACCCCGGCCTTTTACCTGGCTCGGAACGGTGTACTCGCAGCGTACGTTTTCCCTCTACTTGAATCCCATTCATCCGTTATGTTGTATAGGACGAGTGAGCTTTTTGTTTACTGGAGGTTCGTTTTTTCACTAACTCATAATCTTGTTGCAGTTTTGCTTCTGGTAAAGCCTCCGCCCTCGTTGTCGATATCGGCGCTTCGAATATCTCCATCACCCCAGTTCACGACGGCATGATCCTGAAGCGCGGAGTGCAACATTCCCCGCTGGGTGGTGACTACATCTCCTCGCAGATCCGCGCACTGTTCAAGAAGAACTCCCCGCAACCAATCACCATCACACCTCACTACCTGATCAGCTCCAAGACAGCTGTCGAAGCTGGCCAAGAGCCCCAGGCCAGGTACAAGACTTTCGCCGCCGACAAGGCACCAGATGCCTCGTACCGGGCTCTTCTGGAAGAACGCACCATCGGTGAATTCAAGGAGTGTGTCGTCCAGGTCTGGCCTGGTCCTAACAAGCTCTCTAATAATGGTCCCAACGGTATTCCCAACGAAGAGGCTGCTCGTGCATCGCCCGGTCGTCCGTTCGAGTTCCCAGATGGCTACAATCAGATCTTCGGTGTTGATCGCTTCCGCGTTGTTGAATCCTTGTTCGATGCTAAAGCCGCTATTCCTGATCCTGACTCGCCTTTCCCAGCCCCTACACCTGCCCAGACTCTTCCTGAGTTGATCAAGGCTTCGCTTAGTGGTGTGGATGTCGATATCCGTCCTCACCTCCTGTCTAATGTGGTTGTAACGGGTGCCTCTAGTCTGCTCTACGGCTTCACGGATCGTCTGAACCAAGAATTAATGGCTCAATTCCCTGGACCGCGTGTTCGTATCTCGGCTCCTGGAAATACTGCTGAGCGTCGATTCGGTTCCTGGATTGGAGGAAGTATCTTGGCTAGTTTGGGTACTTTCCACCAGATGTGGATCTCCAAGAAGGAGTATGAAGAGCACGGTGCGAACATTGTGGAGAAGCGTTGCAAATAATCTTCACCTTGCCTTTTATCCCATTTTCCCTTTTTTTTCTCTCTCTCTTTGTTTCACTTATTCCGATCTTGTATGTGGGTGTCTGCGATTTCCATGGGCTCATGTGTTATGAAATAGTCCAGGTCTATGTGCGTTTTAGTCATTTTGGGCGTTTACTGCTTAGGCGCTTGCCGGGACTCGAGTGTGCGGGTTTAAGCTCGGTCTGAAGGGTCTGAAAAATGAATGCTAGATATCAATGATATTTCAATCTTGTTCCGACTGGAGTTTGTTTTTTGCCTTTATTCAAGTTGCTATTGCATCCAGATGTCTGGGCATAATGACTGCGATCGGTCATTCTGAATCGTACATGTACCACTGCTTAGTACCTCCAAACTTCGATGTAGTACTACTACCTACTAGGTAGCTAGGTATGCTTGATCGGATGCCAAATTGGACTTCAAATTGAACACAATGTATGGGCAGACTTGGAATATAAATTTTGTAAAGACTCAGAACTAGTAGTGGGTATAAACAGTCAACATCCATTTAAGTTTGAATGGACAAGAGAAATAAAACAACTTGAACTTCAAAAAGCTCGATGCCTTTGGAGCTATCGAGGGGTATATAAAACGGTTAACGGAGCCAGCCGTGCTTGTGCTTGCCCTTGTCGATGGAAGAAGGAAGAAGGAAGCAAGAAGAATAAAGAGTAGGAAGATGCTGATACACTGCTCATCATTGCAGGTACAAGATACTCAGCATGGAGTGATTCTGCAAAAGCCTTTGTGAAAAGGTCCCTTATCAGACTATTAGTTCCAGGCAAGTCAAAGAGATCCCAAATTCAAGGGTACTTTTAGTCCTTACATGACCCAGAGGACTCAAGGGAGGTACACAGTGCCAAACTCATCACCCCTGAGCACATTCGATAGTTCGAGGTCTGTACTCAGAAGCAACAGATGGAATCGTAGCTGGTGTAGACGGTGGTACAGCAGGAAGTGCAGTGATGATCGAATCAGAGTCGCCGCCAATAACATTCGGTATCTCATCGATGATGTCTTCATCCGTATTTAACTCTTCATCCAGGGTCATCTGCACAGAAAGCACATGGATCCGTGGAGACATCTCAGGCCTCTGTTTGAATGAATAGGTATTCAAAACCTCTGGTTCATCTTGTACCCATGACATTTGTCGTCCCAAATCCGTGCCAGATAGATCTGTTCCATCACCAGCTCGAGCGCGCCAGGCATTCGGTGATTTGGCTCGGAATATGCTACATGGCCAATCCTTCGCCGTTTTGGATATCGTACGCCCGCACGTCCCCGTCTTCGCTGCCATACTGTCCCACGCCTCCACTACCCGATCGGTTTTCAAGAACTGGGAGATCTGTTCCTTCATGGATTCGGATTTCTCGTTTTCTGAATTCTGATGTGAGGGTCCTCGTCGGGGTGTGGTTGGTGTCTTGGTCATGGACTGTTGAGTCCCAGGGCGATTGTTAGCCCAGAGAGCTTTGAGTTGTTCGATCGACGCACTCCGCGATTTCAGGGTCCGAGCAGGGGCCGTGGCAGGTCGATTCTGTTTAGGATCAGTCTTTTCACCGTCACTGGCAGATCTCTTCGGGAGGAAGGGCTTGGATAGCTTTCTGCTTAACCTTCCAGGTACGCGAGGCGTGGCAGGGATCGGGGGAGTAGCACTAGAGCTAGAGTCCATTGCCAGTGCACTACATGACTTTGCGCGACTCAGGGCCCTGGGTATGTTACTTTCACGCTTGGTAGCATTGGTAGTGCTTTGACCCACATTGACCCTTTCTGTCTCTTCTGTATCACCTGCCTGCCTCGATTGTGACTTGGTTTGGTTTAGGAAAGGATCACGCGGGAGTGGTTTGTTAGAGGAAGCTTTTTTGGAGCCTGGCGTGGTGGTGTTGGTGCTGGACGATCCCTTCATGCATAGCTTCAATTTGAGGGATTTCTTGCGAGCTGGCTCTTTATTAGTCTTCATCAATAAGCGTGCATCTTTCCTGCTTGCTACTCCCACTCGTCTCTGCATCTCTGTTACTGCAAATGCAAGCTGACCCAGCGCCCGTTGAAGTGCTGCACCACGTCGACGAAGTTTGGAAAAGGCTTCGAGCCAACCTTCTAGGTTATCCATCATGGCTTGGTAGAATGCTTTGAGACGGTAGGACTCGAAACAGCCATCGCTGGAAAGTTGAATCAGATAGTGCCACAGGACACTGATTGCTTCTTTGCCCTTCAGAAGGTCCCGGATGGCGTCGGTGATAGCGAGAGTGAATCGGTCGACGGCATGTTCAATTTGATCGTTATAAGAGATCAAGGATAGACGGAAGTTTCGATCCTCCAGCATTTGATCGAAGACATCCAGGTTCTCCAATGGGAGATTCAGGTATTGAATCCTGGTACGGACATCTAGATGAATCATCAAAAAATCTTCGGTGGTTCTTTGTAAGAAACCATCCATTTCATTCACATGTGTTTGGAGAATCTTCATCACTTGCGGTTCTGAGATTGCAAGTTGCTTGGCAAGGAGATGAACACCAAACACCAACTGGGAGGCCAGCTTCCAAAATGGATGATATCTTCAACATGTCAGCCTCCACGCTTTGTAGGGAGTATTAAGACTGCTCACTGTTCAGAGGATCTTTGGCGCCATTTGCGACCACACAACCGTTCATATTCGTCATTTTCCAATAAGTCGCGACGCCGTGTCTGTGCATCTATATCGACTACCCAGTAACTTCTTGTTACTGCACTTGTTTCAGAGATCGACTCTTCAAAGGGACCTTGAAGCTGGGGGATTGGATGCACCGGCACCACCGGGGTTGCCGATTGTTCGGTGTGAACTGAAAGATCCGAGACATAGATATCTTCATCTTCCTCGGAGATGGGAGTAATAGGACTAACAGGACTGAGTCCTGCTGTCACGGCGACTGGCAACAACATGACCACCAGAACCTTTCTGAATTCCGACCTTCGCAAGTATGTATAATGTATACATATATTCAGAAAGTCCAAGAGAAATCGAGATAAGAAATATCAGCCTCAATCTCTCGTAGACACAGATACAATGTTAAATCGGTTCCACACAGATGCGCACAAAGTTAAATTAGGCCCATGCTAACATCCATCAGGGAAACAGCCGTATATAAAATTGCGATACAGACGAGGGATCAAGGGGTAATCATTCTGCAATATTTCAAGATCGGGTTGAAAAAGAGGCTGGAGTATGAGATCCAAACATGCAAGGTTGAGAATCAACACTCGTTTTCCCTACAGATTATTCACCCTTAGGAAAGAAAAAAAAGAAAGACATTCCCATGCGAGATCAGACTTACTTGAACAAAGACCAACTCAAAAAGCGCCACTTAAACACCCGCCCCTCTGGGTCTCACGGTTTCTGTGGCGGGGATGGGGCAAGAGCTGAACCGCAGGCGTCCAGTTTCAAGTTCAAAACAGTTTAAAGCGTGCAGCAGGATCGAGATCTCACTTTAAAAACTCAAAAACAAGAGCCGAAAGGATGGATTCAGGGTAAACAAGAGAAATGGAAGAAATGGAAAAGAAGGGAGAAATAGGAGATTGTGTATGGAGTACTCCGTACTTCCGTTTAGATTAAGTTGGTCGGAGATGATGCCTTGTTCAGATCATTCAAGCGTGAGAAACTCCAAAATCAATTTGTTTTTGGGCTTGCGCACACTTTTTTTTTTCTCTCTTCAATTTCTTTGAATCCACATTTTCCCCCTTTAGAGGGTGTGGATCCTCCCGTTGTCAAGCCTCCGAGGTCTCGTTCCATGGTCTGACAAATGGTGATAAAAAAAGACCACTGATCAACACTGTCTGAATGAAAAAGGCATGAAGAGACCGAGGCTGAAAGGACTCCTTCCGGAATCGAAAGGGATGATCCTCATTTGTTCCCCACACGGGCCAAAGAGAAAAAAACATGTTCATGAGTCGAGTACATGAGAACAGACGTTCTGGCCATATGACGAGGGATAAGGCGAGATACGATGATCGGCAGTCATTCCCTTGTTTGGGGAATCTGAAACACTTCCAGCACTGGGCATCTTTGACTTGCAGTTACGACATGATTCAATTCAAGATACTACTAGTATTACAATTTACGCAAGGTCTACCGTGGATGGAGTATAAATTCATAAAATTATAGGTACTAAATGCTTTATGTAGAGAAATAAACCTGGGGTTCATAGACCAGTTGACTATACATACTCGTGGATGTTGATTTATGTTCATTACCTGGATATTACCTAGGTATACTACATAGTATGTAATACTTATGTCACTGCAATCCATAAATAGTACACTGGAGTGCCTAAACTTGAACTCAGTACACCAATCTTAGAAGGTCAATACACATATAACAAAAGAATATGAAACGCTATACGCATACTTGAACACGTGGATAAGACGTGGCACTGTATGTCCGTGCACAAAGGTTATTCAACTCCACTGGGTGCCGTATTTCGGTATTTCGTTCTATACTTCTCTTGATTCCGAATCTGTCTCTGCAAAAATCGGATCCCAAAAATTTGTGGGAAGAGATAAATCTAGAAATTCCCCAAAAAGTGTATCGATATCAGAAAATCCATGAGTATCAAAATCTGATATGGGTGGAAGACTGGTTTGCGAAATGTCGGTATCAGTACCCACTGATCTACCAGATTCATCCTGATTCGCCTGTGCGGGATCGTGATCCCCAAAGGACTTAACGGGATCCGCCACCGGAGTTTCTTGACCTTGTGCAGATAAGATCCTTGGTCCTTGTCGTGACCCTTGGTCAAATTGTTGCAGGGCTTTTTGACCTAAACGTGCCATCGCTTCGGCGGAGGACCATTGCGGGCTAAGATCTTCTAACAAAGAACAGCATACTTCAAGACTGGCTTTGGCCCGATTGGAATGTGTGATCAGCTTGCTGAAACGGAGCTGTCGATATGATACACCCATCGACAGGGCGATTGCATATGGAACAATGGGGAGAGGTGGCAATTGACCGGAACATTCGGATGCAACAATAGACTGGATTCGAACTGCTGCAAGGCCTTGTCGAATAGAGGAAAGTTTGGTACCATCATGCCCCTCGGTCAATTTATCCCGACATGATAAGATAGCTACACAGTGGTAGTATAGTTCTAGAAGACCTATGAATAGATTGACTTGTGAGCGACCTAAACTCAATCATGTGGGGTATACGTTTTGACAGCCTTACCTAGTGTCGGGAAATCCAAGTCCCCGTGATCATCTCCTACAATATCTTCAAATGCAGGAAACCCCTCTTCCCATCCACTGATAGACCCGGCAGAGGGTCGATAATACGATATCACAGTTGCAAGTAAGTCCGAGATGGCGAGCCACACACCAAACGCTCCCGAAACACGAAAATTTGGTTTTTGAATTCCAATATCGCGGTCAGCCAGTAGAACCGGACGGCCCCCAATGCTTGCATGCACCTTGTCTAATGTCCATAGACCCCAAAATAACTTGGTCAAGGGATCTTCAGATATTGCATCTGCCAGAGGTCGGTCAAGATGTAACCCAATTGTTTGGGCCTGGTGGATGGCCTGACAGAGATGTAAGGAGGCAGCCTCTGCGCCTTCATGCCCTTCGCAATGTAAAGACATTAATGAAAGAATACGAATCCGATTTAACCGATCAGATTCAAGTCCCGCATCCATGGCGACGGTGAGCCCATTGTATATGTCGGTGCAGAATTGTCGTGTTGATACAATCGGTCCTTCTTCTACCAAGCGGAGATGAGGACCTGCCTCAATATCTTTAGCCGCCACAAGGCAGATTGACCTTTCAAGAGACATAGAAATAGATCCCTCAGCCTGAGCATTGACACACGTGCTCATCTCCAGAAGAGGAATGATGTGATTGATTTTGGAAAAATAGATACCCGTCAGAGCTTCTCTTGTCCTGGTAGGAAGTCTGTGACATGATTGCATTGCTGATGCATATCTTCGATTTAATAGCTTCTCCACTGCCTGTGGATTTGGAGTTGATGATGGTGGTACTGCGGGTGAAGCTTCATGATCAGCAGTGCGACGCGAACTCCGCAGATGATGATCGCGATCCCCCTGTGTTGGTGAAGAGATCCAAAGCCCAATTCGGTCTCTTAAAGGATTACTAGATGGTTCATCTAGTCTTTCGCGAATGAATGCTTCCGGATTTAAGTCCCCTACAAATCGCCCAGTTCCTGGAAACGATTGTAAGTTCGGACCTGCCAATGAAGCTCTCTGAGCGGCGGGATCCGGTGAATGCTCAGTTAAATTAGGAGAAGCGCTTGTATTCACAGACGGTTTTCTCGCTTTCAATGTTGGCTCGGTGTGATCTTCGGCCAATTCGGAAAATGGAGCCAGGTGTCGGCACCGCTTCTGCGTAAGCTTAGTACATTTTCCAGGTAGTTTAGTGATACGCTCTCATGCACACCTTTCGACGGTGACAGGCTGGACAAGCCCGAACAGCTCGGGTTCTACTCCGCCATTGCGGAGTATTGGCTTGCCATATTAATTCCATTGAAGCGTAAACATCTGAAGGTGTCGGAGTGTTGGAACATTGCAGGAGAAGCTGAGCTGTTATCGATAAGGTGTGGATCCACGCACATGTGCAGCGACGCCACTCATTTTATACACTATACGGAGTAGCCTCTTATATAGACTCTTCAAATGTTAGAGAAGATATAGAAGACATATATGTATGAAAATATTAGCTATATTCACTACTTTCATGGAGCCGGACCAGTGTTGCGATATTATTATGTTGCACTTTCATATAGAGCTAGCAGAGATCTTAAGCTGTACATACTACTAGGTAGTAGCCTGAGGGCGATTCTGCCTCTCTTTCGCTGGGTATTCCAAGGTTCTGCAAGTCGGCAAGAAAGCTCGAAAGACTAAAGACTAAAGACCAAAGACCAAAGACTACAAGTACTCAAGTAGTAAAAGAGTTCCATCTACTATAGTAGTGAGACTTGAAGAGGTCTACTCGGGAGCCGAATTCAGTATCGATTCCTACTGCTGGTAGTAAAGAGTCCCCAAGATACCCCGAAATCCTTAGTAAACGCCTTTGCCCTCCCAGCTGATCTTTCAGCAAGTATGCTAGATAGTACAGTACAATCCTTCAATTACATCAAAAAACCATCACCAATTCTCCCAGTAGGTTTAACTTGCAGAAAGTTCCTCCTCTGCAGCTGCCAAGGCCTCCAAAGCATCTTCATCGTCAAATTCATCGTCGACGACGTCGACGGGCAAGTCTTCGCCTTCTTGTCCTCATCATCAGGACATTGGGGCTCTGCGACCTTAGTAGTCACTTGAGTGACATTGGCCAAGATTGACAGATTCTCTTTATCAGAGGGCGCAGCCAACTTCTTCTTGGTTGCAACTAGATTCCAATCAATAATCTCGTCATCGCCGTATCGTGAAGCTAACCAGTCATTGCATTTCTTGAAATGACCATTGTCAAACTGTGATTCATACTATTAGTATCTCCAAATGAGCTCCAAGGGTGAGAATGTGTATAGTAGAACTAACAAATCCAGTGTGTGCACTAAAAGGACTGGGATGCGCCGATTGCAGCACATAGTGCTTATCCCGGTTGATCTTAGTTACTCGCAACCCAGCAGGTTTTCCCCAAGCAAGAAAAACCACACCGTGAGTTCGGACTCGAGCAACCAAGTCAATCACCTTCTGAGTAAATGACTCCCATCCCTTGTTCCCATGGCTATGAGCTTGATGCGCACGAACTGTAAGACAGGTATTAAGCATCAGAACACCTCGCTCAGCCCATGGTGTAAGGAGTCCACTATTGTTCGGTGGGGGTGTAAAGTCCGGGTAATTTTTCTTCAACCCTTTGTAGATATTAACCAGGGATGGGGGTGCCCGAGTTGGCGGACGCACGGAAAACGCTAAGCCGTGAGCTTGGTTGTCATTGTGGTACGGATCTTGTCCTACAATCACCACTTTGACGCTGTGTAGGGGTGTAAGGCGAGACCTAGGGCTGGTTTAGCAAGGGTCCTTGTCACTGAGTCATGGTCTTGGTCTTCTTACCAGGAATACACATCTTCCTCGGGAGGGAAGACCTTCGCCTTGCTGTCCTTTTCCTTCTTGAGGAACCGTTTCAGGTTAAGAAACTCCGTTGTTGTAATATCGTCTTTCAGATGCGCGAGCCAGCTATCGTCCAATGTGTCGATTTCGAGTTGCAGAAGCTCCTTCTGTTCCGGTGTAAGAGTGGCCAGCCATTTTTCTTTACTGAAGGAGCTTGGTCGAGGAGGTAGTGCGGCTGTTGTCCCCGGTGTCTCCGTGGGCTTCGGTTTAGGAACGCCGAAGAAAGAAGTGATACTTCCTCCTTTGGGTTTCTTGGTTTCCGATTTCGAGGTGGAGAGGTGGTCCGCGTTTCGTTTAAGGGCTGGGCTGACCATGGTGAATGTTTAAGGGAGAGCCTCAATGGATCGGCGATTAGGATTGTTTGAGAAAATGAAATCAGATGGAGAATGCACAGTTCGAGAAGTTCAAGTTCAATGAGAATGCTATTCCCAAGCTCTCGAAATTCGGGTGCGATGAATTGACGCGTTTTCTCGCGCAACGCGTTCTCGGCTGACTAAATCCGGGAGATTGACCGTGAACGATATGATCTATCCACTCTTATCTGAGCCGAACATTGCTAGATGATCAGTGGTCTGCTCTACTTAATGGACTGACTGCATCTTAAAGATGAAAACTACTCGACAGAAAACTACTCGTTAAGGGAGAAGCATTACTAACGTATTCGTCGGAACGATCATGTCAAATTGATGATACAGGACACGGAGAAAAGCGACATAATAATTTAGGAAGTGAGTATCAGGTTTACAGCTCATCGTGAACATCCTCAGCAGGAGCCGGTGTCTCAGCAGCCTCCTCGGTGTCAGCGGGGGCAGTCTCATCGGCCTCCTCGACCTTGGTACCCTCGGCAAGGCCGTCAATCTGGTACTTTCCGTGCTCCTTGATGAAGGAAACAAGGTCCTCAACTGTGCGAGAGCCCTCGTACTCAACGGGCTCATCCTTCTTTCCGGCGGGGAAGAGCTTGATGGTAGGGAAGCCAGTGATGGAATCAGGAACATCGTTAGCGGTAGCATCAATCTTAGCCACAACGACCTTGTCCTTGTACTCGGCAACATCGGCATACAGAGCGGCGAGCTCATCGTACTTGGGGGCGAGACTATAGAAGTGTTAGAAAAGAGCCTTGTATGCATTAGTGGCAGATGAGACTTACGCCTTGCAGTGACCACACCAGGGGGCGTAGAACTCAAGGAGAACATCCTTCTCGTTGTCAAAGACAATGTCCTGGTAGGTGTGACCAACAACCACGGTGGTAGCGCCCTCCTGGGTCTCGGGAATAGGCTCAGACTTAATGCTGGCATCAACCTTGCCGTCAATAACATCCTGGATGAACTTGCCAACCTCCTTGGCATCAAGCTCCTTGGACTGGTCGTAGGGGTACTTGGCGTTCTTGGTGGTCTCCTGAATAGCGAAAGCGGGGAAGGTCTCGGGCTTCAGGTTCAGGTTGCCGGCGTGAGCACCAAAGAGCTTGGCATCGAGGGTGACAATGTTGATCTCGCCGCGGTGCTTAGCAGCGATGGGACGGAACTCCCCCGCGAACTTCTCACGCTCCTCGGCGGTCTCAGCGAAAATGTAGGCCAAGGGAAGACCAGCCTATTAACATAGTATTAGTGACCTGGCGATCTGGGTAAGAGCAAGTTCATCTGTTTACATACCGCCATGTACTTGGAGTAGGTCTCAGGACCGAGCTCACCAACAAGGGGAGTGCTGGCGACCTTAATCCACTCCAGAATGGATTCCTCGTCAAACTTGCCCTCGTAGACATCCTTCTTCTCATCAAAATCCTTGTAGAGGACGATGGAGGGCTGCTTGGCATCCTGGGACTTGGCAAGCTCAGCGTCGCTAGAGGCACCGAAGAGGTAGTTATCGCGCTGGGCCTCGGCGAAAGCAGTGAAGCTCTTGTTGGAGCTCTTGTCGTCAGAGCCAACGTAACCAATGATAACAATCTTATCCAGGGTCTTGAAATCCTCCAAGTTGTCCTCGTCAACGCTGGAAACGGCGGGCATCGATTGCTTGGTCATGTATGAGACAATCCTATTGTAAACAATGGTAAGTATACTGTTGGTACTGGGTGAAATAGACCTGGTAATTGCAGGATAAACATACGAGTCTGTTTGACGGGCACCGCCGTAGGGCTTGTGAGAGCTAGGTCCACGGAAGACCTTCAGGGTAGGGTAGCCATCAACTTCGTAGTTGCGGCACAGCTCCTCCTCCGCAGTGCAGTCCACCTTGACCAGGGGAATATCCTTGCTCTTCAATTCGGTGGCAGCCTCTTCGTACTTGGGTGCCAGAGCTTTGCAGTGACCACACCACGGAGCAAAGAATTCGGCAAGAACCAGATCATGCTCCTTGACGAAGTCATCAAAGGTATCTGTGGTCAGTGAGATGACGTTGGAGTCGGCCGCGTCAGCATCCGCAGCGGAGACGGCGGTGGCGCCCAGAAGGCTCAGAACCAGAGGGGCGAAAGACCGCATAGTGATTTAAAGATCGACGAGGTCTTGCTCACAGCTTGATGGGTAAGAGATGTATGATCAGCTTCAGAGGTTCCGGGGGAAGGAAAACAAACAAACCCCATGGGGGAATTGAAATAGGGAAGGTTCAACTTACCCACCAAGATTATATGGAGAAGTGTATAAGAGGATATCTAGGTTTCCGTGTAGAAATGATATTTAAGGGAAAGTTGATTGGGGCCGGAGTTGAGGACAGTTTGTTCTCTTGGCTTTACGGGAGTGGAGCTCCTCTTCTTCTGTACAGTATGCAGGGCGGGTTTCCACTACGCAAGGGGATCTCCCTTAGGTACCAAACCCTGTCTATTATGTACCTGGATGTACTTTCCACGTACATGTGTCCAAATTTCCCCTTTTTTTCTAAGCTTTTTAAAAGGATCGACACTTGATAGGACATTATAGACCTAGTCAGGTACTAGAGTTTATGATTTACTTTTCATAATGTAGTTGAGTACAGGTGGCATCTAGCGCTTTAATTACTATGGTTATACCTACTTGTCTCTATACCAGAGGTAACCCGAACTTCCGTCTTTATGGGTTACACTAGCCAGTAATATTGTTTAACACAGTAGCCTCCAATATTTAGTGGATATTACGTGTAACCGATGTGGATCAAAATATGAAAATATGAATCTACATTTATCAATTGATCGAGTTTGAACTAATGATACTATAATATTTAGACCTTCAGGAGATCCATTTTGTACAGTGTGCTACTCACATTTGAAGCTTGATGAATCCCCAAATTACAATATAATAAATTAAGAATTATCCTGCTCAGGTGTTATAAACTTGACAGGTATTCTACAGAGTCAGAAAAGGAAAAGAAAGTACGGAGGAGTAGAGTAAGTGTTAATCATCCCCATATACGAGAAAAAGAAATCATCACTAGCTACTCTCCGGCATGGGGTTCTTCCGAAACTCCGGTAGAGATAGTTCCATAACCTGGGGCCTCTGAAGGACGATCAAGTTCAGCACGGAGTTCAAGTGCATCACGTTTTCCCCGCTCAACATCCACGAGTAACATAAGTGGCAGGGGAGAAAAATCAGAACAGCCAAAAACACAAATGCGGGCCGAATCTCACCATATCGATCAGTGATCATTCCAACAATCGCAGGTCCAAATACACTGGAACCCTTGTCGGTGATAGCATATAGAGCATAGAACGCCGCTTCGTGACCGGGAGGAATCAACTCAGCGAAGAAGCTCCGGCAGTAAGATGAGAGGCCGCCCATGACAAGACCATACACGGCGCCGAGAGGATACATCTCCCACGGCTGTTGGAGACCAATCCCTAGGCGCTGCACTGAAGGAACAAATCCCAGAATCCCATATAATGGGATCAGTTCGAACAAAATAATGCAGGCAATAATAGTGTGTGATGCACGGAGATTCAGAAGACTTGATACGTAGCTCCAAGAGAATGCACCACATACCCCGGCGATCATAACAATTACGTTGATGAGCCCCAGCGCTGCCGGCTTCATATTAAGCTCGGTCTTAGCAAAAAGAACAGCTGTTCCGCTGACAGTGGCAATGCCATCGCTCAGAAGGAACCATGCTGCTAGAAAAAGGAGAATGTCCTTCAAACGTCTCGCACGCATGGCTGTTTTGCCAAGAGAAACCCATGCATAGGTCAGGTAGGCTATCCATGAATTGAGAGGTTTCCCATTATTGAGCAGGGGTGGACCGGGCCGAATGCGTAGCCACATGATTGCGGGGATAGTAAAGACGAACCACCATAGCCCAATAAAAAACAAGACCAATCGAAGCGAAAATGTTGTCTGGTGGGTAATCACAACAATACCAATCGATATCACCTGCAAAGTCACTGCCCCGACATAGCCAATGCCAATACCAAAGGATGATATTTGGGTGGAAAGAGCAAGGTGGAAGGATGTCATCTTAGCGGATGCATCTCGATCCCGCTCATTAGTTTCCAATAATGGCCTGGATACATCTGAACTGTGTTGGATGGTATCATCATGCGGGAAATCTTCGTTTTCGACTTTGTTGAGGATCACAGGATGATGTCGCACCAACACAGGAAGAAAAGAATTCAATAGGACAAAGGACGCACCGAAACAGGTATTGGCGACAATGGCTAACACGCCTCCCAAAAGGTAGATTTTAGGAACAACAGCCAGAAACAGCATAGTTGCCACTGAACCAACAAAGGCAAATATCATTAGGAGCGTTTTTCGATAACTCCCATGGTCCGCAGCACCCGACATAGAGATGATCAGAATTGCCTGCACCAACACACTCAGGGAAAATGTATATAAGGCGAAACTGGCAGTATTGATTTCAGCGCCTAGCAGGTATATAATGCACTGGCTAGCATCTGCTTTTTGAGCTTGATACCCAGCTTGGTGGCTAGGATCTTGAGAAGGATTCCATGTTGAGCTACAAGGGGTAGTCTTGTCAGACAGAAGAACCCCGCGATCTCGTGCCATCTGCTCCAGTGTAATGGGCAAGAAAGAGCCTAAGATAAGCCATATTTAACAAAGTCTCTAATATTATACAAAATGAGAAGTAAAGGGGAGGACCTACCCATCGCACATACAGTAAACACTTCTGCGGCCCAGCCATAACAATACCAACCCGCTAGTTCCCTTCTGCTCGTTGGGCGAGGATCATCGCCAGGATAAAGAGGAAGTCGACTATTGACTTCCTCTCCAGTCATCATCTCCTCTTGAGTACTCATTGTTGAGATTCAATTTGATGGATTATCATGATCGAGAGATGGTGAGGTCATGCTTGACAAGTACATAGAGAAGAACCTTGGAAGGGGAGCACCCCCATGGATATGTGACACCGAAGTGGAGCTATTGTAATATTACATATAATTACATTTAATACCTTGAGTCCGGGGTCTTCAAGCGCCTCGGGTATCTCTCCCCGTAACAATACACGTAATATCGATTCTCATGGCAGAGTAGTTCTGCCGCCATATATGTAAGGCACCAAGGCAATCACATCAAAGGCGGTGCATGCGCATTGCGCGCTTTCCCTTCTTTTGCCCTTCAGCCTTTCCGGCATCACATTCTACTTCGCGCCCTGTCATCCCACGTCTTCTGACAATCCATATCCCCTTCCATACCGCTCGGCAATTACGATTTCTTACCATATTCAACTCCGTCACATCTCTACCTCCTTCCAACCCCTCTCCGAACCCGTCAACCCACTATCAATCTCAATCCTACCTCACAACATCCGGCGCAATTGAACCAACCAACTTTACAACATTCCTCTTCTAAGATCCTCGATCTCCCTCGCGCTCGACCGATCCATTCAGACAGTCTTTCCGTGTCCCAAGTTCAAACGTTGATTTGGTGCCCAGCTCCCTTGATTATGATCGAGGCTATTGTTTTGGACGGCCAGTGATACGCATGGCACTGGGCTGAGAACTTAACTCTCGCCAGGCTCTTACTTTCAGCTTCCCTTCCGACCTAAGCTGCTGCTGATTGCGCTCAGACAGGTGATTGAGCTATTTCGCTTGCTCTTTGCCGCGCAGAGGGCCGGGAGGGGAAGGCTAATAGAGAAAATAGCACTTCCCAGTGACTCTATTTGTTCAAGACATGCCCGGTGTCATCATGGAACATGCTGGCGTTGATGGGCCCTTGCGACAAGCAGGTCCGAATGAGGCGGCCAACGGTGCATCGAGCCGTGACAAATCTACTGCGTCCATGAACGGGCCGGTCCATGTGAATGGTACAGGAAGAGATATCAGCTCTTGGAGCCAAGGAAAAAAACCAGTTCAAGGCATAGAGCTCTCCGTAACGACACCTTTTGAACTACCCCATATCACCGAAGGATTTTTCCCATTCGGCACACTTATCAACCGATCAGTTCAACAATGCTGGGTTGAGCTCTCTGAGTTGGTGACAGAGCTGGCTGCGATCAATGTGCCGTCTGATACATCGGCCCATGCTTCAAATGGAAAGCATGTGGGAAACCAATCACCAGACAATCTGCACAAGAAATCTCGGATTCTGGAGTTTGCCCATGCTAGAAGAACGGAATTCATTAAGCTCTTGGTTCTCTCACAATGGAGCCGTCAGGCTGCCGAAGTTAGCCGGCTTATCGATATCCAAGGATTTATTCGCACTCGACATCAATCATACAGCTCGGCGCTTCAATATGTTGGTGAAGTGAAACGAGATCTGGTTCGAGCGCAGGTGGCCAATCCAGATCTCAAAACGGCTTTGGAGGTTCTTGCCAAAGGCAAGGTAGCAAATCTTCCACAGGTGAGCTCTGATAATACGTCTGGTAATTGAGCAAGATGGTTCTAACCTATTTCTTTCCCCAGCTTGGCTACAAACCTCCGAAGCCCTTGACTGCGCGGGCAACCCTAAAAAAGCTACACAAGATCAATCGCATCATTAGTGTCCGGCTTGCACTACACGACCAGGTCCCCCATTCACTACGAAATTATCGCGTTCATGACGGCCGTGTCACATTCACCGTTCCCGGAGAGTTTGAACTTGACCTTGCAGTTGCAGAAGAGGCCAATACTTCGCAGTTTTTCTTCGTGGATATCCGTTTTCTCTTCTCACCGTCATCTCCAATTCCGAAAGGCAGGATATTCGACGAAGTTGATTCCAAAGTCAACGGAGTATTGCATAGCGGCGGTCTAAATGGGTGCTTTGATTTCCTTCATGGATTGGTCTTGACCAACAAGATTAACACACTCTTCAAGCAAGCCATGGATCTTGCACGAGCTCTATGGTCGGATTCATTGCGAATTGAATTCCTTCATCGAACGCTGGTTATTCAATACTGGACAGCTAGGGCAGGGCCGAAAAGCTGGCTAGAAATTGGTGTCCAACGAGGCCAAGCCGTTAACAAAACCCATCAAAACACTACCGGGGTATCGCGAATAGGTCTACGCTGGATGCGGGATGGTCAAAAAGCAAACAGCAGTGACATTGAATTCGATCCTAACAAGCTCTGTATGGAAAGCCTCTTACGAAGTGTCATTGCTGTGCACACATCGCATCTACTTCACAATGCCTATACTTCCCTCAACAAAAATCTTCTTTTCTCCAACCACGTGCTGTCATTGAAGGCACATTTATCCCCTACGGAACCTGGCGACTGCTTCCTTGATGTCCAAATGACGCCTTCTCGCTCTCTTCGGGTTTCAATTGAACCGTTGTCCGGTTCAATCACTCTTTCGGGTATGCCAAACATATTGGAGCGTCCTGAACCCGAACGAGCCTCGAACCGATCGGCGATTGAGGAGGTCTTGGCACGAGTAACCCGTGTTCGATGCTCAATTGCGGTCGAGGAAGTTGAATTCGGTATCAAAGCCCTTGGTCTCGAGAATGATGGCCAGAGAGGTTTGGGACTCGATATTCGTCGATTGTTTCCCGCAAACACTGTGCGCTCCGTCTTCTTCACCCATTGTCTTTGGGATCATCGCTGGGTCGCTGCCGCAACGAGTAGTATGGATGGTGACAGTTGGTGGTTGATTAAAACTCGATCTGCGGAATCTCACAACTCGCCTGCCCATCTTGTCAGCACTACCCTTATGCCCGCACAACGTCGATCCGACTATTCAAGCTGTGCAGAGCTTCTACATGGCCTAACTGGAATGTTAGCGATTTATTCCAATGCTCGATTCTTGGCAGGACTACCAAACGCACACCTTTTCCCTTCGTTGGAAGAGCTGCAGTTGGGATCTGACTTTCAGGTGCCGAACCTGTTTCTTCGTTACGACCCATCTGCACTTCCCCCGGCTCTTCGACTAGCAATCCCCGTCGGACTTGAACGAATATCCTATCTCACAGATACCATACGTCTTTCATTCCACGGGATTGATCATCTAACCCGGTCTGTTGCGCTTATGGCATATGGCACCCCTCGGTTTCGTATCAAGTCTTTGCTTCCTCTGGTATCTAAGTTGGACGCTTCGCTACTGATTCAAGAGCATAATTGCGGGTTTGCCCTCCGTTTACTTGCCCCAGCTGGTCACTCCGTCATTGTGGGCTTATTTGAACGCCTGCAACGATTTGATTGCGTTTTATCAATTCTTCAGTCCTTGATTGAAAAAGGAATGGAGCCGCTGTCCTTGTCTCTTTCACATCTTGCATTTTCCTATGGGCCCAATAGACAGTTTACTGGCCGATTTGACATCAATGTGTCGGGTCCTTCTCTATCCGATGACATTGACGTATCCCACGTCCTGTCCAGCGCTGATCCATTATTCCGCTTGCAGCTCAAGATCAGCTTTGACAGTCCCAGCCCCCATCGTCGTATCCAGCAACCACTCACCGTGGCCCTGAACAACAATTTCACGGAAACAGGCGTGGATTCAATGCTCGGGTTTATGCACGACACTTTTCCCCTCCTGCAGTGCTTGGATCAAATCACCAAGTCTGCCCCGACAGAATCCTCGATTGTGCATGTAACTGCACGCAGTCCAACAATTTTCCAGTTCCATTATCCTCGGCTGAATTCTCGATTCCAGCTGTCTTGCCGGCGGCGCCAAAGCCGCATGGTGTGGCTGCTGGATGACTCAAATCGATCAGCCTCCTCTGAACCGAGTCAGTCTTCAATCGCCGTTGGAGAAAAAATCTACAACTCCAAAGGTGACGGTTGGCAGGGACTTGGTGACGGTGCTATCTCTTCCCTTGAAAAAATCGGCAATCTTCTTTCTGAGCTTCATTCGTGTCTAGGCTCTTGTCCTCCAGAACCTGAGAAACAAGAGCCCGAGAATAAAGGGCAGCAACCTCTTGCATCTGTACAAGGTGCACAAGCAAGCAGTGCGAACAGACCTACTAAGGTAGAAGCTGCCTCGCTTCCGAAAAAAGATGTCCACAGGCACGCCGATGTGATCACGATTGACTAATTTGCTCTCTGAGAGAGCCTCGCCTTCCTAATCCACAAGAGATATTATTTTTTTTTCTCTCTGGAATGTACTCCTACTTTTAGACTTCCAATGTGACATGTCCATCTATGCTTTCTACATGTAACCATGGCTTACTTCTTAGCAGTACCCCAGTCATTCTGGTGCTGGTATAGAGTGACTAGGACAGTTCCGAGGTCCTAGTAAAATACATCTTCTACTTACATATGAATCTCGAGGGTACTAAAACTGGGACTTAGATGAGACTATAGAACAAAACCGTGGCCTTCATGCACATATATTGAAAATTATGTAAACGGCCAGTGGATGATAAATTGAAGTCCGCCATGAACAACAGTGTAAATTGATTTATATTTTCAGAATCTCGAGGGCCACGTCAATGTTATTTTAGATTAATACCGCTCCTCCTTGACCTTTCCTCGGCTGCGGAACACATCATATTCAATCCATCTCACCGTTGGTGAAGTACCCTCCGGCAGGAAACGTCCAGGGTTCATGACATGACATCCCTCGTAGGTCATACAGAAAGGTGCGACCTCCGAATCAGCCAGAACCAGGGCTGTGGGTAATGGATACAACTGGACTGCAGAAGCATGGTCCCACAAGACTGGCCGCACGGGCAATGGAAATGGCGAAAGGGTTCCTTGATCTAGGATGGTCTTCACCAATTTCCGGGCTGCGGATGCACCGGACGATATGATATCGCTCTTGGTCTTATTTGCTTGATCAGCCATCGCTGGGGCTACCGAAACGGCATCACTTGTTGCGCTGTCTAGCGTTTCGTGCATGGTGGCATCATCTTCCGCTTCTTTATGCATATCAATCGCTGTACGACGCAACCTGCCTGAAATGTCATCACGGAAAATGGCAATCTCATGCACAGATCCAAACCAAGAAAGACGTGCTGGGTTCGAGGTCCAGAGAGCTTCTCCCGCGGGTTCGGAGGTCTGAGATCGATCGAGTTCTGAATTCGCGGTTGCGAATGCGCGCTTGATTCGTGATGTGAATAGCTCCGGAATCGGCTGTCGCGGTATAGTTGAGGCAGCACCTGCTGAGAATGCAGACGCCCAGGGGTCATTGTCCCCAGGGATGAATACAAAGGTCGAATGTTGCAACAGTGCTGGAAACTCGGATAGGACAACTGCTAGGGAGTCGAAATGCTCTTTGTATTCGATACTCCCAGCTCGACCACCACCATTGATGATCGGTTTTTGCACAAAATTGCCAACCAACACAAAGGTTTGAGGTCGATCCACGAGTGCTAGGTCATTGTAGATGCTGAAAACTTTTCGAAGTGCGTCGGAAGTTTTCATATTATCGAGGTTGACCTCGCTCATCACAACCATCTTCAATCGAGGCGGTGCTTCCATCGCCTCTGGTTCACCTCTTAGGGATTTTTCTTGGATTCTCCTCATCCGAGCACCCTGCGCACGCTCACTCCCAACTCCCATGAAATCAACCCATCCAAATCCACCACTGGAGCTCACTTCGCCAGTACCTTGACGACTGCTTGTTCCTAGTGAGATATCTCTGCGTTCACAAGGGGGGCCACATATCGATACACCGACAAAGTGCCCACCAATTGTACCACCAACTCCAGAGTTTCCTCCAAGTACAGATCCCTTGACCATCTCTTCTTCTTCGTAGATTCCATCAACAAGCACTATCATACCAGGTGCGAACCACGCACCATCCTCTGGGATCATGCGAGCATGACTCAGATCTAGAACCACGCTACCTGTCAAGTCCACAAGGGTCAGATCACCAGTAGGAGAAATAGATAATAGTCCCAGCAAAAGATGCGAGCTTCCATTTCGACCCAGCAGATTTGCAATTGGTGTTAATTTGTAGGATTGCTGGGCTGCCAGGTTTGACGATGATCGTTGCAGAGAAGGAATGCCTGAAAAGCTCAAGGAACTTTGAAATGACTCGTTACGAAGCAGTCTCTGGTAGACTAGGTTGTAACGATCTCGGAAAAGAGAGGTTTTGTGCGCAGGGGATGGGAATAGAGTAGGTTTGGACTTGATAGCCTCGAAGTATTTCTTGTCAACGTTATACGTCAACCGAGGAAGGTCAAAAGCCTCGATGACCTTAAGCCAATGTCGTGGATGTAGGGGAAGTTTAGATTCGTCTTCCTCTGCACCACCTGCTCTTGTTCCATCACTGCTAGTTTCACTCCGTCCGGCATCCAAGCCAGCGCTTAGTGACCTTACAGAAGCGTCTTGGGGATTTGCTTTCCCTGCGACAACCCTGCCTCCACTCATACTCCCCTCAATAGTTTGTAGAATAGACTTGAGAGAAGCACCTTTCCCTTCTTCCACGATCACATTTCCGCCGGCTCTTTTCCAGCTCTTGGCTACCTCATCCAAGACTCTCTCCGCAAGTCCTTCTTCGCGCCATCCTGAGCCACAGTTCTTTCCCACGAAGACTGCCAATGTTTGCAGTGCCGAAGATGAAATTGTCAGATTGTGCTTTCGGGTGAATGTTCGGAAAGCTACTGGGCGAAGTGTAGATGGAGGAAGCAGAATCGGTAATATAGATGCCTTGGTAGGTGGAGCTGAGGTCTTTTGCATTCGAAATGGTCGAGCTGGAGTCCCAAATGCGGGCGAGGACGATGGGATTGAATCACCAGCTCCAAGCTTGAAGCGATCAGGGTGTCGTGGAGTAGACGAGGGATTCATGGTGGCGGCGTTTAGGGACTTTTTTCTCTCTCTCTTCTCGGAGATGATCAGGACGCAGGGTAGGGGAAATCGGCAGTGAGGATATCAAGTATAGATGGATCCCAGTATTTTTCAATGTGACAGCTCTAGTCAATTAAGCTGTTTTTGCCCAGTCTCATACCCAGTAAACTCTTGAAGTGAGAGTAAGGAGTAGAGAGACGCGTTGACACGGAACGCGAGTCGCGCTCTTATCCGTTATCGCTTATCGCCTGGTCTCTTTACTTTTCTCTTCTCCCTTTCACTCACTTAACATACTACAGTCCTCTTACTCATACAGGCTCCTCATCCATACCCTTCACAATGTCTGACGACCAATCGAATCCTACTGTGCAACCCTCCGAGGTACTTGAGAAGCAACGCGCCGAGTTGAAAGACCTGCTCGAACAAGCTGCTGCGAAGGATGCGACCAAAGATTACAACTCCGCATCAGAGCTCTACTCTCAAGCAACTGAGTTGCAGTCTGAGATCAATGGCGAAATGTCACCCGAGAATGCGGATCTTCTTTACGCCTACGGAAAGTCGCTTTACAATGTCGCTGTGAGCAAGAGTGATGTGCTGGGATCCAAGGTCGCCGGAGAGCCCCAAGCTGAACCAAGCAAGCCCTCTTCAAGCGCTAAGTCTGCTGGTTCCGCTGGCACTGGCGAGAGTCTGATCCAGGATGCTATGTCAAATGCGATGGCCAAACCCTCTACGTCTTCACTGGGCAAGAGCGACAAGTCGGAATCCACTCCACCCAAGGCACTTTTCCAATTTACCGGTGACGAGAACTTTGTTGACTCGGACGAGGAAGATGAGGATGAGAACCAGGAGGAGGGCGATGAGGAAGAAGAAGACGATTTCGCTAATGCTTTCGAGGTTCTGGATTTGGCGCGCGTGCTTTACCTGAAGAAACTTGAGGCAGCGGAGGAAAGCAGTAGCGCAAAGGGCAAATCGGCTGATCTACCGGAGGATTTGAAACATATCAAGGAGCGACTTGCCGATACCTATGATCTGCAGGCTGAGATTTCTTTGGAAGCGGAGAGATTTAGTGATGCGGTTACTGATCTACGAACTGCCCTCGATCTGCGATATTCACTGTTCCCGTTCGAGGACCCCTCCGTTGCCGAGTGCCATTACAAACTTTCTCTTGCCCTCGAATTTGCATCGGTTCCACAAGAAGGTGAGGAGGATGAGACTGAAAAGGAGAAGACAGTGGACGAGGAAATGCGAAAGGAGGCTGCGACTCAGATGGAGCGTGCTATTGAGAGCTGTAAAGTTCGACTTACTCAGGAAGAGAAAAAGCTGGAGACCAACAAGGACATGGACGAAGACAAAATGACTGCTTCGAAGAGAAAGATTGCCAATGTTAAGGAGATCATTGTTGAGATGGAGCAAAGAGTGAGTGAATTCAGTATCTGTCTTAATTACTCCTGTCATGTCTGCTCACATTTATCATAGTTGGTCGATCTCCGCCGCTCTCCCGCAACGGTCGAGGAGAGTAACCAGGACAATGAGGCCTTCCTGAAGGGCATTCTTGGCCAGATCGTCGGACAGTCTCCTGCTGACCAGAAGGCTCGACTTGATGCTGCTAGTAATGAAGCGAACGATCTCTCATCTCTGGTCCGACGAAAGCCTGCCAGCCAAGCCGCTCCAGTATCGAAGCGCCCAGCTGAAGACGATCCTTCAGAGAATGACTCAAAACGTGCTCGTGTGGATGACGCTCCCTCCACTGCCTAAATGCGAATTTGAATGATTTCCTTTTGTTTCTGCGGCGTTTATCAGTCTTCAGGCTGGTTTGGAATATCTATTTTGTGGTTAAGGCGACACTTGATGTATAGTGGAAGATGCTCAATTGATCAGAATTTAAGTAAACCACATCTGCATGTACTACTACGTAAAGACATTATTGATTATAAATGGGTATCGCGCGCCAACCTGGGAAGCCTGGAAGTAAATAAACATCGTCCTCCTTTGAAGCAAATTCATATAGAAATAGCTATAGCTTCTCCGACTTCAAGATAGTCCAAACATGTTCGATCGTCGTTCAATCAACTTCCGATTTCTGCGTCTCGTGGCCAGCCCAGGACTCCAAATTCCCGCAAAGAGGTCTTCGCACTCGTCTTCATCTTGACTATCAAATTCCAACTCTGGAGGATCTGCCTCGTCCACTCTTCCTTGAGTCTTTCCAGAACTCGAACCCGGCAAGTTAAGATCCGGCGGGGACTCCCAGCACGACGATGTAGCGATCCTCTTCGTCTCCAGAATAAACTTGCCCACTTTATATCGTTGAGATTCTTCTTCCGCAGCAACATATTTCCATCCCAATACAGCTCCGCAGATCTCACAACTGATATCACTAACCGTATGGGCTCCCGTGACTAGTTGCCGGGGAACTGGGTGGTGTAAGATGGTATTAGGTAGGGATGTTTTAGGAGATGACGAGGCACTAATAGATACTGCGGTTCCCGAGTCGGCGGATACAAGATATGCGCGTCCATGTCGGCCTGTGAAGCCTTTACTGATGATTTGGGATGTCAGGCAGAGATGTGCGGCGCATCCTGTGCACTGGAGATAAGATATATGACCGTCGAGGTACTTTGAACTTGAAGTGGGGTCTGGGGAGCTTGGTTCGGTCCCCACATCTCGTCTCTTAGGAAATGAAGGGAGAAGAAATCGGGGAAATGGGGAGGGCCTGATCTTGTCTTTTGGCATATTGCACGTTGCCAGATAATGTGCACGTATGTCATATATAGCGCTAGGGGGGAGATTTGAGGGGAGCATAATGAATAAGGTACTGAAATCTTGGAATCTCATTCATGCAAGGACTATCATTTGAAAGGTGCCCAGGTGCCCAGGTGCTTAGGTGCTGAGGTCATTGCGCAAGCTTATCTTATCAATGATCGTAATAACTAGTTAACGTAGCTCCCGGTTGATCTGGCCACCCCAAAACACATACAAAATGCGATAAATCATAACTTCATATCTCAACAAATATATTTATTTAAGATAAAATATTGCATGTTTAGAGTAAAGTTATCGTTTCTAACATACTGGTGTAGTCTAGGGAAATTCCTTCAAGAATTAGTAGAGATATATACGTTCAAATCTAAAACGTCAAAATTACGCTGTATTTTATGGTAAAGCATTGAAATAATACTCTGAAAGGTCTAAAATCTAGATGTGCTCTTTATACAGCCTGGGAATTGTAGATGCTAATGCTTTAATAGAAATAAATCTCTGGTGGTTGAGATATAGAGGAATCAATATCCAATATTTTGTATGTGTTTTGGGGTGGCCAGATCAACCGGGTGGCCAGGTCAACCGGGAGCTACGTTAGTTACATTTGAGCACCTGATCTTATGTAATTCCAATATTATAGAGTTGATCTCGGAGTATATTGAAGACGGTGAATATGCTAGTGGTACAATACTACAAGAGAGTAGAAAAGGAGTCTTATGAATAACAGTGATAATTCTGGTCTTGTGAACAATAAAGAATTATAATAAAGGGGGAAAAATTGCTGAACAATTACTCCGTAAAACTAGAAACGAGTCGCTCGAGTCAAGCAATTAGGAATAATAATAGAAGGTGAAAAGACAGACCAGCTCAGAACGACAAAAAAAATAAAAAATAAAAATAAGAAAACCATCATGTCATGATAGTACGACGGAGCGCACTGATCCCAGCAGAATGAATAAAAAATGAGGGGAGAGAAAGAAAAGGTTAAAAGAACAGTTCCATCTCAGAGCCACTGGAGGATTCTGAAGTCAATCAGATCCATCTCGGTGTAACTAGACTTCGGCGACTAGGAAAAGCCATTTGGAGCTGATGACAGAACCTGGATCACTGCACGTTACCCATGGTTTTAAGGTAGTCAAACTGAACCCGCACCAGCCAAGGCTTCTGACGAGCTCCATTTCGTTTGTCTGTTGTGAGCGCTTGACACAAGCAACAATCTGCGAACAATCAAAGGCATCGATTCCAGCAAGCTCGAAGAGCGCAATCAGTCTATTTGAAAAATAAATATAAAAAAAATTAGTCATGTTGAGACCTTTTCCCTTAATAAAGTGATTAACATACCCAGACTTCAAGCCATGACCAAGTGCCCCATCCTCGAGAAAGACAAAGAGCGTTTGCTCCCCATCTACATCTGCCACAAATCCACGGAAAATAGCATCGCTGGTGTAATCCCACACTTCAATCCATCGTCGGATTCGATCATGCATGAGCCCGATATGATTTGGTTGGATATTTTGAAACGCACCCACTCCAAGTGACTCCTGTCTCATGTCATTCCCCTCACCAAGGAATGTCGTGAACAGTTTGTCACAGAAGAGTCTCTCACACTCTTCCGGAATGGTGTGCGTCGCCCCCCCTTGTACTCAGGCCAGGTATTCCCAGCCCAGTTTCGTTCAATACTGCTGGAAATATCGAGGGGAGGACTTCGCATGCTTGATTTAGACCCTGAGGGGACCTCAGGGATACCACTGTGCTCCTGGGAGGATGTTAAAAGGGATATTACGATGAAAACCCTAGATTGGGCGAGTATATGCTATAACATACCGGAACCCAGGGTACTGCAGTAGTGGAAGCCCTGAACCTTGGTGGTGGATGACTCAACCGAGTAGCAACTGGCGAGGACAGTAGACTCTTGATTTTGCAACTGCATCATTTGATTGCAATTACTACTGTGATTATTGAGGTATTTCGCCATGATGATTGAGTTCTGATTGATTCCGATGAAATCGTATTGAGGAAGCGTATGGTAAGGAGTTGAACATAGGGGTAGGAGCGAGCTGATTGAGGAAGACGTTTGATCAGTGAGAGGATGATGAATCGCGGTGTGGAAAACCTGGGGCGGCAAGTGGCGGAAATCACGTGATACATGCATGTACATGTATACCTTACATTCATAGTAACCTTGGAATAATAATATCTAGAGCAAGAGAAGGCGAAACTTGATAATAATGGTTGGATTTTGGTATAGAGAACTAGGCTATAAATACATGACATGAAAATAGAAGAAAGATGCAATCCTCCCACCAAGGGATGCGTAAATAACCAGAAGTTAAGGCTTCATATGCAGAAGAGAAAAAGAGAAAGAAAAGAAGAAGAGAAACGGAGAGCACAAGAGTCGCTCGAAAAGAAAATAAGAAAAAAAGAGAAAAAGAGAAAAAGAAGAAACCACCGTCTGTACAAAGCGCACGTCAAGGATTGTAACGCCAAAATTTGAATGTATTTTTTTTTATCAAAGTTCGCGGTAATCACTTGGTCGCACCCTTCGATTCCTCGCCTGATGTCGTTGAGGATTCACTGGCTGACGAAAATACGGTGAGTCTTCTTCGCGGGAATATGGACCACTGAATACTGTTCTCTGTTGGTTGGAAAAGTTGTTCATTCCCGGACCTTGGAAGCTAGGGTTATGCATAGATCCAGGCATCTGGGGCATCGGGAACATCATGGATGGATCACCATTGAACATGTTAGGGAATCCATTAGCTTGGTCACCGAACATGCCTGCTTGCATAGGGTTGAAGGGCATATTCATTGGGTTCCATCCAGGTCCCATGGCATTGGGGAAGCCATTTGGCATGGCCATCGGATTCATGAAACCCATTGCATCCCTGTTAAAATTAGGGTCGGCAAAAGGAGGCATTCCATTCAACCCATTGAACGGCATCTGTGGATTCATAGACGCTGGATTTCCATTCCCATTGCCGTTGGCGTTCGTATTCGCAGCCTCCGGGGCCACAGAATTGGGAATGGGAATGGGGTTGGGTTTAGAGATAGATTGATTTGGTGAGTCTTCTCCTTTTTGCTTCTTTGCAGCACTGCCGGGGTTGGAGCTGTCGGATCCTTCTGTAGGATCACTTTCAGCCGGTCTCTTCTTTGACTGGTTTGTTGTGATCTCGGCCTCGGGATGATGGGATGGGACCTGTTCTTTGGGGCCAGAGTCTTGGATCGAGTCACTTGCAGGAGTTCCATTAACCGCAGAATCATCCGGAATCGGCACTTGTTTCTCCTTTTCCTTTTTGGCTTCCATCTTTTCTGCCTCATAGACTTTGATCTTGGAAACAGCCGTATCATCTGGAATGAGATTATCAAGTAAAACTCCCTCGGTAGCACACCCAGGGCAGACAAAGTCACTTTCAATCAAAGCATTTGAGATACAGTCATTGCAATATGTTCTGTGACAGCATGGAGTTTGTGTTGGCTCTAAGAACATCCTCTTGTCAATTGGGCATTCCAGACCCCGAGCCTGCAGGGCCTTGCTCTCCTCTACGGCTGCTGCTTCAGCTGCGGCTGCAGCTGAAGCTTTCAGCTTTTCTTGGTACAATTCCCAGGCTGCTTTATCCGGCTTTGCAATGACGAAATCACCATCCGCATTCACCATGACCCCCGTATTCCTCGAGTCATCGTTGGTACCATCAGGCGCAAGGGATTCTGGCTTCTCAACCTTCGTTTGGAGCGATCGCGGGATTCCGGTCGATCGTTTCACCCGGTATTTGCCATCGAATTTCGGGTCATTATTCGTCGGACAGGCTTGAATCCAGTGACCTGAAAGAAAAACCAAATGTTAGTTACTAATTCATTCAAATGCGGAACCGGAGTCGTGGGGAAACATGAAACATACCTTTCTCTCTACACCTGTAGCACAGGTACCCAGGAGGCGGTGGGTGATCGGGAACATTAACTGGCTTTCCTCGACCACGGCCAAATGGGACCGGGGTTGCACTGCAAATTACAGTTAGTATTCTTATCTCCACCTTTCTTCATAGATGCTGGGAAACCTCAGACTTACTTGGCCATTTCTTGCTGCTGTTCCTTCCATTGACTGGCCTGCAAGTTGAATAGAGCGTTGATCTTCTCCTCCTCCGTTTGTGCATTGGTAAGCTCCAGCACATTATTGTTCACGGACTGGCCTCCGGGGGCGGGTCGGGTGGTAGATGGTTCGGTCCGAGATGCATTACGAGCGTTCACGGGCATCTTTCCGGAGACGTAACGAGCGGCGCCACCTTTTCCGGGCCGGGCAGCAGGTAATCGACGAGCGATTACTGAGGTAGATCGAGGAATGATGGTAGTATCATCATCGTATTCTGCGGATTGGTTAGAGAGGAACTGCAAGTTGAACTAGGCTGTGTGACCAACCTTCTTTGGTGTCCTCATTGGAGATGGATAGTTCAAAGTCAGTCCCATCGCCCAATCTACTCTGGCTGATGATTTCTCGCTTGAGCTCGAAGACAGAAATACCAGTGCCATCGAAGGTGACCCGTGAAGGTTCTTTCTGGGACTTGAATTTGAAATGAACAGACGATGACATTGTATTGATTTCTGTGGGTGTGCAACCGAGAAGAAAGAGAAAAGAGAGAAATTTGGACCTCGGGTGAATTAGACCACGAGCTTAATGGGCTGGAAAACCGCGAGGGGAATACAGAATGATATGGGGAAAAGACAAGAGAGGCTGAGAGGTGAGAATAGAAAGGTTGTAACTCAGGTGGGTACAGATAGGAACCCAAGTGAAGAGCAAGCGCAAAGAAATAATCCAAATATCAGGTCAGTAGATTTAGGGAGGAATCCACGATCAATACTGAGTCTATCGATCGAAGAACAAAAAAATGATGAATTGTCAAAGGAATCTGTCTCTTGAAGGATGAGTGAGAGAGCACACTGCATACAAAGAGCAACTGAGGAATACAATTGTCGAAAATAGAAAATGTCGCTGCTGCTTGAATGGAGCCACCTCCGTCAACCTGGAGTCAGACCAATTCGGGCCAGAACCTTGAGTGAAGTGCTTGGTGTCGCTGCAATCAGGAATAGACCATGCCAGGACAGAACAGACCAGACCCAAAACCGCCAGTTTCTTAGTAATACGATGATATGTCGAGTGTTCCTAGGGAATGAGAAGATGTATACTGAAGGGGTGGTATGTTTCGAGGTTGGGGAGTGAAGCGTTTCGCCGGCGTGGGGGGTGAAGGAGGATGTTAAGAAGGAAAGGATGAAGTGAAGTTGGTGGCGAACGCGGAAAAGTCAGATGACACCGCTCCCTTTACCGCCTTTCATACCGCCTAATGTTATGTCATCAGGTGAGGGGCACTGTCCAAAACAGGCAACAGATCATCTCCTGCCCAGTGTTGTATACTCTGTAGTTACAATATACCTATACCTATACACTAGGTAGCCCTGGAGAGCAAGAAAGATACTCAAATATTCAGCGATAGAAAAAGAAAAAACAAGCAATTACGTGGTGAAAATTTCAAATGCTAAAAATGGGATATATTCAATTGATTCTATGTGCGATGTTAAGTTACCCTTTGAATCACTAGATCTCAGCCTCAAATTGTCGGACCAGGAATCCGTCATTTTGCAAGTAGTCCTTGACCTCGCTCACGGTGTATTCTCCACGGTGGAACTACACAATTATTAGTAACCATAAATTATGTCTTGGGCTCGATATAAATTTGAACTTACCATGCCAGCTCCCAGGGCAGCATCCGTAGAGGTCTTGTTGAAGACCTCTGCGAAATGACCAGGGTTTCCAGCTCCACTGGAAGCAATCACTGGAATCTTGATAGAGGCCTTCACATCATTGATAAGCTCCAGGTCAAATCCACTGTTGCTGCCATCCTTATCGATGCAGTTCAGCAGAATCTCTCCAGCGCCCATGGCCTCAACAGCCTGCACCAATTGTCGGACATCGATGTCACGAGTTTCTCGGCCACCCTTGACAGTGCATTGGTACCAGCAGTAGGATTGGCCAGCAGCATTAGGGTATGCGGTTTTCAATGTGTGGTGGTGAGTGTCCTCAGGGCGGTCTATATAGACACGCTTGGGATCCACGCTGACCACAACGGCCTGCTTTCCATAGGCTTGAGAGATAGTTTCAATGGCAGTGGTGCCACTCAACTTCTTGCCAGCTTGGTAATAGTCCTCAGCAGCGAAGACAGCGTCAGAACCAATGCTGACCTTGTCAGCGCCGGACTTGAAATACATTGTGGCCACGTCTAGCGCAGGGACGTGAGTGCCGTCGGTGTCCACGGCATCTTTGATTCCACCACCAATAGTCAATGGAACAAAAACTGTTTCTGATGTCCGCCGCAAGATTTCGAGCATGGGTGTGTCCGCGAGTGGGCAGTTTCGGAAGGAAGTAATGTTCAAGAATGTGACCTCATCTGAGCCTTGTTCATAGTACTTCTTGGCCATATCGACAGGCTTACCCAAATTTCGGACCTGGCCACCTGCATCCACTCCACTCTTTTCACGTACATCATATTGGTCTCCTTTTGTGACAACAAGATCACCGGAATCGTTTGTTCGCACATCCAGACAAGCAATAACTCGTCGAGTCAAACCGTCCTTCTTAGCAGCAAGCAATTCCTGAGGGAGAGTCTGGAACTGATCCCCAGTCAAGAAGGCGCGAATTGCTCGTAATCCCGCGACGCCACTCTTTTCGGGGTGGAATTGAGCACCAAAGATGTTTCCACGGCTAATCGCGCCAATGAATTCTTGTTCACCATAGGTAGCCGTGGCAACGGACCAACCGTCCTTCTCGAGAACACCGGGCTCGTAAAGAGCTGCGTAAGAGTGCACATAATAGTACTTGCTTGACGGCCTCAGGCCATAAAAGCTCTGCTCTTTCGCATCTCCGGTATTCAATGCAGAGTTCCATCCAATGTGTGGGACACTCTTCGTCGAATCATCAAATTTTTGAATGTAAACAGGAATCACACCCAGCCCTGGAACATTGGGGTCTTCTTCAGATCCCTGGAAAAGTGCCTGTAGACCAACGCAGATACCCATGAACGGCTTGCCCGCGCTAATATGTTCCCGGATTGGACCCAAAAAGCCGCCCTTTTCAAGTTGTGAGAGACAGTGACCGAAGTGACCGACACCGGGGAGAATCAATTTCTGTTCCAAGAAGAGAGTCACATTAGTAAATCGCACCAAGACCGACAAGCCTTCTACTAACGCACATCCGCATTCTTGACATCCTCGGGGGACTTGACCCATTCCACCTCATAACCAACTTGGTTAATCGCGTTAACCAGTGAGCGGATGTTGCCCGCAACGTAATCTAAAAGGTGAACGGTGGGCATGGCGAAGAATTTCTACCAAATGAATAGCAATTGGTAAACAGCAGAAGAAGAGGGGACGGAGTCATCGAGCCCCTCCAAAATTGACCCGCTGAGTCATTGGTCTTTTTTTTTTCTGCCTGGCAGAATGACTGATCCCGCAAGCGGCTGTTTACTTTCCCAGGGCTACCTGGGCAAGTGTCCTAGAACTTCTATCATACGAGAAGTTGAAGTTATACTATGTATGAAGTACTGGGTAGTTCTTTGTCGATGATGCCTCTACGAATATTTTGATTCAACAATACTTGGCATACAATGTTGTAAACTTGAAATGTTAATAGTCAATTGCCTCTATTCATCAGCTCCTTTCTATCTGATCTCTCCCCATGCTATCGCTTATATGCTAGGACTTCAAATGTTGAATAGATGTTATAAAAGTATAAAAGATATGATCATGCATTCATGTCAGAATATATGAACTTTGGTCATGGATTGGTGACCGATTCGTCAGACTCTTGTAAATAGATGAGTCCATTAGAGGGCTGCTCGGTTTCCAAATGTACAAATGTTAGCAATAAAACTGCAGATCAAGCACCTGGGCAGGCATTTACGCGGGGAGACATATGATGTAAGTAGGGACTCTTACCGGGCTGAATTGACGTAAGCGTACACCTGCAGACTCAAGAATAGCAGCGCTCTGGACAAGGGTCATTAGTAAAGATCTAGTAGATTGAACAGGCGATCCTATACGCACATCTTTGTCCATGTTGTATCCTTGCGAGTACACAACTTCCGAAATACCGACTTGGGCAATTTTGACGGTGCAGGTCAAGCATGGACACCTAAAACGAAGTCACAAATCAACTCGAACTCGTTTAAAGCCAGTACCCAAGGACTTACGTATCACAGTAGAGAATTGCCCCTTCTCTAATACGCTCTCGGCCGGCTTCCAGGAGGGCGTTTTCTTCGGCGTGGAGACATAGACAGGTGGACAGTCCAACTCCACCACCATCTCCGCGGTTGCAGCGAGGACCTTGAGAAAGAAAGAAAGTTAGCGACCTAATACATCCAGGATATTGTTGAATTTTCCATACATCCACCTTCGTTGCAATTTGCGAGATGTCGGGGTGTTCCGTTATAACCAGTACTAATAACTCGACGTTCTCTAACTAGAACACAACCAACTCGTCGTTTCATGCAATTACTTCTTTGCGCCGCAAGCGATGCAAGCTGCATGAAGTATTGGTCCCAGTTTGGTCGCAGCCGTTGCTCATCCGCAAGATCAAGAGCCTTAAGAGAATTATGAAGTTCATCTACAGATGACGATGAGTTGAAGAGGCGCACTTGGGCTTTATCTGTGAGATAGACACGCCCAATATCCTTCTGATAGAGATGACGATCATTCCACAGAACAAATTTCTCAAGGTCTGGAGGATCAAGTTGTCTTCTCCAGCATCTAGGAGAACACAAAACATCAGTCGGAATCACCCTTATATGTATAATAGGGCCACCCACCGATCGGAAAACCGTTTCCAACGAAGACTGACTGGAGCATCTACACTGACGAGAAGGAAAAAGGGTCGCAAAAGAAATCGGTCTAAAGTTGTGCCATCCGCGATATCTGTGGTCACCCAATGTTCCTGCCACCTCTTGGTCACGAAATCCAACAGAGCATCGGCGGTTTGAAAGACGAATTCCGACTTGGAATCCCCATTCTTCTTAATTTCTGATGCGTGGAGTCGTGGGTCATCATCTGAGTCTTCGGCGAAATGGTGGGGAGGCTTTTCCGCCAGCTCTAAGAGCTGGAATCCTTGGTGTTGAATCAGATACTCGGCTATCGTATGCTTACCCGCACAGATGCCTTGGTAATCATAGTCAATATTTGAGTTAATAAGAGGCGGAGTTAATATCCTGCTGACCTCCGCATAAACCGATGAGCATGTTTGAATGGAAACGATCAGATTCCTCTGGTTTCACGAGACTGATTTTGATTTTTTCTCTCCGTAAATGGTAATTTGTTTTCCGTCGTTTTTGTTTTTTGATCGGAATACTCCAAAGTACAGTCGAGGGAAAGAAAACAAGAGAGAGAGAGAGAGAGTTGAAAAAAAAATTATATAAATAGTCACGCGTCTTGGGCACGCGGATTAAATGGTTCGCGTGTTGTGTGCCCAGTGACAATAAGAAGCGATTACATCACCCCCCGCTTTACCTAGGTACTAACTCCCCCTCACTCCCCACTTTCACTTCTATACACTCTATTGAATCTACTCCAAGTCTCAGATCTATTTAATATAAGAGATCAAACCTACCAAAGTCCTGCAGAGGAACGGAATGATCTAGGATCAAAATGCAATACACTCCATTTGCCTCTGATATCGAGTTGCCATTCTATACAGCTCTGGCCTCACACAAGATCAACCATGATAAGCTTGATGACTCGGCTCGCCCCGTATTGGGGCTCTATGAAATCCGTTCCACAGACCCAGAAAATAACTCATGTCGAATGCAAATACATGGAAATGCTTTGACGAACGTTGAGTATGAATCTCCCGAGTGACCGGAAACATGTTTTTTTTTGTCAGCACTAATTTGAAGATCAGGGCACCTGGCGGGTTATACCGAGGGGAGGGCATAATTAAGAATTTCAACACGATCGAGGAGTATCGTAACGTGGATAAGTCCCAAATGATTCTAAAGTCTGGGAAAACCGTACGACAATACCTTGCCCACCTGAGATACTGATATTGACTGATTGACACTCGTTAGGTTTGGGAAGCCATTAACGATGGAACAATTTATTCCTGCCCCTCTCTACTTTCTTCATTCATCATTCTATCGTTCGCGGACTTGAAAAAATACAAGTTCTACTACTGGTTTGCCTTTCCCGCCCTACATTCGGATCCGTCGTGGATATTATCCACCGAACCTGAATCGAGTTCCAGCCAGAACGATGCAGCTGCAACACCCGGAGAACATTTATCATCTGATGAAAGCACCGCTCTTGTAGAAGCCGTTCAGACCTGGAGCTACGGTGTAGATGATCGTCAACGGGGATTCTTTTTGGCTCGAAAGCAAAAAAGGTCCTCGGGTTCAACAACGCAGAGCACCTGGCAGGTTGCAGCTTTATCAGAATATGAAAATGGCTTCTTCACTGGTGCTGCCCTTAAGGATCGCTATGTGTGCTTCGCAGATCCGTCCAACTACGATACTGCTCCGGGTTGGATGTTGCGGAACCTCCTAGTACTAATTAAGCAACGATGGAAGCTTAATAAAGTACAAATTTTGAGGTATCGCGATGTTCAATCTAAACGTGATCAGGCTCGCAGTGTAATTCTTCGACTGGAGTCTAAGCCAAAGTTGGATTCGATCGCAGAGAAATTACCCGAAAACCAGCCACCCAAAATAACAGGCTGGGAGCGCAATCCAGCTCAGAAGTTGGCCGGGCGGATTGTTAATTTGACCGAGTACATGGATCCTGTCAGGTACGGCTAACTTTCTATCTGTCGAGCTGGAGGCACGGTGACTAATATTGCATTTCCTTATCAGACTCGCAGACCAGTCCGTCGATCTCAATCTCAAACTCATGAAATGGCGGATAAGCCCGTCGTTGAATCTGGAGAAGATCAAGAACACCAAATGTCTCCTACTAGGAGCAGGCACTTTAGGGAGTTATGTCGCTCGGAATTTATTGGTAGGTGTCTCATGAAATGATCGTGCGTTGGGGCAAAGAAACCAAACTTACACGAAGTTAGGGCTGGGGGGTTAAAAAAATCACATTTGTCGACAAGGGCACAGTTTCGTTCTCTAACCCCGTCAGGCAGCCATTATTTACATTTACAGATTGCCTGAATGGTGGAGTGTCCAAAGCTACTCGTGCATCGCAGGCCTTGACTGAGATCTACCCCGGGGTGGAGACCGCAGGCCATACTATTTCTGTCCCCATGGCTGGTCACCCAATCGTTGATGAAAATACGACACGGCGAGATTTCGAGACCCTCAAGGCTCTCATTGATGAGCATGATGCCGTCTTCCTTCTCATGGACACTCGAGAATCACGCTGGTTACCGACAGTCATGGGAAAGGCAGCAGGAAAAATTGTCATGAATGCAGCCTTGGGCTTTGACTCTTTTGTTGTGATGCGACATGGTGGTGAAATTGTCTCAGATCCACCAACTGATCTTGGGTGCTACTTCTGCAATGACGTTGTGGCGCCAGCAAACGTGAGCATCCTTCCGGAGATTCAAAGATTGTATAGCTGACCACCCGATAGTCTATCAAGGATCAAACCCTTGACCAACAATGTACTGTTACTCGGCCTGGAGTCGCTCCTATTGCATCTGCTCTTTTGGTAGAACTCATGGTCTCCATCTTGCAGCACCCGCAAGGTGTTAATGCGCCGGCGCCCATGAGCCGAAATGACGAGCCCGGTGATCACCCTCTCGGGTTGGTACCCCATCAGATCAGAGGGTTCCTCTCCACCTATGAGAATATCACAGTTACTGGAAAGAGCTACTCTTGCTGTAGTGCTTGCTCAGAAAAAGTGACGATTGCGTACAAGGAAGAAGGCTGGGGCTTTGTGCGAAGAGCCTTAAATGAGCGGGGATATGTTGAGGAATTGAGTGGACTCAAAGAGGTGAGATAACCACAGTGGAAGTTCCTCAGTCTGTTTATCGGTAATCCTAATCTAGAACTAGGTTCAAGAGAAGGCTGAAGCAGCCATAGCTGACCTTGACTGGGATGAGGCGTCAGAGAATGAGGAGATGGAAGTCATCTAGGTCAATATGCCATAATGAAGCTTTAATTCCGTTTTCACAGCCTGCGATTCAGACCGACGAAAAACGCCTCCTTCGATTCCTGATTGAGGGATTTAGCAAACCTTATATAGCCCCTGGGGGGGCTTAGCACACAAAAGGACGACTTACGCTGCGGGAGGACTCGGGTTTGAGTCGATGGACTTTTTGAAATAAGTCCTTCAGGCTTTTTTCTAGCTCTTTGTCCTCTGCACCTTGATAGAATTTGCAAACAAAGTGTCCTCCGATCTTCAGGACATCCGAGCTAAATTGTAAAGCAGCGTTGCAGAGATCCTTCCGAGTGTTAGCGGGAACATACAAAGGGCTTATTCCAGCCATCATGAATCAATTGATCATACCATACTACCGGCGTGGTCCCTAAAGTTGTTGCCGCTAGTGTTCATCATCCTGTTATAAGGATTACTTAGACTTCGTTTCCAGAAACCAGATGTCTGGAGCCAGGGTTCGGACATATCGCTGAGGACCACATCTACCGTTCTTTCAAGGGTCCTTTTCTCTTCCTCTGAAACTTCTTCTGCAATCTTGTTCTGTGCCAACGCCTGATCTAACCCCACTCCAGGCTCTAATGAACTGACGCCGGAATCATGACTGGCCTCGCGCAGTCTACCTCGGTTGGGATTGCGCAGAAAGTCTTGAATATACGCTTGGATCTCGGGCGCGAGAAAGTTCCCTTGGATGGTGGATACGCCTTTCGGAGGTTGAGCTGGAATGATATCGACGCCTAGAACTCGTCCGTCCGGTTGGGTGCGGTTGACAGCCACCTGCAGTATTTAGCGTGGATCGTCGAGAATGGGCTGGAATGTTGCCATTCTCAAATTTTGCTTCTTCTTTCACTCACTTGTGACCATGATCCAGGTGCATACCCCTATTATGAATGTGTATTAGCGTTCAATGAACTTGAATCGTTTCGTACAAAGGATAGGTCCTACCAGATCCACGACAGTTTGCCCTCGTTTGAATATCCGGTATTTCTCGTCAATCTACAATGTGAAATATTAATATTAGAGCTTAATCTAATTGGACATCCAATATCCACTCAATAAATTGATCTTCACGGTACCTGTAGGAGCTTGAAGGCTGCACGGCTTTTTAGACCTTGAACGGCGGCTTCTCGAGTGAACTGGTCCTTAAGCTGACGAGCTTGCCAGCGCTTCGACGATGATAATCGGATTTGGCCGAGCAAGTTTGTACTCTCAAAGATTCTCAAAGGCCGCCACAACGGGGACACTATGAAAATCATGATGTCTGGTCGATGTGTCAAGATTATTGTTGAATAATTGAACCCCAGGTTTCAGGGTCGTTGGAATCTTGACATTCGGAACCAGTGGAGATTTAAGTTCTGCCGGCAGAAAGCTCTCCGCATATGCAAAGAGTGTATCCGCCTGCAGGGTCCGATCCAGGTACACATCCACATCCATACTTAGTTTGCTCCCGAGGTCTAATTTAATACTGGAATTATTCAAATGTTGTACCGGTATAAACCCGGAGTTCTACGACGGAAAACGTTTGAATGGAAGTTAGATTCTTACAAATTACATTATCAATGGATCCATGGACATTCCCACCACATTACACAGCACGCGCAAAGCCATGTAGATTGCACTAAATAGGCAAGACTGATAATCAATTTCGGGCCATCATCGCTTACGATCTCGCTTCAGAGGTGAGAATCCACCAAATCCTAGTGTTCTAGGATTCCTGTCACCAGCCGATGTACTAAGTATCGGAGCAGTTGGGAGCCCAGAGGAGCGTCCGGCTCCAAGCCCAACTTTGCGAGCTGGTTTTCTGCTCTCCAAAAAATCTTCTTCATCATCTTCGAAGAGAGCGTGATCCCTTTGGGCTCCAAGCTTACGCTTCTTGGGCTTTGCTTGCTCTTGCTCTGGCGCTTGAATTTGCAGCTCATCTGCATCCTTGAGAGGTACCTTCCCAGTAGACTTTTTTATGACTTTCTTTGGCTTATCTGCGACCTCTGTTGAGGCGGAATTTCCTTCTCGCGGCTTAGGTTTTGCCTTTTTTCCTTTAACAGGCCCAGGTCCCCATGCCACACGCGGTTGATCCGTAGGCGATGAGCTAAGAGCAACAAGGTGAGAGGAGATTTTAGGCTGAAGTGGTGAACCACTATCTGCCATCGCCTGGTTGACTTCTTTCTCATCTAGATCTGACAGCTCCGGGCTATCTAGAGAATCTAGCGAACCACCAGTGCGGTTCAAAAACGGTGTTATAGAAAATGCTGATTTATCGCCGGGCAATGCTGACTGTCTTTTGATCTTTTCTTGCACTTTAATAGCTCCAGGTGTTGCGATTGTTAGCCCACTATGATGATCTGAGCTGAGCCCAGGGCGTTGTAAAGGAATTGTTCGAGACTGGGGCTCAGTACTAGCACCATCGTGATTCTTAGTGGTGCTTCGCTTCTGTTGCAAATTGTGTTGAGCTTCTTGAAGTTTGTCCTTTACAGACTGGAGCTGCTTTCGAAGTGTTTCGATCTTGGTTTCAAAGACTGTCCGTTGACTTTCAAACTCTGTTTTCTGCTGCCGCATTTCTTGTGCGTATTGTTGATTCACTCGCGTGTGTCTTACAAGATCGCTCTGTAGTTGTGCAATCTGTGCCAGTAGCTTATCAATCTCCGTCGCGTGTGCAGACCCGCGTAGCTGCTGATTGGCTTGGTCTAACTGGGAGCGTAGATTGTCGCTCTCAAACTGAAGCAGAAGGTTTTCCATACGTCTGAAACGATCTTTCTCCATATCTAGGAGATGCGTAGAATCCGAAAGTGCCTTCTCATATTCTTTTTCGAGGCGTACTGTCTTAATGGACATCTCACACTAAACATTCGGACAGGTCAGTATTAACAAGCACAAGCAGTAAAAATACCAACAGTAATACACGTACGTCCAAAATAGACAAGTCTGTAGTTGCTGCCATTTTTGCTTCTTCTGAATGAATTGCTGCGTAAATCCAGAATAAATGATAAGCTGCTAGAAAGCTCTCTGCGCTTGAAGCCGCGATGTAATGACCCACTATCGACGCGTCGTGTGCCCAGGTGAGCGGGGACCCCTTACGTAATGGGGCCACCTTTCAACTCCAACGTGGAAGACGGAGTCTACACTTGCACTTCTTTCAATGCTTGTAAAGCTCCATCTTTCAGCCTCAATGCCAAAATGAAGCCCTGGAACACCCTTTTTCTATTGTTCTCTCTTCTGTCTGGTGTGATTGCTGCCAAGCCATCCGCAGACAGGTTCCAAAAATACCAGGCCATCTCTCGCTCCAGTCCTATTGACCTGGATAGTGCCGCTTTTGAGGAGCTTACAGCAGCCCCTCGTGACTACTATGCAGCAGTTATCCTTACAGCTTTGGATGCCCGCTATGGCTGCTTGATGTGTCGAGAATTTGAGACTGAATGGGACCTGATCTCTCGCAGCTGGAACAAAGGCTCCAAGCCCGATGGGTTGAAGGTGGTCTTTGGTACAGTTGACTTTGACCAAGGCAAAGCTGTTTTCCAAAAGGTTCAAGCCCAATTTGGAGAAATCAAGTTATCATCAATATCCTGACATTTTCGACTTACACCTCAAATAGTACATGCTTCAAACCGCTCCAGTTCTCCTCCTGTTTCCTCCCACTGTCGGACCTTTTGCGAAGCTTGAAGCGGATCCAGCTCGATTCGATTTTACAGGGTAAGTCAAGGCAGGATAATCTGACAAGCCCTCAGATCTAGGCCCGTATGAAACATTCCCTTACACTGATTTCATCCTTCCAGTCCAATCAACGCCGATCAGCTCTACTCGTGGATCAACCGACACCTCCCCGATGGCCCCAAGCCTCCCTTGGTCCGACCAGTAAACTACATGCGCATCGTCTCCGGAATCACCATCCTACTGGGTACTATTACCTTGTTTACAGTGATTTATCCTTACCTCTTGCCAATTATTCAGAACCGCAACATCTGGGCAGCTATCAGCCTGATCGCCATTCTTCTATTTACAAGTGGCCAGATGTTCAACCACATTCGCAAGGTTCCCTATGTGGCTGGTAATGGCCAAGGTGGTGTCAGCTACTTCGCTGGTGGGTTCCAGAATCAGTTCGGCTTGGAAACACAAATTGTGGCTGCTATCTGTAAGTGGCACTTTGAAATTGTCTTGTCTTGACATTTGTTCATGCTCTAACTACTACTTTTTTTTTCACATAGATGCCGTTCTCTCCTTCTCCACCATTGCTCTTGCCATCAAGGTCCCCCGCATGGAAGATGCTAAGGGACAGCAATTGGCTGTGTTGATCTGGGGAGGTGTTCTCTTTGGCACCTACAGCATGCTTCTCAGCGTGTTCAAGTTCAAGAACGGAGGCTATCCCTTTTACCTGCCTCCATTTTAAACTTGTCTCTCTTACCTCTTCGGTGGCTGCCCACACAATCCGCCCTCGGGGTAGTCGCTGATATTGGATTTATCATAACATCAACTTGATGCATGGGATGTTTGGTCGTGTGGACCCAATTTTACCATTCTTCCTAAATGCATTGTCGCCGGCGACACATTGTATTTCACTGTATACTCACTCGTAGATCAACTAGCAAAGATCTCAGTCTATCGGTTTGGCAAAAATATTTGCTAAATGCATTTGGATGTTCATGACCAGCGTTTAATCGTAACCCGAAGATGTAGCCTGTATAGTTCCTGACATCTCGGTAGAAAAACTTCGACATGAAGTTGAAACGATTCATCAATTACTAAAATTCCAACGCCTATCACGGCTTCTACCTACTAGTAACAATAATGTTCTTGGCCCCGATAACAATGATTCACCTGGGCAAGGGCTTATTGGAAACAATTACTCAACTGCCCGGCACTGGCAACCCTGGAGGTGGACTCTCCGCCGTGATTGTCGATTATGTAACCGGTATAAAGCCGCACCATGGATGTGGATGTTGTACTTCGTTCCTCTTACTAGTACTACCTAGCCTCCCCTTCTTACCTCAATCAACTGGATATTCTTAACGGGGCTCCTATCTTTTGAGTTAATTTATTCTGCTCTTCGTGGGCATCTTGAGCCCTCCCCCCCGCATCGAAGGAAAAATCACCTTTTCGGGACACGTTGATCAATTCCATTCCGTCCATGCAATATGGCGGGACCCAGCGAAGCCCAAGTGGGCAACATGCTGGCCTCATCTGCCACAGGCACGACGTTCTTGATCCTAATACAGGTTGCGTCTAGAATGTTTACATTCCTCTCAAACCAGCTGATCTTGCGAGCTTTATCACCTATGGTACTCGGGATTGCTGCTCAGCTTGAACTTTATCAAGTCTCGATTTTGTACTTCTCAAGGGAGAGTATTCGCATGGCTATCCAGCGACAGCCACTTGGTGCCAAAACCTCGAAGTTACAATCGACTGCATCTCAGTCGATCGTGAACATCTCTTATTTGAGCCCCCTTCTGGGAATTGCCGCAACAACTGTGTTTACTATACTTTATCAGCACTTTGCCCCCGAAAAGGCCTTGGAAACCTCTTTCTTCAACGCCAGCGTGATTATCACCGGGCTGGCGGCACTCATGGAACTGACCATTGAGCCCTTCTTTGCAATCATTCAACAACAGATGTTGTATCAAAAACGCGCAGTGGTTGAAATGCCAGCTGCATTCATGAAAAGTTTTACAACTTGCACCATTTTCTTGTACACATTCCGCACAGGCCAGCAGTCTGGTGGGGCTTTACCTTTTGCATTTGGCCATCTGAGTTATTCTATTACACTTGTTGTGGGATACTGTGCACTCTTACTCCCACGATCGAGCGAGCGACGCTTTTCATTTCTTCCCGTGCTCATTAAAGACAGGTAATGACATATAACTCTCTGAAATTGGATATCACAAACAACACTAATTTTTCGTTCAGCAGAGCTGGAGCTGAATATTTCTTGGGTCGGTTCTCTAGAAAATTAAGCTCGCTTGCAGCCAGCCTGTTTTTCCAGTCTGTTGTAAAGCACCTCCTCACGCAAGGTGACTCCATGATGCTTGCTGCTATGGCCAGTCTGGAGGATCAAGGAATCTACTCACTGGCATCGAACTATGGCGGTCTTATCGCACGCATCATGTTCCAGCCTCTGGAAGAGAGCAGTCGTAATCTATTTTCGAGACTCCTCAGTCCAGATGAGACTGGGAAGCGAAATATCACACAAGTTCGCTTTGCAAAGCAACACCTCACCGATTTGCTTCGCGCTTACCAACTGCTCTTAGTACTTGTCTTCCCTATTGGCCCCATTGTGGTGGCACAAGGACTCCATCTCTTAGGAAGTCGTCAGTGGGCTTCGCCTCAAGTCGGGGACCTTCTATCATTGTATTGTTATTATATCCCGTTCCTCGCCTTCAATGGCATTACCGAGGCGTTTGTGGCATCTGCAGCAAGTCCAAAGGAGATTCGTCACCAAGCCATCTGGATGGGTGCCTTTTCTGTGTGCTATGCCTTGGCTGCCTATCTTTTTCTAGAAGTTTGGTTCATGGGGGCTTATGGGTTGGTTTTGGCTAATATTGTGAATATGGCGGTTCGCATTCTGTGGAGCTATATGTTCATCCGATCATATCTTGCACAACACGAAGGAGGTCTTCGTGTTGCGGATGTGAGTATTCATCCTGTCAGTTATGTCTTGGGAATTCTGGCAACCGTCACTATGATCACACAGGGATTATCGGCTGCCGATCAGGATCTACTTACAGTCATCGCATTCAGCGGTACTTATGCACTGTCCATGCAAGTCATCCAAACTACACCTATAGGATTTTTCAGGAGATGTCTAACGAATTTCATAGTGTGTATGTTGAGAGAGAGTATCTCACAGGACAGGCGATGCGGCTTATTGAGATGGTTCATTCTCGCAAAAAAGGCACTAAGGCTGAATAGCGGTCTAAGGAATATGATGTACAAACAAATTAATCGTCAAATGTGATCTTGGTCGCTTTTTTATCCGTTCCAATATCCTTGAAGAAAGCACCGTAGGCGTCGTGCTGCTTCTTCTTGACAGTGGTTCCAAACTTCAGCAGAGATTCTGGAACATCCTGCTTGGCGGCCTTGAGCACATTGATCAACCTGCTATAGAGTTAGTATTGTCTGTAATCAAACGGATATGATTAAAAGAGCTGAAGAACTCACCCGCCCGAGAGAGCTTTGTCCTGCTCTGTGAACATTGTAATAGCATGGCCAGTGGCACCAGCTCGTCCAGTCCGGCCAATACGATGGACATAATCCTCAACAGTAAGAGGGAAAGTGACATTGATAACGAGCATCACCGCGGGAATATCCAGTCCTCGAGCCGCGACATCGGTTGCGACAAGGACAGTTGCCGCGCCGCTCTTAAAAGCTTCAAGGTTGCGGAATCTTTCTGTTTGGTTCAGATCACCATGGATTCCAGCGACCTTAAATCCCTTCATATTGATGAGTCTTTCAATTCGCATCGCTTCCTTCTTGTACAAACAAAATACCAGGACCTTCTCAGGGTTCGAACCCTTCTGAGAACGGCTCAGCAGTTGAATAAGTCGGTTCTCCTTGTCCCGACCATCCATAACCTCAACATCCTGCTTGATTCTGGTATTGGCCCGAAGGGTCTGCGGAAGGGTCACCACCGATGGTGACGGTCACTGGGGAACTCATGAAAGTAGCAGCCAGGTCTCGAACTGACTTGGGCCAAGTTGCTGTGAACATGACTGTCTGTCTTCTGGAGACTGGCATGGGTGCGACGATATCCTTGATATCTTGCTCAAATCCCTTATCCAACATACGGTCTGCCTCGTCCAGAACAAGATACTTCACCTTTCCGAGATCGACAGAACCGTCATTCTGGAGATCCTTCAAACGACCCGGAGTGGCAACAACAATCGCGGCTGTTTTCAGAGCCTTTCGTTGATCATCCTTGGGCACACCTCCATAGATACAGGTCACACCAGCCTCGGCCACATCGGCGAACTTGACGAGCTGGTCATAAATCTGCGAGGCAAGTTCTCGAGTGGGCGAAATGATCACCGCAGTTGGGTGGTAATCCTTTTTGCTCTTCTTGGAATCCATAATCTTTTTGAGGCAGGGCAAACCAAAGGCCAGGGTCTTACCACTGCCGGTTTCTGCGATACCGATCACATCGCGGCCGGCGAAGAGAAGGGGCCAAGTGACGGCTTGAATTGAGGTCGGAGCCGGGAAGGACTTCAATGGGGCATAAAGGTCACCGTCGCAGGGAGGCAAGTAGTCAAACGAAAGGAGGGGACGGAAACCAGGTGCATCGGCCGAGGTGTCGGTGATCTTGATGACCTTTTCTTCGAGGAATTGATCAATCTGAGATTGCGGGAGATCACTGAGCGCAGAGGCTTGAGTGTATGTTTTCTTGGAAGAGTCGGAACTTCCGTTTTCCTCCTTGCTGCTCTTGTCTTTGGATTGCTTATCAGCCTTAGACTTCTTCTTCGGCCGGAGCTCTGTCGGCTCCGCATGGCTGCGCTTCCCCATTGCGAAAGGGTCGGAATCAACAAATCAAAGTGAGAACTGAAAGGAAACTTTTTTTGCGTATGAATGGCTCTGATAGGATGAGAATCCTTTTCTTCTACAGAGTCGGGGACCAAGAGGGACAAGACGTGGATCGAGATCTCTTTAGAAGGGATTTTTTTAAGAAAAAAAAAAACCAGAAAATTGCATATTGCCATTCACCGCCCTTAGAGGCGGTGAAGTTTTCCATGGTTCCCGCCCGGGCTGGGGGCGATGTTTATATTATTAGTAAGCAGTCCAGGCAGCCCTCCAGGCTCTGCAGGGCTGCCCAGGTGGTGCGGTGCGTAAGATTATTGCTATACATACGGAGTAGACCGCAATTGAAGTATTTCCTGTTCTTACATAATTATCAAGCCCTAGAGCCATCATGATGTGTTCGATCACTGGCATATAAATATATAGTTGTCAATTCTACGGCGAATTCAATGTCAAATGAAGCAAACTTCTGGAAAATTTGAAGAAATGGCAGATTTTCGGTGAACTAATTCTACAGCAGATTCAAATGTTGTCGCTATCTCCCAAAGGAGAGAGAAAGGGGAGTAGGAAATAAATGAGGATAGAAAAACAGAAAGGACAAGAAATGATGGTCATAATCATGGAAACCAGAATACATCTTAGGAGGACCCAAGAATACAATTCTGCAACATTTTGACTATCCACCTAACTGAGGTGGTAAGAACTAATGATTTCAGCCAAACGAGATGCCTCTTCTGAGTAGTTGATGGTCTTGGCGGAGGACACCTGGTATCGTACTCTGCATCAAATGGTCAGTCAAATTGTGGTTGGAACACACTGGAGGATGAAGATGAAGATTTAACTCACCGTGCCTGTTCACCAAAGTTATCGATCTTGGCTCGGCATCGGAAATGCCATGTCTGACAATTGGCATCTTGGAAAACTTCACTAAATGCCGTGGGGTCATCTTCTCGCAGTTGCATCATATCGTCGGCTGATCTCCCCATAATAAGACGGCCAGTGTCATCAAAGCAAGTGAGCCAGAGGTTACCGGTATGGTCGCTCACACTGACAGGCATGGTGTAGCGATACTCAGCCCTGGGATGAGTCTTGTCACACTTTTCACAACGCCATTGACCAGGGTCCAGCTCAGTCACCTTTTTGTTACACCCCTCAGAGCTACAAGCTGGGTAGCACCAGGTAGAATCTTGTCTGATGTAGGTCACAGTACCTTTCAGCGAAAAGTAGTCTACCTGTTCCGACATACCCAGTTGTTCATCTCGAACCTGTGCAATCGTCTTGAATTGGTCGGTCTTCATGCTGGTGTTGGTGGCACTGGAGAGGGAGGCGTGAGAGGTAAACGCCTCAGTTCGGCCCTGCGCATCATACCAACCCTTAAGTCGGTGAGCCTCGTTGATATCGGGGTCTACAGCCATTGAGCCAGAACTCAACAGACTCAAGCTTCTTCCGCCGAAATCGGACACTTTCACGCCCTTGAAAGCAATGACTGATTCTGGAGCGACACTGAAGTTGACAGCAGATGTACCCCAGATGGTCAGGCGAACAGAGAAGCCGGTATTATCGACAAGAGTGAGTTCTCTCTTGTCATAAGGTTTGCCTGTGCCCTTGGACACAATTTGAGATGTTTCACCAACTTCCTTCAGCACACCGATAACATCTGTAGTAGTATCCTTCTCCACAGACTGCAGATCTCCGATGTTGGTGAAGTTGAAGCGGATCTGTGGCACATCATTCTGGTCCTCTGCCTGTGTTTGTCAAAGATCGTCAGCCTTGATCTATACCCAAGAAAGAAAACCCGATTCCATACCTTCTCAACCGTCGTGTCACGTTCAAAGGTCAACTCATAATCATTACTGAGGTTGCTGAATTGCTTCTTAGCAATCTGAACACGGCAGGGGCTGGAGATGTAGTAGACGCCGCCTTCCTGGAAGAGATCATAAAGCATGTCGCACTGTTCCTGGAAACCAGTTGCACGAATTTCGCCGCTATCGTCCAACAGATTGACACTGAATAATTTACCTTCGCCATTCTTGTTATGCCATGTCTTAATACTGGACTTGCTGGTGCAGCGAGCTTTGATGGTCCATTTGTTGGAATATGGTGAAATAGCCTCAATGGGGTAAATGGTAGGATGGGCGGATGAAGAAGGTCCTCGCATCGATGGAACCTGAGGAGGTTGCTGTGGTGGACCTCCTTGAAGCTTGGAGCCATAGAATCCATTACTGGAAATTGTTGTTGGTTGAGGCTTCTCTTCTTCCTCCCCCTTCACTTCCAAGGGCTTTGGATCGCCGATTTTCTCCGCCTCGCCCAAATCTTTGAGAACCTCAAGATCCAAAATAATCAGGATCCTATTCTATAGTGAGTAAATGTGAAGGTAAATGTGAAGAGTGACCCCCGACCCACACCATACTTACTTTTTGCCCTTGACCGAGTTAGCCTGGAATGACTTGAGTCGGACAAAGCAACCCTTTCGGAGGGTTCCATCAGTCACAAGGTTGTTGATCTCTGCTGCATTGGTCAGCATAACTGCCGAATTATCCCTAAGCCAAAACACATACGAGAGGCAATCATGGTCTGAACATAGTTGGCGATGTCGCTGAAGACGGCTCGATAACGCTCCTGGTTGCCTGGCTGGGGAGGAAGGGGCTTAATCTGAACACATTGAACAATAGGTTCTGCGATCTGGTCCTTGGAATCGTCGAAGATGGCACTATATCGCAGGTAAATTTTCGTACCTTGGTACACAGAGATACAGTCGTCTGGGCTGATAAAACAAAAATAAAGCAGAAAAAAAAAATAAAGCTTACCTGAGAGCGCCAACATTGACCTGAGATGCAGCGTCTGAAGCCATGATTACTGCTCTTCAACAAAAACCAAAGTGTAGCAAGATATCACAGAAAAGTGGTAGTGTAGAAAAAGCATGTAGAAAGAGACCTGTGTGGGTATCCGCGACGCGTGGGAACGCGTTAAGTGCTCAGGTGACTTGGGTAGGAGAGAGAGATTTGGGGCCTCAGGCCAAAAACTAGGCTGCAATTAGCTAGTTAACTAACCCCCCACCTTCAGCGATTAGATAATCTGTTGCCCCACGTCCCAAGAGCTTCCTGCCTTGCTTTGCTCCGCGTTATTCTGCTTTGCTTGACCTGCCTGCTTTTCATTGCTTTGATATTCCTGCTCTTGATCTCTAGTGACTATATCTTCTTGATATCTCTCTAATCCATATTGATCAGGTCTCTCAGAATCTCAAAGAATGGCCTGTGCTCATTCAAATGCTTCAGGTTGGTTCCAAAGCTGCCGACGGAGATAAGACACGACGGGCTAACTGCCACAGACCTCCAACCGCCACGAAGTTCTGAATCTGTGTACAGAGAGGACTGTACACAATGCTTCGATTCCATTGTATGAGTTTTAGACCTTATATGCTTTTTCATCTCACCGGATGGCGATTATCTAACTGCTATCTTCGCAGGACGACGAGTCTGGCCTGAATGTATGCCTTCATTGCTTCAATGGTGGCTGTATTGGAGATAGGGATCATGCGTTGCTTCATTTCCGCCGATTTGGTCATTCACTAGCATTGAATATTCGCAGAACCCCAAAGCAAGTCCAGGTGAGGTGCGATGCCATACCATTTCAGCTTACCACCTAACAAAGCATAGAGAGACGAGCCCCCGCCGAAGATTTCGAAACTTGCCATTTCCGCCGAGACAGAGGAGGACAGATATGATATTGCGACATCTGTGGTCTGCTATTCATGCAACCAACAAAATGTGGATAAGACGAGTGGGAATCTACCGGCTGTAATCAACGGAATCATGACCGCTATGACGTTTTCGAAAAAAGAAGAGGTCAAAGCCTGGGAGCAAGAATTTACCCCTTGTGAACACACCCTATGCCTTGCTCAGCAAGAGGTTGAAAACGCAGAATCCAAGGGTATTCATTCGCAGAGAGTCCGGGATATGGATGAGAGACTAATCCGGTATAATAGATTCAAGCAAATGCTCCAGCTGCGACTTGAAGGAGAATTTATGGATTTGTCTAGAATGCGGCAACATAGGATGTGGCCGAAGCCAGTTCGGTGGTACACAAGGGAACTCCCACGCTCTTGCCCATGCAGACAGCTCGTCACATGCTGTTGCTGTCAAATTGGGATCGATCACTGCCGAGGGCTCCGCAGATATCTATTGCTACACATGCAATGAAGAACGCATAGACCCTGAACTTGCAAATCATCTCGCACACTGGGGCATCTTTTTGGCTGGGCGCGAGAAAACAGAGAAGAGCCTGATGGAAATGCAAGTGGAGCATAACCTCCAGTGGGAGTTCTCCATGACCACTGAAGACGGTCGCGAATTAACCCCAGTCTTTGGACCTGGACTTACGGGACTGGCCAATCTGGGAAATAGCTGTTACTTGTCTAGTATCATGCAGTGCATCTTTTCTGTGGCAGGGTTCCAAAATCGGTATTACCGTCCCCTTGAAGAGCCACCGTTATGTCAGACACCCGGTCAAGATCTTGAAACCCAACTCAGAAAACTGGCAGATGGCTTAATATCTGGCCGTTATTCGCGACCAGATTCTCGCTTGCGAGCTGCGGCCAGCGATGTATCAGATGTCGCTCATCAAAAGGGACTGGCTCCGGCTATGTTCAAATATCTGATTGGCCAAGGGCATGAGGAATTTGCAACGATGAGACAGCAGGATGCATTCGAATTTCTCCTTCATGTTTTCAAATCTGTGAGCATTTCGAAACATCCAGACAATGAAATCAACCCTGTCCATCACTTCCGATTTGAAGTGGAACAACGGTTGCAGTGCTTAAGCTGTAAAAGGGTACGATACAAGGTTGACGAGCAGGATAACATCTCGCTTGCGGTACCTGCGCGTCGCATTCCAGAAAACCCGGATCAGTTCGAGGCTGTCACTTTATTAGAATGTCTCGATATCTTTACCGGAGCAGAGATTGTTGAGCTTAGCTGTCCTGGTTGTAATAGTCGTGAGGGTTTTACTAAACGAACACTATTCAAGACGTTACCTCAGGAGTTAGCGATTAATGCCCGTCGGTTTGCGCTGGTTAACTGGGTTCCTACCAAACTGGACATCCCCCTGGTTGTGAGTGATGGACCTGTGGACTTTGGACCTTATTTAGCAGGTGAGCATGATAAAGATGAGGAGCTACTGCCGGAGGTGGAAGATGCACCACCAGCCTTCGAGCCTAATTCAGGTATCATGGATCAGCTGTTGGGCATGGGCTTCCCAGCTACGAGATGTGAAAAGGCTCTTTATGCAACTGGTAATTCTGACCCGGAAGCTGCCATGAACTGGCTTTTTGCTCATATGGAGGATCCCGACATTGACGAGCCCCTGGTTCTGAAGAAATCAGCTAGTGAACCAATGGTCACTGAGCAGGACCAAGCAAAGATTGCACAGTTAGGAGAGATGGGGATTGAGCCTGCTCGTGCTCAGAAGGCCCTCTCTGCAACTGACGGTGATGTCAATCGAGCTTTAGACTGGGTCTTCAGTCACCCCGATGATGATGCAGCTCAAGAAAACAGCAATGAGAACCAAATCAAACAGGGGCCTTCCGGTTACAACACTTTACCAGCCCAGTACCAGTTACGATCTGTTGTATGCCATAAGGGTACATCAGTCCACGCAGGGTAAGTAGTTTCTCCTTTCTTATCGCCTCTTTTCGTTTTGAACCTTCGTTCATTGCTGACCATTGAAGACATTATGTGGCCGTTATCCGCAAGGCATTACCAGATCAAGCAGATCAATCCTGGGTTATGTTTAATGACGAGAAAGTGGTCAAGTTTGAGGACTTGGAGCCGATGAAGAATAGCGCCTATGTTTACTTCTTCACTCGGGTTTTATCCTGCGGTTCGGCTGAAATTTCTCTATCTTAGTGCTTAAGCTCATTCAGATCTTCGTGGCTCTCTTTTTGATGTTCCTACAACCATGATAGAGAACCTAGATTCGAAGACCCATACTCAAATAAATTTAGGAGTTAGGCGTATTGGAGCAGAAGCTTGTCCTACTAGTAGTATCATATTGGTAGATGCAGGTAACCTTGGAAAAGTTATAGGTCATGGCTTCAATACCATTTGATGATATTAACGAACCCACCCCTCCTTCCTCATAATCTTCTTAGTCCACTTTCTAACCTCTCTGCAAGTCTCTCGTCTTTCGCCGCACCACTCTGCCACCTAGGCTCTCCAAAGCGCCGGAACATCTCAAGATATGCACCACTCTGCTCTGCCTTCATATCTTGACTTGCTATACAGAATAAACTGGTCCATGAGCCCTTATCGGTAGACCACATTAGTCCTAGAATGCGCAAAACCAAGAAAAGAGTGCTCATTCCTGGTCCAGACTTGCCTACTGCTGTGGCTAGGTTTGTTTCAACGAGACCTGGATGCACAGAGGTAACCCAGATCTCTCGTCCCTCATTCAGCGCCATGTGAGAGCCGGGCCATATTTTTTATTCAAAGTATTGGCATGTAAAATGTTGGCAAGCTTGCTTTGCCCGTATCACTTCCACGAACCACTTTCCCTAAGCGATGGGTCATCGAGATTGATACCGCCTTTTGGTGCGCCCAAGTGACCGGATGAAGAGAGGTTGACTATGCGGACGCTACCAGTAGGAAGCTTTTTGGCGGTCTGTATCATGATAGGAAGGAGACAATCTGTCAAAAGCCAATGCGCCAGGTAGTTGGTCTGCCACTGAGCCTCGTAGCCATCTTTGGTTATTTCAAAGGGGGTCACAATGATACCTGCGTTGTTGACTAGGCCATGTAATGCTATTCCAAGGGCGATGAAATGCTCGGCAGCTGAGAGAACGCTGTTCAAATCCATGAGATTCATTTTCAGGAGGTGCACGTTAGCTGAGGGGTGCATTTTCTTGATTTCGGTGATCGCTGCAGTTCCTTTCTCTGTAGATCTGGAACCGATGTAAACGTTGGCACCGTGTTTTGCTAAATGAGCTGCGGTATAGTAGCCACTTTGGATTTAATACATATGATAATATGAGTTGATTCGTAACTTTGTAGGGGGGAACTTGAAGGAGAGAGCACTTGAGACTTACATGCCAGAATTCCCACCTGTGACTATGAATACTTTGTCATGGAGATTGGGAAGAGTGTCGGGATGAAAATTCATTTTTCCAATTATGATATTGAAAATTTGAATAATCAATATAATATCTGAAGACTAATATCTTGTCACGGTGTTTCTGATGATGAATGTTGATTGAAAAAGGCAAAAAGAGCGAACATCGAAAAGAGATTGATGAAATGATTGTACACTTCCGAAGGTCCAAGGTTGGGCTTGAGAGGTCTTTCTAGGGGTTTATATATTAAACAATATGTATGTACACATAAATATGTCAGCACTGGAGTACTCAAGTGCGTGAATATCTGAGATACTACTGGACACTAAGATCATACTACTTAAGGTAGTGGATATTGTGAGCAAGCTGCAGAAATCACATGTACATAGAAATTCCAGACTAAAAGGGATATAAAATTATCAATATAACGTAATAGAGTCATCTCTGATTCAGTGTGAGCCAGCTGCATAATTAAGTAATATGATATTATGATACTCATAGGTGATAATTTCAAACATTTGAACATTCGGATATGAGCAATCTGCATAAAGCTTAGCCTATTAAAGTTAATAACACCAGAATATTGACTAACGTAATTCCCGGTCGAGTGGGACACCCAACCAAAAGTCGCATCTCTTTTTCATCCTACCTTCTCTAATCACCTATCATGCCTCCAAAGCGCAGTAGTTCGGCCAAAAAAAGCCAGCCAAGAGGCCAAGGTTTTACTAGCCCTTGACGACATTCAGAATGGTCGTATACCCTCTATTCGTGCGGCTGCAAAGCTATATGACATACCAAAGTCAACACTGCACACGCGCGCCCATAGCTGAACCTCACGTGTTGATACGCGCCCAAATGGCCATAAATTAACCCAATTACAAGAGGATTTGCTTACTGAGTGGATTATCTCTATAGATACATGTGGTGCAGCTCTTAGGCCATCTACTGTACGAGATATGGCCAATATTCTACTAGCTGCACACGGTAGCCAACCCTCCCCCTCACCCCACCCACAGTTAGTACGAATTGGCCACCAACCTTTATCAATCGACGTGATGTGATTCGAACATGCTTCTCTAGGCGATATGACTACTAACGTGCTCAAAACAAAGATCCTAAGTAGACTTCGGCACAGCCCATGGGGACCCATGGGGCCCCATATTAGTGTAAACAGGACAAACTGAGAAAAATCTCGTGACTGCATAATTAATGCAAATTGGTCTGTAATTTTCGGTATTCTACTTACATGTAGAATAGCTAATACAGGTAGATTCTCCGAAGCGTTATCACAGTAAATGATTTGAATTGAATCTATTCTAATATTCCTCAAAGTCATTATCTTATCTATGTTTACGCTTCCTCCCAGACGTCCGTAGCTGAGTCGTATTCTCTGGTAGCTGAATATCCCCAGTATCCTCGCTCTTAGCACCAAGATCGATCAGTTCGTTAGAAGTAGCTATCTTAGTAACCTCCTCTTCTTCCTCCTTCTCATTCTTACTAATTAAATCAATCTCAGTCCCTTCTAAATTCTCATAACTCTGCTCCTTCAAGGTCTCAATCTCATCCAAAGTAAAATACTTCTTAAGCTGCTTTATCTCTGTATCCTTAAGATCAAATCTTAATATGTAGAGAAATAGCATAATCTCTTCAATGGTTTCAGACTTTAAACGCCCATATTGGTAGTGGTAGATATCACATATAGTGTTAAAAAGCCGTTTGACACCAGCATCACTTGTAGGAATTGATAGAATATCCTAGGTAAGGAGTATAATTATAGGGAAACAGGATTGATTATCACACTAGAACTAGAGAGGCTTAATTTCTACTAGGTCTAGAATTTGATTAGTATAAAATACTAGTAGTAAAGACTTTTAGACTTACTACTATTAAGATATTGGGTAATCTTATCTCTAATAGGCTTTGTTATTACCCTATTCCTATTTATTATCTTACTAAGCTTAGATACTGGTTATATTAAGCTCTAGGGTGTGATATTCGCCCCAAGATTACCATGTATCTTTCCTTGCTTACATCATGTTACTGTTATGATCGCACATCACCTGATGTCATTATGTTTGATTGTATATAAACTACTGTTATTCTTTACTTAATCAAACATGCACTTTTACCTCCCAAGATCTCATATGGTAGCATGTCCTAACTGAACATGCCTTCTACGGCTGTTCGGGGAGGATATGTCGGAGACAGATCCGTACACTCCCTTAAACGATCGTATTCGAACGATCGGTACTGGATGCGTGTATACGAGACAGAAAGTGTCATTCTTGATGCGTTAGACGACGTCTTTGTGTTCTAGGAAGTGTGAAGTCATAACAACCCCGAAAAAGGGCGGATGGAGGAAAACCCTGAGAATCAGGGACCTCCGGGGACCATTCCCTTTGTTCGGACAAACCTGGACACGGAAGAGACCGAACACCGATGCTAATGCATAATTACCCCTTGTTTATACCGAATTGAGGTGTATCCTTCTATCTCTAAGGGTAAGATCTATGATCCACGATCCCCGATCTATACCGCAAAATGAGATGGAAGTAAAAGAACGAGATGCTGGGCGTGAAAAGGGTGTAAGAACCTCTGATTCTTTTAGAATATTAAAAAGAACTTAATTAAACCCTATTATACCAAAGAGAAAAACAATACTATCTATAGACTATGATAGAGTATTATTATGAACGACCACTTGTGGAGAAGAATATTACCTATTATCCGATAAGAGAAGAGATTATCTATTAGCCTATAGATAAAGGTACTTACTAAGTGTTAGTGGTATTTCCTTAAGACCTAGCTAAGATATATACAAACACGTAGGAGACAGACCAAGGGTTAGAACAAACCCATGATATTATTATCAGAATAGCCAACACTATTATAGCAGAACGGAACCGACCGGCCCTTACTATGATAGAACCAGCACCAGGTCCTCTAACTATAACCCCTCTATCGGGAAGTAGTTTTGATTATTCCTATGAAGAATGATACGCTATCAAAGCGACTAAGAAAGCGCTACTAAAGAATATCAACCCTATTAGTAATTATCCGGAAAATGGGTAAATAATGTGGTATGAAAGTATATATAAGATTATGAATGGTACTTCTATAAGCTAGTGATATATACTAGGTCTGTCCCTACTAATGATCTAAGGTAGACTTCTCCAAAACCCAATTTGGGTCCAGCACCTAAAAACCCAACCCAACCCAAGACCCAAGCTGGGTACCCAATGGGTACCCAGGAAAACCCAATTTTGCATAAAAAAGAGGTCTTGGCGTACATAAGTCTGCTCAGTCATCAATTTAAAATACTGTTTTTACCTGTGTTTGGCATTTGTTTTGGTTTGTCTATTAGAATCTTTATATCTTTACATGTAGCTATAGGGAATTTTAAATATCTATCTTAGAGATAGATATTAAAAAGTAAGGTTTTATATTAATTACTAGTAATAATAATAGACTTCTCATTTAAATATAGTATTTGTATATAGTAGGAAAAAATATTACAAAAATGTTATAAGTAGCTTATAGAAATATATATTCACATGTTGTGGAGGTAGTAGATCTTTTAGGTGCATGCCCTGAAAAGTACTACTTTTTTATTTTTAAGCTAATTTAGTGTTTCTTAACATCAAATTAAAGCTTAAGTTCTATATTTTAATATAATCTTTTATTAAATTAGAGAAGATAGTCTATATAAAATAGAGGACTAAACTAAAGAAGCCTAGGTAAAATTTTTTGGAAGATTTTGGATGGAATTGGGGTGGGATTGGGTAATCCTTGGGTTTTTGTGGGTAATTCTTGGGTAATTCTTAGGTTTTCTAAGGTTTTCTTGGGTCCTGTTGGGTCCTGTTGGGTCCTGTTGGGTCCTGTTGGGTCTTGTTGGGTCTTGTTGGGTTTAAAATTCAATATTATTTATTAAGATATGTATGTGCTTATTAAATGTATTAGAATTTATTATTTCTGATCTTTAATCTGCTATACTTCCTACCTAATCCTTACACTTATTATCCTTTTTTATTATCCTTATTTACCTAATATCTTAAAGCCAATATTCTGGTTTCTATTCTATATGTTCTTCCAGCCAGACCATCCTTAGCGATTAATCTCCTTTCCTTACTATACCAAGAGTACTTATCCTAGGGAATCAAAATTTTTTTGTTATATTAATATGAATATTGCTGATTTTGTATATACTAGGTATAGGGAGAATGCTTTGTAGGATAGTCTTATACTATCTATAGAGGATGATAATAATTATATAGAGATACTTCTAGGTATATATCGGGATATTAGAGAATGGTACAACCGCCTATATCTCTAAGGGTATACTGAGGATAGCTATATATAGCAGATTAAGCCTATGATATGGACTAAAGATAATAAGGACCACTTTAGCTATACCTGGTCTAAGCAGAAGTATACTGTTGGAGATGTACACCTTAGTCTACCTAGCCTGCCATATGGTTCTACTGGTCCTGCTACCTTACATCGTCTTAATATCCTACTTTGGTTTATAAGTATTAGTAAAGACCACTAGATACTAGATATTGCTGAATCAGGAACATGGGATAATCTATCTCACTATCACCATTATTTTTACTCTGGCACCAAGACCCCTTCAGGGTTGCCTAATAGCACTTTTATAGGGCGTATAGATTATATTTTCCTAGTAACTATATACCTTAGGCGTCTAGGTGTAATTTCAGATATACTAGTTGGGCAGATACGCTGGGATAAGGTGGATGTGCGAGAAGAGCTTGACGTGTTGTTTAGAGATAATGATACGGCTGCTTGGGATTTAATATAGATATGGCAGAAACACGCTCAGTAGCTATATATTGCTGGCTTTGAAAAGCTAGCTGCAGCTGAATATGCTGTATTTGGGGCTAACTCCTTCTTTTAGTGGACCTAGCTTGGCCTAGATGTTACCTCTATGTTTATCAAAGAGGATGTTTACTGGTCTGGGTTTCAGTATGAGATTAAGGGTAAGTATAAGTATGGTAGTAATGATGGTAGTAATAGCGATGGCGATGGTGATGGCGATGGTGATGGCGATGGTGATGGCGATGGTGATGGTGATGGTAATGGCAATGGTGATGGCAATGGCGATGGCGATAGTAATGGCGATGATAATGATAATAACAATGATAATAGTGACGGTGATAGTAGTGGTGATGGCAATAGCGATAGTGGCGATAATAGCATTTAGATACTACAGAGGTAAGTTTTATGCATAAAAGCCTATTAGTATGGCTTTCAGTGGGAGGTGGCTAGCCTTTCTATAGACTTCATTAGACTACATTTTGTACACAAAAGCCTATCTTAGTTTATGTGCTTTGGAAGACAAACGGGATAGAACAGGAAGACAGACAGGATAGTAGGATGGAACAGATAGAATGGACAAAATAGAAGAAAGAATTAGATAGCAACAGAGTAGATGAAGTGGATTAAGCTAAGAGTGGATTGAATTAGTTAAGGCCCTAGCATCCAAAAGCCTAAAGGCCGTAAGAGAAATACCCAAAAATACAACGCCAAAATGCATAATTTATGCAGCAGCAAAGTCTGGGCATGTTTGCTCTGTTTGTGACCCAAATAGGTACCCATGGGTTGGGTTGGGTCCAAGGGAAAAACCCAAAACCCAGGCCTGGGTCTAAGATTTGGACCCAAACCCAACCCAATGGTGGGTTGGGTCGGGTTGGGTCTTGGGTCGGTTGGGTTTTGGAGAAGTCTAATCTAAGGGTCCTATATACTGCTGGATATCTTTAAGATATAGCTGTTAAGAAATAGAAGTTATATATAAATATAATAGATAGATAGGTCCCTATAACCTAGGCTATATATATTAGATAGATTAAACATAAGTTTTTAGAGTATCTTAGCCCTGAGAAACACTGGGATAAGTTTATAGCACTTAAACAGGGTAGTAAGATAGTCATAGACTTTGTGTTACGGACCCACTACGGGGAGGTCTCCCAGGAACAGCCATGACCCAATCAGTTGGCGGTCGGGCCAAGTACGGACGACCAGCCATAATGGACGCACGGCCCAAAAGGACGTAAGGCTATGTTGGTGCCTGAGGCACCAACGGGAGCCAGATATGGCCTGCTACTTACCGTTGCAACATATACTGGCTATACGGAAAGGACGGTGCATGAGGAGCCGACTTCGGCCCCATAGCACGTGACTACAGGACTATTCTAACAATAGATCCTATCAGAGGATAGGACGAGGTCCCATCCTATCTTAGGATAGGATCAGGTCCTATTCAGGAATAGGAAGGACTGGGTATATAAGGAACGATTATTACTATCATGTATTTAGTTCTTCGCAATTATTACTCTATTATTATTGGACTCTATAAATCAGACTAAGATTATAATTAAACCCTTGAAGATAAACTACCAACTAGTTAGGAGAGCTTACTCATGATAACCTCACTTATGACTAACCTACTAGCGAACCCCTAACTCAAGCATTACTGTACAAGGATCCCTAAAGACTCTAGCCTATATAAGTGTCAGTGGTCCGGCGCGTTACGCGTGTAGATATTGGACCACTGCGGCCATATACTCTAGCTCTCACTTGCACGTGGAGATCCTTCCCTCCTCACGCTTCCTTCAATACGTGTTTCTGGCCTTCTTCACTCGTAGACATCCAAATCCAAATCCTCCAACAGGTTATGAGCCCGGCAGCACATACCTGACACCTGATACTTGATCACCGTCACGAGCGAATACAACAGAAAACACCTCGCCGGCCCTGAGCGTCGGGCCGGATCTCTTACTTTACTTCATATCACCCACCACCAAAGACACACACTCTCCGGCACGCCGACATGGCGGATCGCCACAATTTTGATGGAGACGATGATGATGCAGATGGATGGGGTGCAGAACTATTTCGGACAGCAGAAAACAGGACACAAGCGGATCGGTTGCCGACGAAGACAATCACTTATCCGAAGCTGACCACCTGTCTAAATAGCGATGAGAACTTCGAAGAATGGGACAAAGATCTTCGGCTGATTCTAGCAAAGGATGGTCTATTAGACCTGATTGACGTGAATATTCCCAGACCGACAAAAGACATTGAAAATGAGAATGCTATGAGATGGAGGGATATCTCTGCCGACATGGCTGTGTGGTTGAAAGACAACATCATCCCCGAACTATGGCAAGAACTCGAAATATCGACTACCCGTGTGAAGAGAGGCTACGCAGATACACTCTACAAAGAGATTGTGAAGCTAGTGGAGAAACATAACACACTGGCAAGAGCGAAAAGAATTAGAGCCTGCCGCCTGATGTCAAGTTCTGACTTCCCCCTAAAGTCTCACTATGTCCGTGCATACGTACACAACGTTATTGAGCTCCGGAAACAAGGAATGGGGCCATCCCCATACTGGGCGTTTATTACTATGCTTGACGAGGTACCGGATAAGGTTAGAGAGAAGTGGTATGAGAAGCTAGACCAAGAGGATATCAACCCGAACGATTTCACCGATACAATGTTAATCCAACACTCAAAGAGCATTCGACAGCAGCTAAGGCTGAATGATGAAGATGGCGCTGTTCCCGCGATGCAGGCAACCGGCCGAGACCGCAAAGACAAGAATAAGGACAAGGAAAAGGATTCTAAGCCATACAGAACACCTCCAAAGGACAAGACAGAAAAAGAATGGGTCGAAATCGTCAGAAAGAGAAAAGACAACAGATCTGGAGGGTGTGGATATTGCAATCTCAAAGGCCATAAGGCCAAAACATGCTGGTATCTATGTCTGTGGCTACGACGTAAAGGATGGACTCCATTGGATAAATACTGGGCTTACAAACCTGGTCTGGACTGCGAGACATGTAAACCTCTATCAGAGACTAAGTCTACAGAAGAAACTTCTCCACCACCACCCCCTACAGCAGCAACAGCCGCAGCTGCGATAGCTACAGACGCCTATCTTGATGATGTCTATAACCGCCACTACCATGCGATGGCTATTGAAACAGCTAATTTGATGATCCCTGATGATCCCTATGATGAATACATACAGTCAGTTTACAATCGTGCATACATCTCTCAGAACGAAGAGATGTTCGATCAACAGGATGAGATTCTGGATGAAATTGCAGATATGGCTGTGGACCAAACATCCCCTTTAAAACAAGGCTTATCAAGTGATCCGGACACCGAAGAAACTCTCATTAAGATCCCAAATGAATTGGGAGCACAGCAATGGCTCCTAGACACGGGCTCAGGCAATCATTTGTGCACAAAAAGAGATTGGATATTCGATTACGTCGAGTTCAAGGATGGTATTAAATATGAATGGGAAACCTCCTGTCCGGGAAACAAAGGGACTGCATGCGGATATGGCAAAGTTAAAATCACCTTATTACAGGATGATAACAGCCTACTGGATGTCATAATTCCAGTTATGTACTCTCCAGGTATGAAATATAACCTGTTGGGAGCTTGTAAACTACGCCGTGACATGCAATTCGCCTACAACGATGACACTTACGCCCTACATGACAGAGCCTCAAAGGCAGTAGTGGGACGCGTTTTCTTTCACTCAGGAGTGCCGTTTCTCAAACACAAAGACTGTGGCTTACAACAAATTGGCCTCTCCATGGCAAGTATTTCAGCCGAAATAGCCCACCGCCGTCTTGGACATGCTGGTGCCCCGAAAATAAAGGCCACTGAGAAGGATCTTGACGTCGAAGTGGACCATTCAGAACCATTTAATTGCACCGCATGCAAGCTTAGAAAATCAAAGAAAAGAATCTCTCGCATACCACAGGTCCGTGCAACGCGCCCAGGACAGATGATCCATGCAGATCTACAACAAATCCGCCCACAGGCTCTTGGTGGCTACAATTATGCTCTAATCATGACAGATGACGCTACCAGATGTCGATTTACGTGTCTTTTAAAACATAAGGATGAAGCTTCTCACGAGATGATTAAATTCGCTACGCAAATCAAGAATGACACTACCGCCTATCCGCAGGTGTGGAGATGTGATGGTGGATCAGAGTTCTATAAGTTCACAACATGGGCAAAAGAAAATGGACAACGAATTGAGCCTTCCGCCCCCTATGCACAGCAGCAGAATGGTCTTAGCGAGATATCAGGTGGCTACATCGTACAGACTGGACGGACAATGGTTATCGACGCCGAAGCCCCAGAATACATGTGGGGAGAGGCTATTTTGACAGCAACCTACATCATTAACCGGCTACGCCAAGCCCCTGGCTCACCATCTCCGGCAGAGCTATGGAATAAAGGCATGAATTGCAGAGAGCAGCCAACGTCACTAGCTCATCTCCGTGTCTGGTATTGCAAAGCTTATGTGAATATCCCTCCAGAGCGGCGTGTGAAGAGCCAAAAGATACGTCCACGTGCATGGCTAGGCCACCTCGTAGGCTATATTAGAGAGAATGGTCACCAATTCCGTATCTATGACCCCTACACAAAGAAAGTGTCAATCCACCGAGATGTTATGTTCTGGGAGACCAAATCTGATACCCTGGTAGCTGGTGTTGAGGAGATCAAGATCTCTCAGCTAGGAAATGAGCAAATCAACCGTCAAATTGTAACAGGAGCAGTGAAAGACACAGACAGAGAAGATATTGCCCGCCTGACAGAGCTCTTGAAAGGTGCTCGCAATACATACAAGTCTCTACACCGTGAGACAAGCCGCTTTTACAACAATCAAAACAAAACAAATAAGGATCTCAAAGCCGCAGCTCGCATACATCAGCAACGTGTAGATATGTTGGAAAGACGAATTAAAGACCTCACTAAACAGCTACAGCAGTACCGTGAGGAGACACCAGCGACAGTGACATCAGAGTCCTTAACACCTGAAGTAATTGGACAATTCCCCCAAACAAATGCGCCTCTTAGAGAAAAGAAAAAATTCCATAACGAAATCTCTGGAGGATTTAACGCAGACGAATATGATGATGATGACCAGACACCAACACCAACTCCACAAACAACGACTAGTCGGTCTCAGTCAACAACTAGTCAGACCCAATCAGAAACTAAGCAAGCTCCAAGACGTTCCGGACGTGTCACAAGGGAACCGAAGCGCTTTGGAAACTTCGAAAATTGGAAGGATCTTGGCAGAAGCGTCTCTCAACCACCGCAAACTGATGGTGCAGACGATTTCGACTACATTGCAGGCCTTGAAAGTGCAATTGCGATGGC